ACATGTTAAACTTCAAATTTGAAGACTTAACTATTACATTAAGTATTTAATATAATGCCCGCCAAGTAGATGACTGTCTCATTAAAATCTCATTCTGAAAATCCAGAGACGGAAATATCTTCATCTTTTACTTACAGATTCTAATAACGTGCCACTTCCTTGTGATTTTATTCTTTGCTTTACCTTTTTGAATTTTTTCAGAGAGATTATTCCACATAATAATAATATTCTGTAAGAGATCTTACGAACTTCTTAGGTTTTCATACTTTATGGAAAGGTCAGTACGATCTTTAAAATGTGTGTCATTTAAGTTTACATATCTAACTGAATTTTCATCTGCTTTTAGAAAAAAATTGGTGCAAAAAGTCTGGACAGAAACTTTTTTGTATGATAATGCCTGTAAATTTAAATTAAAGTATAGAAGAATTATTAGCATTATTTCCCGAACGTAAGCTAAGAAAGTACTGGTAGTAGGGTCCATCTGAGGAATGGCTACTTTCATGTTTTTTAGACGTTTCACGACTCCTAAAGTAAGAACAAATAATTCCTGCGTTTTCGTTTGTCTATCCTCTGTCTGTCCATCTGTCCGTCTGTCCGTCTATCTGTCTGTCCGTCTGTCCGTCTGTCCGTCTGTCTGCCGTCCCGGATTTTTATTAGACAAATAATCTCCGAAAGTACTCGACAGATTCTTGTGAAATTTTATACTTATATTAAGAATTTCATGTAGATGGTAAAACGCTAACCAAAATTTGGCTAATCATCCCCACCACTTATGCGCTGACGTCATTTCAAAATTGTATATAGTAAATGGGTTTTAAATTGTATGAAATAACATAGTCCCAGACATGTAATTTATGACTCTGAATTGAGTTTTTATCTGAAACGTCGAGATTTTTGGAAAAAAAACTCAAAATTATGAAACAACATTTTGCCATTTAATTTTGAATCTGCAAAACCGAATGCTTTGAAATCTTGCAGATGGTTTGCGATTATGATAAGCATGATAAATTTTTAATCAAAATATATTGACTTATCCCATCCAAAAAATTGATGACGTCAGCTCAAAAGTTTGCTGAATAAATCCTATCTAAAATGTACCAAATATGATGAATCTGTACTTGTAATTTATCACTCCATTCATATTTTTTGGATTTGCATATGCAGGGTGACTCAAAAAAATTAATGAATGCGTAATTGAAATCTTGGAGATGTTTTAAAGTTATCATACATAAGCATGGTAAATTTTTGATCAAAATGTATTTGCTCATCCCTCCTAAAAAATTGAGTACATATATACAGGGTGATAATAAATGATATATTTACATCTAGAGGACCGTGAACACGACTTGACAAAAAAAATTGCCGCTTTCGAAAAACACAGTTTCTAGGCGGCAGATTGCTCGATAAATCTCTTGGCCCGACCGAAAATAGGCTTTCATAACAAAATTTATTTTCTTGTAGAGTCCACATTTTTCTGTATCATTTATTCCTTTATGATTTAAAGAATAAACGTTAAAAATTGATTCAAGTTTGACAACTACTTAATTAACGGATTAATAATGATTTCACAAAAAGTCAAATGAAGCAGCAATTTCATAGTTCACTAGAAATCATTTATTAACGCCTGGTATTTACGATTATCAAAAAAAAATTTGAAGTAAAAAATTATTGGCAGTGAATGAGTCTGGTCCGTCAGTCTTCGGGATGAAACGCTCATTCGAGTAAATTCGGATTGAGCCACACCCCTGTTACAGGATGTACACTGCTGAATTTGGACTTACGAGTACATATCTCAAAAGAAAAATCAACTAATTTTTAAAACCACATTGAATTTAAATATGTATATCGAATGACCCAAATGAGAGTATGTAGATACTACAATAATTGACAAAATTAGCCTATTATTTCTTTCCACTTCCCGAATCTACCGGGCGACTTGCTCCTTTTATGTTTTCTCGACGTTTTATGGCCCGTAGAATACGAAAAAACAGGTCTCTCGTTTCCGTCGATCTGTCTGTCTGCCGTCCGATAGAATTTTTATTAAACTACTGGATTGTTGTCAGATTTTCTATGTATAATAGGAATATAGATGGTAAAATGCTAACAAAAATTAGGCTAATGATTCCCACCAACAATATGATGACGTCCGCTCATTATATTGCATAATTATCATTATCTGAATTTTATTAAATAATATACCCCTGCACTTGTGGTTAACACAAACATAAACAATTGAAATTAAACATGTAGGGTGATGATAACACATTTTTCCCGTTGGTTATGTACTTTCAATATATTTCAATTGTCCTCACGAACCACACCCCCTTAGAATTTACACTATTGATTTTTTAGTCAAATCATGAACGGTTGATCCCTTTCCTCAAAAATGTAGAATCCAGTAATGTCGTAAGCGGAGAAATAAGTATTTTTTCTTTGGAAAATCCAGTTTTGGTAGTGAATTTTTTCGAAAAATCATAAAATTAGTCATTCTTTAAAATTTCTCGATATGATATACTACGATTAAAATCTAGATATTTTTCGACGGTTTTGACATGAAATTCTTTTAGGGTGACGAAAATTCTTCCTTAGTTGTTCTCAGATTATTAATACTTAATTTGTCACGTAAAATTAGTAACTTTGACAACTACTTTTTAAGCTAAAATACGTCCATTACAATATTATTTTTCGTCTTGCTTGGCACTACGGCACATAAGCCGGTGATATATTTGAATGAATTTTGTATGTTATTTTTAAAATTAAGAATATAATTGATCACTAATATACAAGGATGAAAAGTCTCTTCCAGATATGTAGAATCATGCCATATAATCTGGAATAATATTTTTCAAAAAGTTATTATTTGACTTATTGGTTAATAAATCACAAATGCAGACATATAAGAGGACGTTAAATAGGCTCAGGAATTGTAGATAAAGTTTTATATGCACCACGTGGACTAACGAATAATTATTATCAAACTTGGACGATTACTCAACGTTGCTTTATGGATAAACTTTACGTTAGTGGTTAATAGTGCTTTCATACTACCGCTAGAATGAATAAATATAACTATGCGACAATTAACTAATACTGTTAATAAACACTGTAACTATTTACCAAGTTGGATTCATGAAAGCTAACTATTATATTATATTATTTACGACAGTTTATTGTTTTATATAAGACTCACGTTGAGGAAGCAAGCCACTCTAACTTAATAGGTGAAAATTAAAATAATTACAACAAACCTGATTTTGCGTTCCTGTGGTTAACTTGTTTTACTTTATTCTTGACTATAAATATTTCATATGTAATTAATTAATTACAGTGCTGCGCCGCTTTATTAAATTTATTACCACAAATAACTTAATTTTAGACGCAGACCCTTTTCCAAACAACAGACACCTGTTAAAATAATCACTAAAATAAATTAAACGCTTGTTGGTGGCCTTTAAATTTATACATTATTTAGCCTGTTGTAGTTATGATATCATTAAAGCACAATTAAACAGGGGCTAACAATTAATAAATGACAACGATAATATAAACAAAAAGGTAAATAACTGGAGGAAGTAAAATTATCTCATCTTGCAGCCAAGAAAAGTCAGTGTCCACTTAATGGTCAACATTTGTGTTGTTGAACTCGTATCAAAATAATGGATTTCGTTTGCTATGCAAATTTTAACTGTCTTAGGAACTAGAATTCACGCCGGGTTCTGCCTTTAAACACTAAATTATTTAAAGTAATTGACACTAATAAAGTGGAGGTCGGCAGGAACTATTTTAATCCTGTTTCTGACGCTGGACCTTAAAGCTGCAACAAAACAAAATAGGTATGCAAAGGTGCAGTTTAAGATATTTGCTAATATTAATCACAACTTTATCCTTGACTTCAAAACACTACATCAGAGATTCAATTATTATTCATGTGGTTCGTCAAGGTTAGTTATGCTCGAATTTCTGTAACTAGGGATTTTTTGCTAATGTTTGGTTGTACATTTATATTACTCATTATTGATTTATTATTGTTAGAGGAAGTTGGGAAAATTTGATGAATTTATTTTTCACAGTGCCAACAACCACACGTTATGCCTATCATTGCCACGAGATACGTTGGTAATGCACCGCTATTTTTACAATTATTGCTTAGACCCGTTGTCTATTTTTTTTAATTTTGTGAATATAATATAATGAAGAGGCGAGTAAGGTGATATGTAAATTGTCCCATTCATATAATATAACATGTTCGAAGAAAAAGTTGTCCAGCGACCATTAAAATTTAAGTTAAAAAATTTATGTTGGCAACACCAACGTATTCCTTGTTCATTTTAACAGTCACGGTCAAATAACTGTCAAATAAAGTGTCAACTAATTCCAATGCCAAGAAACATTATTATTTTTAAAATAAATGTTATGGCCTCCTACGACTTTTTTTAACCTATGGCACAGTTCATAGAATAATTCCGATAAATGTTTAATTCTATATTTGAGCGATCTTTCGCAGTTTGAAGAATACAAAAATGTCGGTCTTACGTTTCCATATTGTTAAAGAAATTTTACTGGAAATTTGTAGCATGAAGTACTCCATGTGTAACAGTTGACTGTTCTTAAGAGCGAAGTAACCATGAACCTTAACACTATAGTCTATTCTAGGAATTACCTCAAAGAATAATTATTCTGTTTGTTGTGTTCATGTCGTGTCTTTCAGTTTTAATTTATTTGTACAGTTTAAATAAATCTTATCTTGTCCAAGGAAAATCAGAGATTTTTTTTCAATAAAAAATATTTCTAGGAATTTTTATTAAAAGTATTGCTTATTTGTTGCAAAATGTTTACAAGCACGTTTTTTTGCCTTATCTTTCTAAGTCATGAAATTTTCAAGATAAAGTATAGTGTTATTGAAAAATTAATCTTGTAAGCAGGAAGAAATAAATGTGCAAAACACTCATAATAATCCAGATATATCGGTTCAGTGTAGGAAGGCAAAAATAAGTGTTAGTGATAACTACCGTAGAATTCATATTTTCATAAAATGTCTCAACAAAATTTTTCACTTCTTTGTAAATATAAAATGTTCTTAATAGTACAATCTTCCTATTTTCAATAATTATAAACACGTAAGTACTGGCATGTAAAGTGGAGCTTATAATCAACAATCTTGGCCATTTAACAGTTAACATAACTTTATTCCTAAACGGGAAAACCCAAAAACCCCCGATTCACGTTATTCATGACTCACAAGACCCAGGTATGAACACAACACCTTTGGTATCTTAAGTGTTTCGGTTTATTTCTTAGAAACTTTTACACAACAACTTTCAGCCAGCATCAGTACCAGGATATCGCAACAAACGTGGGAATACTAGGAAAAAATTTATATTAAAAATTCAACGATTACTCCGAGGTAGAAAATCGCCCCGAAGCAACAGCATCATTACGGTTTCTTGGAAATCATGTCGTCTCCCAGGCAGACACATAGAGGTTATTGAGTCATCTCTCCATTACAGATTTTTAAAATTGTATTATATTGAAGCTAATGCAGCGTAAACTGGAGCACGCGGTTATTTTGGAGAAAGAAAGAAATAAATCAAACAGTTATTATATAAAGGAATTAAATTAATAATTCTTCCCTACGCAAGACTTATTTTTCCGTTGCAATAAGTTTGTCATTTTCACACCGCCTACGCATTTCTTTTTATTAAAAGTACAATTGCGTCCTTCCTTTTTTACCAGAAGTTGTGGGCTTGCAGCTATGACATCACACTTATATTTCCATACAAGCTTCCGTATATTATAATTCACACTTAATGTTAATAAAGACAGCAAAGAGAAAAAAAATCGAGACCAATTTTTCGCATGCAGTGCAGATGTTATAAAGCAACAAAAAACTATCTACTGATTGTAATGAGAATAAATCCTAATATTTACAGTGCGTCCTAAAATAAATAAATGAAATCTTCGCACCTAACTTCTCTCGACTCTGAAAAAAGATTTATATTTAGAGATAACATCACAACTTTCTTGTAGCATACATATATGAATTTGTTGGCACATTTTTGATTCATTAAAAATGTGTTAAATTTTTTGAGATGACGTCATCAAGTTTTTGATAGGGATACAAAGATGATTTCTCATATATGTATACCATGAAGTGAAAACAACAGAAAATGTTAATGTATCTACAGTCTGAGATAATTCAAAGGATGTCAAATTCAGTGGAGCCAGTGACCAGCGAGCAGATATTCGCTAGGAACTCAAATTAACAATGCGTTAAAAAACATATGTTTTGTGTTGCTTACTAAACAACTGGTGTTTATTGTTTAATGTTTATATATTCCAGTTTATAAGAACCAGTCAAGGAAAAAGCAGCGTTAGATAGCAGAATAATTGCTTGCAGATAATAATTAATCAAACACAAATCATAGTAGAGCAGAAATACTATGAGAAGAACACACCAATAAAAGGACTCAAAGGAGGTAAAAGCGTCCATTTGCGAGTTTAATTTTTTATAACAGCACTAAAAACCTTAGAGGTTTATAGCTTCAATGGCTTTCACTATTTCTTCCCATACTTTTGTGTCCTTCGTTTTTCGTGTCCAGTTCTTAATTTCAGCTTTTCTTAATCTTCATCCATATTTTCTATGGTCGACCTCGATTTCTTTCTCCTCCTTTATTTAATAAAAATCCAGTGCCATACATTTTATTCCCACTATTAAATTTTTTATTAAATTATCTACTATTTCTTCAATTTGATTATTATTTCGTTTGGTTTCTTGTAATACTAGGATTTCTATTCCGTAATTGTTTGCCGTTCCTACCAGACTTCTAATGTTTTCTTCTTCATATACACTTTTATTTCTTTATCTTCTAGTTTACTAACAGTAACACTTTTCTTTTGTATAGAGATTGTTCTCCCTTAACTATCCGTTTTTGATCTCAATCTCGATTTCGTTTTCTTCGCCGGGTCCGTCTTCAATTTCCCTTTACCAGTTGGCCACTTTAGTTTTTTGCTTCTTGGATTTACCTTTTATTCCATTTCCACTCTTTTCCGTCTATCACTAATCTGTTATAGCCGATCTTAACAGTTTCCCATTTCTCTTTTTACTTCCCGAGCGTAAGCAAAGGAAGTATTGTAATCGAGTCCGTCGGCCGACTCTCTACTTTTACATTTCCTCGATCTTTCATGACCCCTAGAAGATGAAGAAATAGGTCTCCCGTTTCCGTATGTCTATCTGTCTGTCAGTCTGTCCGTCTGTCTGCCGTCCCGGATTTTTATTAGACAGATAATCTCCGAAAGTACTGGACCGATTGTTGCGAAATTTTGTATTTATATTAGGAAAATCGTGTAGATGGTAAAACGCTAACCAAAATTTGTCTAATCATCCCCACCACCAATGTGATGACGTCACTTCAAAATTGTACATAGTAATTGGGTTTTAAATTGTATAAAATTACATAGTCTTACACATGTAGTTTATGACTCCGAATTGAGATTTTACCCGAAACGTCTAGATTTTTGTAAAAAAGATCAAAATTATGAAACAACATTTTGACATTTAATTTGGAATCTACAAAACCGAATGCTTTGAAATCTTGCAGATGGTTTACAGTTATGATAAGCATGATAAAATTTAATCACAATATATTTAGTTATCCCCTCCAAAAAATTGATTACGTCACCCCAAAATTTTGCTGAATAAATCCTATCTAAAATGTACAAAATATGATGAGTCTGTAGTTGTGATTTATCATTCCATTCATATTTTTTGGATATGCATATACAGGGTGACCCAAAAAAATAATGAATGTGTAAATTTATTTTATTGATTTAATCAGGAACTACAGAACCGAGTGCTTTGATATCTTGCAAATATTCATTCATATTTTTTGGATTTGCATATACAGGGTGAACCAAAAAATTTAATGAATGCGCAAATTTATTTTATTGATTTAATCAGAAACTATAAAACCGAATGCTTTGAAATCTAATGCGAAAAAAAACATAATAGGCATGCAGTCGTCACGTTTCCGACAGCGAGGGAAGTACTGTCTAAACTCTTTAAACCAATTTTTTGGACCAACTTCAATCGTTTTGAAAATTTCCCCAAAATTTAAACTTCCTCAAATAAACGAATCACGGAACCTGATAAATTAAAACTGAAGTCCTACTTACCCTGTTTTCTGTCCTTTTCGGAAAAATATCCATTTTCTTTCGTGTTCACAGCAATAACACAACAGATTTTCGCTAATATTTGTTAATAATAAATTAGAAACTCGCGAAATTGCTCTACTCTTACGCCAAAAGGACGCGACGATCTTGTCGCCATCAAACATAAATTAAAACTGAACACGAAGGACCGAAAAACGTGACCTTTGGACAGGTAACTCACGTGACAGTGACGTCATCGCACGTCACGATAACATTGCAAAAATTATTTTTCATATTTTGTCCGCGAAATTAAGACATTTTCAGGATTAACTTAACAATATTCAAATAAATTGTTTTGTTTTTAATACCATCGTGTTTTTAGAAAAACGGTTTTCGGTTTGATTATCATATATTATTAGTTACTTACCATATTTGAGCATTATAAATAATATTAATTATGTCTGAATTATATTTAATGATATCGTGAAAATGTATAGCTTTGACCGATCAACTTCAACCGTTTCGAATTTTTTTCCAAAATTTAAACATTGTCGAGTAAACGAATCACGGACTTGATAAATTAAAACTAAAGTCGTACTTCCCCGTTTTCGGTCCTTTTCGGAAAAATATCCACTTTCGTTTGTGCTCACAGTACTAACACAACACATTTTCACTAATATTTACTAATATTAAATTAGAAATTCGCGAAAAGAAGTCTACATTTAAGCCAAAATATTTAGCCTTTTTTTCTTGTTCGTAATCTTCTTTTCGCAACATAAAACTTAAAGCGTGTTTAAAACAGGAAATATGGATTTTGTAATTACGCTCCGCCCCTCAACCTGGCAACGAATGGAAAATTAATCACGATTAAGAACTGAGATCGGGGTGGGGCTTATCTTTTTATTATTGTTTTTTTTTTTTTTTAGTTAATACATATTTTCTCTGAGCAACACCGTCACTGAAGAATAGGTTTCACATGGCAAGCAATTCTTGTAGAAAAATACGGATTTTACAATTAAATTCGGTTCCTTCGGCTGTCGACGATTAAGAAAAATCATCACAATTGAGATAGGATGGGTGGGTGGGGCTTATGTTTTGCATCTTTTTTTCTTCAAAATATATATTGTTTTTCCCCATAACAAGAAACTGAAAACATGTTTAAAATGGTAAATTTTATCCCATACACTTCTCTACAAATTTACCCTTTTAAACATGTTTCAGTTTCTTGTGAAACGAAAAGTACGGACATATATTAAGAAAAAAAGGCAAAATACAAAACCAGCCCACCCACCCTCATCCCAATTGTGATGAATTTTTCATTCGTTGTCAGAGCGAGGGGCGGAGCGTAATTGCAAAATCCCTATTTCCATAGAAAAATTTACCATTTTAAATATGTATTGTCGTGAAAACATTGTTGCGTATATCCAAAAAAAAAGGCAAAATTTAAGGTCCGCCCTCCAACCGCCATCTCAATTGTAATGATGTTATTCGTTGTGAATATTGAAATTCTAAAAAATCGATATATTTCATATTGGAAATTGTGGAGATGCGAGGGAAGTTCTATCGAAACAACTTTCGACCAATTTTTCTACTTCTGCTATTTGTCTAATTTGCTTGTGCTTGTCCCTTTCAGTTATTGTTAGATCCTCATTTACAAAAAACTTTGATTCCATATTTCTTAGGTTCATCTTAGTGTTTTGGGTTAGCTTGCATTTATCCTAGGCCACTAATTATTGTCTTCCTTTATTTTAAGATTTTCATTTTCTTTCCGAAATTCTGCATTCTCTTGCTTCAATTTTTTATCTTCTTCGTTAAAGCTTGGCAGGCCTTTCCTTATATGCTTTACTTCACATTTTATATCTTTCTACTCCATCTGGATCTGTTTCGTTACTCTTAATATACCTTGTCTTCCCCCACGACCGATCCTCCTGTTCTTTTACTTCTTCCAAACCCATTCTTCGTCTCCTTAATTCCTCACCTTTTTTTCCCAAGGATCCTTTGTAAAATATTCGTCAGTTGATATGTTCTTTTCCTTGGTTTCATGTCTTTACAATTTGCGAGTACTGTCCTGGCCTTGGCATTGATTACTTTTTGAGTTTTATCTTATCTACCTCTTATCAGCAATCAATTTGTAGGAGGTTTACGTCTATCGGAACTATTTCAAGTTTGTATAAGGCTGTTTATATTACGTTTGATTCTTATGAAATTGTTCTATGATCTCTTCTCTAGACTTTGTCACTTCTGTGATTTACACCACTCGATAGCGATATAAACACGTCTACACTCTCTGTACATTCACCTTTATAATTAAAAATATATAGGAGTAAATTTTTTAAATTCGTCCATTTCAAAACGAAAGTGCCTAAGTGACAAGTTGTCGTAACCGGACATGTTCTTTCCATAGTATTCCCAGTATACAACAATATTTGTACGTTTTTTGAATGAATTAAAAATGAATATTACTTGGGAATTTACATCATATATTTTTTTACAATTAACTACTAGTGTGATTTTGTTCTACGACATACATACAGATCCACACATCATTCTCATAATGACTTGGACAGATGACATCGACATTTCATGACTCCTAGAGTATGAACAAATAGATCCCCCGTTTCCATCTGTCTGCCGTCTGTCTATCGTGTGTCTCGATATTTTATTTATTGTACTAATCCACACATTTCTTTATTTTAACTTTTAGGTGTTCTCATAAAAAATAAATAAAATTTATCTGATTTATCCTGATATAATTTACCGTCGTGTAAGTGCCCGTACTAAACCAAAAAAACGTAATTAATTATTTCAAATTTTACTTAGGTATATTTTTTATTTGGACAGAATACATATTATTGACATTAAATGATAAAAATTTGACAAAAGTCATCATACAAAGTGCTATGTTGTAAGAGACCTACGATTTATCAGAGTTAACGACAAGATTTTTTCGATAGGGCAATCTTATCTGGAAGTTTGCAGTCCTAATTGCAATAACATACCTTATTTTAAAAAGCCGCCATACTTTTTAATGTAATTTATAGTATCCAATAAAAGTATATTCAATATTAAGTGATCTAAATTTAACTTCATTATCGGTATGTTCCAAGCATATTTGCCACCACTTCAGTTTTGAATAATTTTGTATTAGAATGCATTGATCAATCAAAATTGTCACTTATAGGTAAGTATCTCTTCAAACGAATGATGAATTCAAAATGTGAACTTTATCATAATACAGAGATTTTATTTAATCAATTAACTGTCACACAAAAGTAGCAAATAACGTATATCGTCTAAATTTTACGATAAATGTATAAAAAAAGAAACTATTTTTGAAACCATTAGATATGTTATCTTATTTTATTAAACTGGAAATGTACCAGTACAACATGTCTATTTTGTTCCTTTTAAAATAGGTGCTACCTACTCCTTACAACGTGGAATATTGTTGTATGTTTTTATTCATGATGTGATAAATTAGTATTAAGCTGGCTCAGGTCATGTTCCCGAGGATACGAGCAATTCAATACGAGAAGCTGTGTTGTAACTGTGTCTTTAAACACTACTTAATAATTATGAAATGATAAAATTATGAAGCTTATAGTTGATAATGGAAACATTAGAAGTAAGTCAAGTTTTCATTTATCTAAAATTTTTATTTGGCACATGGATATTTTTATATGTTTGCACTACAACAACGTATGTAAAATTTAAATATTATCTTATGTTAATTAAATCATCAATATATTTATTCTGGAACTGCAGTGACAGTAAAGCTCAGTATAATAACTTTCTGTTTTCATTTTCATGTTTATTTTTCACAAGTTGATGGATGTTTGGTATTATATGAATATAAGTTCAGTGCATTCAAACGAGTCTTAAAATTGTGCAAATGTTTATTGGCATCAACATTTTTGACTCAGTGTTAATTACACATACAATTTGTATCTTATAAAATGTAAATGACAGAAATTAATCATATTCTCACACATATGATTTCGAATAATCTCCCTGTGTAAATAATAACCAAATTTTAACACACACTTAGAAATGATTTCAATGTACACCATTTAACTAAGTAAATATAAAAATATTCAACACAAAGATAAATTAAAACTTAAAACTAGAACTAACTACTTGGTTTAATATATCACATAACCAAAAGAGATTTTTTATAAAAGTTGATCGTAGTTAATAAAAAAATATACTACAAAGTAGAAACCGTTAATCAATTAATGAAAACTAGTTCTCTCCACAGAACTGCTTCCAACATTCAATTTTCGAATAATTTTATGCAAAGCATAATAAGAAATCCCGCTAAAACAGCAAAAAACTGCTTAAGTCCACTCTTTCTTTCCGAACTCAAAATTTCGAAAAATACTACATACAACAAAGTACCTGAAGCAAGACCTTGTAAAAGTAATGAAGGCAAATCAGTAGCTGCTTGACCATCGTTCGTGACAATAATGCCCATTCCAATTCCTAAAGGACTAACCACGGCAAAAATAAACACGTACAATACAACTAACCACGTCCTCATACCTGAAGTTACAAGTTCAACTCCAATACAAAAAGCTATAACTAACTTATGTGCACTTACTGCTCCAAACATATACCAAACGTTCCTACTCGACGATTCTAAACCCACAGCTAAACCTTCAAAAAGCTCGTGTACTGAAAGTGCTAACACAACAAAGAGTCCTCTGATGGTTACCATAGTCGAGCTGCTTCCATCCGACACAAAATGACTGTGACCTTTACCATGTTTATGATGGTGGTCCATATGACTGTGGCCTATATGTTTCTTATCTTCTACACAGATAGTAATAGGACCTTCTATGTTTGTTCTAGCATAGTCGAATGACTGTTCATTTTCTAGAGTACCACGTCTTATGGATAGACTTCTTGCAAGCACAGTTTCTTCGTTGTGCTGACGATGCAAACAAGTGTGAACACACTCTTCTACAAAGTACATGATAAAAAATCCCGCGCACATTAAAAGTTCTGCATAGTGTAAGTCTTTCGTTCCAATGCTTTTTATACTTTTCATCTTCTCTGACACTTCTGGTAGCAGGTGGACGAACGTGGTATACAGGAGTACTCCACCACCCAGACAAAGCATCTTCTCGACATACGGATTCTTCTGTGAAGTGGAGTTCCACTTAAAGATCCGTGACAGAAGAATCGGAAGGGTTCCAAGCGTTAAAGATGCGGTAAATAAGACACACATCGCCACAGACTTGGCAGTGATTGTTGTGTCATCACGGTTCATTGTAATACAACTTTGAACAAATACAGGCAGCACAAATATACAAGATAACGTTGCTTCTACGGACAAAGTGGTTCTGATTATTGTACAAACATGTAGACTACTTTATGTTTAGAAAATTTCAAAGGGAAATCTTAATGAAGTAAGGCAAACGACATATTTACACCAAATATCGTTATCGACTACCTACTTTACGATATGATATCTTTTGCTTCAGAATAGGAGTGTAACGCTCTGATTTTCGAGTATTTGGAAATGTATCCTTTAATACTTAAGGTTAGTACTTACAACTCTATTTTAGAAGTATACAATGTCTCAGCTGTCTATTGTTTCATTTTTTTTTATTTTTACTAGAAGTTTTTAAATGTTTTATTTTCTTTTTTCCCTTTACACATAAGTACTTGTGAATCCTCGATTGTTCTTCTAATTCTTTCATTGTTTCAGATTGAGCCGTTTTACTAAAAAATCTAATCTCATCTAAACTAAATTATTAAACCAACAGTTGTAGGTTACAATAATGTAAATTTCATTGTTTCTAGATGTCTCATGACTTGTACAATGCAAAAATGTCGGTTTCCCATTTCCGTCTGTCTGTTGTCTATTGCCTGTCTGCTAGAGATTTTATTAGTCATGTACCTAATCGCTGAAACTACTAGACTGATTCTTTAGATGGTAAAACGCTAATTGTTCGGTCCATATTTTTATGATCAATCTAACCAAACTTTGTCCACCAAAATTTTGATGACATTAAGTCAAAAATGTATCAGTTAAATTATATTTAAAATGTGTAAAATGATATGTGGCTATACGTATGGTTTATTATTCCACCCACTTCTTTATTTTAACAGGTTAACATAGAGAAATTAGTACCATGTTATTAGACAAAACTTGAAGTTTTTAGAACAGGGAAATAGATAATGCCAATCACAAAAAAAACCCATGCTGTAATCTCTTATTTCTACTATAAAATGTTTTAAGTGTACTTTTTATGCGAAAATCTGGGTAAAAATCCAAGGCACATTCATAAACCACAAGTATAGGAGTTCAGCAGTATGTTATTTTATAAAATTTAAATAACATACAATTTTTTTTTGTGAAAAAGGCAAAAGATTATGGTGACATCATCAAATTGTTGCTGGGAATAATTAGACAAATTTTGGTTACGGTTTACCAGTCTACTCCTACTTGATCTTTCTAACATACATACAAATTTGACAAAAATCGGTCGATAGTTTTGGAGATTATCTGTCTAATAAATATCAACACAAACAACACACGACAGACAGACAGACAGACAGACAGACAGAAGACCTATTTTTTCATACTCTAGGGGTCATGAAACATGAAAAAAACATTAAAGTAGCTTTTTGTCCGATGCCTGTTAAAATACTTCTTAGCTTACGCTCAGCAGAATCAAGTAAAGTTCTGTCGTATTATATACATATGATTGTTTCCAATTTTTCTTTTCATTTCCCGAGCGTAAGCGACGAACGGCTACTTTCATGATTCCTCAACGTTTGATGACCCCTAGAGTACGTTTATCTGTCGCATTTCGTCTGTCGGAATTACCGGACCGATTCTTATCAAATTTTGTATGTAGAATACCGTCCCCCAACAATGTGATGTCATCTCAAAATGTTGCTTAGTAAATGTGATTTAAATTTTGTAAAATAACATTCTCCTAGACTTGCGGTTTATGAATCCGTCTTGATTTTTTACCCTCGATATTCAGATTTTTGGAAGAAATCAAAATTAGATAACAACAATTAAATACAATTCAACAAACACCAAGTGAGCAATTTTTTTCATTACGATAAGAATAAAATTATGCGGACCTTTTTAAGAATCAGACAAACACTCTGTGGAGTCGCCATCAGTGGCGGAACAAGCATGAAATTCCAGGGTGGGCCAACGGTTGGGCCCTCAAAATCTTAATTGGGCACGCATTGCAATGTTATATGTATAACCACATAGAAGTGACTTACCCCTAATGAAGTAATATTCGACGATTGTTGTGAGCAGCATCGAATTCTTTAACAATATCTTCGATGTTTGAAGATTTTGCCACGGCAGATTCGACGATGGTCACAACAAGATGAATTAGTCTTTCATTGGTCATAGAATTACGCACACATGTTTTTAAACGTTTTAAAGTGGAAAAAGTACGTTCACATGCAGCACTGGATACTGGAATTTTAGCACTAATAACCGCTAGTTTGTAAGTTTCAATAAATGCAATTTTATAAATTTTTAACATGTCTAAAAGGTCCATTATTCTCGTGATTTTCACGTTTTTTTCATTTTCATACATTGCCAACGCTGTTGGACGTATCATAAGTTCTGATTTCAACAAATCCAAATTACTTTGATAAAAAGTGGCTAAAGGAGTTAAGGCGTCAAAATTTAAAAATAAAGTATTGCTAGGATGCAAAGCTGCAACATCATCTGTGGGCACCGGGTTCATTTGCGGGGACTAAAAAAATGTTTTCGAGATTTTATTACAAAACAAGTTAAAAATTTACACCGGTATTCTTAGAAAAATTGAGGTGGGCACCAGGGTGGGCCGCAAAGTTTTTGGTTGGGCCATGGCCCACCCTGGCCCCCCCTCAGTTCCGCCACTGGTCGCCATGCATTTTTTACAAATAATTTGCGGTCAGGATGAATTTTTAATTAAAAGAAAAAAGTTCACAAGTAGATAGCCTTGGTAACAATATTATTTAAATGATTTAAGTGAATAAAACAAAGGACTAAAAATTATAATTGTTTACTTTGGCACAAAATTGTGGCGATTTGTGATTAAATGATTATACGAAAGAACTGTAAAGTGGGCCATTCGTAAACGTTTGGTTTATAAATCTACAAATCACTCAAATCCCTCAAAAATATTAAAATTTAAATCACTAGTCGATTAAAATGCGACGACAGACACTTTTCAACGACTTACTTTAAGATTGTGGCAGCTGTGGTTGTTGTTATAGACAACCAACACCACGATATCCTCACCATTATTCTGTATATTTTAAGTAAAGCTAAATGAGTTTTATTGCATCCGATTTCTAACAAAAAAAAGTTGACACTGTATTCTGATACGGTGTCTAGACTTTTGTAAGCTGCGAACAGTGGTGGAAACCGCATTCCGAAATTTTCATAAATATATAATTGAGATAGTGACTTTTAAAAATATTTGATGCAAAAATTTCAGTGAATCCTTTTTCATTTTACCACTATCCATCAATTTCGTTATACCTATATAATTATTATTTGGAACAACAATCAACTTGCCAGTAAAATTTGTTAAACTTGGAGATCTTTACGTGTTTTAATTTTAATGGACAAATATGTTTTTAAATAATAACATAGGTACTTTTACATTCTTAATTTTTGTTGAAAAATGTGAAATACCTATGTTGCCTCTTTATCATTCAAACAATTCATTTTTCACAATATTTTTTATTCTAAAAATAGTCTTTGTAATCATTTAGGTAATATGAATAGTTGGTAAATACATTCATTCACATAGGAAAATATTTACTAATTTTTATTGATATTCTGAGATATGAGTTCCCACGTATGTTTTATTTTAAGCGGAATACAAGTAATCTACAAAGAAAAAGGACAGTTTTTCTTACTATACAATAACATTAGTAATGTTTTGATAATAAAAGAGTCCAGACAAAATTCCTGTTCAAGTTTCAATTAGTAAATTAGTTGCATTTTGTAAAAAAAGAAATATTAAAACTGATGCAGAAACTTCGAGAAAAAAAAATTACTTTTGGTCAAAATCTAACCTTCACTAAACCTTACATTTAAATGTAATTTTGAACCTATAAAATACGAACTAAACTCTTGTTTGCGAACAAAAACATTTGTAAACACTGCTCATAGTGAAAATATGTAATGTATCTGTGTATATACATTATACACACACAAGTTAAAGCCTTAATGGTTACTTTATCAGACAAATTACTTGGATTCCCCTCACTTATTCGTCCATTTTAAAAATTTACCACAGCTTGAAAAAAAATACGTATACTAATCTTATTACAATTTGAACAATCATGCCGCGGAAACAAAAAACTGTTTATGAAAATTAAATAACTAATTTCTAAAAACATAAAATTTATAAAAAAGTATACAAATAAAAATTTTCCTGTTTCCTTGGTACAAATCATATTCGTTCGCCATATATTTTTAAACGCCACCTCTGTGTATTAAACTGAACGAAATTGAAATAATTCGTAAAACATTATGTAAATTTTGCTGTCTTGTTGTGTTTATTAATGACTACCGTCGTCAGTCGCCGAATTCTCCTAATCAATATCGGTTTGTTTGCTGAGTGGTAGATAACCAGTAATTCACTGCGAACAATAGACTTGCTACCTATCTTAACGAAAACACAAATTCTTAATAAAATTCCATTGACAGATTTTCCAAAACTAATTTGGCGAAATATCTTTATAATTACCTTGTATATTCTCAGTGAAACAGTTTTCGTTTTTGTGGTAAACTAAAATTCATTAATTTAATAACTTTAAAGTGCTTCCCAAACAACTAATGTTAATGGAAAAACATTTATTTGTTCTTACACATTCTCACAAAAAGCGTTATTTTCTTACTGATTAATAATACAGTGCGATTTTTTAAATTTCTGCTCTAGTTGGCCATTACATGCAAACGACTGACCTAAACGTTATGGCCAGCTAAAGCAGAAATTTGAAAAAATCACCCGATACATTCACACATTTTATTTATCTAATTCTTAATCTTAAGTTATCAATCACCATATTAAATGTTATAAATTTTACTTATAATTAATTGCAAAAAAGGTTATTTAAACAGAACTTCCCTCCTTTCCAAAGTACAGTGCAACAAATGGCGTTGTTTCGAAAAGTTATAAAATTTTATTTTATGAATTTTATTTTATAGTGTTAAAGTACAGGTAAAGATTCCAGAAGCATGCTGTAAGTATGTTTCAGGTGAGTTTTCCACCTCGCCAACATTTTACCAAGGACACTAATATCAATTTGAAATAATAATAATAGAATGAGTCGTTCTCCTCAAATTGGAAAATTTTGTTAAAAAATTGTAATCGCTTCAAAAAATCTGGAAATCTAGAGAAACAAATCAAGACGGATTCAGTTGTATAAAATTTAAATAACGTTTGCTACGCAAAATTTTGAAGTGACGTCATCACATTGTTAGTGGGAATGATTAGACAAAATTTAATGATTAATCCATTCATTTTTCGCCGTCCCGTTTTAACGAGAACATTATTATCAACCATAAAATTTTACGAGGTATAAATGCAACGAACGAAGTATATAACAATCAGTCCAGCAGTTTTGGAAATTGGATACCGGTCTACTAAAACCGCCAACAGACAGGCAGATGACAAACAGACGGAAACGGACGATCGCTTCCTAAATGAGCTTTATTTTAGCTTACCTTCGGAGGTAAAAATATGATACACAATTAAACCCTATTACTCAAAATAAACAGTGAACTTTTTATTGAAAGAGCGATAAAACTAATACTGATTTTCCAATCTGCCAAGAATTAATACGTTATAAATTTTCCTGCTAACGAAAATTGCACTGATAAAGAACTCTAAAAAATCTAGTCTATGAATTAGTGTGTATTTAAAATTTCACCATTTTTAACAGATTATAATTATAATTAGGGCAAACAAAAATTATAATAATACCTGGTTAAGCAGTCTAGAAACTATTTTTTTTGTATCAGACAGCTGATTAAATTCATGCAGTAATACTTAAGCTTTTAATCCAACATTACGCAGTAATTATAATAGTAATAGTAAAGTGTTCAATTTGGACCGATTTAGAAATCTGTGTTTATTTTACAAAAAAAAAACTCTTACCTCATAATTATTGTTTATCACAATTTTAAAATTATATTATTAAGATTTGTGTTACACACTTTTTGCATCATTTTAATTTACCAATCACACCAGCGTATTACTAATTTTTTTTTGTAGCTAAAACCACATTTTTTTTAATTAAAATTCGGCTTTTTTTACACGTTTTTTTTTCGTTCTGATATTTCCTTAAATTACTGGAAACATCCAACGATGAAATAAATGCATGTATTAAAAAAAAATGTTGCTACATACACTCTTATTAAGGGATGATATAAATTGTGTTATAGTTGGCGCGCGATAATCACATATCTTTGTAGATTTCAACTGCCTAATTCAAGTATTAGACCCACCATTGCAATCTAAAATTTTATTGTTAGTAACAATACCAAAATTTGTAGTATCTAAGGTGACGTTGAGTTTTGTACTCGTCTTTTATTTTATCTTATATCTACTACTCATTGTCGTATAAATCTATCTGTCAAGGAGTGATTCTCATCATCGTATTTTTCCGCATTAATTTATTTTTTAGGATTCTTTTAAGATAATTTCTATAAATAAACCTGTACTTTTTTACCCTTTGTATATGTATTTCTTCATTTTTCTTTTTGTATATTCTCACAAATCATACCGAAACAAACAACTCTTCCATATACAATAAAATTTTTATCGTTGCTTGATAATATATTTAAAATAAATAAATAAATTATTCACTTTCACTAAAACTAATTCCTAACATTATCAAAAATCCTAACAAAATAGCAAAAAACTGTTTGATTCCCGTTTTCCTTTCCTCTCTCAATATTTCGAAAAAAACAACATAAAGTAGGGTGCCAGAAGCCAGACCTTGTAATATCACAGACAATAACGCAGTTGAAGACTGTTCTTCTTCAGTAATCGCAATTCCAATTCCAATCCCCATCGGACTTACCACAGCAAACGTAAACACATAAATAACGACTAACAGTGTTCTCATTCCAGAAGTTACCAGCTCAACACCAATACAGAAGGCTATTACGAGTTTATGGGCACTTACAGCCCCAAACATATACCATACATGAGAACTAGACGACTCTAATCCGACCGCTAAACCTTCAAACAGTTCATGTATTGATAGCGCGAGCACTACAAGTAATCCTCTTATTGTCACAACTGTGGAATTTTCGATAATCATATGACTGTGACCTTCGTGACTATGGTCAATATGGTGGTGATATTCTGGGTTAGGATTTTCTAAAGACGGCACCAACTTTTCATCAGAACTAGAAGATAACTGACCTCGGCTAACAGAAATGCTGCTCCTTGCCGACTTCAAGTGATGGCGATTCTCTTTTTTGTGCAGGTAGACGTGAACACACTCTTCGACAAAATACATGGTGAAGAATCCTATGCACATCAAAAATTCGGCAAAGGGAAGTTTCGTGTCCGGGAAGTCTTGCAATTCTTCTAGGTTTTCGGCTACTTCTGGGAGAAGATGAATGAAAGTGGTGCATAGCAGCACCCCACCACCCAGACAGAGCAGTAGTTGGACGTAAGTGTTGTTTTTGGCATTGGTTTTCCATTGAAACCAATGAGACAGTTTTATGGGAAGGGTGCCTAAAAGCATCGATGAGAGGAAAAGAACACACATAGCCACTGCTTTTGCAGTGACTGTGTCGCTGCTTTCGTTCGTTGATGACATCGCTGTAAGAAATCTGTAGGAGAATGGGTTAAGGTGATATATATTTATCGCTGGGTATCTAATACTTACGTACTATTGGCTTAACACGCTGTTGGAATTTAGATCAGTAGTTGATATGGAATGAGAGTTTCCACTAAATTGAACGACTTATATAGCTGGGAGAGGGGAAGTGCATTATTAAAAAAAGAGATAATATTAAAACAATATACTCTAACTTCCACAAACACAGACTGTTAAATGCAAATAAGTAATTTGATAAGTGGGATTCACCTTAACATCAGCGTTGTTATTGCTAATTTTAATTGTCGTTTTATAAACATGTGCATTTTGACAAAATTAATTAATAATAAACCAGATAAAATATTTCCTTGTACAGGTAGTAAAGAAAAACTGAAAATTTAGTTGAAGGGTGTCCTTAAGAACATATTTCGTTCTGTCTGAATGCTGTTGTTACACTTTAAGTTTCAGTGTTTTGTGGCTATAAAATAAATTAAAAATGTAACTTAATAAGTCTACGACCTCAATAGTAGCATACATATTTTTCACATATTTTAATGACAACAATGGCATTATAATACGTGGAATAAAGACATTCTCTTTGAAATCTTTGCTGGTCGTTGATAAAAATGCTGAACAGAAGACACTGGATTACGATGTCAAAGTTTTAATTGATGTGAATTCACAAACTGATTAAATGTAGATAATCCCCAAAAAAATATAGATGAGTGTCTAACACAATATTGCTAAAAAATATTCACTTACAATGATGATGTATTACATGCATAAATGCATGTACTTCAAATTTTTTGTTAAAATTGGACAAAAATCTGAAAATAAATATTTTAGCTGTTGCAGCTTAGTCATCAATTTTGCTTAATTTTGATTGTAATTCTAAACTGTTAACTGAATTAAATTCACTCAGATCGAATTTTTCGTTGCTTTATATTAATGAATGTACCTACCAACAGAAAACGTTAAAATGTATATATAATCTACGATTTTATTGTTATTATTAAGTAAAATACACTGCCGATCTGACACAAAGGTTATACTTTTCAGGAAGTGTTTGACATTGTTTAGCTCTATTTTGTAATACTGGGTGATTCAGATAAACTTTATACGCCTCGTTATTCTAAGACCTGCTTGATTAAAATTCAACTGCAGCACTGCAGCACCCAGTATTTCTTCGTAATATAAAAAAGTTTAAGACGCCATTTTTTAAATTCAAGTATGAAATAAAAAAATATATGAAAAATCAGGGACCGTTTCTCGGCGAAAGTTATAACTCGCTGTGCTTTTTAAAAAATACCAATATATTCTAATTTAGACTATGTTTTTAATTTTCTCTTAAAATTGTAACTTTTTTAGTTATTGTAAAAAAAAAACAAAGTGCTTTTGGGGCAATCTCAGAATACGAGTTCCTGCACAGAGTGGGATATTGCATCCCCATTTCAAAGAACTTTTTAGTTCTGGTATTAGTTATATAACCTACATTATATAGTAAAACTTATGAACCGGAAAATCCAAAGCAATGATAATCTGATAAAATTAGCAACTATTACAACGACTTCAAGAAATGACTAATAAATAATCCTATTTATAACAAGTTTTGCGAAATCTCAGACAAATAACAGTTTTATTATTATTGTCCCAGTTATAGGCCGAGGAACTTCACACATTACGTTATAAGAGAATTATAAGTCACAGGGATAATGGTAATAGTGTAATAGAAAATCCGGGTTGCAAAAAAAATGAATAGAGAAATCACTTATCTACTTATTGTACTGAAATTAAAGAAATAGCAAAATCACCAAAAGCAGATATCAAATTTAATAATTTCTTAGAAATAATGTTGTAAAATTTAGAATAGCTACTGTGCTATCAAATTACGTAAAATGAGAAAAGTATATTAAATAAAAAAATTGGTCTAAAGAGTTTAGACAGTACTTCCCTCGCTGTCGGAAACTTGACGACTGCATGCCTATTGTGTTTTTTTTCTCATTACATTTTTGTAGTGGGAATTTAAAAAAAAATTGCGATGACGTCATCAACATTTTTGCAAGGACACGTATATCAGTTGGGATAGATGTAGTGTAATACTAAGAATAAAATTATTATATTCTCAAATTTTCGGGAAAATGAATTGGGTCGTTTTGAATATTGATTTGTAATAATCAATAAAATAACGAAACAATTTACTCACGTATACCTACGTATCAGAGGCAACTGAAAATCGTGTATGTATAAACATTCGTAATTTAAGATGACAGGCGTAACAGCATACGTGAGAGTCAAACAGAGAAACTGTAAACAAAACGACCATCGGTTTTATTGCTTCGACTTCCGCTTATTATATAAAACATTGGGTTTTATTTTAATTCTTGACGGTGAAATTCACAATTGGTTGATTATAAACATGTCTATTTCATATTCGCGGAACCAAGTGAACGCATAAAACAAATGCAGGTCTGTAATGTTAAAGTCGATGTAAATAAGCGTGCTACCCTTATGTTTCAACCCAGTTTTTCCTTTAACAAATTTTGTGTCTACCAAATAGGGTTGGTTGGGGTGTAATACTAATAATAAGTGTTGCCTTTAATTTAATCAATAAAATAAATTGACTTCATTAATTTTTTTGAACCACCTCTTAAGAAAATCTAAAAAATATGAATGGAATGATAAATCACAAGTACAAACTCATCATATTTTTTGCATTTTAGATAGGATTTATTCAGCAAAATTTAAGGGTGACGTCATCAATTTTTTTAGGAGGGATGAACAAATACATTTTGAACAAAAGTTTACCATACTTATAATAACTTTAAAATATTCCCAAGATTTCAAAGCATTCGGTTTTGTAATTCCTGATTAAATCGATAAAATAAATTCACGCCTTCATTATTTTTTTTGAGTCACCCTGCATATGCAAATCCAAAAATATGAATGGAATGATAAATCACAAGTACAGACTCATCATATTTTGTACATTTTAGATACGATTTATTCGGCAAACTTTTGAGCTGACGTCATCAGTTTTTTGTAGAAGATAACCAAATATATTTTGACTAAAAATTTATTATGCTCTTTATAGCCTTAAAACATCTGCAACATTTCAAAGCATTCTGGTTAGCAGATTAAAAATTAAATTTCAAAATGTTGTTTTATAATTTTGATTTTTTTTCCAAAAATCTGGACGTTTCGGGTGAAAAGTCGATTCAGAGTTGTAAACTACATGTGTAGGACTATGTTATTTTATACAATTGAAAACCCATTTACTATGTACAATTTTGAAGTGACGTCATCGCATTAGTGGTGGGGATGATTAGACAAATTTTGGTTAGCGTTTTACCATCTACATGATATTCTTAATATAAGTACAAAATTTCACAACAATCCGTCGAGTACTTTCGGAGATTATCTGTCTAATAAAATCCGGGACAACAGACGGACAGACGGACAGACGGACGGACAGACGGACAGACAGACGGAAATGGGAGACCTATTTCTTCGTCTTCTAGGGGTCATGAAAGATCGAGAAAACGTAAAAGTAGAGAGTCGGCCGACGGACTCGATTACAATACTTCCTTTGCTTACGCTCGGGAAGTAAAAATTGAAAATTTTAAAAAGGATATTTTAAATTCATATATATTTGACAATTACGAACATTGTGCAAGCTATTTTTGTGAAATATTTTATGTTTTGTATTGATGTTTTCATCAGTTTTATTCTTTGGTTCTCTCTAATATATCAAAATTTTCCGTCGAAATAATCTATTATAAAGTAAATGTTATTTTCTTTCTATTAAAATAACTGTCGATGGTGTAAATGATGATCAAAATTGCAACATAAATTTCATTTTGAAAACTGCGTCAAAACTAAACTTACTAATTGTTTTAAGTTAAAAATATGTAATCAAATAAAGAATATTCTTGAAATAGCTGAAGTAATTATTACCAAACACAGCTAAAAACCATCTCGATTAAACCAGCTTTCAAAACAAAAACACATTGAAATCGTTTCATCAGCTACTGTGCCACAGATACACAAGCAGACATTTTCAAAACAAAGTTATAACAGCTCTCCTTTTCACCAGAGGTTCTCTGTTACAAATTTAACATGCACTTAAACTCAATCATATGGAGTGGAAAGTAATGTTTCATTAGAAACGAGCTTTTTTTGTTGGTTTGAATTTGATCCAGGATGAAAAATGTTTATACGGTCAGCAAATACACATGCACTTTTAAGTCTTTTGTTTTCCACTAAAGTGCAGTAGTATTGCACAACTTGGTAATTAGTAGGTCATTTGGCTCGCGTGATTAACCTTGTACCTACTGATATCTTTTATCTCTTTTATTGTGAAAAATTTGAGTAGGTAAGTACACTTAAGTAGGCATGTTGTTCAGGTGTGAAATGGATCTCAATTGATAAAAAAACCTGGGCGTCATAATTTTAAATGACTTAGGTAAGTGACTTAGATTATACCGTATCTCTGACTTGTTTGTCCATGTTCGGAATGATGTGATTTCCGATACGATGAATATATGTGTAAGCTGTACCCATTGTATTAATTTTTTCGAGACTTTTCTACAAAGATAAGACGTATGACTTAAGTAATGTAGTTGGACATGACGCTTACGTCAACCGTTTCAATTGCTGTGCTGACGTATAGTAGCTGTCACAATAAGCTGAACGCCTCAAGCGCTGAATAAACCCCTAACCACGGCTTATAGATGCCATAAATTTGGGCCGAATGCCGCGTACCATTCAGTTAGTACTTAAATAAGAGCTATGCTGTGCCCAAACAGTGGAGAGTAATAAAAATTACAACCATCCTAATCACTTCAATGACTGGCAGCACGACCGCGCCCCAGGCAGCCTTCGGTCTAATTTGACGGCCACAATACGCATCATGGCCAACTAGAGCAGAAATTTAAAAAATAATAGGGTACCCACATATTATTAAAAATTTTAATAATTTTTTATTAATCAACTATTGCTTCTGCACTATTCGAAAGAAAAGTACAACTGAAGCGATTAATATATAATTATTACACTTTATATATATTATTAATATTATTGTTATTAAATATGCCAGCCAACAGGTTTTCACCCAATTACAAGCCGGCTTATAACAAAAAAATATTAGAAAATTATCGTCTAACACAGTAAGCAGCTATTATATTATTGCATATCCCAGAAAGGTGAGTTAAAGCGAAATAAAGAAATAAATGGATAAACAAATTTTTTCACTAGCAGCCATCAAGCATGCAAATGTCGACTCATTTAGTGGTAGCAAATTCAACTTTTGCGACCACCGGTTCAAAAAGAAAAATTGAGGTTATGTACGCAATGTTTGATGTGATTATTTCTTAAAAAATGAACAAATGTGTGCTACAAACATTACTTGAGTATACATATGGTAGTTGGTAGACGGTAGAAGATAAAATGATTAACTCAGCGACAAGTATAAACGGTTTTCTTTGTGTTGAAGATTTAGATTAAGTTTGATTAGAAATCAAAACAAAATCATGTTGCGTCAAAAAATTGAACGTTTATTTTTTCAGTTTATTGTCTTATGGTTTCTACTAATGAAAAAAATAGTATATTAACCACGATTGCAAAGCCACTTCTAGACCTCGCGCTTCAGAGCCCTCGACGCTGCGCGTCTCGGGTTCTAATTTGCGCTCGGTCTAGAATGCTTGGCTCTGCAACCTTGGCTAATAATATACTATTTTCTACTCACTATATAGAAAATGTGATTTTCTTCCCTCATTTAAGGGTACAAAGTGTCACTTTACCTCCCGGCGGGAGGTAAACTATTTTGGCTCCCGCCGGAAGCTAAATTACATTTTTGTCAAAAATGACATTTATAAAAATATAAAGTCACTAGATAGATCTATCTAGTGACTTTATAAAAATATAAACCATCTCGCCATCTCGTGGCTGTCGGTATTATAGATTCCTTCAGTAAACGTCGAGTCCCGAAACTGTCACTTCATTTCTTGCCATTTCGGAAAATATTTTTAAAATGAAATATTTTTTAAAATAAACTCAATGTCGGGGAAAAAATTGAATCCAATTTTCGTGCGTTAGGCATTTTGCAGGTTTCGGTCCCATGCCACCCTCCGCTTCGCGTCGGGTGGCAAATTAGGAGCTCAACCTGCAAAATGTTACCTACCGCACTCATAATGTAAATAACTATTTCATTTAAATTTTTATAAAATTGATTTTAAACGTTCGTTCGAAGAAAAAATTATATATATATCACTTGACCAAAGTGCCATTTCCTTCCTCGGATTCTTAAGGCCCTCCGCTATGCGTCGGGGCTCAACCTGAATCCGCGGGAGGAAATGTTTCACTTTGCTCCCTTGATATATAATAGTACATTATGGAACTAGTGGATGAAGTTGAATTTCAACGGCGAGAGTGATTTTTTCACACGAGCGAGTGCAACGAGCGAGTGCGAAAAAGAAACTCGAGCCGTTGAAATTTCTTCATCCGCGAGTTGCATATACTATTTTTTCTAAGAAATTAGGAAATAAATGTTTGTTTATGGTAGGTATTTTATTTTTGAAATACATTAACTGTAATAGAACAATTTGTGCAATTATCACCAATAATATTTACACTTTTATCGTAAGTATTATTTGAACTTGTATCTTTGTTTAAACTTAGTTGGCTGCTTCCTGTATCAATAACTGCACTTGTATCAGATTCGAAAATGCCGCATTGGCAGCATTCAAAATTTCTTCAAAAACTTCGTCAGTCTCACTCATGTTCATTGTTTTCACTTGTGTAAACTAGCAGTATTAAACGTCAAACACTAACGGGTCGTCCAGCCTAGGCGTCATGATTTTCGAAGCGCGCGAAGCGGACGGTGCGGTCGGTGCAGGCGATACGCGACACGTTTCGCTAGCTGCGAAACGCTCAGGCTGGACGACCCGTTAAAATCGTAGACGGCCGAGTATTTTTCCACTAGAGGGTGAAATGAAATTTCATCCACTGCCAGCGATGGGAAAATGACAAACTTCAACCTTAATGAGTAGAAAAATAACTATTATCTAAATGGTTCGAAATTATCATGGTACTTAGAACACATTTCATACAAGGGAAAAAATTTTTGAAATTAATACCTGGTGTTGCCAAATAAAATAGTTGATGGTAACGAGAAGAACATTTAGCTATGCCAAAACACATCTGATTTAGCAGTTGTGAACAATCGATCTTAGGGTAAATATTTTTTTAAGAAAAAACAATGAAGCTTTAACACGCCTAGATTGTAAAGTATCAAAGCCAAATCTTTGCAAGAGTTCGGACTGAGGAGTTCCTCTGACAGGATAAACACCATCGACCTTGTACGTTAAAAAATTCAGAAAACGTCTTTGAATTTTTTCAAGGGCATCAACATAAATTTGAGACGACGGAGCCCACACGATGCTTGCATACTCTAATTTGGATCTTACAAAAGCACAGTACAAATTACAAAGAGTGTTGATATTAAAGCAGCTACTATATAGACCTAATTATAAAACCAAGATTTTTAAAAGCTTCTGTGACTATGTTTCCAATGTGGTAAAAAAAGGTAAATTTGGCATTGAAAATAATTCTCAAGTCTTTAAATGAATCAACTCTTAATAACACAAATGCATCGGCGGTATAGTCATAAGATATTTTATAATTCTTATTTGTCACTGACATAATGCGGCATTATTATTATAATTACAGGTAAATTGTTAGATCTACTCCACTCCAAAAAGGTGTTAATATCGTCCTAGAGTTGCAGACAATCATTTACAGAGGAAATACGCCGGAAAATCTTGAAATCATCTGCATACATCAAATCTTCAGATTTAATATCCTTAACAATATCGTTTATAAAAACATCGAAAAGAAGAAGGCCTAAAATCGATCCCTGGGAAACGCCTGAAGTTACCGAGATCCTATCGGACTCATAAGCATAATGTTTAACATACTGAAATCTTGATGACAAATAAGAATAAATTAACTGAACCAGATGTCCTGACAGACCAATATTCAGTAACTTCACCAGCAATATCTCGTTACTCAGCTTGTCGAAAGCTTTCGAAAAGTCCGTATAGATTACGTCGACTTGATGTTTATTATCAAAGCTGTTGGACACAAATTGAGTGAAGTAGTTCTTAAGGCATGGGCGATATCTTCATTGGCCAGGTTATCTCACTGTTGAATACTCGTTGGTACTCTTGCAGTCTTTTAGTTCATGAACTACCTACCAAACATCGGGGACAAGAAAAGCTCTTCTTCCAAGTTATGCTGGAATGGTTAAAACCATTGCATTTGCAGTACCGGATAATATCCACAACATCATAGATATTGCGGCTGTCCAGTCCTATCAGACAATGACCGCATTTTAAAGTGTTTTTATATGAGATAATGTCAACTTGCAAGACTGCTTGAAAATAATCTTGACGATTCTTGATGGGCGCAAATTTTAAGAGAGTGCACTGTGCTGATTCCGCCAAAATATGTTTGTTTTGTTTTAACAAGTAAGAGATCGCCGTTTGTTCAGTTATATCTTTGGATTTACCCCCGCGATACGAATTCATTGTAACGGAGATTTACGTCCTGTATATCATATTTATCCTTAAGTTTTAACTCGTGTGCTAGTTTCTTAAATTCTGTTGGATTATGACATTTTAAAAGTACACCACCATTCTTTATTAATGTGTTTAACTTGCGCAATTCCAAGTTCTTCAGTATTATCAGGGTTAATTAATAGACGACAACTGCAAGTGTACTTTTAAGAGTAGCAGCATAAGTCAAACCAACTTCATTAGAAACATCATTTCCACCGTGGCGGTTAAGATTAGGATTTTGCTGCGTTACTTACTCTTTTAATTTAGATTATTGGGCAGATGTTTTCTGCATTTTTATAATTTGTTATAAACTATAAATAGTTAATTTCTGTAATCAGTGCCGACTGGTCAGACAAACTTATATAGGCTTGTACCAAGAGATCAATAAAAAACACGATTGGATTTTTGAAAGTTTGTATTTGTTAACTCAAACTTTTTAATCGACGATAATCTGACAATTCTATCAAAGACAAATCTTCTGCAATCCATGGCTATGTTTAATCGTGTTTTTTATTAGTCTCTCGGTGCTTATATGCAATTTACTAATTAATATGTTCAAACGTATTCACTATTCTGGTTGATTATTATTATTATTTTGCTTGTAAAAGTTTTTCAACGAATATAACTGACAATTTTTTTTTGTTTCATTTCGCCAGAATTTAATGTCTACGTAGTATTAATTTTGTAAATATGTACTTATTAACTTTTATACGATTCACTTTCAGCTGTAAATGACTTTACGTTGGTATGCAACCCTTAATTCTCTACCTGTAACGTGGGTGGCATATCTATCAAATATCAACTAGAGAATTTAAATTTGCGTTCTATTTCGCTTTGTGATGTTTTGTGACTGTTGTACAGCAGTTTAATATCTAACAAATACAAAAAATGGAAAAAAAACCTAAAGAAGCTGAAAACCCAAATGACGAACAAACTCTCAAGAAAGGCCGTCATCGGAAAAAACAACTGTACAATTCGATTTTGCAGCAAATGGAGTTCTATTTTAGTGATTCTAACCTCACAAAAGACCGCTTTCTTTCACAATTACTGCAACAAAGTCACTGTACGAACAGTCCTACTTTGGTATTTATTCTTAATTGATTAATGTTTCTTTTTCAGATGTGGAATTGAATGTGTTTCTCAAATTTAACAAAATCAGGAAACTTACATCAAGTGTCGAGGATATTCAAAAAGCTGTAAAGAACTCAAAACTGATTGAACTCTCAGAAGACAAGAATAGCATATGTCGGAAAGAACCAATTAAAGAGAAGACAAATGTTGACGAGTGCACAGTTTATGTGGAACGGTTGAAATCAGATGCCACTCATGAGTGGCTTCAATCAGTCTTCTCTGAATTTGGTAATGTCGTTTATACTTCCCTTCCAAAGTACAAAAACAGTAAAGGTATAAAAGGGTTTGCTTTTATTGAGTTTGAGAAAGAATCAGAAGCAGAGAAGGCTTTAACTTATTTTGAAAGTATTGGTTGTAAAATGCCTTCAAGTACAGAGCCTGAACAGTTGTGTAGTATTACTACATTTGAAGGCGCAAAAGAACGTGAGTTTACAAAGAAGGGGCTTCAAAGTTTGTCAAATAACACACATTCAGATGAATCTGAAATGAAAGAAGTTCAGAATGCATCAAATAAAAGAAAATTCCAAGAAACTGATGAAAGTATAAATGGTGGTAAAAAAGGGAAACGATTTTCTGATTTGGATGCGTCTGAAGGTGCTAATGACAATGAATTGAAACAACATTCTAAAAAAAAGAAATTAGAAGAAATGGAAGATAACAATGAAAATGATGAGGGTGCGAAAAAATTAAAGAGTGAAGCTGGTGAGATATCAGAATCAGAGGACACAGAAAACAGAAAAAAGAAAAAACTCAAAAAGGAACATAAAAAAAAGAATTATATTAAAGAGCTTGGTCTGCAAGTTTTATCAAAGTACGTGTGGTCGAAATTATATAATTATCTGATAAATATCTAATTGTTTTAGGAAAGAATGGAAGAGAATGAGAAATCGTTATTTAGATTTGCAGAAGAAAAAGATGAAAGAATTTAAGCAACACCTACATAAAATGAAATATGGTAATACGAATTATGGAGATAGACAAAATAAACCAAATGAGGCACCAGAAGAAAAAAAAGAACAGCCTTTGCCTAATAATGAGTTTGTGAAAGGTCTTATAGTGAAGATTAAATTGACTGAACCAATTGCAGATCCTAAAAAGATAAAGGTATAAATTTTCAATAATTTTTTACTTGAAAAAAAATATTATATTAAACATTTTTTTACAGAATGAAATTAGGTCTTTATCAACTGATATAAAGTATGTAGATGTACCAAATATAGGGAGTGAAGACATTTATGTCAGATTTGAGAACGATAAGAGTGCGAAAAATTTTTTTGCTCAGGAATTTGCTGGTAAAAAGGAAATTTTAACAGGCGAAGAAGAAACAGTTTACTGGGAAAAAATTCAAGCAAGTCGGGATGAGAAATTCAGTAAAACTAAGAAGAAACAACGTGGCAGGGACAAACTGTTAAAAAAAGCAAAACATATAAAGTTTGATGAGTAGTATTATGTACAGAATATGTGCAAACATCGTTCTCTGTTTTCATTTAAGTTTACAATAAATTCATATAAAAATATTCTATCAAAATTATGGTTTTATTTATTAAAAACCTTACAAATATTGACAACAGTCTCCAATCACACATAAAAAGCATACAAACATGTTAATCGTGGTAAAATGTTTGACATATTTTCACTACCACCTTTTACCACCTCCGCCTCCTCGTCCACCACCACCCCAGCCGCCTCTAAATCCACCCCCGCGGCCACCACGACCTCCAAAACTTCCTCCGCCTCCTCCTCTTCCTCCAAATCCACCACGATTACCGCCTCTTCCGCCGCCGCCACCACGTCCTCCGCGACCGCCACCTCTTCCACCTCGCTTCTGCACTGAACCAGGTTGTTTGGGTAAAAACCTCTGCAAAGGAAGCAACTTTGCCGGATCTATAAACAACTGCAAACAAAATAATTAACACTTCTCCACACATAAACTACTCAGTATTACTTTCTGATTCTTCTTGAAACTATTAGCTTTTACATCTTCTCCAAGCCGAATCGTGACATAGTAATCCCTTAAATTTCCAAAAATTTCATCAATCTTGCCTATTTGCTCCTTATTTTCTAAATAAATTGGGGCGTTGAAAAAAGGAACGTCTTCAATTTCCACTTTAGCAACTAAATCGTCTTGCACTGTGTAATCAAAGTAGCCTAGAGGAATGACTCTTTCTGGGGGCCCTTGATCGAAGTTCCTGCCTCCTCCTCGACCCCCAAAACCGCCTCTACCGCCGCCAAAACCGCGGCCGCCGCCGCCACCTCCAAAACTATTTCTTCCTCCGCCACCTCCTCGGCCGCCAAAGCCACGTCCGCCGCCGCCACCTCCGCGACCTCGAAACGACATCTTTTAAATGGTATTCACCGGTTGATCACGAATTCAGCTGCAACACGTGCCGAACTTTCCAAACACTTTCCAAACATAACCAACACAACGCATGTTTGAACAGTCGAGTGACATTTTAGTGATAAATTAAAATCCCCAAAAACTTTGAAAATTAATTTATTTTTATTAATAAGACTAATTACAACAAGACAACACAACAAGCACAAAATTACATTTTCCGGTGATTTGTCATTAACGCGTTTCATTAATGCATGATTTCTCTCTACAAATCATTCATTAATAAGGGCTATTAACGAATCATTTAATTGCTTTGATATAGGCAACCAGATATACATTTGACATTTACACCAACTAGATTTTCAAAATTTTAAATTTAAATATGATAAATTTAAAATAGTGCTTCATCAAAAATGGATGAGTACGAAGGTTTAACTCCCCCAGAAGTTGCGAAGACCGCAAATGTGGTGTCATTAGGTTTATTACCGGAAAAGAGTAGAATATTGTACGAAAAAACATACTGCGAATTTATAGTGTGGTGCGGGGAAAAACAAGTGTATATTTGGTTGCATAATTTCACTAAATTTAAATTTTTAAATAACTATAAAAAATTTATTTACGATCACCGAAAAAGCATTGTAACCAACACATTTGTTAAAACGCGATTAATAATCTCGAACATTAACGCGCTCGTTCCTCGCGCGTTAAAATATCTCGATTATTAATCGCCTTTATTAATAAACTTGTTGGTTAAATCGCTATTTGTACAAGTTTCTCAAGTTTACTCTAAAGGTTTCCTATAAACAGATCATGATTAACTACTGTAGCAACCAAACCCTTTTCGTTTTGAATTTTAGTTTCATCTTTGTCAGCTCATCATACTTTGTTGTCATTTTACCTTTCATTGCATTTATGCATGCATTTATGATTGCGTTTCCCGCACAAATGTTTCATTTTTTGATCGCGGTTATATGAACATAGGCATCCGCATTTCCCATTGCGACCTCTAGTGATTTATAACCTAGATTATTTGATCAATATTTAATCAAAAACATGTATTTTCAATTACCTGCACAAGTTGCTGAAATTAATTCAAATTTTTGGAAATTTTTGTTGAGAATTTTTTTGATTTCACCACTGTGCAACATTGACACAATATTCTTCAAAGTGTCCCTCTCAGGTTTCTAAAACAACGTACTCTTTTTTTAATTTGATGTTATCTAACACTCCTACCACATATTCTAAGTTACTAGACTTGGCGGTGTCCACCCACGCCCAGAAAGTCCGTGACTGACTTTCCAGAAAAGGTTTATGTCTGACACCGATCACAGGTTGGCCTTTTACAGCAACACATACCATTCTGTCACATACTGATACAGTTTTCCTACGTAAAGAAAGCATTAATTCTTTAAAATAACATAATCTTCAATGTACCAGTGTACTCGTATGTGGCATCTAAAGGGTCTATCCACACTGCAACATCTTTAATATCCGTCCAGGAATCATCTAGTGTTGTAGGAACTTCAACTTCAAGAAAATCAACTTTTTGATCTTCATCACATTCAGCTTTTTTCTCTTCTGAGATTACATTAAGTGTGGGATATGCATGTTTCAATGTTTTCATTATGGCACAGTATGACAAATAGTCTGCTGTCGTAACACTATCTTGCATGCCCTCTTTGGTAAGTCCCATTGTTTCAATTTTTAGGTTGTCTTTGTTGGAAACAACTTCTTTCCCGCCATTTTCGGCTGCGTTTATTGCCACTTTTAATAAGAGATTCTTTAAATTTATTTTAACAGACGATGGTAGTAAGAAGGCCCCTTCAGAACACTTTATTTTTTTTTTTATCATTTTGCTCTGTTTTTTAACGGCCTTTTTAAAATTAACATTTTTCAAAGATTTTTAAACTGTTTTGAATTTTGTACTAGTAAGGCCCCCTCAGCACACATCATTTTTTATGGAATCTACCCCGTTTTTCACAGTACCTTTAAAAAAAGTTAAAATTTTAAGGAAACTGTCTTGTTTTTCTGTTGGGACACTTCAGCACTAAAATGAATACGATTTCAGGCAAACAAATTCACCTTTGAAAACACTTAAAATTGGCCTTTTTGCCTTGTTTTTTGTTGGGTCAAGTCAGTGAAACGTTTGTTATTGTGATTCCTCTATAATAATAATAAAATTCCAACAGCCCCTTCAGAACGCTTTGTTTTTTAAGCATTTCACCCGTGTTTTTAAAGTATACTTTAAAATTAACATTTTTCAAGGATCTGACCTTGTTTTGAAGTTTGTACAGCCCTGTCTTTTAAGGTATCTTAAAAAGAGTTAAAATGTCAACCCTTTCAAACTGGTTTTACAACTATATAAAATCTGGTCAAGTAAGCCCAGAGACAATGTTAGAGCTAGTGTGTTAAGGCTTTTCCCTAGCAATCCTGTTTATGGGTCTATTCATTAAAACAATCAAACATTTTTAGACTTCACTGAGCAAAATTTAAACAAATTTTAAGAAAAATTATTTGATTTCTCAATCATCACTACCATCGGATTCACTGGAACTGGACCTAAAATTACAAGATCTAAATAGAAACAACAGTTAAACCAATCTTACTGCGGATCTAAGTCCCCTAAGGCCTGCGTGAAACGCAGTCTTTCTTGCATTGTTGCAAATGTAATGGTGATATTCATAAGATCATTGATGCGGAGTAGAATTTCTCTTTCTCCCATTAAAACTAATTTCTGCAGAGGCAGCTTATAATTCTCCTTGGGTGGATTTAAAGGCGTTATAGTTATTCGTCTTGTAGACACTTTTACACTTTTTTCGACCTCTTCGAAATTACAGAGGATAAGCGCTTTAGTAGCGAACGGCATAATCATGCGTTTTTGTTTAAGAGCAAACTGAAATAATCTCAGTTCTTCTATACGTGCATTTTTTACTCCAAAACGTTTTTACTCTATGGTAAATGATAAGCAAATATGTACAAGACAGAGTCGATTTGAAAAAAGGCTAATAAATGATAATTTCAATAATCTTTATCTAATAGTATCAATTTTATTATTCTCATATATCCTTTACGGATAAAGTAAAATAGATCGAGATAAATAGTAGGATCTTTGAAACAATTTTTAAATTTAAAAATAACTTCTTCTTTCATTGGATAATTAAATTTAATACTGTGGAAATTCCGCTGTTTGCTGTTTGAACAACAAACTAACGAGCCTATTTTTGTTGTCTGGAAAAATGCGTATCGACCAATGAGAATGCTTCGTAGCAGAGGGTGTGGCTATTTTAACACATGATTAGAGAGCGGATTTCTGTCGGGCTAGACAAGGCCAAACTCGGTACGGCTCGTACGGGATGGGAATTTATTGCAGGTACCGGCTGCACTTCGTTTATTTGAGATTAGAATAACGCTGCTTCGTTGCACTCTGCTGTTAATTCCAGTTCTCATTTACTTAGCCGTTTGATTAATAAATCGTTAATTGTATTTATGGAATCAAATGACAATTAAATGCAGTGATTACCTATCACCCGCTACTGAGTCCCGGCGATGCAGCGCGTCCCCACCTATATCGTGACGTAGCCCGACAGAAATCCGCTGTCTACACATGATACAAGTAAATATGGTATGGACATCCCATGAACCAAAACTCATCTTCTTCTGCGCAACGTTATCTGACGTCATGTGGAATGAATGACCTTCCACTTCTGTGTTGACATCTGATGTCAAATATCAATTTTAAGGGTTATGAGGCAGTTATGAGTTTTTGTGGTTATGAGGGTTATTGTTTATTGTTACCAAACTGATGCGTAAAAACAAATTGGTGGTTTGCTAGCGACCTAGCGTTGTTAAAAAAATAGCGGGGATGATAGCAAATAATAAGAAAATATGTATATTTCAGCCGAAGATACTCTGCAGAATAAAAATTGTGAAACATTGCAAATTGTTTTTACACTGATTGTGAATAGTAATAATAATTGTACAAAGAATCTCGTACATTTGGTAAGTACTAACCAATAATTGTCGTCAATTGCCTTGGTGGTAACACGTCTTCCACGACTGTTTGCTGGTTACCGGTGACACTTTCTCGTTGAATAGGGCTGGAGTTACTTTGGGACTGGAATAGTGTTCTTTCTGGTCCGTTAACTCAATAATTCTAGTACAGTCTGTCGTAACCTCAAATCGTAAACACATCAACCTTTCGTTGACAGATAGCGAAAATTACTAGCCTCGCGCTATCTTTGTTTAACACATAGGTTAGGTTCCTCTCTGTCGAATTCCGACCACAGGCAGTTTGCCGTACTTTCTAAAAGTAATAGTAGATCTATATTATTTTTCAAAATGGGCGCGAAGGTCAAGGACACGCAAAACCCAAAAATTTACTCTTAACTGTGTAGTTTAGTATTTTTTTACACCTCCTTATTTTACTTTATCGACAATGCAATAGTGCCTGATCTGTCACTTGAGACGTCAAGAACCGCATTAATTTTCAATCGTTTCTATGAACGCGTTCTATCGCAATATTTATGATAGTTTATGCTCGGAGTGGGGAAGTTAGAAGAACAACTTAAAAGCACCCAGCAGAGATCCTAAAAGAACAGATTTATAAATATGCCTAGGATAAATGGTATGGCAGTGACGAGAGCAAGAGGAATTATCCACCTATTTTTCAATATTCCTACCACTGTCAGTATAATCCAATTGAACTGGCCTAGGGACAGTGTAAACTATATTATAATAAACATATTCGGGAACACGCTGGTGCTATTGGCTATTGGTGTTGTACAGTCCCTATGGCGGGAGACCCCTTGCTACAGTAGGTGCAGACAAATAGCAAAATTTTATTAGACATTGTGAACGGCTGACGGGGATGATTGGAAGCGTTTAATGGGTAATGAATCATATGAAGACATACCCCCAATCATAATTTCTCTTGATTCTGATTCTGAATCAGAATGTTTTTCTAATAACTTGTCAGCTTGTCACTTTTTCATTTGGCATTTAATGTCAACAACAATCAGCATTAAAGCCCTCAATGCAAACGGCTCTAAAGTCCTTGTTATGTACTGCAGCAGTGTTGAAAGATAAGAGTGAAAGCAATGTAAATTCTGTGTTTTCTGTTATATACCATACTATTTAGTTACATTTTCTTTTGTTTACAATATTATAGACGTGTACAACAAAACGTGTTGTTTACTGTAATGTCCGCGACCCTACAGTTTTGCGAGGGTTCTGATCTCCGCTAACTACACTGGTAAGTTGTCGACCTTGAAATTTGCTTAAATTTTGAAAAGTGACTTTAGTTGGGCTCGGTAAATATTTCAATTTCCCGCCTGAATACAGCCAGGTGACGTCAGCAAACCTGCGTATGTCCATACCATATTTACTTGTATCATGTTTTAACATGTCTTATTCTAGAGGTATTATGCAACCAGTTATACAATCGGTATGAATTTTTGTTTCCACCAAAAAACAACTAAAAACAACTTAGTTTAAAAATTTATATTAAGTAGATTTGTACTATTTGTGGTAACAAAAAAATATACAACTGATTTTACCTCATTTTGAACTATTTATTCTTGTTCTTGCAGACGATCTCGGAACAGTTCGACAGATGTCGTTTATTTTCGCTCTTGGTCATTGTCATTTGTCAAAGTATTTTGTTTGATCTTTCGATTTAAGCAAGCAGGAGGGTATTCTATTAGCTGTGTCTATTAGTATTGCATTGGATTGAGGAGGATCATCTTGTTATCACAGGCATCCAACCATTCTGCTACAGTTCTATAGATTGGTAAGTGGATTTTTTCTTTCTTTGTCGTACTCATACTAATTTTATGTTTACGCATTGTTTGCTAAAGTCACAGTTTTTGTTTTTATTTTTTTGGAACCCTGCTCTGTTTTCCGCAAGATCATAATACACCGGATACCTAAACCCCATTCCAAATCTATATAGTTGACAGTCAAATTAAAGAATATTAAAGTGTAAACGAACGATAATATCCTTAATATACAATAGTTTAAGATTTAAATTTATTGAGGGTGTAAAGTTGGTTGAAGCCAAGCCCGCTTTACACAGTGCTTAATTTAAAACTCACTTTTGAGTTAAGTAAATACGATTTATGATACCACAACAATTAAAAATGGTGTGTTACAATCCTAAATATAACCATTAATGATGATTTGCCGGCTTTCCGTTTCCAAACGAATTTTTTTTATAAAATACTTATGTTAATTCTTTTGTACAATTAAATAAGTGTAAAGATTGGAAGTCCGATTATGTATCCCCCACATTTTTATCAGTGTGGGAAACAGTGTTGATGTAGTGTGAGGCGTGGGTACATATCATTAACTTGGTTATTTAAATCACTGAACCTGATGTTATATCAAATAGCCACAATTTTTCACAATAACAAATAAAAATTTTGGCGGTCGCTAACACGCTTGAAAGCAGTTAAATAGATACGTTAATTGACGTTAATATGGCAAATTCAACAGTTGTAAATAATTACCGGTAATAGTGGCGAAAAATTTAGATTTATTGGCGGTTGTCTATCTTCCGTATAAATATAAACAACTATCTGCAGTAAAATTAATACCAAATCGTGTATACGTATTGTATTAGGTGTAATAAATGTGTTCACAACATATTATTGTTTCAAAAAATATTGTTAAAAGTTGCTAAATGAAATTATATAAACTTGGAGATTAAAAAATACAAAAACAAAAATTACATACCCCCTAAGAAAATAGAGACCGATTTTGATAAAATGACTGGACAATATTAAGAGTACTCACTGGAATGAAGAGGGGGTGGGTGGGTGCAGGGCCGGCTTAACACGGTAAGCGAAAGATGCACCGCATCGGGGCGCCCGTGACAAAGGGCGCCGGGCGGCGGGCGCCGCCTATGCTATTATATTAACTCTATAAAAAAAAAATTAATATTAGTTTTGCATTGAATCACTACCAATAAAATATTATAGCAGTAACAGACCAAGGCGCCCATCGAAAACTTTTCAGAAAAAGCTACATTTTAACATTCCACTATGACCACCAAAACAGATCCCAAGAAGTCAATTCCTGACACTTTCAAACTGTAGTAATTGAAAAAAAGTGCGCCTTTGGGTTGGGTGATGGGACTTTTAGATCAATACCGACAAAAAATAACCAGATTTATGATGCATTATCTGGGTAACAATTTGACGAGACAGCGGTATGACCACACCCAGATGTTTTTCCTAACATTTGTCACGTTTGTTTTTACCATAAAAGTCCATGTCGGCATATTTAAAAATTTTATTTTCCAAGTCTAGTCGGTTGGTTTTGGTTGTGGCGGTTGTTCAACAGTTTTGTTATATTTTTCACTGTTCCTGTTTGTAGCCGAATTTGGTTGTGTGTATCATTTCGTGGTAAGTCTAAATTTAAAATAACTTTGAAATCGTATCAATTTTACAATATTAAAAATTGAAAAACGTTTGCAATATAAATATTTTTATATTTATACTATATATAGTTTAGGAAATATCGGTGTATCCCATAAAATTTTATTGACAATAACGAGGCAGACAGTAGTACAATGGTAAGAAATATTTATGGCTCACACCAGTCCCCCCGAATTTGTAGGAGAACATTTAGCAGGTAATTGTGCGCATAGGATCGGACTTCCGCTGCTTTAGAAATTTAAGGTCTGCGGATTACCGCCATGCGACAACTTTAAGTTGTAAATATCTCTTGCTATTGTACTACTGTCCGTCTCGTTATTGGCAAGAAAATTTTATAGGGTACAACGATATTTCCTAAACTATAGAAAAGTTGTTGCCCGCAGCTCCGTTTGCGTGGAATTCGCAATTAGGACTCATAATTTTTTTATACATGATCGTTTTCCGGGTTGGAACCGTGTAAATTGGGTTTCTGGGCTCAACGTTTCGCACACTTTCGTAAGTGGCATCTTCAGGAGCAGGGTTAAGAATAAGGCAAAAGAGCACGGTAACTCAGTATGTCAACCATACCAGAGGCGAAACTTTTTTGAGAAATTACACGGTTCCAACCCGGAAAACGATCATCTATTAATTCCGACCGTGGAAATCTCCGAAATTATCATTTTTCATCTCGTTCACAACTCCAGGGCCCCAGTGAACCCGTCTGACTTAAAAACTCACGGGATTTCTGCACAAAGTTTCATCCCCTATTTTGTCCCCGTAGGGACGGAATTTCCAGAAATCTTTTCTTAGGGTGTTTATGACAGAAAAGGAACCTACTGTCTAAATTTCATGTTTGTAGCTTCAGTAGTTTAGGCTTTGCGTTGATGAATCAGTCAGTCTGTCAGTTAAGACAAATACTTTTATATATTAAGATTGATTCATCATAATTTTATGCATGTTTGTTAATAAAAAGTATCTCTCTACAAAAATATGTGATTACAAAATTTTATTTGTTTTTTTTTTACAAATTTTTTTTTAAGGGCGTTGAACAATAAGTTTGCATCGGGGCGCCTGGTCGCTTAGAGCCGGCCCTGGGTGGGTGTGGGCTTGCTTATAAAAGATTCTGTATGAAAAAGTTAAACTTAACCCCCCCCACCCACACCTTCTTATTTTTCTTCAGAAATAAGAAATAAATGTTATAGCAAATAAGTAGTATAACAAAAAATTACAATTAACAGTCTACGTTCTATTAATTCCCATTTTCACTTTACAAACGAACATAAAATTCATAACGCCCACCCACTCCGCCTCCATTTCAGTGATTCATTTTGTCTAGTCCGAATGAAAGATGGATCTCAATTGAAGAGAGATAAACTCGTTAGAATGAGAACAGCGTGTGTGGGCGGGGCTAGTATCTGCTAAGATAATATTGATCTAGGTAAATGACATATCCTCTAAGAAAATAAAGGGTGGGTGGGAGGGCTAGTACTTGCTAAAATACGACTGATTGTGCTAAACGGCATACCCTCTAAGAAAATAGAGGGCGGGTGTCCGGGGCTAGTACTTGTTAAACTAGAAAAAGCTAAATTTAGCCCCGCTCACCTCCGTTCTCCATTTCATTGACTTATTTTATTCAGTGTAAAATGGAAATTGAAAAATAACAGTATTGTGTACCCACAATTTTCTCGGAAAATGGAGTGAGCAGTCCCTGATTTAATCAATAAAATAAATTGAACTTTTTTTTGAGACATTCTATATAAGCAAATCTAAAAAACATGAATGCAGTAATAAATCACAAGAGTAGACTCATCATATTTTGCACATTTAAGATAAGATTTATTCAGAAAAAATTTTGAGCTGACGTTATTAATTTTTTGGCGGAGATAAGCAAATATATTTTGATTAAAAATGTATTATGCTTACTGTCGAAGTTTGTATAAATGAATAAAGACCAGCGAACAGTAAGATAAATGTATATTGCTAGTGACAAGTGTTAGGATAAATAAGAATGATAAGAATAGAATAGTATATGACCGTGCGGTCGAGATAGTTGAATGTTAGTTACGAATTGAGAATTGTGAATTGAATGTGTATGAATGAGTTAAGAATTAAGAATCAATGCTACCCTGTGTTCCAAGGTGGGGGTGGCTCTGGCTCCCACCCTTACGGGTGGGGAGGGGTGAAACAGGTCCCCGCCAGAGGCTCTAACATACCCCCCGCCTTGAAACAATTACATTGTTTTAAGACCAAAAATAAAATATATGGAATATTAGAATGAAAACATTATTTAGTAATGATAAATACAGATGAAATTACATGAATTGGGTGGACATTGTTACAGAAAGCAATGAACCTGAAGAAATGCATTAAACGTTAAAAAAAGATATCTAAAACAAATTACATGTGTACAATATCAGTGAATACACATATTTACAATAGACCTAAAAGTAAATTTACAACAATTATAACGTACCGAATCAATGAATAATATGATGAGTGAATAATATGGCGAATGGATATAACAATATAAATATGAATTAATGTACATAATACAATAAACCAACAAGGAGATGAATATAACAAATTGACAAGATGTATGCAATATGGTTAAATAGAATGATAATGCATGCGATTGCGAAATTATCTTTTGCACTTCACCGACACTACACACACCACCACTTCCTTTCCAAAATGATGTTGGAGGGCCGCGTCCTAACCGCCACTGTAGACGCGGAAATTTCTCCTTTTTCACGAGGACCCATCTTGCCATTCCTGGAACGTTGGAAGATGGTCTTTGCCACCCTAACCTGCCTTTCAGTGTGGTCAAATATTCGAGGTACCACGACTTCCAGAAGTGTTGACGGTAAGCGTGGATGAGGTGGCAAGGGATGGCCTGTTGATGGGAACGACGGCGTGGTCTTTTCCTGAGGGACCAGTTGATGGCTGGCCGAAAGAGGCACTGGCCAGGTATAAATGCGACCAAATTATTGCGGTCGCTGGACAGAGGCTTCGAAAGGCGCGAATTCAGGACGGCTTTAACTCTGACAATGAGCGCATACACGCCCTCGCCCTCAAGATGGTTTTTATCAGTAATTTCGTTATACTTCCCGCTATTCATATTTAAACTCTTTGAACTAAGATTTAAACGGTCAACAACCTCGCAAAGTTTATTGGAAGAAACTTGGGGATTTAAAATACAATTGTGTGACAGGTAAACGGAATTATTTGCGGAATTTTCGTTAAGTACCTTCAGGTGCACAAGGTCTAGGTACTTCCTTTGCGAGACAATAAAACCCTCGTTACGTTTATGATTACGCCGCTCTGCTAACAATAGCAGTTGGAGAGCGAATTCTGGGGAATTTCCTAATTTAGGTACATTTTCGAAATAAGGGACTGTGGAATGCCCCAACTTCCTCTCGACTGATAATAGCCACTTTGGATGCATTTGTGTAAAATTCTCTAACCGCGGCTGATTTTCCGAAAAGGGGTGTTTGACCATGAAATAGCCATCGGGTGAATGGCCTGTGGTAGTATACTGAAAAGGGGTTGCACAGAGATCGCTTTTAAACCCTTTGCTTAATGACCTGCTTCCGGTTTTGACGGTTTCAGCTTCCAAGAACCGAGAAATAATTTGGGCTGAACTAATTTTGTGATTATGGGAAGTATTATTTTTTAAAAATGCAAAACTGTCGCTAAGAATCAACCCCAGCGCGGTATTTTGAAGCACCGGTGGGTTTTTACAGAAATGATTTTTTATTTTGGGTTTAGTATTTTCGGAATGTTTTTTCTTGTCGAGTATTGCTACGTTTGACGTATTGTCTTTAATATTCGAGTCTACGGATTTACATAAACATTGCGATCTACATTTAAATTGATTACAAACTAACAATAAGTCACAGTTTTTCGAATTAACTGTAAGACTTTTTACTTTGTCTAGTGCGGTAGATGACTCTGCATTAGAAGTTTTATCTAAATTAATTTGAGATACGCCTTCGGACTTGTAACAATCATTAACAGGATGATTTTTATCTTCATTCGGTGTTGAATTTGGAAATTTTGAACGATTTGATATTATACTAGGAGTTTTTGAAATAACGGAATCAAGAGGGGATTTTTTACCAATAGTGAACCTCAATTTACGTAGAGCATTGAAATGGGTTTTGTGAATTTTGATGGGTTCTCCATTTCTTAATTTGTGTACCTTTAAAGGCTTTAAATTTTGACAAGTTTTTTCCAGATCCGTGGTGGCTACGTTAGTGTTTATCTTACATGAATTCGAGAAAGTACACAATGGATTAGTTTTTTCAATGAGAACATTATATAATTCGGATATTTTTTGAATATAATTTAGCACGTCTCTGATATTATAAATTATAGGTTTGATCGTTTCCGTGTTACTCGTGTCATTCGGGACTACCATTGTTTCGGATTTTTGCTGAACTACAAGCATTTGTAATTCTGAATAAATTCGCTGTACGTCTTCATATCGACGCTTTAAGTGGCCTCTTTTTTGATGATTTGCAACATTTGATATAAAATTAGAATGTGAATCTATTTCGCTGAGAAGAATTGAAAATTTAACAAAAGTATTGTCTTGGATTACCACCATCTTGAGTACGAGAATAATGTATTACACCAATCAAACAGAATTAAAGCTTACCTGGAATCCTGGATTCCTGGATAGAATTATCTTGGCTGACGCTGAATGATACTTGAGGATTTTGCACAGCACTCGCGGTCGTCACCGATAGTTGAACACTGCGCGGATGATTTCTGTGTGATGTTTTGATAACTATTTTGCTGAATTCCAGCCGATGAATGATATGTTGAGAATTACACTTATCACTACCACTGTTATTCTGTCGCTAATCCGGCTCGAAGGACCATGTCGAAGTTTGTATAAATGAATAAAGACCAGCGAACAGTAAGATAAATGTATATTGCTAGTGACAAGTGTTAGGATAAATAAGAATGATAAGAATAGAATAGTATATGACCGTGCGGTCGAGATAGTTGAATGTTAGTTACGAATTGAGAATTGTGAATTGAATGTGTATGAATGAGTTAAGAATTAAGAATCAATGCTACCCTGTGTTCCAAGGTGGGGGTGGCTCTGGCTCCCACCCTTACGGGTGGAGAGGGGTGAAACAGGTCCCCGCCAGAGGCTCTAACACTTACCATAACTAAAAACATCTGCAAGATTTCAAAGCATTCGGTTGGGCAAATTCAAAATTAAATTGCAAAATGTTGTTTTATAATTTAGATTTTTTTTTCCAAAAATTTTGACGTTTCGGGTAAAAACTCAACACGGTATCATAAACTACAAGTGTAGGACTATGTTATTTTATACAATTTAAAACCTATTTACTATGTACAATGTTAAATTAACGTCATTATATTATTGGTGGGGATAATTAGACAAATTTTGGTTAGAGTTTTACCATCTACATGATATTCCTAATATAAATACAAATTGTGACAACAATCGGCCCAGTACTTTCGGCGTTTATATGTCTAATCAAAATGGGGACGGCAGACGGACAGACAGACGGAAACTGGAGACTTATTTCTTCGTACTCTAGGGGTTATAAAAGGTAGAGAGAACGTAAAACTAGAGGGTCGGCCGACGGACTCGATTACAATACTTCCTTCACTTACACTCGGGAAGTACAAATTAATATATCAGTCGTTTTAATTTATTGACCTATCTCATTTAAAAGGGTCAGGTAAACTCTCTTATTTTTAAATTCTGGAAATATGCTTTCTGAAACGCATACGATGTTAGTCCTACATTAAAGAGTGAGGAATTAATAAGTCTCAGTAAATTTACTGATCTTTGTTTTCTGAAAATTTTGCGTTCGTCTTATTTTGTGTAAATGTATTTCAACATTTTAATTAACGTGCCAAACTGAAAATAACCCAGAATACCAGTTAATATTTACAAAATAGTATTTCAGGAGAGAATCTTAAATTTTTTACAGAATTAATTGTACTGAGTTCGGTAGTTCGAAAATCATATGCTCAAAAAAATTTCAACACACAGATGAAAACGTGAAAATTAAAGAATTGAGGACGTAAACGATGAACTAGATGAAGAATTTTTATACTTATTACTTAAAAACAGTAAAAAATAAGGTAAAGTATAAACTTTTAAAACGGTGTTATCGTTTAGAACGTTAAAATCCCATTACTTTAGTATTTGTAAAAGCCTTAATTGTGTTATGTATTCTACTGATACTGATTGATAGCACACTGAACAAATAAGATTTCGACACTTCATGAAGTCAATGATTTTGCACTTACTTGATTATTTAACTTTTCACAAAAAAAAACAAAACAGATAAATAAGCTATATAACTGATACAGATCTGATCTCGTAAAAAACATCACCTGATAGGTAAATTGGTAAGCAAACACATGAAAAGACACCCCAAGTTGTCAATATGTCTGTATGTTTGAATTTAAAATTTTGTAGATTTTCGGAAAAATATTGTCATGTGAAAATGGCTGCTATATCACTTGTAATTAAAAAAGTATGCAGCACCTGTTAACAGTATATATTTATGATAAAAGCAGGACGTAGTGCTACAATTATTCATTTTGTTTATCAAAATATGAAGAAAGATTGCATACTCTGATTCATACATTCTTCGTTACGAAGAAATATTTCCACGGAAGTGTGTATACGTACAATAGGTATTAAGAAAATGTGTTTGTATATCCATATACTAATATTCTAGCTGTTGACACCAACATCAGGAAGCTGCTACTCCAATCGAAGTACCTAATTCAGTAATTGAATTAACCTTGAAAGTTATTTTTGATCCCTAACTACCTACTGTCACTACGGAGTTCACATTACGTGGGTTTGTTTGGCTCGTTCCAAATAAAATACCGTTCACATAACACTTAGAAAAACAACAAAGCTAATGTTTTTAATAATCTTCAAGAAAAACGACAACGTGTGAGGTTTTTAATAGTTTCCACTATTTATATTTGCTATACTTGTGTTTACTTTAACTTTGTTGACACAGCTTTCCATTCATTTATTATTGTTAGATGTTTGTAGTAAAATTCCATAAAAAAAAATTCGTTGGTCGTCTGACGACATTTTGATTTAAAGTGTATTAAGTAATACTTGGGTTGGGCACAACAATGCAGTTTTTTTTACATAACTGAGTAACAATCAATTCATTTATTTCTACAGCAACAAATCAATTCATTGTTACTGAATTAAAACTAAAACTAGGTAGTTTTCATTTGTACGTCAATGTCAAAAACTGAAAAATGATGGAAGGAGCTTGTATTAAGCGCACTCGCAAATCGATTAACATTTTTAACACAACAGGTTGCGCACAATCCTCGCAACAACGAATTCCATCTACGTATTTATTTGTTTTGCAGAAGAGATGGCTCCTGCTTACAAACTAACATACTTCCCGGTTGAAGCCCTCGCCGAACCGATCCGTTTCCTCTTCAGCTATGGTGGCATCGAATTTGAAGATTTCCGTTTTGATCGCGAAAATTGGCCACAGATGAAGCCGAGTATGTTTGTCTTTGTACCAGAAAGAAAATTAAATTCCGCGTTTTAGATATGCCATTTGGGCAAGTACCCGTTTTGGAACACAACGGAAAAGTTGCCCACCAAAGCATCGCCATGGCCAGATATGCTGCCAAAAAGGCAAAACTAGTTGGTAACGACGAATGGGAAGACTTGGAAATTGATGCTATTGTTGATACTGTAAACGATTTGCGTCAAAGTAAGTTTTCAGAGTTTTAAATGAATACAATACAGTCTAATTTTTTTTTTTTAGAAATCGCCTTATACCATTATGAAGCTGATGCAGCTGTTAAGGAATCTCGCAAGGAGCCACTTTTCAAAGAGACTTTGCCATACTATTTGCAACGTTTAGATGCTGTGGTTAAAGCCAATAATGGACATTTGGCACTGGGAAAGGTGACCAAAGTGTTTTATTGTTTGAATTTTTTAAATTACTGCTTTGTTTTACAGCTAACCTGGGCAGATTTGTATTTTGTTGCCATTTTGAAATATTTGAATTCCATGTGTGGTGGTAACGATATACTTGCGGACTACCCGAATCTTACTGCCTTGAAGAATACTGTGCTTGAGCTTCCAGCTATTAAAACTTGGGTAGAGAAACGTCCTAACACTGACATGTAAGACATGTAAAGTTAATATTATTTCACAAATGAAAGAATTGGGAGACTATATTTTGTAATTAATGTTCATGTAATAAAAGCATTGATAAAGTTACTGCATATTTTAATCACCTATTCACAATGTGCTGCTGTGTATGTAGGTTAAAAGAGTGGATTTCTCGGATTGGGTTCTTGGGCGACGGTGACTTCTCATTTGGTCTGGCAAGCGGACCAAAAGTTGCTGACATATTGTTTTTCCCTTTATCCTTGTCGTTCCTACCTAGTCAGCATTATAATTATTGTTTTATTGTTCTTCCAGTGATGTAGTCTTCCGGTTAATTTTAGAAAATTTTCCCGACTAAGTTTCTCTTTCCCACTGGCCCGTTCAAGAAGTCATGGACTATGTATAGTTTCCAGCTCATAACAGGACTTTCAAAACTTTACCAACGTTTCTTCTTCGTTTAGACGACAAAATATTTCAGAAGGAGCTAGGTCCTGTTTTTACAGGTATTTTATTGTAAAAAGTCCTTGCAACTTTATTTTTCCTTTGAAATTATTTGTTTTTTGACTGAGGTTCATTTGACTTTCTACAGTGGCTACCATCTTAACCCAGGTGGTAGCTATACCTTTCTCTGTTCATTCTTCTAAAAGAAAATTACTTTATTAATTCGTTGAATGTTCGAGAATTTCATAAAAGTTTTTTATTTTCGTCCCTGTTTTGACAGTTAACATTACAATTCAATGCATAATCAAAGGGGTAACTCTACCTCTAGACATATTATTTTAGAAACTTCGCAATAATTTCTTTTTTTTTTTTTTGTTGAGCTGTGTTCGTAGACTGCAGTGGAAATTCATTCTTCCTTTTTCCATTCCAAATAAAATTTTTGTTTAAATTTCTTGGTTCTTTAATTTCAGTTCGTACTGAGGTCGAAAATGTTTGTTCTTTTTTGTTTCCTAATAGAATTCTTCCAGAACTGTTAATTCCGTTTTTGGTTTATTTATTTATTCAATTACGTTGTGGTGACCGAATTTAAATCAAAGTTTTCGCGCTGAAATTAATTAACAGCGGCGCGAAACACATTGAATAATTTAAATTTGAAAGAAAAAAAAATTCAATCATAAAAAAGGAAATCGTTAAACATAGGCAACCTGGTGCACGGAAATGCTTGGTAATCGGACGATTTAGCGCTAGGGGTTTTTAGTTACAGGGTTGGTTGATTGGTAGAGACAGGGCGGCATGGCGTAAGGTCATTCTGAATGTGCTTGTGTGAGTGTAACCACGTGGTAAGCGCTAGGTTTAAATTAGTTGGTTTGGTAGTTAATAAAACGGGAGGAGGCATTTGTTTAACGACAATCAATCGTAACTGACGTCACTCTGTTGTCCCTAACCTGCGTGGTTAATTCTTGCGGCCTTTTAATCGGAAAATGCGGACTTCCGGTGAATGCGAAACACGTGCTGTAAATTTGTTTCATTGTTTGGAAATTCACCAATCAAGTTAGTTTTTCTTGATAGTTAGCTAATGCAAACACAGTTTAACAATCAGGATTATTTAAATAAACCACTTGCTAGAAGATTTCATGAAATTCACTTAGTCAGGAAAACACCTTATTGTTAATTACGAATAAGTCTCTGGATGCATATACGTAAGTGTTACATTATAACACTTCTAAATTCTTCACACAAGATTGCTAATAGTTCATTTACGGCAGTTAAACAAGTTCATTATACTGTGAACTGGCGGGAGGGGTTTAAAATGTTTTCTTCCCTTGGGCGGTTATCATCGTTATCATGATTAATTTATCAAGGCATGCCCTCGCAGCGCTATAGATTGATTAATTTATCAAGGCATGCCCTCAGACGCTTTTTCCTCGCAACGATTTTAAAATTTACATCACCGAGACGCTTTTCCCCTCGGAGCGATGATTGGATATTTTTGTGTTTGTTTATCATGTGTTTTGTTGGGGTAACCAGTTCGCGGTATTTTAAACTCTCAAAGTAAATTGGTTTTTTGAGTAACCAATCACTTAGATCATGATATAGTTTGACATAATGTAAACTAGGGTTGCCAGATTTTTTCAGAAGGTATATATGAGTTCCATGGAAAAATATATATGAGATCAGTTAAAAATATATGAGACGTTTTAGGCCGAGTTTACAGAAGCTCGAATTAATATTTAATTTAATCGCGTTTCTAATTTGACGTTTCTGCACCACTTTTTTGTCATGATTCAGCCGACAACTTTGCATACATGTTAGACAGTAGACTCTGAATTATTGGAATTCGAATTTAAGTTTCTGCGTCTAAAGTGCAGAGTACAGAATTCGAAATGGCGGTTAAAATGAAAATATATGAGATTATCTCATATATTTAATACTTGGTATGAGGTATGAGATTTTCTTTAAATATCTAATACTCATACCAAATATCTACTGTGCCAAATATATGAGATCTGGCAACCCTAATGTAAACTCTTTCTTTGAATCATTGAAAAAGTGTGGCAAATATTAATCTCATGTAAATTTTGTTAACTTGGCAAATGTTCACCTCATACAATATTTCTGAATCTCAGTTTTAACTTCAGTAATTTTATTTGTTGTATAATTTTAATTGAACGTAAATTTCATGTACTACAGTTTTAACCTCACACAATATTTCTATTTGTACAAGTTCATTTCACACCAGATCTTTTGTTTCATAAATCCTTGCTAAGTATGTTTTGTAAATACATACTGTGTTGATGAATGTTTCTATCATATAAATTATTTGATGTCCCATCTTTAGTCTCATATAAGAATTATTTGTTGTTCAAGATTTCACAAGATTGTATGGCGAATTTAAATGTTGTTTATTGCTCGTTGAAACTTTAATACTTGTTCAGTTGTTTTTAATATCAAAGTTATAAGAGATTGAATATTTAAAAATGGAATTGAGGTTAAATAACACAGACAACGTGGCAGAAGCGAAGTTCGGTTCCTAGTCGAGTTGGCGAGATTTATCGTGTCACGTGTACAAGTCCACAGGTTTGGATAGATTCAGGGGCGGCCGCCGATGTTGTAAAGTTCTCGGCTTCTGTCCGTAGCCGAGCTCCTCTTGCGGGTCTGGCGACCGTAATGGCCTAGTTTCGGACGGCATGTTCGTCCTATAGGCGTGTAATGTGCTGTTTGGGTAGGCTTTGCGATAGATAGAATCACCGTCGTGGGGGAAGAACAGCTCCAGACCGGTAGCCCCAAACTCGGCTTGTGCTAGCACGCCCCAGGGGTACTTTTGTTGTGCTCCTGTTAACTGCCGTAACTTAAAAAAAAAATCTGCTGCCACCGCCCCTAATAACTTGTGTATTTGCAACCAGTTACTTGATTCAGTTTGATAATAAATTTATGGCACTTAAACGATCCTAAAGGTGAGTCCATTTTGAGAGAAACGATCTGGAAAAGTTGCGGTTGATTTCATACCTTCGTGGACTCGAAAAACTGGAGGGAGTTACTTAATAGTTTTTACAGGTTTAATAGTTTGCTCAGGTCTAATTATTTTCTTACAGATTTAATAATTTTCTTGCAGCTTAAATTTAACGTTTATCCCCGAAGTACCCCGGACGTTTTCAGAGACCAGCTGATTGCGATTTTGATCGTATTATATATATATGTGTTTTTTTATATATACGATGTGTTTTCAGTTCACGAGGTAACCTGTGAATGTGATTTTATATAATTAATAAGTTAACTAACACATGATTTAACCGCATGTAAATTCTTTATTATTTAAAGTTCTTTGTTGATAAAGTGTGACATAATTTAACGCCATGTAAATTCTTTGTTGGTTGAAATTCTTCTTCTCTACTCTACTCCACTGACAAAAAAAAAAGAAAAGAAAGCTGCGACTAAGTTGCGCAGATTGAAGACCTCTTATTTAGTTCTCAACTGCAAAAAAAAAACTTGCCTAACTTGGAATGAAATCAAATTAAACGTTCTAATCTAATGTGTGGCGGCACTTTTAAAATTATGACAGTCAACAAGAGAACAAAGTTTTAATAAAAAAAAACTATGCAGCGGGGCGCACAGCGACAGCGGCATCAAAGCGCCTCCTCGTGAATGCTTATGACTCCAAAGTGTGTGCGATCGAATGATATCAATTTTATTCTAGAGCATAGCAAAATTTCCCATAGGTGGTGTTGTAGCACGAGCGGAGTTTGGGGCTTCTGGTTGTGGTTGTTCTCCCACCACGACGGTGATTCTACTCTGTCGGCAACCACATGCCGCCCAGCACCCCTTTATTTAACAAAGAAACGTGCCGCGCTAACAGGCCGTTACGGTCGCAAACTCGTGGTTGGAAATCCCGGCTATTGGGCCAAGCCGCGAGCGTCACGTCATCTCGACCGCTCCCATTTCAGCTCGACTAGGAACCGCGCCCTGCGCTTCTGCCAGGTTTTTTTGTGGTATTTACGCCAATTCCCTTTTAAATGTTCACTTTCTATAACTGATAGTAAACTACAACCGAACAAGTGTTAAACCAATAAACAAGATTTAAATTCGCCATACACTCTCGCGAAATTTTAAACAGCAAAGAATTCTTATCTGAAATTAGGACTGGACATCAGATAATTTATATGATGGAAGCATTAATCAACAAAATTTTTACCTGGTCAAAAAAAGTCCACTAGACTATGGAGGAGCGTATCTTTCTCCGCTTACCGACGTGTTATTGTGCCGCCACAGTTATAATCAAGGCGCGGAATAATATCACACGCTTGATCCAGTGCTGCCGCGTCGGTACTTTGATTACAAATATATTTTTCTTTTGGACTGTATCAACATAATATAACATTTCAAGATCACAAATCTGAAATGTGAATTTTTCAACCCTGTGGTTGAAAAATTAAAAAGGGCACCGAGTATTATTATTTGAAGTAATATGGTAATATAGAAGTAGTTTTTTTACTAGCTGTAAAGACTCCTAGAGACGTACTGGTAAGGGCTTGTGGACCAGATCAAAGCGTCCCCGCTACTCGCCATAAAACACACCTTACTTCAACTGGGGGATTGTAGCACTGTGATATAATTCCGCGCATTGGTTATAATGTAACACTTAAGTATAAGCATCCAGAAAGTATATTTATAACTTGATAAACAAAGGATGAGTCCTGACTAACTGAATCTCATGAAATCTCCTAGCAAGTGCTTTATATGAACAATCTCATGACTATTAAATTGTGTTAGAACCATTAACGATTAAAATCTTAGCATGAACTGTGACTTTACAAACAATAAATCAAATTTACACCACATGTTAGCCTCGGTCCAAAATTCGCATATTTCAGCTTGGAAAAAACGCAAGAATTAGCTACCCTTGTTGGGGAAACTGTTAATTTTCGTTAAACAAACGCTTCCCCCTTTTTTTAACTACCAAACCAACTAAACTTATTCGAGCTACCTTATCGGATCCTTTCACTTACACCAAATAAACAACAGTGAGCAGTGACGCATCTCACCCCTCTACAAAGCAATCACACTTCACTACCAACCCTCTCACTAGATACTCCCCAGAAATTCCCTAGGAAAGCTACCAACTACCAAAAAATAACTAAACTTGCATGTCTATGTTTAATTATTTTCTTTTTAATGATTTTTTTTCAAATTCAAATTATTCAAATGCGATTTCTCGCCATTGTTTTTTTTTTCAGCGTAAAATTTAAATTCAAATTTGGTCACCACAACACAACGTACTAAAAAATTAAATGAATTCCATTATGTGGTTTCATCGACAAATCGTTGATTGTGCTTTCTCTGAATAAGTATATTGTCAATGATTTCAAGCATTGTGTTTCCACATACAATTGCAGAAAAATTAAAGAAAAAAATATAATTGTTGACACTGTTGTATTATGTACTAAAAAAATAAATGGAAGTGTTTTATGTAAATCGTAAGATAAACTAAAAAAATTAATTTTGTAGATAATCGGTACGCTGAAGTTGAAAAATATAAACAGAACATTGAACCAGAGATCGAAACGCATCATAATTTTGAAATATCAAAAATCGTAATAAAGATTTACCAGTTTACTGCCAAAACCGACCGTCAGGCGGAAACTGGTGTCCGTTGTTGTGAAATGTTGCGAAGACATGCCTTCAGTTATTTACCACACCTAGCTCGAAAAGTTAAAATAAAGAAATAACATTTTAAATCATTTATTAAGGATGTAAATAAAAGTGTACACAATTTATTAAGTTTGTTCTACAATTGATAAACATGCTACTTACAAACTAATTTTAAAAATTATAACTCATAATTGGCCATATTAGCAGCATCTGACCAAGCACCAAATCTAGCACCATCCATTTCTGTTGCCACCGTGTTTCCGGCGGTCAATGTGTGGTGTCTTCCTCCAATTTTTGCTTTACACTCAGGACACACCGCTTCCTCCATTGCGCCTCCGCATTCTCCAATTGCATACGGATGACCGTTGGGACATTTGTACCAGTGTCCCTGCCTAAGACCAATAGCTTGCACAATTTCTCTTCGTTCTTTATCTGAAATCCCTATGCTTGCAGCTACCATTCGGCTCAGCTCTTTTAGAAGTACTATAACTTTGTCTTCGTCGCAAAATTTTGTAGCACCATGTAAAAGTTCATCAATTTGTTCCGCAATTTGTCGAACTCGAGCGTTACATGTGACGTGTACCCTATAATTCGGCGACTTCTTAATCTTGCTGAGTTCTGTCATTCTAGTAAGTCTATTTAGTTCAAGTTGTATGTCTTCAATTTCTTGGTCTGTGATGTAGTCTTCATCGCGTGAGAGAATTTTCACTAAAAATTTTACCTGGGGAGCGTAAGCGTCAGATTCACCAACGTCCACTTTTAGACAAATTTTGATGATGTGTTCTATTATTTGTAATTTTGATTCGATCGCCTTCAGTTCGGGTTTATTAATCTCTTGTCGTTTGCCTTTTCTGTCTGTTTGTAGACGTGTCTCGATCAGTTCTAAGAATGTTCTTACTTCAGCACAATCTGAAAGTTCAAGGGAACTCTACATAGAGGTATGCTAACTAGCAATACAATACTTACGAATCCTCATGACAATAGGCATTGTTTCATTCAAATCTTCTAATTTTGCAAGCAACCTTTCTCTCATCGTCTTGATTTCTTGCAGGTTTCCATAGAAGTCGTTCTTCACTTTACTAACGTCCGCCAACGCTGTCTTTATTAAATTACCATATCGCTGAGTAGTTTTAATAGGAGTCTTACATCCAGGACACACCTTAAATCCGATTTTGTTGCTGTCCTGCGCCATCCATCCATCTAACCCGACACTTTCGAAAATATGCCCACAGTCTTTCAAAAGTACAAAACGAGCACCTTCGTCCTCTTCAAAACCAAAGAATATTGTCGTCAGTTCTTCTTTGTCGCATATCAAACATTTGGGTGGACATGGATCTCCGCAAAACCCAACGCATGGATGACCACATTGTAACTTTTTGTCACAAGGTTGCTCACACGGAGGTACGTTACAAATAGAACCACAGAAGTTGGTACATTTTTGATGGGAACATCTCCTTGTGCACTTTTCTTTGCACGGGGTGCAAGCATCACCACATCTCTTGCTGCAAGACCCATGTTGACACTTATATGGGCATGGACGCGCGCATGGTCTGCATGCTTGCCTACAGGGGAATTGACACGGGTGGTTACAGATCAAGGGAAATTCACACTTTTCGTTGCAACGTTTGTGCACACGACCTTGGTGACATTCTCCGCACGTTCCTGGGCAACGATGGCCACACTTTAGCTGAGCAGAGCAAGGTTGGGTGCAGTACTTCAAAAGGGTTGCTGAATTTTGACGAGCACCTTAAAATCGAACGTTACCTATTGTTTGTTTCGAGAAAATAATTGTAAAATTGTTTTTGGAGCAATAACAAGAAGTTTATAGACTAATTATGAGAAATATTTTTCTCCAAAAAACAATAAAGATACTTAAGTACATACTATCTGATTTTGCTATCCAGCATTTAATTCTGGTCAGGCTGTGCCCACATGGAGCCTGTATTTTACAGTCAACGATTTCCCTGCAGCGTGTTGTACAGGGTTCGTTACACTTCTTTGTGCAATTATGACCACAAGGTAACTTAAGGGGGCATTTCTTGTTACATAAGGCTCTATCCGGTTCCTCACAACACTTAACTTTAATGGGATGACCGCAAATCGAATTGATTTTTTCGACCTGCAAGAATTGAAGTTGGCTTGGAAGGTTTAAGAGTTAGCCTGAGTGCTTACCTGAACTTCACATTTTCCACAAGGTTGATGACATTTGCTCTTACATTTATGTCCACACGGGAGTATTTTTATGCAAGGTTTTTCGCAAATAATTTCGTCAACGTTCGAAGAACAAGGTACGTCATAAACGTGTGGACATATGGTTCTCTTCTTGCGAACACGAATCAGACAAGGGTCGCATTCTTCATAACAGAGCTTTGGACACAAGTGGGTATCTATTTCCAGAGAACAGTCTTTTCGGTACTGTGCACATCTCTTCGTACACTTGTACTAAAAAATGAAAGGATATAATTTGTGTCATGATTCGGCAAGTTTTAAAATCGACTAATAATAATTAATAATGTAGATTAGCACAAATAGATCAGAGTAGTGTAAATTACGTTTCAAATGATAAGCGCATAACAGTGAGGCAGCAGACGAATTTATAAGAAGGATATCAATCAATCCACGTATAGAATACAAATACTTTCAAGTGTATCAACCACTCATTCCTACACATAACTTTTTGATAATTACCTGTAAATGATCTGGATCCTTTCGAATGTGACAATTCTGTGTACAGGCATGGCCACAAGGTTCAACCTTGATTTCGCAGGGGTGTGGACAGCGGTAAGTTTGAGGGTCTCTGTGACAAGGTTTATCGGCAACGTGGCCACATGGAAGGGTTGTGGACACCAAAACGACGCATTGGTAAGTATCTGGGTCCACATGACATTCCAAGTTAACAGTATGTCTACATGCCAAAAACCTAGGAACTGGATAGTAGCATGGACCACACTCTTGATAGCACATTTTCTCACACAAATGACGCGCGTCTGCGTCACACAATCTCCTTAAAACACAAAAATGTACCAAAATGCATCAAGTGATGAATTTCTTACTTGTTGCACACTTCTCTGCATCTATAGTTGTTGTGGTCTCGATCCGCAATATGACACAAAGACGTACATTTGTGGCCACAGCTTAAATCCGCTCCGCATTTCTGATCGCATCCGCCTTCCGGGATTTGTAGAAAGTCTTCACCTTTTTGTACGTAAGTAATTTTGTCTGTGTGCACTTGGCATCGTAGTTTTAATTCACTACCAATGGCGTTCTGCTGCTCAAGAGTACGACGTATTTTTTGCCAAAGCTGGAAGAAAATTTGAGTATCGCTATTTAAACAAAATATTGGCCACGAACCTGACTTGCGGCACATAGTTGATCCATGTTTCCCATTATGTAGAAACCGTTCCTCGCTCGGGAAAGCGCCACACAGACACGATTTTCTATTGATAAAAATCCAATTCGATTTTCGCTGTTACTTCTAACCAACGAAAGTAGAATTATATCACATTCTTCTCCTTGATAGTTATCTAAAACAGCTATTCTCATGTCTCCCAAGACATGTTTGTGTTTCTTCTTCTCTTTTTGCATCTCAAACATCTGGCCTAAGTACGCTGCTAAAATAGTTATGTTTTCTGGTTTGTAACCATTTAACACCAAATGCTTGGCAAACTTTATCAAAAATGAGGCTTCATGAAAATTCTTCTTGCTCGTTCCTTCACATTCGGCCTCCTTGTGAGTATGATTAATGAAAAATAAACAATTATCTAGTCCTTTGATAGAGGGTCTGTCGTTTACGCTTGAGTGATCTTCTAAAGCTGGATAAATAGTAGGCGATATCAAGCTAGATATCTCTGGCCTCATTCTATGTTGAACATTCAGCGTATAGAGTTGGCTTTTATTAATGACCATCCTTTCAAACAAACTAATTCCCAATTTATAAAATTTCTCAACACTGTAATTGGCAGTGCTGGGTTTTAGTTGTTGATGATCTCCAATCAGAATCAAATGCTTGCAGTTTTTAGTCAGTGAAGATACAATATGAGCTTCCAGAACTTCCGCTGCTTCTTCAACAATTACAATTGGGCTTTTTAGTGCCTGCAGCGATGACCTTAAACGCGCGGCACCGGTTGTTGTAATGCCAACAACTAAAGCGTTTTTCATGGATCTGGTATCTTCAACATCGCGTAGTTCTTCGTACGCTTTATAAACTTCACGAAACTCTTTATTTAAAGCTTCTAACCTTTTCCGCAACTTCTGTTTGTACAAATCTAGCCAATAAAAATAAAGGTTCCAGCGATCATTGGGTGGTATTTTGTGGGGCTGGTTTAGGTTGACAAACTGAGGCATTTGTCTCGGGACTGCACTTCTTTGCTTACCTTCTATTAGTTTTGCCTGACAACAAGATAGTAAAGAAAAAAAAAACAACAAAATAATACAAAACGTACATTTAAATAGTCATAACGACGTCTTAAAACCAACAGTTCTAAACGACATTGGTCTTCAAAAATGAGTTGTTCTGTTGTTGGTTCTTCAATTAGTTCCAATTGTGATATAGCACTTTGAAGATAAAAAATTCGGTCATTCATTGACGACACGGTGACAAGGGGAATACTGCAAGGGACGAACACCGATTTCACCTCATCAAACAAGTCGTCGACTTGATTTTCAAAATTTTCGTCCATTTCATCTTCGTTTTCGGATTCTTCTAGTTCGTCTTCCTCATTTCTATCTTCGACATGTAAATTATTAATTCCTTCGGAAATCTGAAACAAAATTGGTTACATCTTGATAGACCTACCAAAATGCAATTTACCTCAGCTACACTTGAACGGCCTGCAGCGTCTGGAAATGTAAAATCTTCATCTCCACTCAACAACCAATCTAAAATATCATCTTTTTGGACTTTTCTAAACCAAGTCTTTCCGAAATTGGGAACGACTTCTTCAAAAACGTCGAATGCTCTAATGCTGTGGTAGAACTCTATTTGTTTTAAGTTTTCCGTTATACTTCTTATTTGTCCCAACATTACCTGAACTTCATTTCTCTGCTGGTAGACGGCTGCACTCATTTTGAATCTGCTTCTGTTTTTCAAATTGAACAATTTCATCTTTTCGTTTTTACTTTGTCCTCCAACTCGGACAATCTCTCCGGTGAATTCGGTTATTCCTTCTAAAAACTGATCCAGAGCATGGTTCGTGTAACATATAACCAGCATAGGTGTCTTTGCATACCACAGTCGCCGATTTTCTATCAACGTTTTTGCGATTTTAAGCCCCAAAAATGTTTTACCGGTGCCAGGAGGCCCTTGAATGATTGAAAATTCTTGCGTCAACGCTGCTTTGAAAGCTATACTCTGGGATTCATTCAGTCGGTAAAAGTTTGTACTAGGCCAGTTTAATAATGGTGAAAATTCGTGTCCTCGTATGGTGTATCTACAAATCGGAGACGTCAAGTATTGAGGAGGTTCGACTGAAGAATCCACACGAATGATGTACTTTTCCATTGGAAAATTATCAACATTCATGGTCTGTAGCACGTTTAACACGTGATAATAGGGTTCAAAATAAACACCGCACTCGACCATTAGATAGTCGACATTGAACTGTACCCCAATATTTTGATCAAATCCAACTATCAGTTCACCTTTTTCTAGATCTTCGACTTTTCTTTCTGCAACTTTGCCAAAAATAATTGTCCTGAAGTTATCCAAAGTAAAACATAGCAACGATCCAAACATAAATCTTTTTGAGTTCTCATACTTGAAATTTTTCTTTTTTTTGGTGAAATCAAAACGCAGGCGGATGCAAAACTGTTCATTTACGGTTTCTGGATTTAAAAATCTTACTTTCTTGTAGACTTTGACATTTTCCACGCGTTTTCTTTCTCCTGATTGATTTTGTGACCGATAAGACGCAATGCCAGTCCTTAGAGGTCCCACGAAATCTTCTCTCAGCAAACGGAACTGGACGTCTAAGTAATGATTGACATCCCTATACGGTCCTTCGACAACGTTTTGTCTTAAAAATAGGGGAACACCACCCACTAATTCAAGTGAGCTGGGGTACACCGAGATGTGTCTAAAATCATTTGGCGGCTCTTCCTCAACCTGATTAGTCAACTTCTTTTCCATGTCGGCCTTTTGTTTTTCTTCATATTCTTTTACTAAAGCGTCGACAACTTCCAACAACTTTTTTACATTCTCTTTAATTTGATCAGAAATGTGGCGTTTATGTTTATGCTCGAAGTGTGGGAAACACTCATTCAAACTCTCCAGAATGAGGGGCAATATTTTTCGAGCGAACGTCGGTATAGCATCAGATACCTCCTGACAAATCCCGATGACATTATTCCAGAACTCATCCGGATTTTTCCAAAAATATCTGTTTCGGTTTTTACGGTCCATATTCTGCAAGGGTAAAAACAGAATGTACTTCGTCAGCTGTTCGACAAAATTATCGTCTAAATACATCTGTAAAACTTTGTATTTTCTTTCATCAAAAGTTGCATCGGTCACTTTCCGTAAAATTTTAATAAACAAAACGATTGCATCTTCGAACAAACCCATACTTATGAGTTCGGCAATCCCCTTTTTACTATCAGACAGTTCTAACAGTAATTCTTCTGGATCCTTGTCCACGAGAGCTTCTAAGGCTTTGAAGCCTATAGGCCTTGCAGTTCTACCTCGGTTAGTAGAATCTATGTTTTGATTATGTCTAGTATGGTTATTTCTGGGACGATCATCTCTCTGGTTTTGACTCCCAGAACCGTAATTAGTTCCTCTTGAAAAGGATTGATCTGAACTAGCGCTCGCTGTACGATATCGACGTGCTCCTGACGAACGAGAAGCAAATCGTTCTTCAGATGTAGCCCCATTTTCACGGTTTCCTTAAAAACAAATTACAAATTTTAAGCTATATTACGTTGTACATTATTAGCGTCTCTAAAAATAACTTATTAAAAATAGATACTGTAGTGAATTACGTCCGGATTTTGATGTCCGAGATCCTAGCAGTGGTCGTCACAAAAATTGCCCTTTAGGTTTAGGGTTGCTTCGGAGCAAGAGAACAATAAGTGACCACAAACATAAACATTAGGCTTCGGATAGAGTTACGTACCCTTATAGAATTATGCACAAAATATAGCAGAGCAGAGTTGTTTGGAACTTTCCTCAGTCGCGGCTCTTGGTTTGAAGGAACTCCGGGTAAAGTGGGACTAATCTAACCGTTCGTATTGGATGGGGTTTCCGGTGTTAAGGGCGGTGAATTGAGCGCGTGGACGAGGTGAAAACATGAGCAATGCCCTAGAGGACTGACTCTACCAGTACGGCACGCAAGGTCTGTACATAATCGAAAAAGGAAAACCCGATTGGGTGGTTCGTAAATTTGTCGTAGTTTTATATTTACTAGTTGAGTACACACGCAGAATTAATTAGGGCAGTGATAATTTATACCATAAGAGCCATCTGATCGAGCAGCAAGTTGAAAGTTGGGGAAGAGTCGAGAAGAGGCTCTTCGAACACGTTACAACCAAGGGGTGGAGGAAGTTGGGTATCGGGATTTAGACGGACTAACAAAACGTCTATGTCAGCGGGACTCAACTAAGTCCCTAGTCCTAATAGCATATTCTATTTAGGAGTATGTCGGAGTTTGGAGACAAGTTTCCATGCAGCTTTTTGTTGTTAGGTCAGACAGGTCATGAAACTATCGGTGACGCCTCTGAATCAGGGTCATCTCCGATTTTAATCGCCATTGAAGTATTCTGATTGGTTCCGAAGAAAGTTTGCCGATATTTGGCTAAAGAATGCGCCCTCCACGTGGACTGTTGAATGATTTCGTGGGTAGACAGTGAATTCCATCCTTATGTGGGACGGATTATGGATTGAATGAATTTTTGTAAGAATTGGAATAAGAAAACGGCTGCGATGTGGATTTGCGACGCCTTGAAAAATAAAACATGATTTTGGTATCCAAGGTATTTGAAGATGATGTCTTTGATCGTGTTTTATTGCTTTCTCGATAGTATTAACGACCGTATTGGGTTTCCAGAATTTCATGAAAGTTGTAGAAGCCATTTTTTTAAACAATAAAAAATAATGTTTCATTTATTAATTTTTCGAAATACAACATTTTATTTCGAAGTATATTTTTTGCACTTTATTCTATTCTAACTTCAAGAAAATATTTTCCACCACTTGGCCCTTTATATACATATATAGGATCGCGTGTAACGGTCTGATCTTCTGGTACCTTCGTGTTAGCAAATTTTTTTTGGAAATCCTGTTTATGGGAACTGTGACACTAAATTGCGCTTTGTCTTTTTTCTTTAATGTACGTTATTTTAAATGTTTTATATACTACGATGTGGTGGATAATTATATTATTTATATTACCTGCGAGTCCTGAAGCTTCATCCAATCTGCTGGAACTTCCATATCTTTGGGGTCTGAAACCTGAAAAAAATTGGTCGAAGGTTATTTCTACATAACTTTCCTCGTCTTTGAGGTACTACATAACTCCACCAAATCCCGCTTCTTCGGAAAATTATAATCTCTATAAAGTAGAAACCAGTGACGTAAATAAGATCCCTGCAGCCCCTGCACCGCGAGGGCGCAAATTCTAAGAGGCCGCCACAAGTAATACATTATGAAATATAATTAAAGCAGATAATAATCAATGGGAAAAAATGTGTTCTCATTCTCAATGTCTCCGCATATGTTTAAATTGGACTGTTTATGTTTATAGTTCGAAAGAATTCGACATTAACACGTTCAGATGATCAGCAGCAGCATTTATTTACTTGGGAATTATTTTTTTTTTTGTATGTACAGTTCATTTCTAACATTAGTTGCACAATTTTAGAATAGAAGGGACAATTAACAAAATTAAAAATGTGAAATGTGGTGTGAAACCATCTGATATTTGCAAAATTAAAATCTTTAAAAGAGATTGTTATGGTGTCTGCAATTTTGAAAAATATTAGAAGCTGAAACAATGCTCAGAAATAAAAAAACTCAAAAATCTTTGATAACATGCCACAATCTCAGGTATATGTATACTCTGTCTCCCACTGTGTTAAAACCGCCACCAAAACTAAGCCTTGGAGAAAAACTGCACTGAGCAAAACGTTCACCAGGTCTTCTCCAGCCCCTTTCATGTCCATCTGGAGGGGTAGAGCAAAAAATTGAACCTAATAACAAAAAAATTGGTCGAAGGTTACTTCAACAAAACTTCCCTCGCCCTTGAGGAACAGTCCGACAAATCTCGCTTCTTTGAAAATTTATTAAATTTGATTTCGCGCCGCGGAAGCGCAAATTCCAAAAATAGTACATGCTAAGATAAAACTAATTTTGGCCAATCATATACCCTGTAAGTAAATATAGGGTGGGTGGGCGGGGCTAGTACTTGGTAAGGTAAGATTGAATAATATTAAAGAGCAGTCACTGGAATGAAGAGGGGGTCGCCGGTGGGGCTACTCCTTGTTTATAAGACTCTTTAGAAAACCTAAACTAACACATTCTTAAAAAAAAGACATTTGGCGCCCTTTAGAAGGTTTTACATTTTAAAAAAAGACAGGTGGGACCCCCAAGAAAATTTCACATTAAAAAAGACATTTGGGGCCCCCGTGAGGGTTTTACATTTTTAAAAACGGCAATTGGGATCCCCGAGAAGGTTTCACATTCTTAAAAAAAGACATCTGGCGCCCCCGACAAGGTTTTAGATTTCTAAAAAAGACAATTGGGAGCCCCGAGGTTTCACATTAAAAAAAGACATTTGGCGCCCCCGAAAAGGTTTTACATTTTTAAAAAGACAATTAGGACCCCCGAGAAAGTTTCACATTAAAAAAGACATTTGGCGCCCCCGAGAAAGTTTTACATTTTTAAAAAACTGTTGGGAGCTCTGTGAAGGTGTCACATTAAAAAAAAAATACATTTGGAGCCCCCGAGAAGGTTTCCCTCGCCCATAAAGTACAGCTTGTCAAATACAGCTCTTTCGAAAAATTAAAAGATTTGATTTTGCGAATTTTGTTTTTTACTTTCCGAGCGTAAGCGAAGGAAGTATTTTTTATGGCAACCATTATAAGCTAAAATAAAAATATGTATCTAATGTTTGAATAAAGGTAAAGAAACGTGCTAATCGTTTGTTACAAGTGAGTTTTTCTATTACAAAATTTTGTTTTGTTAAAACGGGGAAAATGTATTCTCAATTTCTCAGTGCTCGCTTAACTTCGACTGTTTATGTTTATACTTCGAAAGAATTCAACTATTAGCATTACCAAAGTTATGCATTTGTGTTAAAAGCAACTGAAATGAGAGAATGTCTAACATAAACACTCATAAATTCGAAGAAATTCGGCACAACTGTAACATGACGTCATCATTTAAGGGCGGGCATAAACCGGCAAATTTTGAATAACGATTTACCATGCTGCCAAAACCTTGAAACGTTTGCAACTTCTTTTTTGTTTTCTTAAATTGTAAAATCATGTTATCAATTTTAATTTTTTCTTCAAAATTCTGATGTCTGGGGTAAAAACTCAACACGGATGCATAAATCACATATGCAATAGTTTGTTATTCTGTAAAATTTAAACAATAAATGTATTGTTAAACGCCATCATTTTTTGGGCGGCACGAACAACAAAATTCTGATTAAGGATGATTTACCATGTTTGTGATAACCTCAAACGTTTTCAAGATTCTGGAGCATTTTTTTTGGAGTTTTTCTTTATAATTACATAACTTTAAAATTACAAAATTGTAGGCTGAATTAATTAATTGATCTTCTTCTTTGTTTTGAGGAGACAAAATCAATCAAATTTAATTTTCTTTTAACACAAATGTTGCCGCGGATGCTTGTTATCTGAACCGGCCAATAATCGACTTCTTTCGAAATATAAACATAAACAGTTAAATATGTACTGAGAATACATTTGTCCCGTTGGTTAGTTTTAAATACATATATGTATTTCATATTGTCCCACTTGTGCGGTTCGCGTCCTCTTGGAATTTGCGCAAAGATGCGGGATTTGTTGGACCGTACTTCTGGGGCGAGGGAAGTTTTGTAGAAATTACCTTTGACCAATTTTTGAAAACCATGCCGCGATGGACACTCCGAAGAAGATTTTGGTTAACTTTAATAAATTTACAAAATTTAAACTAAAATTAAAGGAATCATCGTATTGTCCTCAATCACAGAAAAGATACTCAAGCGGAGGAACAATATAACCTAAGAAAAGATCCCCTAACGTTATCGTTCTTCGTCGCCCTCTTATCTTTATCTACAATATTTAATGACACATGATAACTCACTCCAGACATCGCACATTCGCGTAACTGATCCGTAACGATGCTATTACTGTACCATGCTACGCCGTCATGTACCTATACTACAGAACATATGGGTATTCTTTGGATTTCTTATAGTAGTTACGATTAGTAGCATAGAAAATATAGAAAAAAGAAAAAAAAACAAAACAAGATCGAATAATAAAATACTTCAGTGTCCGATTTGAAAAAACTAAAATGTGTATGATTACTTAAAAAATTATCTCTATTAATGAAATAGCGATCGAGGAGCACTTGTTTATTGACTGAGTATATATGTTATATCGGGTGATTTTTTAAATTTCTGCTCTAGTTGGTCGTGATGCTGACATCAGCCGTTTCAATTGGACTACTGACGTATGTGTATTATTCTAATGCTGCAATAAAATTATGTTTTTACAAACTGTCAAGACTTGTTAAAACAGCAACAAAGTCGTCGTTTACCTGATTTGATTCTCACAATTTTTTTTGAAAAAAGTACATTCGTCATCGTCCTGTGTATTTTTATTCTATTTTTGACGCTTCTGAAGTAAAATTATATTTAATGTGTACACATCACTACCGTGAGACATCAAAAAATGGTACACATTAAATGGTTGGTCAAACGCAAAATCCGATTTTTCACAGGTAAGTACAAGTTGTAAAAATGAAAGTTATTTATATTTTTATATAAGAAACGGCATTTTATTTCAATTTCTGAGAGCTACACGCACTTTTTTTGACAAATTACATAGGGACTCCATTAAAGATTAAAAGTTGTAGCCCGCAATATCAACACATGTGTACATTCTATTGACGCATTTCTACAGTTGTATTGTCTGATGAATATAAAATGATTAACATATAAACATATTTGAAAACCACGTTACAAAATAAATGTGATATCTAATTCGGGCGTGGTTTCCGATACCATTTTTGCTTCCATTGTTGCATATTGTTCATCCTTTTATATCGTTAAATACTATTTTTGCGCTCTAATCGTATCCTGAATAATAAGCGCTTAGTTCTTTCTGTGTACAATGTTCAAGTGCTGATAGGTAGTTATTTTATAATGGAAGATAATAAATCACTTGGCGGTTTTATTAACGCTCGGTATACAACATCTTGTGATATTACATAAAATCGCTTATTATAAAAATGTATATTTTTGCAATTTTGAATCAATATGACGACATTTTAGTATTCTGAGAGTAAATTGAGCATCAAAAGTACTAAAATAGAGTTTATATTGCAACTAGTGTTGAAAAATAAATTAATACTTACAATTTTCAGGAAAATTTTATTTAGAATTAAAAAAAAATACTTTTTTGTTAACGCAATTTACGGCGGTATATTGTACAGTGACCTTTTTTGGAAGGTTTTTCTTGTTTGACAGAAAATATTAGTTGACAGTTTAAGTTTAAAATTTTACATTTGTTATTTCTCCACATTCGACTGTGTAGAACAAAACACTTTCCAAGCAAAATTTAAATCAATTATTCTTATTTTTATGTCCTTTTTTGGCAAAATTGTCTCTTGAAATATTTATTTTTAAATTTTGCTGCAGAAAAAATCTTGCTGGCACACCTATGGGTGCGTCTAGTGCGTAAAGCATACCATTTCGCAACTTGTTGCAGAAACAGCTATTTTACAATTTCTATTAACAAAATTCTCATTTCATCTATGCACTTGACCCTGACGAAAGTAGAGTGAACTTAACTTCCACCACACTTGACCTTGACGAAGGCGGAGTTACTTTCCTTCTTTAAGTATTCATCAAATTAGTAATAGTACAATTAACATTTTTATGTAAACGAAATACCTAAGCAATATAATTTTCTGAAAATTCTGCGAAATTGGAAAAACTATTGTATGATACACGTAAATAAAGAAATTTTATCCACCCAAAAACATTATCGCACTCGGTTTCGCCTCGTGCGCTGAACTATTTTTCGTAGACTTATTCACTTATACCATAAATAGCTATTACGTAATTAAGTTTTTTTTCGAAGATAACCCTATTAATTTGAAGATACACAATATAATTTTAATTGTAATATCATTATCTTGTTAGATTATCCAACAACACTTGTCCATTCTCTTTCTCTCTACAATCTGTAAATAAATTACTTCATTGCTCTTGCAAAGGCAAAATTCTAAAAAATAAAACTGTATTATCAAAACACAAATAACAATGCATCTCGGGACATGTTTCTTAAATTGCATAGATACTTACATATACAGCGTGTTATTGAAATGTACGTACAAAATAAAATCGGCAATTGGTCTCAAAATGTGGGTGCTAAAAGTTAAAAAAAGTTCTGGCAAAAGTGTTCTTTCAGAGATAAAAATTATTAAATTTTTTTATTAGTCTTGAGAAAACTTTTATTTTTATCGTTGCTAGGATTTGCTAAAATAAATTAATTTTACCTATTTATCCTTCAGTAGCGTCTAAAAAGGTTAGATAAAGGTTCATTTTCCCTTTATAATTTTGAAAACACAAAATAAGTTTTTCAGGCTTCTTAGACTTCGCGAAGAACTGTCAATTTTGTTGTACGTACCTTTCAATAACACACTGTATACATGTATCTATGTAATAAAGTTTTTGAGATGACGTCATCAACTTTCGAGAGGGGATTTTATTCAAAATTTCAAAAATGTTCCTTATGTAAGTTCTACAACTGTAGATTTAACAGTAGTTTCACTAATGTAACATTTACATCATTATGTTATCATATTTAAATATGTAAATTTGATTTAATTGTTAAAAACCGTTTTTTTATTCTCTTTCTTTCAATATGGTGACGTGTTTCCTAAAAAAGTGAAAAATCGCAGAGAAACTACCAACTTTATATATAGAAAATACTTAACATAAAATAAAAAAGATCAAGTACAATAGTAAAATACAGAGTGTTTTGAAAAACCTGAAATATCGTATTTGAAAATTGTAACAGTATAATTTTGTATAACCACTACGAGAACCACTCTACATAGTAAGACCAGAGCTATGAAAGTCTCAGCTGATTCCATAAGAAATACATGGGGAGCTTACGGAACGACATAAAGAGGTCACTAGCGTCACTAAGGGTGCTCCGACCTTGAAGAACATAGTTTCTTTTTCATTTTAAGGTTTTCGGTGAACGTTGTGTCTGGTTTTGTCAACAAGAAATGTCATATTATTTACGGAATCATACGGGATGTTGGGTTATGGGGTTAAAAACAAACGTAAAATTTATTTTAACAAAGTAATAGATACTTACGATACATGTAAAAAAATACTAGAAAATTCCAGGCTAAAGAGGTCAACAAACTGCAGGTTAAACGAAATAGTTTAATTTTCGATGTGTACGTGTTTGAGCGGTCCAAGATTTATTTTTAAATTTTAGTGTGTAAAAAATTCTAACTAATAAAAACTGAAACAAGGTAATCAAGAGGAAAGTCTTTGCAGGGGTGGTGGAATGGTATTTTTGTATGGTTCGTTTTTTAGCCGCAAACCAGTTAACGACTACGGTGCATAAATTGGGAAAAACTCACAAAATGTATTACCATCGGAGTATAAACTGAAAAATGTTTAGGTGGTGGTATCATTAAATCACCAAAAATCACATCTTCATTGAAAACTTTAAGATGTCACACAATTAAAACAGGATGTACCACTTCGTAAGAATGTGCAAAGTTCACAACAAACTTCGCAGAAGTGGTGGTGTAAGAATTTTCGTATTAATGAGTATCCACAAACATACCATAAACAGTTGTGTTCTTTCAAGGTGAGTTTCCGGTAACTCACATCACTTAATGATTGTTGAAGAGGTTGAAATACAGGGGAGATGTGTTGTGGAAGTTTGTTTAAAAGTACACCTTAGCAAATTTTTCATTTCAAATAAAATAGTGTTTCACAGTTGGTTCTTGCACTCGTATCGAAATAATCTGTAGTAAATAGTTTCCGAAACACGCTTTGGAATTGTATTGGTGTGGGATTTATACAATTCCCAAATTGACGTCTCACAGAGCCAAACAAATATGTCAAACAAATTGTATTCTTTGAAAACTATTAAAAATAATAAGCAAAATGTTTATGTTCCTGAAGTTATTTTTTATTTTTTTGTCAGTGATTAAAAAATATTAAGAGTGAATTATAGGTAAATTTTGCAATTCACTTATGGATAACAACTTATTTCTCAGACTTGTTAAAGATTTAATAAACGCAGTTTAAAACGTCAAAATTGAATAAAAATGTTTTGCTTGAATATATTAATAATTTATAAGAAAGAAAAAAATGGCCAATGTCACTAGTACATGCCAACCATTTTTATTTTTGTGTACAATTATTAGTATTATATGAATCACATATGAATGTTACGAAATATTTGAATCTTCGTGTTTCCCGGGAACGGGCTCCCAAGGTCACACCCGTTCTGCAAATATTGCTGAAGTTTCGTTACTGATCTACTGTGGTAAGACTTCATTTTATTGATACTGCGTATCTTTGTTGTTGACACAAATCTTAAAAATAACTCCAATGCTTAATGCGATTTTTTTGTGAATTCTTGCATTGCTGAAAAATTAAAAAAAAGAAATGTCGTAGTATCGAAATTTCAAAAATAATATGGGGTTATAAAACCTAAAAAGACAACGATCTGAGGGTGTACAGATATACAAGTTTTGCATTTAAAAACACCAAATTTATGTTATGCCTTCAAAAAAGCACATTCTTTGTATAGTTGAAAGTAATTAATTTTTTCCATTTCAAATAATTAACGAGATATCGAGTACGCTCGCTTGATGATTCACCCTGTATATAAATAAATATGAATAGTTGAATACAGTTAGTTTATTTCCATAGCTGACATTTCTAAATTTAAAACGTCAAACACAAATGTCACGTTTTAACGAAGCCAACTTTAAAAAAATTAATAATTCGTATTTTTATTTAAAATACAACTCTAAACCGTGATAACACCGAATCCAATAAAAAAAATCTCAAAAAACGAACTCCTCGACAGAAAACCGTACTCAATAAAGTATTTATTGCAGTTACTGTACGACCTACCGTGCGGATGCCTCCAATTTTGGCCTCTGTTGGCCGTCCGTTCGTTTGTGGGATTACCCTGTCTCCGATTCATTTCGTAAACGTCACAAGTTTGCGTAACCGGCTAAATCAGTGACTCACTTGTCCGATTTATTTGACATTTTGCAATTTCTGCAAAAATGAGACTAATTTGGCAATCACCGATGCACTTTGAATCACACAATTAATAAAATAAAAGGAAGCGAATTGCAAGTGCACTATCACGCTCTCGCCTCGAAACGACGATTAAAATATCCATCGATTGCACGAGTGAGCTGGCATTCACGCTTCGTGTAACGTCGTGAGGTTTTCATTAGTTCGAAATTTCGCAGGGTACAACGCTTTGGCAGTTTCGCAGTTATGCAAATTCGACGTACAGCTTCGATGTAAAATAATTGAACAAGGTTGGTTTTTAAATTTAGCATGTATAATTTAAATTTACCGATGCACCGTACGAAGAGACGTTTTAGTACTAACGCCAAAGATTTAATCATGTATCCATATTTTTTACCTTGCAAACATGAGTTATCGTAAAAAGTAAAATCTAGAAATTGAAATTTTACAATCTGTCTTAATAAGGTTTTATGGTTTTAGTTCATCAGTGGTTTTAATAACAACATCACAAGTTTGACTGAAATTTCGATGAGACTAACATCAAATCTAACATTTATGTAATGAGTATAGAATGTAACTGATGAACTCGAACTGATGCCAACCCTGATGGTGTCAATTTAAAAAACTTTTATATAAATAATACTTTTTTTTCCTGAAAAATAGTCTCATTACCATTAATTTTTGGCAAAATAGCTCCGACTGTGATAAGATGAATTAACACGTTTATTTTAATCTAGGTGTCGGATTTATATGCATAAATATTTGGCAAAATATGCGCATTTATTTGCACAAAAATTCTTCGAAATATGCACAATGTTTGCTAAATTTGCACAGAGTTGTGCACATATGCAATTTACCTCCGGCGATCCAGAAAGAAAGAACAATAAACTGCAAAAAAAACACGCGAAATATCTATAATTACATTTATTACCTATAACATATTTTTACATAAGAATAAAATACACCATAAACTGCACATTTTTTTGTTTACAATTGTTACAATTAACAATCATATGTTTTTCCAAATTTTCCATTGTAAAATTCTGTCTTCAATCTGTCGTTAAGATTTTGCTTGAAGAAAAACTTCTTTCTACATCAACAAATGTAATTTTTGTTATATAAGTACGTAAAATCCAGCAAAAGATAAATGCAAACGCCGTCAACTATTTTATGAGGAGTATTTAGTAACTTAGACCGCAACCTGCAATAAAACCATTACGCATTGGGAATGCGTTTACTAGAGAACAAATACGGTTCTGGAAAGGTACAAGGGTAGCCACTAATTTTGATTGACAGCTTCGAAAGCGACTGGAGATTTTACAGCGGCAGTACTCATAATTGGAGTCCTTTGCATTTATCTTTTGCTGGACTTTATATACATGTCTTTCGGTCTTCGATGTAATCTTGATGGACACTGTGATAACCCAAACTTCCCGCCTTAAAATTTTGACCTTGAAACAGTTTGAAAGGCCCGCGAAAAATTTAAAAATTCAAAGTTTGGCCTTGGCTGTGATCGTCTAACAAATGAGAACCTACGTTGTGTTTTTTTTTTTTTTTGCTTTTGAAAAATGGCGGGAAGAAGTTCTTTCATACAAGTGCATACACTGTCGAGAGCGCAAGAAATAATTAACAGAAATTGTTTTGGAGGGGGGGAAACGGCACCACCCTCACAGGGGGAAATACGCTGCGAAGATTTACCCCTCAGCGCAAAAACCCCCTTGGTTTTATTCCCGGACGACATTTTATTACATTTCAGACCCTTAAGATATGTGAAAGAAAAACACTCGCGAATTGATTGAAAGAAAAACACTCGCGAATTGACTGGAAGAAAAACACTCGCGAATTTACAGACATACACATATGAAAAACGAACAAATGGAAAATTCTATAAATCTGTTTGGAATCAATGCAAATATTTGAATATCATAAGTTTAATAAACAAAGCAAAAACTGAATCAAGTAACTGGATGCAAATACACAAGTTATTACAGGCGTGTGGCGGCCGATCTCTTTCCCCTTTTTTTTTTTTGTTACGGCAGTTAACAGGAGCACAAGAAAGGTACCCCTGGAGCGTTGTGGCATAAGCGGAGTCTAAGCTACCGGTCTGGAACTGTTCTCCCCCCGCGACGATGATTCTATCTATCGCAAAGCCTACCCCACACGCATATCCCATGACGAACTTTGCCCTGCGGAACTAGGCCATTACGGTCTTCCAACCCGTAGAAATCTCGACTATTGGGCCAAATCGAGAAATGCACAAAGTCGGCGGCCGCCCCTGAATCTATCCAAACCTGTGGACTTGTACAGGTGGCGCGATAAATCTCGCCAGCTCGACTAGGAACCAAACCTCGCTTCTGCCACGTTTTTCTGTGTCATTTAACCTCAATTCCATTTTAAAACATTCAATCTCTTATAACTCTGATGTTAACAACAACTGAACAAGTGTTAAAGTTTCAAAGAGCAATAAACAACATTTAGATTCGTCATACAATCTTGTGAAATCTTAAAGAACAAATAATTCTTATGTGGGATTAAAGTTGGACATCAAATAATTTATATGATAGAAAACATTCATCAACAAAGTATTTACAAAACAAAACTTAGCAAGGATTTATGAGACGAAAGATCTGGTGTGAAATAAACTTGTACAAATAGAAATGTTATGTGAGGTTAGAACTGTAGAACATGAAATTTACGTTCAATTAAATTTATACAACAAATAAAATTACTGAGGTTAAGATTGTGAGATTAAGAAATATAGTATGATGTGAAAATTGCAGAGTTAACATAATTTACAGGAGATTAATATTTGCCACACTTTATCAACGGTTCAAACAAAGAGTTTACATTATACCAAATTATATCATGATCTAAATGATTGGTTACTTCAAAAATAATTTACTTTGAGAAGTTAAAATACTACGAACTGGTTACCCCAACAAAACACATAATAAACAAATACAAAAATATCCAATCATCGCTCCGAGGGAAAAAGCGTCTCGGTGATGTATCCAAAATCGTTGCGAGGAAAAAGCGTCTCGGTAACGTAAATTTTCTGTAGCGTTGGGGGCATGCCTTAATTAATTAATCAATCTGGCGTTGCGAAACATGCCCCGATGAATTAATCGTGATAACGATGATAACCACCTGAGGGGAGAAAATATCATAACCCCCCGCCAGTCCGCAGTATCATGAACTTGTTTAACTGCCGTAAATGAACTATTAGCAATCTTGTGTGAAGAATTTAGAAGTGTTATAATGTAACACTTACGTATATGCATCCAGAGACCTATTCGTAATTAAACATAAGGTGTTTTTCCTGACTAAGTGAATTTCATGAAATCTTCTAGCAAATGGTTAATTTAAATAATCCTAATTGTTAAATTGTGTTTGCTCTAGCTGAGTATTAAGAAAAAGTAGCTTGATTTGTGAATTTTCAAACAAAGAACAGATTCACAACACGTGTTCGCGTCCGACCGGAAGTCTGCAATTTTCGATTAAAAGGGCGCAAGAATTTACCGCGCGGGTTGGGGACAACTGTATCATTATGCAAAATACGTTTGATCGTCGTTAAACAAAGGCTTCCTCCCGTTTTATTAACTACCAAACCAACTAATTTAAACCTAGCGCTTACCACGTGGTCACACACACACAGCCACATTCGTAATGACAGACCCCTCCAGTTTTTCTACCAACCCTCTAACTGAAATTACCCTAGCGCTACGTGCTGCCACCTACTCAAAGATCATGCAAACTAACTCCTAAGCGCTACGTGCATTAGACCATCCATGCATATTTGGTTGCCTATGTTTAAGGAGTTCCTTTTCGTGATTGGACTTTTTTTTTTTTTTTCAAATTCAAATTATTCAAATGCGATTTCGCGCCGTTGTCAATTAATTTCAGCGCGAAAAGTTTGATTTAAATTCGGTCACCACAACACATTTTGGTTTAACCATTCTCTTGAATTAATTCATAATTTAACATCATCGTAAAATTACCAAGACTCGCTTATAAATGACCAGTTTTTACGAAATGACTTCAGTGTAGATATCTTGAAACTATTAACGTAATTTAAATTGTGTAATAAAAAAAACGCTAATAAAAATATTTATTAAATTGACACATACAGACAAAATTATGAATAATAGTTTCTATAATATATGTATGAGAAAACTCCCATCGAAAATTAACATATCGGACTTAACGTAATTATTCTTCAATTATAGATGTGTTTGCGTTAGTGAAAACTCCAGACGTAACTACATTACTAAACTGTTATAAACAATAATCAGTAAACTACTATGTAACTAAAAAAAAAAAAAAAAAAAACTAATGGAGAGAAGAATAAACAAGCACTTTCTTAGTTCTCCAAGTTTCGTATGTATTCCAGATCATAATTCATCAAGTTTGCTCTTTCCGAGTACGCACTATACGTAGCTCCATCCATTTCGGTAGCAACTGCATTATCATTTAAAAGTTGGTGATTTGACCCACCAATCTTTGCCCCACACTCATAACACTGTGCCTCTTGCATAGCACCACCGCATTCCCCAATAGCGTATATATGCCCATTGGGGCACTTAAACCAATGTCCTTTACTAAATCGCATAGCTTCAACTATCTGGATTCGCTCTTCTTCGGAAATGGCTAATCCAGATTTCAGAACATCATTTAATTCAGTCAGAAGTGCTTTCAGCAGGTCGTTCCTCTTTTTTGAAAATCGTTTACTTTCAAAAAGCTGCTTCTCCACAGAAGCGATTAGGTCTTTACCTTCTTCGTTATTCTTGGAGTAAGCAAACTGTGGAACCTTTTGTATACAACTATAATCTACTATTCTGGCTAGTCTGCTAATTTCCAAAGTAACATCCTCGATTTCTTGATTTGTAATGTAGTCAACATCCCGTGACAAAACACGAACTATAAAATTTACTTGTGGGAAGAAAATTTCTCGAGGTGTCGCAATCGAGACAGTTTTGTCGCAACAAATGTTAACCACAAGTTCAATGAGTTGAAGCTTTGCTTTAAGGGATCTCGCTTCATGGATGTTGATGTTTGGGTGTCTGCCTTTCTTGGTTGTCTGAATTCTAGTTTTTATGCCTTGTAGTAAAACGTGTATTGGTTGACAATCTGTAAGAACAAAAATTAATATTAATCATCATAACGTTTAGACACGTAGAGGGTGACTATATACTTACACATAACCAAGTTCCCAGATTGTTGTTCCAGTTTTCTTAAAACATACTGCATATCCTTTCTGATTTCTGTAATATCCTCAAGCCTTCCATTAGTTTTAAACTTAACTGCCGCCACATCTTGAATAGCTCTTTTGATATAGTCACTGTATCGTTGGGTAGTTCTAATTGCCGTCTTACACTTAGGGCAAACTTTATACGAAATCTGATTTTCATTGAGGAGTAACCATTGCTCCAATCCTGTATGTTCAACAATATGCTTACAATCACTCAAATAAACGTATCGAGCATCTTCACTCTCATAACCCAAGAATATCTCCAACAACTCTTCTCTATCACAAACCATGCATTTCGGAGGGCACTGATCTCCACAAAAACCAACACATTGGTGTCCACATTTCAGCAACTTCTGACATGGTTCTGTGCACGGAGGCACACTGCAAATCTCGCCGCAAAATTTATTACACCACTGATGCTTGCATCTTCTGGGACATCTTTCTCTACAGGGAGTACAAATTTCACCACAGAATTTCTTACAAGCGCTATGTTGGCATCTATATTCACAGACTTTTTTGCAAGGTCGGCATGCTTGCCGACAAGGAAACTCACATTTGTGGTCACAAACAAGTAAGGTGCCACATTTTTCCGAGCACCTTTTGTGAACGCGTCCTTGCGAACATTCACCACAACTTCCAGAACACGAGTGGCCACATTTCAGTATTTCTCTGCAGGGTTCTTTACAATATCTCACCAGTAGTTTTGGATCTACACACGATGTCGTCATGTGGCACTCGGTTCTGGTGACCAAGTGACCACATTCTGCTTCTATACCATCACAATCGACAATCTCGGTACATTTTTCAGTGCACGGTTCGTTACATTTCTTCGTGCATAAATGGCCACAAGGCAACTTCAAGGGACACTGTCTATTACAGTACTTGCGACTGGGGGCCTCGCAACATCTCACTTTCACTTGGTGGCCACATATTGCGTTTTCCTTAAAAACCTACAACAAGCTAGTTGAAATCATGAAAATAAGATTGTTTTTGTTACCTTCAACTGACACTCTCTGCAAGGTTCGTTACATTTAGCTTTACAAGGATGACCACACTTCAAGATTTTTGTACAAGGTTTCTCGCAGACGAGTTCATCCACGTCAGATTTACACGGTACGTCATAAAAGTGAGGGCAAAGGGTTCTTCGTTTCCGAACAGTTACAGTACAGGTATCGCACTCCTGCCAACACTGTTTCTTGCATCGGTGCTCCTCACTCTCAATAGAACAGTCTTTCATAAATTTAGTGCAAGGTTTTTTGCATCGATACTGTAAAACACACATTAATAAAAAATCACGGGAATCCTCAAATTACCTCTAAATGATCCGGATCTGTTCGAATGTGGCAGAGTAATTCACAAGAATGTCCACAGGGTTGAACCTGGACATCGCATATGTGTGGACACCTGAAAGTTTGCGGGTCGTAGGAGCAGGGTTTATCGGTTTTATGCCCACAAGGGAGTTCAGTCGGGACTTTAACTTGACATTTGTAGGTTTCAGGATCTACGTGGCAAGGAATATTGACTTCGTGACCACACGGCAAGGTTCTTTCTACCAAGTAAGTACACAATCCGCAATCTTCAAAACACATTTTCTTACAAATGTGGGTTTCGTCTTTGCTGCACAGCGGCCTGAAAGTGGTGGAAGACAAAAAATTGAAAAGTGATTATTGTGGTGTCCCGATTTAAAAATTAATTCGAATAACGGAGGAATTAGTGAAATGATGCACTCTACTGGTTGGTCATTCAAGCGTTTTGCAATGTGACGAAGGTAGATTATAAAGGGTTTCTTGAGTTCACTTTCTGGTTTGGTGGTGCGTATTAAAAATAGTGGATTTTTATTTTAGTTTGTAAATTCACAGCTCACGTTAAGGTTTTTAAAGTCGATTGCCGCTCACGTTCGTGTTCGCCGTTGACGTTGCCGTTGTAATTAAGCCCCGCCCCTTGATCTGATAACGAATGAAAAATTCATCAAATTGAGAATTGAGATCGGGGCAGGTATGGGTGGAGCCTATTCTTATATACATAGTATTCTCTGAATAGCACGACACTCAAAAACATATTTTTACTTTTTCGTGGAGAAATAAGGATTTTGCAGTTAAGCTCCGCCTTCTTGGCTCAAGACGAATAAAAAAAATCATCACAGTTGAGATAGGGCGGGTGGGTGGGGCTACATTTTGCCTTTTTTTCATAAAATGTGTAGACTTATTTCGACAAGTATCGATTTTGCAATTACGCTCCGCCCCTCGCTTTGACAACGAATGAAAAATTCATCTTAATTGAGCTTGGGATGGATATAGGTGGGGCTTAATTTTTGGCTTGCTTTTTTCTTAATATACATATTACTCTTTGAACAACACGATTCTCAAAAACATGTTTTTTATTTCTTGTATAGAAATAAGGATTTTGCAATTAAGCTCCGTCCCCTTGGCTCACGTCGAATACAAAAATCATCACAGTTGAGATAGGGTGGGTACATAGGGTCTTACATTTTGCCTTTTTTTCTTAATATGTGTATTGTAGTCATCTTTTCACAACAAGAAACTTAAAACATGTTTAAAATGGTAAATTTGTATAGGGTAATATCGATTTTTTGCAATTACGCTCCGCCCCTCGGTCTGACAACGAATGAAAAATTCATCACGACTGAGTTTGAGACGGATGGATGGGCTTCTATTTTGGTTATCTTTTTTAATTAATACATTTAGTTAGTTTTTCTTTGTAGAACACCATTAGTTAAGAACATATTTCACATGATAATTTCTCGTAGAAAAATAAGGATTTTACAATTAAGCTCCACCCCTCAGTTTACTACGAATAAAAAAATATATCAGAATTGAGATGGGGGGGAGGGTTATATTTTGCCTTTTTTTTTCTTAATATACATTGTCATCTTTTCACAACAAGAGACTTAAAACATGGTTAAAATGGTACATTTTTCCCAGGAAATATGGATTTTGCAATTATGGGGCTGAATCTAATTACTTTTTAATTAGTATTTCTTTATACAAATTTTCCATTTTAAAGATCTTTAAGTTTGATGTTGTGAAAACAAGTCTATACATATTAAAACAAAACGACAAAATGTAAGCCCGCCCTACCGCCTACCCGCCCTATCTCAATTGTGATGATCTTTTTATTCGTCATGAACCAAGGGGGCGTAACAGCAAAATATTTATTCCTTTACAAGAAATTAAAAACATGTTTTTGAGTTTTGCGTTCTTCAAAGAATACTATCTACATTAAGAAAAAAGGGCAAAATATAAACCCCGCCCACCCACCCCATCTCAATTGTGATGATTTTTTTTGTTCTCAGAAACTTAAGACATGTTTAAAATGGTAAATTTTTGTAGAGAATTATGGATTTTGCGATTAGGCTCCGCCCCTAGGTCTGGCAACGAATGAAAACTTCATTACTACATATTTAGATCAAGGCAGGTATGGGTGGGGCTTAATCTTTGACTTTAATTTTTTCTTCATATACATAGTATTCTTTGAACAACACGATACTCGAAACCATCTTTTTAATTTTTCATAGAGAAATAAGGATTTTGCAGTTAAGCTCCGCCCCCTTGGCTCACGACGAATAAAAAAATCATCACAACTGAGATAGGGCGGGTGGGCGGGGCTACATTTTTATTCGTTTTCTTAATACTTATAGACTTATTTCGACCACAAGAAACTTAAAACATGTCTAAAATTTTTTGTAGTAATCAATTTAAATCCCCCACTATTCTTCCACAATCCCTTTAAATACGGCAAAAGCTGAACATCAAAGTTACTATGAACAGCAATTTGGCAACGAAGTTTATAAATGACAATTTTCAGTTCTGAAAGCAACGTCAGCGGGAACAGCACGTTTATAAATCCCATATAACCGTTATAACATTTTATGTAAATGATTCACTTGTTCAAACTGAACTTATTTTAGTAACGATATCTAAGATTCTAGATTGATTTTACCTAAGTTATTGTATTATTCACACTTCATTTCACACTTCATAACTTCTCACAGGTTTAAAAAAATGTGGTATTTAAACTACTCTTAAACATGAATCCATTTTGAAAAAAGAATTTATCATCGGTTAAATGAATATCATTGTGGACTCGAAATGGAAAGAGTGTTTTATGTTCATTTAGTAGTTATTACATATACGAGTCATTTTCTTACAACCTTATTCATTGTTCATGTGAATATTTATCTGCAATAGCCGTCAGTGTATAAAATACTTACTTGTTGCACTGCGTCTGGCACTTGTAAAACATATGCGTTCTGTCCCTAATATGGCACAAGTATGTACACTTATGACCACACTTCAAATCCATATCACACTTTTTGCTGCATCCACCTTCAGACACAGAAAAGAAGTCAGTATCGCATTTAACAAGCGTGATTTGATCTTGATGGATCTGACACCTTAATGGTAGCGCCTGACCCAGAGCATTCTGTCTTTCTAAACTTGTTTTAATTTTCCCCCAAAGCTAAAAGAACATAAACAATGATTCTACAAAAAAAAAAATATGGTTATGTATACTTTATTTTCACTGGAAAGCTGCGCCATGTTGCCCATTATGTACATAGCATTTCTAGCTCTGGACAGAGCAACGCATACTCTGTTCTCTATAGACAGAAAACCAATTTTATTATCTTCGTTGTTTCGAACTAGTGAAAGAAGTATAATATCGGATTCCTCTCCTTGGTAGTTGTCTAGAACTACAATTTTTACACCATCCAACAAATCGAGATGTGCTTTAATCATGTTCTTGAATTCGAAGAACTGGCCTAAATAAGCAGCCAAAATTGTTATATTTTCTGGATTATATCCATTCAGAACCAAATGTCGTGCTAAATATATAAGAAACCTAACTTCGTGAAGATTAATTTTGCTTGACCCTTCATAAGGTTCTTCTAGGTTGTCGTGGTCAATGAAAAAGAGACAATTATCAATGCCTGTAATTACTGGTCTTTGTAGTACTGAAGGATGATCTTCCAAAAAGTCGTAAATTGCTGGTCGAATCAAACAAGCAATTTCTGGTCGCATGCGATGTTGTACATTAAGCGTGTAGCAGTGTAACTTATTGATAATCATTCTTTCAAATAAGCTAATCCCAAGACGGTACTGCTTTTCCAGATTGTAGTTAGCTGTACTTGGTCTTAACTGTTTATGATCGCCTATGAGAATGAGGTGTTTGCAATGTTTTGTAACAGAAGTCACAATATGTGCTTCCAGTACTTCAGCTGCTTCCTCTACGATCACTATAGGGCTCTTCAAAGTTTGTAACGAAGACCTCAAACGAGCAGCACTTGTCGTAGTCATTCCTATCACTTGTGCATCTCTCATAGTTCGCACATCTTCGATTTGTCTCAGTTCTTCATATTCCTTACACAACGTAGGAAAATCTTCGCAGGTCATTTTCAGAACATCAGCTTCACGCTGTCGATATAGACTTAACCAATAAAAATATAAATGCCATCTACTTTCAAAGGGAATCGTGTGCGGTCTACGCAAGTCGACGTTATCTGGTTGTCGGATGCGGCCTTGTAGATATCTACCTTCGGATAAACGTGCCTGTTTGGGTAATGGTTGTTAATTACCAAAGCAAGTGAACTACTTTGTAGAGAACTTACCTTTACATATTCAAATGTGCGGTGCAATTCATCCAGGTATATACGCGTCTGTTCTTCTCTAATTAGTTCGTGGAAAGTCGGGTTATCTATTTGCATTAGTTGCACTAGTGTAGTTTCGTATTCTCTCATTTGCTCTCGCATCGAATTCAATGTAATTAAGAAAAAGCTTCTTTTCACCTGAGGTAAGTAATCGAACACTTCCTCAAAAATCGAATCAAATTTTGAAATGATATGATTGTTAAAACTAGCGTCATCAGCCGAGTTTTCTGAGTACACATCGTTATTAACTTCGTCATTGATTCCTATTCGGTTGAATTCATTCCAAACCTGAAAACCATAAATTCAGTCCTAGACATATCTTTAAACACACTTTTTACCTGCATCGCTTCTAGATTATTGTGTGTCCTGCGCTGTCCATGATGAGTTTCTTCTAGAAGCCATTTTATTATGTCATCTTGTTTTGCCGTTGCAAACCAAGTGTCTTCGTAATCGGGTATTACTTCAGCGAAGTTGTAAAATGATACTACACTATTAAAATACTCGATCTGTTGCAGATTCTCCGCTGTAACTTTTATGTTGCGCAAGCAATCTTGAAGTTCCCTGCGTTTAATAGAAACGGTGGCATCTCTTTCAGATTTGTTTCTCAAATTATAAGGTTCTAATCTCGGGTTTTTAGACTGGCCACCCACACGAATAAGACTAGTGGTGACTGGAAGAAGACCTTCCAAAAATTGGTCTAGTGCATGGTTGGTATAACAAATCACCAACATGGGAGAAAAATCGTACCACAAATCTTTATTTTTTAATAACGTTTCTGCTATCTTTAGTCCCATGTAGGTTTTGCCAGTTCCTGGAGGACCCTGAATCACCGCTATTTCCTGCGTTATGGCCGCTTTAAAAGCCACCATTTGTGATTCATTCAAACTATAAAAATTGTCGTTGGGCCATTCTAACAAAGGGTTGAATTCGTGCCCTTCTATTTCGTAGGTACAGTCAGGCGCTGTTAGGTATTCAGGAGGCTGGACGGAAGGATTCACTCGTACGATGTACCTTTCCATGGGAAAGTTTTCTTCAGTCATGTTTTTAAGAACTGTTAAAACGTGAAAATAGGGCTCAAAGTAAACGCTACACTCAACCATCAGGTACGTACTATTATAATCTACAGTCAGTCTTTTATCAAAAGCGACAATTACTTGACCTTTTGTCAAATCTTCCATTTTTCGTTGAGCCACCTTTCCAAAGAACAAAGTCTGGAAGTTATCTTGAGTGAAGCACAATAATGAGCCAAACATAAATCGTTTGGAGTTCTGAAAACTTAACCCTTTCTTTTTTTTGGAGGCAAACTGAACTCGAAGACAGTAGAACTCATTGATGGTTTCGCTATTTAAAAACTGGACTGCCTTATGAATTTTAATGTTGTCGTTAAGAGGTTGCGATGCGCGGTAATTGGCAATGCCATCTCTCAAAGGCCCCACGAAATCCTCTCTTAGAAGCCGAAACTGCACGTCTAAGTAGTGATTTACGTTCTGGTACGGCCCTTCTACCACATTTTGTCGCAGAAACCCGCGACCGCCAACTATTTCTTCAGCACTTGGATAAACGCTGATTTGGCGAAAATCATCCGGAGGGTCCAAACTCTCAGCTGCGGCTGCTTCTTCCGAACATTTTTGCTTTTCTTCTTTTTCTTTAACGAAAATTTTCATCATGTCTTGCAGTCTTGCGGCTTTATCTTTGATATCTTTACTCAATTGTATGTTGTGCTGATCTTCAATGACGGGAATATAAATCTTGAGTGAATTCAGGATCGCTGGAAAAGTTTTACACGCAAAAGTGGGGGTTGTGTGCAGTAAATCTTCACAGATTTCCAACAGATTCGCCCAAAATTCATTAGGTTCTCTCCAAAAATGCGAATTAGGTCGCTTTTGGGCTAGTGGCAGGCAAGCGATGAATTTGTTTAGTTGCGCCACGAACTTGTCGTTGAACGAAGAGTGAAGGATGCTATATTTTGTATCGCTGAATGCGGAACTACTCACTTTTGTTAAAATTTTTACAATTAAGACAACAACGTCGGGGTTTAATTCTTTTTCTAATAAATCGGTGAAACCTTTGCGCTCTTTTACTAATGTTAAAATTATTTTTTCCGCGTCATTTCGAACTAAGTCGTCTAAAAACGTGTAGCCCATTGATCGGGGCTGTCTGCTACCGAATCTACCATGGTCCGGTCGATGTTCCTGAATACGTGAAATGCGAAAAGGTTGTCCGTTTCCTTTGTTAAACTTGGGTTGATAACTTTCATTTTCCCTTTTATTGTTGTACATAGAACTGGAAGGCCTATCTTCTTCATTTGCTTCATTTGTAAGAAAAAAATATATATTAACATTTTTTTCAGTTTCAGTTTCATTAAATGATATTTAGAGGGCGTTGTAAATTTTAATGATCTTTTAATGATCTGTTTACATCAAGGGCGAGAGATAAGCTTCGACCAACTTTTAACTTACTTAGTTACGAGAATATACGGAAAATTTCAAAACATGTCTCAGATAAAACTAAGATGTTGCGAAACAATGATAGATATTAAGTAGATGTGTCGGAATGTCAAACCGTTTGTTTATTGTTTGAGTAAATCCCTAAAATTACTTTTATATGTACTTAAGTAGTTTATTTACCATTGAAGCTTATTTATATTTTTACCCTGTTCCGAGTGGTGAGTTAAAATTAATACCATCAAACGCGCGGATAAAAAACTGAACAATTCTTGAAGTTATTCAGATATTTCCAATAAATATCATTTAATAATTTTTTGAGATCACACCAATTTTCTGCTGGAGATTAAAAATAAATTAATCCACAACTGCGCAAAAATGGCACGACATAATAAGAAGAAAGGAATTGATATTCCTACACTTTAAGAGATAATGTGAGATATCTCTCCATTCATTGTTTAGTTTATAACACAGAAAAAATAACGAACAGTATCTACATATATCATTCGTATGCGTCATTAGTCATAAGCGTGACTAATAAAATAATGATAATACATTAATCCCATGTATCTGCACATGTTGTATACCCGACGCTCATTGTAATCATTACATAAGGTGTTGCAATTTTCTGAAGGATTTTTTCATTCACAAGCACAAGTCAAAACAAGTATTGTGTCCATCTGACGAATGTCTAATTTCATGTTTTCGCAATGTTTCATGATTTATTCTATCTAGGTATAATCAAATTACAGTACTTAAATCTGAAAAGAATAAAATTATTTGAAATTTAGTAGGACGCTGTACACTAACTTAACAATTTCAAAAAAGTAGAGGGTCGGCCAACGTACTCGATTACAATACTTCCTTCGCTTACGCTTGGGAAGTAAAAATGAACAAAATTGTATTTATTCCTTATAGAAAACTTATGACGTAGTCTTAAACAATAAATTATAAAATCAATGTTTATTATAAGTATACTTTCAACATACTAGATAATTTTTTTCTATAACTGCTATTCAAAAAGCCCATTTTCGCATTGGAATTAAAGCGCAAAGGTAGTGAGAAATTTTTGTTCACACTGCACATGCGTATTAAAACGTGCTTATCATATAGCCTGGGACTGCAATTGTCATTATTCTGTTATTTAAAAATCAGGACTGTCGATAGAACAAAAGTCGGACTGAGATTAATTTAATAAAACAAGTAAACAAGTCCGATTATTGCTAAATTAACAAATAACTTCGTGTGTTTATGATTGCATGTTGAAATTTGTCATAAGTGCCTTGAGTGACGATTCGGACATTCAAAATACTCCATCAGAAATAACGGAAAAAGCAACAAATGCTTGAGCGAATTTATTATCAACGATTTTTCTCGAAAAGTATGAAATAGCCTACGATTAACTGTATTTCAAAATGAGTTGTATGATAAGTTTTTAATAAAACTGTTATTGTAAAGTTGTAAACTTAAATTTGGTCAGAAAAAAAAATGTGCTGACTTGGAATATATCAGAGACTAATGAAAAATCCGCTGGAACGCCACAAAGTTGCGCCGGAATTATTTTGTACATATTCGCTCTGTAATTAGTCGTGTAAATTCGAGTTACTAAGAAATAAAATTACTGAGTTTAACCCACGCCGATTTTAATCACCCGTTCAACATAACACTATTACCACATTTTTTTGGAAAAGATTGTCTGGTATATGTAATACCCATGGAGGTAGGATGATATATATTCTAACCACGGTAATACCATCTATCAATAGGAACTGATTATGTGTAACGCTGTCTAAAAAAAATGAAAAGATAATTTACTTGGCAAATTTTTGAGCATTGTCGTCAAAATTTCGCTGGGAAGGAGTGGCAAATTTTGGTTAGTGATCTATCAAACTGACGACAACTTCAAAGTGTGAGAGAAATTTTACAGCAATTGCAAACAGATTGTAAAATTTTATTATACTATTCTATTTTTGTTTGCAAAAATCGGCACTTGCAGAGTAAAAAATATAAACGACAAGCCCTAATATAGATTATATTTTCCATATCTTAGTGTTTATGCAGCAATAAATAAGCCATTTAGTTAGCTGACACAATCGAGTCAAATACATTTCTTTATATATTTTTTTAAATATTATCTAAAGATAAGAATATATTATGACGGGAACAGATCTTATCAGTACACGTTAAATTAATGTTCTATAATATCGAAATTAATGCTATCCCACAGTCTCTGAGATAATTATTTTCGAATTTTGTAGCTATTTCGAAAAATTATAAGATTTGATTTTAAAAATATTACTTTTAAATAATAACAGTACTGTACTGCCAAATTTTCAGGGACACTGAGTGAGTCGTTTTTGATTTAATCAATAAAATAGATGATCTCATTCATTAATTTTTTCCTGTATAACTACTTAATTCTGAGAAATGAGAATGCATTCATAAACGACAGAAATAAAGATTATATTTTAGGTAGGGAGATAGGATTTATTCGCCAAAATTTTGACTCGCGATTTAGACTGTTTACGATGTACTTACAACATTTGCAATGTTTCATAGTTTTAGGTTTTCAGTTTCAAAGGATTTTTAAAAATACTTGCAAGTGTAACTTATGAACAAAGTTCTATTCGATTAATCCCTCATTTTGAAATAGTTCTGTTATGAGAAGCTACGTATTCCTTACGAAAAAATTGGTGTAGTAGAGACAGTACTTCCCTCGCTGTCGGAAATGTGACGACCGCATGTCTATTATGTTTTTTTTCTCATTACATTTTTGTAGCGGGGCATTAAAAAAAAATACGATGACGTCATCAACATTTTTGCAATGACACGTATATCAGTTTGGATAGATATAGTGTAATACTAAAAATAAAAGTACTGTATTCCCAAATTTTCGGGAAAATAAATGCCGCGTATATTAGCAGAGCCGACTGAAAATCATTTATGTATAAGCATTCTTAATTTCAGACAACAATCGGTAACATTTGTTGAGGCTGTGTACGTGAGAGTGAAACAGAGAAACTGCAAACAATACCGATGGTCGTCCAGACTTTTTTATTGCTTCGACTTCCGCTTGTATATAACAAAAATTTAAATAAAATCCAATGTTTTATATAAAAACATTGGATTTTATTTAAATTTTTGATGATGTAATTCACAATTGATTGATTATAACTTGCGCTACAAAACAAATGCATGTGTGCAATGTTAAAGTAAATGTAAATAAGCGTGCTAGGCCTATGTTTCAAACGAGTTTTTACTTCACAAAATTTTGTGTCTATCAAATTGGGTTGGTGCAATGTAATACTAATAATAACAGTCTTGTATCTCCAAATTTTCGGGAAAATGGAGTGAACTATTCCTGATTTAATCAATGAAATAAATTGACCCATTCATTAATTTTTTTGAGCCACCTGTTTAAACAAATCTAAAAAATATGAATGTAATTATAAATCACAAGTACAGACTCAGCATATTTTGTACATTTTAGATAGGACATACTCAGCAAAATTTTGAGCTGACGTCATCAATTTTCTGGAGGGGACAAGTAAATATATTTTGATTAAAAATTTATCATGCCTATCATAACTGTAAACCATCTGCAAGATTTCAAAGCATTCGGTTTTGCAGATTCCAAATTAAATTGCAAAATGTTGTTTCATAATTTTGATTTTTTTTTTTCAAAACCCTGGACGTTTCGGGTAACATAACCTACATGCGTAGGACTATGTTATTTTGTACATTTTAAAACCCATTTACTATGTACAATTTTGAAGTGACGTTATCACATTATTGACGTTATAAAATTTTGGTTAGCGTTTTACCATCTACATGATATTCCTAATATAAATACAAAATTTGACAACAATCGGCCCAGTACTTGCGGAAATTATCTGTCTAATAAAAATCCCGGACAGCAGACAGACGGAAACGGGACTCATTTCTTCGTCCTCTAGGGGTCACGAGAGGTTGAGAAAATGTAAAAGTAGACAGTCGGCCGACGAACTCGATTACAATACTTCTTTTGCTTAAGCTCGGGAAGTAAAAATTACGAAATGAAACGATTAATTTTATACACCAAATCAAAAAAAATTGGTCTAAAGAGTTTAGACAGTACTTCCCTCGCTGTCGGAAACTTGACGACTGCATGCCTATTGTGTTTTTTTTTCTCATTACATTTTTGTAGTGGGAATTTAAAAAAAAATTGTGATGACGTCATCAACATTTTTGCAAGGACACGTATATCAGTTGGGATAGATGTAGTGTAATACTAAGAATAAAATTATTGTATTCCCAAAATTTCGGGAAAATGAATTGGGTCGTTTTGAATATTGATTTCTTATAATCAATAAAATAACGAAACAATTTACTCAGGTATACGGCGCCGGTGTGTAATATCTAGAGAGCGGATTTCTGTCGGGCTAGGCAAGGCCAAACTCGGTACGGCTCGTACGGGATGCGAATTCATTGCGATTGCGGACTGCACTTCGTTTATTTGAGATTACAATAAAGCTGTTTCGTTGCACTCTGCTGCTAATTCCCGTTCTCATTTACTTAGCCGTTTGATTAATAAATCGTTAATTATATTTATGGAATTAGTACCGATTAAACGTGACGTAGCCCGACAAAAATCCGCTGTCTGGTAATATGAAAGGCAACTGAAAATCGTTTATGTATAAACATTCTTAATTTAAGATGACAAGCGTAACAGCATACGTGAAAGTCAAACAGAGAAACTGTAAACAAAACGACCATCGGTTTTATTGCTTCGACTTCCGCTTATTATATAAAACATTGGGTTTTATTTTAATTCTTGACGGTGAAATTCACAATTGGTTGATTATAAACATGTCTATTCTACATTCGCGGAACCAAGTGAGCGCATAAAACAAATGCAGGTCTGTAATGTTAAAGTCGATGTAAATAAGCGTGCTACCCTTATGTTTCAACCGAGTTTTTCCTTTAACAAATTTTGTGTCTACCAAATTGGCTTGGTTGGGGTGTAATACTAATAATAAGTGTTGCCTTTAATTTAATCAATAAAATAAATTGACTTCATTAATTTTTTTGAACCACCTCTTAAAAAAAATCTAAAAAATATGAATGGAATGATATATCACAAGTACACACTCATCATATTTTTTGCATTTTAGATAGGATTTATTCAGCAAAATTTAAGAGTGACGTCATCATTTTTTTTAGGAGGGATGAACAAATACATTTTGAACAAAAGTTTACCATGCTTATAATAACTTTAAAATATTCCCAAGATTTCAAAGCATTCGGTTTTGTAATTCCTGATTAAATCGATAAAATAAATTCACGCCTTCATTAATTTTTTTGGGTCACCCTGCATATGCAAATCCAAAAATATGAATGGAATGATAAATCACAAGTACAGACTCATCATATTTTGTACAATTTAGATACGATTTATTCGGCAAACTTTTGAGCTGACGTCATCAGTTTTTTGTAGAAGATAACCAAATATATTTTGACTAAAAATTTATTATGCTCTTTATAACCTTAAAACATCTGCAAGATTTCAAAGCATTTGGTTTTGTAGTTCCTGATTAAATCAATAAAATAAATTTACGCATTCATTAATTTTTTTGAGTCACCCTGTATATGCAAATCGAAAAAATTTGAATGGAATGATAAATCACAAGAAGAGACTCACCATATTTTGTACATTTTAGATAGGATTTATTCAGCAAAATTTTGTGGTGACGTCATAAATTTTTTAGGGGGGACGACCAAATACATTTTGATCAAAAAGTTACCATGCTTATGATAATTTTAAAATATCTTCAAGATTTCGAAGCATTCGGTTTTGTAGTTCCTGAATAAATCAGTAAAATAAATTTACGCTTTCATTTATTTTCTTGAATCACCCTGTATATGCAAATCCAAAAAATATGAATGGAGTGATAGATCACAAGTACAGACTGATCATATTTTGTACATTTTAGATATGATTTATTCGGCAAATTTTCGAGCTGACGTCATCAAGTTTTTGGAGGGGATAAGCAAATATATTTTGACTAAACATTTATTATGATCTTTATAACCTTAAAACATCTGCAACATTTCAAAGCATTCTGGTTAGCAGATTAAAAATTAAATTTCAAAATGTTGTTTTATAATTTTGATTTTTTTTCCAAAAATCTGGACGTTTCGGGTGAAAAGTCGATTCAGAGTTGTAAACTACATGTGTAGGACTATGTTATTTTATACAATTGAAAACCCATTTACTATGTACAATTTTGAAGTGACGTCATCGCATTAGTGGTGCGGATGATTAGACAAATTTTGGTTAGCGTTTTACCATCTACATGATATTCTTAATATAAGTACAAAATTTCACAACAATCGGTCGAGTACTTTCGGAGATTATCTGTCTAATAAAAATCCGGGACGGCAGACGGACAGACGGACGGACAGACGGACGGACAGACGGACGGACAGACGGACAGACAGACGGAAATGGGAGACCTATTTCTTCGTCTTCTAGGGGTCATGAAAGATCGAGAAAACGTAAAAGTAGAGAGTCGGCCGACGGACTCGATTACAATACTTCCTTTGCTTACGCTCGGGAAGTAATATAGGACACCTGATCTACAGTATATAGTAGAAATCATACGTCATTGTAAGCTTTTTTTTCTCACTCTTGCACACACAGTATCTTTACATATTGTTAACAAATTAAAAACCAACACAAATATCAGGACTGCCTTATTTATTTTATTACATAATAAAGAAAATCCAGACAGGTCTTATCTTTGTCCTGAATCCTGATATTCTGAGAAGACAGAATTATATCTGTGTTTATTCAAACTGTATGCATTTATCGGATCGGATATGGAGAAAAAATTGTTCCTCCATGATTCGTATTAAAAAATTGATTATAAAGAAAATTTTGATGCAAATATACGCAAAGAATTGATAAAATTCGTGTAATCGGATTTATCATACTATTATATCAAATTATCTTACCTTTTGTTCTCCAGGTTTTTTCCCTATAAACATTGGGGGAGCTATTGCCCGATCTTCTTCCATGAAAATTGTCCATAGCTGTACTTCACAAAAGTGAAAACAGTGGCCTCGGTGAAAAGCTTCTACATACATTTAGTATTTTAATAAGAACCGTCCCAATAAATAATAAATTAATAAATAGGCACTTACCACCCAAACTAAAGAAAATATCTTAAAATAGGTACGTCTCACAAATACTTTCTTTTGGGTCACCACCCAAACGCGAATGACTCCAGCACGGAATATTCGCGATTTTACTCCATTTAAAACATTCAAACTGTATTAACCGTTCCTGTCTATCAACATCTTTTGTTGTCTATTTTTCAACATTAAGCACAATTTGACAAAACTATAAACTGTGTTTCACTAAACATAACCGGTTATTGAATATTTGTGTCCTTAATAGTGGAATTAAAGCTTGTATGACAATTATCGTCGCTTCCAGTATCAAGTAATGTTGAATGCACTCTGATATCCAAACAAACGTTGCCCCGTTGAGACGTATAAGAAGGGGAAACCCAGAAGTACGCCGGGCTACCAACCCTGCACCGTTAAAAAAAAGTTTGTGAATTTGATGATTCGATTGAAATAAATTAGAAGAGGAACGAGTCAGACAAGAAGAGGATATGCTTCAGTGATCAGTGACAAGAAATATATTCTTGTACAGCTGGTGTAATGCGACTTTGTGCAAATTATATTGTTTTAATTTTTACCGTTGGCAGTCCTGTCGTAACAGTACATATTTATATCCACCGTAGCGAAGAAATTTTTTTAAAAGTTTCTGTGATCAATTTGATGTTTTTTGAACTTAAATAAATAAATATGTATAAAATAAAACACGTTATATTTTACACATCACATTTTCATCTGGAAACGACAAAGAGCAATTGTTGAGAACACAATTTTATTCAATTAATTATTATTTTTGTGCGTCAGCTTGTTATAACAATACAAACATTGGTAACAAATCGTCACACATACAAATTGTTTTTGCATTATGCATCAGTTATAAAGTGTATTTGACAATAATTCAATTATTCAAGAATCTAAACATTGACCCTTAGAATACTTTAACAGTTAAAAAACTTGTTTAAATTACTCTAAGTTTATTAATTACTATTGTACTTTGTGGTAGACCTAGTCCTTACACATCTATTTGTGCGTACTTTGGCAGGAAATAATATAATAAAACTACACAATAACATGGAACACAATTTTTTAACTTTTAAATATTTGGTTAATTACAACGCAATTATGTGTAGATGATAGACACTATCATTAAAACTGTTAATTCAATTATAAAGGTATTGTATAATAATTGGTTCAGACATATAATAAATAAAATCTATTAAAAATTTACAACTAACAGCGTCTAGCATTACATAAAATCTTTAAAATCACAAGACCATAAGTAAATTATTTTCATACAGAATCATCTGAAAGCACAAGGTATTAACATGTACTACACTACACACAACACTCTTACCATGATACCACCATTTTGTTTTCTTTGGATTCTTATTGCAAGTTTTCACATAGAAAGCATTGTCTGGTGGTCTTTGCTGCAAAGGGACTTTATAGAGACATTTGATTTGTTCTAGCCTAGGTGACTCACCTTTTCTTTACAACTACTGAGCATCGATACAATCGAAAGACAGACCGACTGAACTGACAAAGCAGGTGACCAATCGTCTGTTAGTATAGAAAGACAAATATGTCCATTGCTGTATATGTGTGGATGAACTGGAATGTTATTCCCTACAAATGTTACCTAAAACATTGACAAAACAATAAACACTATTACAACAAAAAAATCACTTTGACACCTCAGGCGAGTCAAATGGGTATTTGTTACTAAATTTAAATTGCAATTGAAAACGTTCTCCTTCATACAACGTTCCTGCAGCCCCTTCCATATTTATAATCCAACTATGAAGAATAATATTTTTATTATGGATTAGCCTATCTACAGCGAACTTACTGTAACAAATTCTGTTCGGCCAAGTCGGCATCCACTTCTACGCCCGGTGGAGGCTCCTTCATGAGGGACATTAGTTCTTTTTGTAGTCGTTTCTAAAACGAACTCGGCGCATGATAACGCAATGAAGGAAAAACCAATGATTTGACTTACTTCAGATGGTGACATCCCTGCCATTTTGGAACTAACTTTTCATTATAAAATTGATACCTAAAGCGATCTAACTGAACGCAGTAGTTAATAAATCAACTTCAATTTAGCATCGACAGAATTTGGAAAACTTACTTTTGACGTTGAAAACAATCGACCAGATTAATTTGGCCTCTAGCACGTCTCAATTCTCAAACAATGAACAGCTCACCATGGTTTTGTAGCAAAGTAAATAGTTCCATTATTCACTTCTACCAGTGGCGTAGAGAGGGGCGTCTTGACAGGTCACGATATGAACACGTCACGATTTCAAAACACTCGCAGATAAAATTATCTATGGTTGGGAAAATAATTTGACATTGGTTTTGAACATTTTTAGTTAATTAATGTCCCTCCTCTTCTAGCTGTGTGCTGTGGTTCTGGTTCCTAACAAATAAAAAAAAAATTTTGCAAATTTTCATTAAAAAAAAAACTTGAGCTGCAGTAACTAATTTAAACCGATTTAATAATTTATTTAAAATATGTAGGTTACAAATGTTCGATTACGATTTGTACATGGAATAAACAGAACATACAGTTTGCTTCAATAAGCTGATGTTCGTTGAGCTATACATTTTTATTTAAAAAACAAAGAAGGTACATTCAAGTTCCAAAATATCTAGCCATACAGTAGTTAAGATATACGAAAAATCTTGCCAGTGTCACACAATCTGTTATTTGTTTGCTGAAGGTACTAAAGAAACAGTTAATTGATTATAAAATTTTGAATTCACAACTGAAAGATGAATCGTTAAAAAAAAGGTAGCTATTATTCTCGTTTAAATTTATAGTTTTTACGTATTTAAATTTTATGACTGCTATTAACTGAAGTGTTATAAAACCATTTGATTTGTGCTAATCATAGGTTGCACTCATAAAATTTTGTGGCAGCAACCATGCATAAATAAAAATCACAAGCATGAATTAAAAAAGTTTTTTAATTGGTGGTCTTTTATCGAAGGAAACATATAGATAATAATCTATATAAAAATGTGAATATTTCCATACAGTATGTTTTTTTAAGTCCACCACCTGCTGCTTTGTATGGGTAACATTAAAACTCTCCTATACATCTAATAATTTTGTACAGTGGCAGTGGTCTACCTCATTTTGGCTTTTTGTTTTAATATGTGTAGACTTCTTTTCACAACATCGAACTTAAAACATGTTTAAAATGGAAAATTTGTGTAAGGAAATATCGATTTTGCAATTAGGCTCCGCCCTATAATTGCGAAATACATGGCCATCTTGTTGTGTAAAGATGGCTAAGTATGTTAACAAAATAAAGACAAAATATAAGCCCCGCCCACCCGCCCTATCTCAATTCTGATGATTTTTTTTATTCGTCGTAAGCCGAAGGGCGGAGCTTAATTGCAAAATTCTTATTTTTCTGCGGGAAATTAAAAACAAGTTTTTGAGTGTTGTTCAGAATCGAAAATCAAAGAAATCGAAAAATCGATTAGCTGGAAATCCAAAAATTGTAAAATTAAAAAATTTAAAAATTGGAAAATCGAAGATAACATCGAGAAAATGAAAATATAAAACTGGGGAAAATGAAAAATAAAAATCAAGAACTTGAAAAATTGCGGAAGCGAGAAATTGAAAAGGTTGGAAAAATTAAAGTTGAAAAAACGAAAAATTATGAAACCGAAATATTGAAAAATGGAAAAATGAAAGTAAACGAAAAAACGAAACATTTTGTTATCAAAAAACTGTAAAATCGAGGAAAAAGGAAAACGAAAAATTGAAATACCAAAGAATTGGTCGAAGGTACATAAGTTCAGATTTTTAGAATAATTATAAGATATTAGAGGTAGTTCTGTAAAAACTTGTTAAATAGGGTTACTTTTCAAATCTAGTACAGAATTTTGTGGAGAGATACATAAAGATACGCACTTTATATGGTAGAAATAAAATTGGGTTTTAATATACAGAGTGTCCACAAAAAATAAATTGAAACAATTTTCAAATATCGATATTTCAGTATTTTCAAATAGAATGTTCCGTGTTTATTACTGTATCTTATTGTTTTTCGTTTTCATTCATTTTTGTTAAATATTTTTTGTAAAGTTGATACTTGTTGCGATTTCTCACTTTTACTTCCCAAACGTAAGCTAAGGAAGTCTTTCAGTTTCGAATCAAAAAAATGCAAAAATTACAAAATTTTAAAATTTAAAAAATCAAAAATGAAAAAACAAAAAAGCATAAACTAAAAAAAATGAAGAAAAGAAAAATTCAATATGTTGTCTTTTTCTCTTAATATACGTAGCAATATTTTGCCTTTTTGTTTTAATATGTGTGGACTTCTTTTCAGAACGTGGAACTTAAAACATATGTAAAATGGAAAATTTGTATAAGGAAATATCGATTTTGCAATGCTCCGCCCCATAATTGCAAAATCCATATTTCCTTGCAAAAATTTACGATTTTAATCATGGTCTAATTTCTTCTTGTGAAAAGATGGCTATGTATGTTAAGAAAATAAAGGCAAAATATAACCCCCGCCCTATCTCAATTCTGATGACTTTTTTATTGGTCGTAAGCCGAGGGGCGGAGCTTAATTGCAAAATTCTTAACAAAATTAAAAACAGGTTTTTGAATGTTGTTCAGAATCGAAACTCAAAGAGATCTGAAAATCGATTAACTGGAAATCCAAAAATTGCAAAATGAAAAAACACAAGCGCCTAGAAAACTCAAAATTTAAAGTAAGAAATCTAGAAGGTGCCAGGTTTACAAATGTGACAAAGGAAGTAACTTAAGCTAATTTTGTTTTCGTTTTCCACTAAAAACAACGTTGTGGACTTAAAAAAAACTTCTTTAGGTATCATATGATTGAAAAATCCCCCACTAGTGAGTTATGGATTTAATTTTTTCAAAAACTATGGTGGCAGTAGTATGTTTTTTATTGAAGTTGGCTGTCAGTTTGACATTAGCATTGTCAGTATAATAAAAAAATGCTAGAAGTATAAAAAAAAACAGAATATGCAATTTTAATTAACCACAGTTGTTATGGAAATGAAGTTTGCGAACAATTTTCCATGATCTTACGAATGAACAGCTGTGACAGTCTAATTTTGCTAACACAATTTAAAAAAAATATATTCTGTAGCTCACTAGAGTTTTTTTTTTTTCGATCATATGGTATCTATTACTCCTATACCGCTCACTCTTTAGAAATCCCATATATCTAATACTACTAGTACTAGATATATGAGAAATCCTATAAAAACGGTCTTTATGATCGAAAAGAGACAGAAGATATCTCCTGTTTTCTGCCTTTCTCACCACCAACGACGAAAAATATGGAATGCCAATTGTATGGTTTATCTTTTTAGCTTTTTGTTATAGCAACATTTGAAAAGTTGTTTTTTGTATTTTAAGTTAGAATTAGTTTTTCATATTACACTACACTCTTATTGCCTCACAAATTGCAATATTCTGTCTGGTCATCCATACAAAAATTCTTTGAGGAGACAGGAAGTCGAAATTACAGTCGGGGCTAAATAATCTTGTCCCTCAATGTCATTCCACTGTTACAACGTGTGAAACACCCATAAAAATAAAACACTTTAAAAGTATTGTAACATTTTTTTTATTAGTTTTGTCATTTTTGACTCTGCGGACATGCGACTTTCAAATTTTTAAACTTCAAACAAGTAAAAGTATAATACAGACTTCCTCAAAATTTTTAAAATCATAGAAAAATGGCGTCCAAGATTTTCTGGCCCCGATTGTATTTGTAAAATGAATTTACAAAATATATATTAAAATAAAACATGCTTTTTAGCTGTGACATTAAATACTTCCATAATCCGCCAAACAACCTCAAGACCATTTTAATTCGACGCCTCTGATACACGCATCATTAGTAACCTTGAGTTTGACACTTTGCACTAAGGTGTCTAACTTCATCATTGTTATCAAAGGTTAATAAATAAATAGTTCCCGAATTGATTATTTCAACAAATACAGCCAACGTGCTAGTATTTTTTCCTTTTGCGTTTTATTCTTATCATTATTTGTGTCATTGTAGATTCACCAGGTTAAAACCATTTTCATAGTACCCCCTGGTATGCATACAAAACTGGCACCAAGAGAATTACACCCCTTCATAAAACGGAATAATATGGTATGAGAAATTATTCAAAAAGTATGAATCTTGGAGGTGTTATTCGTTTAAACAAAACTGGAGTATGTGTTTTATTTGGTGCTCTAGTGATACTCTTCGTGTACATGTTGACTAGTAATTCAAACAGAAATGCTGCTTCGTCTGTTAAAATAAATTTAAAGAATCTCTTAAAAGTGGCAATAAATGCAGCCGAAAATGGCGGGAAAGAAGTTGTTTCGAACAAAGACAACCTAAAAATTGAAACAAAAGGGCTTACCAAAGAGGGCATGCAAGATAGTGTTACGACAGCAGATTATTTGTCACACTGTGCCATTATGAAAACATTGAAACATGCATATCCCACACTTAATGTAATCTCAGAAGAGAAAAAAGCGGAATGTGATGAAGATCAAAAAGTTGATTTTCTTGAAGTGGAAGTTCCTACAGCACTAGATGATTCCTGGATGGATATTAAAGATGTTGCGGTGTGGATAGACCCTTTAGATGCCACATACGAGTACACTGGTACATTCAGTTTTATGTTGTTTTAAAGAATTAATGCCCTCTTTACATAGGAAAACTGTATCAGTATGTGACTACAATGGTGTGTGTTGCTGTAAAAGGCCAACCTGTGATCGGTGTCATACATAAACCTTTCCTGGAAAGTCCATCACGGACTTTCTGGGCGTGGGTGGACACTGCCAAGTCTAGTAACTTAGAATATGTGGTAGGAGTGTTAGATAACATCAAATTTAAAAAAAGAGTACATTGTTTTAGAAACCTGAGAGGGACACTTTGAAGATTATTGTGTCAATGTCGCACAGTGGTGAAATTAAAAAAATTCTCAACAAAAATTTCAAACAATTTGAATTAATTTCAGCAGCTGGTGCAGGTAATTTAAAATATTATTTTTGATTAAATGGTAATTAAATAATCTAGGTTATAAATCACTGGAGGTTGCAATGGGAAATGCGGATGCCTATGTTCATATAACCGCCATTAAAAAGTGGGACATTTGTGCGGGAAACGCAATCATAAATGCAATGAAAGGTAAAATGACAACAAAGTATGATGAGTTGATTGATTACAAAGATGAAACTAATGTTCAAAACGAAAAGGGTTTGGTTGCTACAGTAGTTAATCATGATCTGTTTATAGGAAATCTTTAGAGTAAACTTGAAAGACTTGTACAAAATGTAATTTTGTGCTTGTTGTGTTGTCTTGTTGTAGTTAGTCTTATTAATAAATACAATAAATTAATTTTCAAAGTTTTTGGGGATTTTAATTTATCACTAAAATGTCACTCGAGTGAATCAAACATGCGGTGCAGTTAACCTCAACATTTGAATTTCAAGAATGAACACTCACTTTATAAATTTAATAAAAATTGTTAAAACCACAGTTATTCCTAAAGCCAACTCCGCTTTTAGAAACATCTTCAGTGAAAAGTATCTGCTGTATACAAACATCGGGTTGTCTGCAACGTTGTCAGGTGTGGGTGACTGTTTGGAACAATATCATGAAGTCCTGAGGTACAATACAGAAAGTTGGGATAAAATTCGAACCCGAAATATGTCAATATTTGGAGTTAGTGCTGGCATATTTTGCCACCATTGGTATATCTATTTAGACCGTCGATTACCAGATTGTACTGTGCGAGCTGTAATAAAAAAAGTCATAATCGATCAGTTTGTTAGTTCACCTGTTTGTATAGTGATGTTATTTCTTACTACGGCGGTTTTGGAAGAACAATCGAAAAGTGAATTGTGGACGGAGATGAAGGACAAAGCGTGGAAACTGTATGCAGCTGAATGGGTGATATGGCCAGCAGCACAATATATAAATTTTCAGTTCCTGCCAACGAGGTATAGGGTGCTATATGACAACTTAGTTTCTGTAGGATATGATACATATACATCGTACATAAAGTATATCGATAAGATATCAGAAAAAAATGAATGTGACAACAAATCCTAGTAAAATATGACCAATTAATTGGTATGTAAGTTCAAAAGTCCACAGAACAATAAATGTATATTTTTTACGTTCAAATGCAGTATTGAATTAAGCGAATGGAAGCTCTTTTTTATACTACAATACCCCACCACCTGTTGAACTACGTAGGTAACATGTAATCATTATGTAAACACTTATTCTTAGAAAGCAATGCTCAGAGAAGTTGTTGACAGCGCTTGACATAGTGTTCAGTGGCGTAGAACCTGTATGTGTATGAGCATATAACTATATTAATTAAATATTTTAAAACTATGAGTAAAATTCGCCACTTCGCTAAGATGTTACGAACGATGTTGATGTTATTATATAGTCTTAACAATAACTGCATTTCATGCCTCTACTTCAACAGCTCAGTGCATAGTCAACTGTCTAATTGCGAAATACTACGCCACTGTCTTCAGAAAATGTTGGAAGCACTGGGCAGAATCAGCGCACATTTCAAAATAGAGCTATACCAGACAATGATACGAGTATTTTGGGCATGGAAGACGGATTGTAATTATTATATTACATTATATTCATTTTGTCTGTGTTTATGGCTAGTTAGTTACATTTACATAACTGTGACTGGCCAATGACACAGCCAATGATGTCATTTTAGTTTTCATTTTGTAATGGTGGTATTTCGTGTGTCAACTTTTGTTGTTTTTTTTAAAATGTGAAGCTCTGAGGTTATCTTATAGACCTTCTAATTTATAATCAATTAAAAAATAATAACGCTACCCCTTTTTAACATAAAACATGAGCATTTTCCAAGATAATTCTCTAGCGGTTGATAACCCTCAAAGCAGAGAAGAGGAGGAGGATCTGGAAGAACAGCGGCGTCGCGAGGAAGAAGTTAGTATTTTGACCAATTTTTCAAATCCTAACAACATTTATATGTATTAGTTGTCAGATTTACTGGCGACTGGAATACACGCATTTAATTATGAGGACAGTACAATGAATTCTTCTGTAACTTCAGTCGAAGAGGTTGGACCAAATTATGTGAAGACAAAAGGCAAAAATGACTTTAATTACGAAGATAGTAGTAAAGCAGTCCCAGACAACTTATCCGCTAATTCGTCACAAGTTACTGAACGCAATTATAAAAACGTCGACCAGCAAGAACAGTTAAAAGTATTGTATGACGTTCGGGTAAGAGAAATTAACAATCTTAGAGAGGAGTTTAACAAATTTAAAGCTGAAAAAGAAAAAGAAATGACGGTTTTAAAACATAAAGTGACGTTATCAGAAGCAGAACTTCGTCATTGCCAGGTTACTTTATCAAATTCGGAAAGTCTGTTAGGTATGAACATGTGTTTTGATATGAAATTATCGGATTAGTAAATCATGGCTGTCCTGTAATTGTATGCCAATCTGCTAACTGACAATAAAAAAAAAACTGCTTGTGCTACGTTTGTGTAATTTTGTGAGGTAACTGAAAAGGTCAGTTTTGTGGTGATAAGGGTTTTCTTCACTTTTTATTATGTAGACGTTTATTGTAAAAAAGGCGGATTAATAAACCACAAATATAGAAGCACATGTTATAAAATTGAAATAGCATGCACCCAGCAAAATTTTGAGATGACGTCATTAAATTGTGGGTGGGGAAGATCAGACAAATTTTGACTAGAGGCAATTAAAATTCCGTTTTAATGAATAAAATGTTTTCCATTTCGTCAGCAGCGAGCAGATTGACATATATTTATGCCACACCTGTAGATTTACTTGTATATTTTAGTGGAAAAAAATGACGTTATTAACCATTTAAAAGGAAACATTACCTCACAAGTAGACGAAATTAGTAATTTAAAGAAAGTGCTTGAGCAAGTAAGTGTATCTTGTTAATTAATATTAAATGTGTTAATGAAAAACGATTGTAGCAAAATTTGGAAATTTGCACATACAAATCAACAGTTAATGAGCTGCAGATGAAACTCGCAGATAATAATCCATTTAACACAGGCGCTCGTAAATTAAATTCTGAAGAACTGCAGAAGGCGCACCGAGATCAGATTATAAAATTAGAGACTTTTCTACAGGAAAAGTCCAAAAAAGTGGAAATATTAGTAAGCATAGTTTGTTATTTTGTTATTTTTCACTTTGCTCCTGATACTTTTACTGTATGGCCCAAAAACATTAATTTTAGTCTGCAAATTTCACAAAAGTGAAAAAATATGTGCGTCTCAGTCGGGCACCAATTTTTATTTTTAATATAATGCAATAATTAATTAGTTAAAATATAGATAATACGGATCAAGATAAATTAACAGTGTTCCAGAACTAAAATAAATGAATTTGTAATATTGTTCTTAGGAAAAAGAAAAAAATAATTTAAAGGAAGACATGAAAAAGTTAGTTGGACAGAAAAATGAAGTGGAAGAAGAAAATAATTTAATGATTATAAGTTTATCAAAAAAATTGCAAAGCGCCCAACAACAATGTAAAGATCTCTTCTTATTAGGCGAAGCTATAAAAAAGGAGAGTGACCACTTTAAGGGTACTTTCAATTAAAAATTTGTGTATTTAAATAAACATTACTATTGTAGATCGAATTCAACAGTATGACAATAAAATTGATTTATCGGGAGACAGTTTAGCGCTTAATAATGTGGTAAGAATTAACTTTTGAATTTTCTAAATTGTAAAAATTGACAATCCAGACCACGTGCAATAGTTGTATGAAACCATTTTGTGATATTGATTTTAGGACAAAGACACCATCGTCGTACACATCGAAAAATTGAAACGTATGTTGTTAGACAAAGACGTCGAATTAAATACTCTCAAAACAAAACTAAAGTAATCAATATTATATCGGAAGTATTAAATAATACGTACGTGTTGTAGGTTCTACAACTCCGATCTAGATGAATTGTTTGAATATAGACAGTTGCTTAATAAAATGTACTCATGTGAAGTTAAGTTATGCAGTAGGTTTACATATTTATTTATAGTCGCATACGTAAAAGTTTATTTTAGACAATAGCGAGCATGAAGAACTCATTATTTTTATGCAGAGACAATTACAAAGCTACCAACAAGCTATTGATGACCGCAACAACCAAATAATGAGTTTAAATATGGTCAATAAGGAATTACAGGAAAAAATTGAAGAAATGTTAGAACAAACACGTACAGACATTCAGAATATTTCACAAAAGTATAGTTTGCCCCAGTTGGAAACAATGAGTAACGAACTGAAAAATGCGGAAGAAATGATCAACAATTTAAAACAACAGTTAACGGAAAAAGGCGATGACAAGGGAAAATTCGAAAAAATTCTTCGCGAAAAGGAGGATTTACAAGAACTTGTTACCCAAGAGAGGAAAAAGTTTGAGGAAAGTGTGTCACAAACGAAACGAGAGTTGAAAGATATAAATAACGAACGAAATAAGTTACTCCAAGAACTGTCAGAGTTTAAGAAAACCGAATTACAGTTGACGGAGGAGAACGAAAAAGTTAAAACACAGTTACAAAAGATTTGTCTAAACCTTGGGCTTTCAGAGGCTGAAATATTCGATTCTGAAGATATTCATGACGTAAGCACTTTAAAATCAAAATACGGACAAATACACGATCAGCTGCAGCACGTTCTTATGCATTTGGAAAGTATGAATGTGAAAAGAACAAATTTCAATATCGTTTTTAAGTTGAAAAAACAACTGCAGAACTTTTTAAATTTAATGACTGAGCAAAGTTTGGAGCAGAAACACGTTGAAGACAAATTGGAGCAGTGGGATAATATGTTGAGCGATTTTATTGAAAGTTTGAGACATGATGCAAGTTTGACGAACGGCGATTTGGAGCTGAAAGACAGTATTGAAGATGTTACGAATGCTAAAACGATGTTGGAAGGGGAAAAATTTGCGCTGGAATATCAGCTGAAAAGTCGCACACTTGAACTGGAAGAAGCTAAAAAGCAAATCGCTTTGTTGAATGAAAACAACAGCAGTCTTAGTCAAGAGTTTGAACAGAGTACGCGCTCGGTTCAGAAATTAAATGACCAGATACAAAATTTAAAGAAATGTTTACAAGTGGTTGAGGAGAATAAAGTTGAAGTAGAGAAACAGTTGGAGAACACTCAAAAACAGCTGAATGAAGCAAAGCAAGAGACCATAGATTTACGTAAACAAGTTAGAGAAGTAAATGAAAATGTAGTAAGAAAAAATTTGTGTAAAGAATTAAGAAATGTCGAAGACACGTTGCAACAAAGTAACAATGATGGTATTTTTGTGTTCACAATAAAACAACTTCGCTGATTTTTCGCAGTTTTAGGTAGTGATATTTTTCAAAAGTGTTTACAAGCTCAGGTGTTGAAAGCGGAAATTACTTTACGTGATAAACTTCATGAAGAAAATGTACAGAAAATGCAAAAAATTGAAGATCAGTACAAGAATGTGCTAACAGAAAAAACAGAAATGTATAACAAAGAGAAAGAAAAGTGGAAACGGCAGGAAGCCAATTATAGAAAACAGTTTGCCGCTCTTTTAGAAGAATGTGGTAAAAAAATGGAAGAATTAGAAAACGAAAACATTAAGTTAGTTAAGCGTGTAAATGGAGTACTCCAAGAGCACGAAGCGTTTAAAAACAACGCCATAATTAGCATTGAAAAATCAAACAAGGTAGCTGCCGATTGTAAAAAAGCAATGAGGGTATGGTATTGTCAATGGATATATATGTTTATAAATGTTTTAAATTTTTAGGAATCTAGCACTAAATGGGCCACACTTTTACAAAGTTATATGACCGATGCTACCAAAATTGAGAAGCAACAGCAAAGAATTGCCAAAGGCGTTTTAAAAAAAATTAAACTAAATCAAGCGGAGGTAATGCTGATTATTATGTTGCCACATTGGTGGATGGAAAAATAAACTCCGTTTTTTGTGAGTTTGCAAAACTTTTGTTTGACGGCTTACATTGAGTTTGTATAATGGAGTTTACTGTTTCCATCTATCAACATTTGTGTGAACACGAATCTTTACGCAATGATAAAGTAATGCTTGAGGTTCATAAAAACTGTTTTGTAAACGCAATAAAAGTCAAATTAAGCTTTAATTCCGCTATTAAGGTGCGGTTAATAAAACGTCCTGAAATTGGCGCTGGACGAACAAGATCATTGGAGGAATGATAAAAAGAAAGCTTACAATCCAACGCCAAATTAAGGCCACTTTTATTGGTTGCACCCTGTTTTTTGCATTGCTGCAACGACGATATGACGTCGTCATACCAGTGTTTTCAAAAGTAAGTATGTATCTTATGAATGATGATTGAAAAAAGTCCTTTAATAGGTCATTTATTGTTAAAATAATGATGTTGGTAACCCTTGTTCGGTTTGACAGTTACGGGTGCCAACATTATTTTAAAAATAAATTTCATAGCCTACTAGAGAACTTTTTTTCGATCATATGGTAGCAAAGTTGCGGTTTAATAACTGTCAAATATAGTGCCAAATAGCTGCAATGTCAACCTCATTATTTTAAAAATTATTTTTTTGGGGTACTAGAGGACCTCTTTCTGTCATAAGATACAATGCTATTTTAAGTTGGCCGCCACTTATAACTTTGAAATCGCTACATGTACAACTTTGAATTTTAACACGAATGGATGAGTAATTAAATGAATTTAATGGTACTCATAGTGACACGCGGTGTCTGAAATGTCAAAACTATGACAGTTAAAAAACTAAAAAAGATATTTTCTCAACAACAAATTTGTTTCTTGTGTATCAGTGACACAGTAGATCAGTGACTTCGGCGTCATGTGTAGGTAAAATAAATGATCAAAAAAGGGATCATATAGCATTTAAAATTTTTTGACATTTCAAGGTGATTGCGTGTCACTGAGTTCACGGACTACCCTACTACTACTGAGTTCAATCTCATCAGCATCATCCATTCAAAATTCAAAGCTGGACCGCCATTCAAATGTTTTAATGATGAAACAACGAATTTAAAATGAACTTTTTGCCCGTTTACTCTCATCATGGGTTGGGAAACGAACATAACCTTACTCGAAATTTAATTTGACAAGTTTGCATTTTGACGCGTAAGGTTTAATCAACGAAGTGAAGTGTTTCCCTGGCCTACCGTAAGCTGAAAACTTTTTGCTTACACTTTTTTTCTTTCGATAATGCATATCTCGTCTACACACATTTTTTTTTCATAATATACAATTTTTTTCTTTTCATTATCTTAATGTAAATTTATTTAAGAATATAAAAAACAATAAATCGACTGGAAAAAGTATGTCGTCCCATTAAAAAAACAAATTACGTCATAGTGTCGCCATAGCAACGCATGAGATAAAACACTGGAAAGGTGGAAAGTGGGTTCTCTTTTTATTTTTACCATTCTGATAAGTTTACAAATTTTGTACTTTACCAATACGTTACTTTATCAGTTCGGCTTGTAATTTTTACATCATTTTTAATTGTAGGTAACTCTAATAGAAAATTTGTATGACAATAAAATTAAGCAACTGAAAGAGAAAAACCTGGGTAACAAGTTCAACATTGTGTGATGAAATTTAGTTGATATTAACAAAAATGTATTTTCAGTATTAATTTGTGTTATTAAACTTTTTTGCAATTTTATCGGTGTTTTTTTTATTGTAAAAGCAAACTTTCGTTGGCGCGCTTCAATTTTTTTTTTTCAAATTTATTTTTTTTTTGCTGTCTTCATAGTGCACGAAATATGTGTAGATGTCGCTAGCGTATCCGGAGACGGAAGGAAGAGATCTTTATTTTTTGAAGCACATGTAAAATTTTTGACGTTTTTTTGACATATTTCGTGGTGTTTTGTGAGGAAAAATAAAATTCTCTTGCGGTTTTGTTACATAATATGGGTAAATTTTGTAAAACTGGAAAAAGAAGCGTATATCCCCCACAAAAGTGAAGTCGGTGTTGATCATGCGTAGTTTCATAATTATGTTGTATTTGGTGCATGTGTTGTGTGTTGCGTGAGTTAAAAGATGATTCTGGTAAATTAAAGTGGTGAAAAGTACATTAAAGATTCGATGATGGTCTTGGACCATTTTAAATTTAGTTACTTTTCAAAAAGAAATAAGACTTTGTGGATAAAAGCCCCGTGTATACCTAAGAAAGCTTCAAAGGTCTTTGAAGCTTTCGAGGCCGTGTTCATGGAACTATGAACCTAGACTCGTTGTCTTTTACCTTGTCACAAATAAGTTATTTAGTTGCATCATTAACCAAAAAGAACTACAAGCAAGTGGTTGCGGACCTCACAAAGGTAAGATTGGCCCTAACATGTCGAAATGTTTCAATATGCGTGTTCAAAATTATCAAAATGACAAATGGAATATCAGCCATGTTTGCAGTGCCAGCTGTCACGCTTACTTACCGATAGAGCAATGTTATTCTGAACAAAGGTGTTTTGATTGTTATTATTTTTTTTCGTTCACGTTCTCGCAAAAATGTCAATCAAACTGATGAAGTACTTTTTTCTCTCCCGAAGTCTTACTAAATTGAACCCATTCGTTTGTAGTTTGTAACTTTGCATGGTCTGGAGGCGGACCGTCACTTGCTCCAATGTCTATTTTCATCAGTGGACTTTTCTGAGTCTACGAGCAAGATAACCGCACCATCTCCCCAAAATCAAGCATTGCTAGAGCAGTGCTCCAACTTGTTGAACAAACCCTCGCTGCTGACGTCTGTTTGTTACATCACAGACAATCCTCTCAGTAACAACAAGGTAAATCGAAGACATACAAATTTTACTTATAACTTTGCTTTACATAAGCAAAAAACTATCTGGAAGTCGATGCTAATGCCAGTATTTTGATAAAGACTTTTAAACTAACCGTGCTTGTCGTAAGCACCATTTTCACCATGCAGATACTTGGCAGATATGAAAGACTCTCCAGATAGCATTGCTTGTGTAGATCAAGCCAAACATTGGTAATTTTAATTTAGCCACAAGAGACTAATTTTTATAAAAAATACGTAAGCGCTTTTCTTTGATATAGACTTGATAACCTGAATAACGCTAAAAAAAACAAAAAATCCATCCATTTAATCTACATTGGATACAAGAAAGAATTACACTATTTTGGCGACTGGAATATAGTTATATTTATTATTTGTAGACTTTGTGCTTCACTAATTTATTTTAGTTGATTTTGCAGCAACATCCTTAAAATTGGTTAATTTGTTACTATAATGTTTGAGTATTCAACAAATGTTTTATACAATGTGTATTTTATACTATTTTTTCTTTTTTGCACCTTTTTTAATTGAAAATTGGGGTTTTTAAATTTTGGGGAATTTTGAGTAAATCTCGTTCTGATGCGTACAAAAATGTATAATTTTGTTTTTTTGACGTTTATTTTATTCGTGATTTGACAGTAACATTTGTAATGCTACGAATTTTGAAAACGTAAATTATACCAGTTCTATTACGAATTTATAATTTGGGTGCTTTTAACAGCACGGTTTTGAATAAAAATTTGCACCTGTAATTTTCTGAATGAAAAAAAGTGTCACTTTATTCTGGTCCATGCATAGTGCAAAGGAAAGTAAAGTTTAAAAGTATTGATTCATAAAGCTGCGCTCTTATCGTTGGACATTGGTATTTGATAAAAGTTCAGTTTAATGACAAGTTGATTCATATATATTGGTTCTAGAATTATTTGAATTAGTTAATCTCTTTTATTATAAGGGTATTTATGTTCCGTTATGAAAGCAATTTCTTTGTATCAAGATCTAATATCACATGTCATGTGAGCAAGGAATATTTAAAAACTAAGTGTAAAATAAAAGGAACGTAAGCATTGTCAGATACTTCAAGCATGACTCATTCTACATAAGTTTTTGTAAAGTTTGTGTCATTTTATAAAGTAACATTGCATCATTTTTGTAGTGAACAAGAGTGTGACGAATCATGTTACATATTGTGTTTGTTGTTTTATATGTAAAATTTTAATTGTAATATGTTCAAATGTTTTTATGTATCTGTAAATAATTATGTCCATACACAAAATTTGTATTGTATTTTACTATGATTTGGATTGATTTTGACATGAATGATTGTATCGCGGGGAACTATATAGCCACCACTGTATTTTTAGCGTTAGATATCTACAGTACGCAGATATTTCAAGTAATAAGGGAGCTGTTGCATGTAGAATAAAATCTGAGACATCCGGTACGAAAATATGACATTACAAAAAAACAATAACAATAATAATGGGAATCTATTATCAGTACTTAGTACACGTATGGTTTTAAAGAAATTATCGTTAAAGATAAGCTTACATATGTAGATAGTTTACTATTACTCAGGTTATTTTCTTTTGTCTACGTATCTTATTTTATTTGCGTTATATTACTGATGATTGTAGAAAGAGTTTGTGTGTCATGCGCGGAAAGTCACATTGTCAAGCTGCGTGCAGTAAATAGTTTTTGTATAGAACGAAAATCACGATTTGTTTCTTTTGGTGAGTACAAAATGAATTTCATGAGGAAAGTGGTGACAACTAACACAAGTACATAAACACAATAATTTCAATCCTGTAAAAAGATTGCCAAAACCATTAATCTATGTAATTCCAGTTTTCAAGTTGATCGTATTATTGTAAAGTAAGTACAATCAATTTTGTGAAATATTAACTACTAAAGAAAAATTGGTCTCAAGTTGCTAAATTAGTTTGATGAGGCAGGTATTCTTTTACCATTGGTGTTTCGACAGAGATATGAATTTCGTTAAATCTCTAGATTTTCTAGGTTTTTGCTTAATTTTGAAACTATGCAGTAATAAAAACGTGTGATCTAAGTCTGAGCAACAAACTTAGCGTTGCCATTGGTTAGACAATACGTGGCTTGAAGTCGCAGTAAATTTAATTGAACTTTGGTGTGGGCATGCGTGCAACTTTGACCTGATTAGTGCATTTGCTGGTCGATTCTAGTAAGTGAGTGAGCGACAATAGCTCCGGAAAATGTATGAAACATTCAGGAAAAAATTCGAGATTGTTTGTACTCAGAATATTGCAAAATATGTACTCGGGTAAACTGATGCACTGCATGTTTCTATAGCATTTAAAAAAAAATCGTTTGTATACAAGTAACTTTAGTATAAAATGTTTTTCCAACTTCTCAAATTTTAATTGTAATTTTTTACCTTTCAAAACTTTTACACCTTTCTATTCGGTTTTAATATCTTCTTTTAAAATGCGCATTAAGAATAGGATTTCTGTTTAAAAGATATCGATAACATCGTAACTTTGAGAGCGCCAGCTGAAACTTTTTAAATTTATTAAGTGTTCTTGTTAGATAGCATTTGTGAATTTTTATCAAATTTGTTCTATAGGTTATATGAAAATATCGACTTGCAAGATGAGAGTAATAATTTCCTAAAATGTTGCCATGTAAATGAATTTGCATAAAGTATGAAGCGCATTATTCAGATAAAATTTTGTCATTTCCATATTTTCAAAGGAATAAATTTAATGATGATGTAATTTCCTACTAGAACCTTGTTTCACTTTTAAAGCAAAAGTCTCCGCGTGATAAAAAATTGTAAAGTTAAATATAAAATAGTTCGCTTTAACCGAAGTCATATCTCTTGTCGTTTCTCAGGTAATACTAGTGGGATTTGCTCTTGTAAACCAGCCTAACACTTTCCTATCTCGGCAGGCCCCCAAGTTCGGCCCCCAGTTCTTCCAGCAGTTGAGCAAGTGCCTTCGCCTCTCAGCTGTCCAGGAAGTCGTGTTTGCCCTCGCCCTCCGTCACTCCTCGAACCCGGAAGTCTCCTCTCTCGCCCAGGCCCACCTGCGCTCGACCGTCCCCGCTCTGGTACAGTCGTACGTCGAGACCGAAGGCAGCAGCCGGCAGCACGAGGGCGGCCTCCACGAGACCACCCCCGAGGTGCTGCACCTGATCCTGTCGGCGGTGCTGAAGGCCCCCAAAGAGGTGGGACTCGCGAACAACGCGCACCGGGCCTTCCTCGACACCCTGCAGCGGGACTTCCCCAAGGACCTCGTCCCCGTCGTGCTCGCGCCGCTCGTCTACCCGGAACACTGCGAGCTCTCGCCGGAGATGTCCTCCGAGGGCCCCGGTCTGTCCGGGGGCATGTTAGAGACGTCGATGGCCGATTTGGTGGCGGAGATCGGCTTCAGCTTCACCTCGTCGGTGGAGGAATGCTGCAGCAACCTGATGAAGCTCGGGGGGCGGGAGGTCTCCCCCGCCACCGTGGCCCGGATTCTCACCGTTATGTGCCGAACACACAGTGGCCTTGAGGAGTCGCTCAGCCTGCAGTCGCCGGGGAACTTCAGCAAGGGGAACGAAGGACGCGCGTCGTGGAACGTCGAGGTTTTCGTTCAGGCTTTGAAGGAGGTCGTGCCGAATTTTCAGTGGACGAATGTCGTGGCCGAGTTGGACCACCCCGATTTCGTTATTAAAGACAGACAGGGACTGATCATTTTAATAAGTGCACTTCGACAAGGCCTCCAGACGCTGGGATTTCATCCGGAGACGTTTCCGATCGACCAGTTTTACAGGAGATGGACGAACGTCGAAGGACAGTTCAGTCTGATGCAAAACATACTCAAGAATCCGGATGTGTTCTGTTTTGCCGACTACCCTGCGATGACTGTGAGCGTCGACGTTTTGAAAACACCACCCGAACAAGATAGTAAGGAACTCGCGAATTGGAGGTCGTTGAATTTGGTAGAGCTTCTACTTCACATGTCTGAATGCGGCTTGTTCAACTACGTACAAGAACTGTTCAAATTTCCGATACACAACTGTCCGGATGTCTTAGTCTTAGCCTTGCTGCAAATCTCAGGACCCATAACACTACTAAGACAAGAACTGCTTTCGACTCTCATACCGATTTTCTTACTGAATCACCCAAACTCGGCTATCATTCTCCACCATGCATGGCACACGACTAACATTAATATAAAATCGATCATAATGCATGCGATGGCCGAATGGTACGTCCGAAGCGACTGCGACCAAACCAGACTATCCCGTATTCTAGACGTAGCCCAAGACCTGAAAGCCCTCTCGATGCTCCTAAATGCCCAAAACTCCCAATCATATCCGTTCATAATCGACCTAGCCTGTCTAGCATCCCGTAGAGAGTACCTCAAACTAGAAAAATGGCTCGCCGACAAAATCCGAGAACACGGCGAATCCTTCGTTACGGCCTGCGTTAAATTCCTCCACCGCCGCTGTCCCCAGTTAATCGGCAAAAGCGACGACGCGATGACGAAAGCATCGTCACTCCCTAACGAAACCCTAACCACCATAATGCTGTGCTTACAATCGTGCGTTAACAACGTAAATCCGGAATGCCAAGAAGCCATAATAAACATCACCACCAGTTGTACGTTACTGTTAAAATCGCGTCAACAACCAGCCCTCGTGAGATCCAGGGGTGTCGATGGCCCGTTCAGTGTTTCAGCGATCTCCGGACAACTCTACAACCATTCGGGCGTTGACACGATTCCCGGTTTGACCACCAACTTGGCGAGTATGACGATGTCGGGTCCCACGACGTCGGCGTTTAATCTCCAGGGCGGGTTAGGGCCGCTGGTGCAGTCGCCCGGTTCGCCGTCGCGGATTCTGGGGGCGGGTCCGTCGAATAGTCCGTTCCCGATGATGCCGCTGCAGCATCAAGGGCCCGTGGGGACTAGTTCGTCGCTAGTTTTGGGGGTGAACCAGATCGGGAATATCGGGAGGATGGGGCCGACGTCCAATATTGACAAGAGGATTCCTGAGTATAATTTGTTCCCGGATATGACGTCGAACGTGTCGAAGGATATCGAGGATGAAGCAAATAGCTACTTTCAGAGGATTTACAACCATCCGCCGCATCCTACGTTGTCTATTGACGAAGTTCTGGAGATGTTGAAGAGGTTCCAGGATTCGCATAATAAGCGCGAGAGAGAAGTAAGTTGGTTTGTCTTTTATTTGCATTTGCTGTTTGTGAAGTTGCATTTTTTGCCGTCAGTGATGAAAAGGGAGATCTTAGGTGCCGCTTTTTGATTTATAGCTAAGGTTTGATAAGCAGAAGATAAAATTTTATTGTTATGATTTATGCGATTGGGCGTAGTTATTAAATTGTCAAAAATCTAGAACATCCATGCAAATCGGTATCCAAAAAATTTTGTTTTTAAAAAGTTTGTTAATAATATTGACAATTCTGAAGATGAATTTAGATGTTGGGTAGTTTTTTAAATGTCGATGTATTTTTTTAACGTTTATTTCATTTACAATTTCGCCAGTTTACTGAAAAAAAAACGTATTATAGAATTTATCCATAAATGTTCGCAATGTAGGTTGGCAATGTGTTAAGTCTATTATATTTTGTATGGTGAAGTTCATGTCAGTTTTTCCAAATCTATCAATTTTCAGAAAAAGTCAGTTAATTAATCTTATATGTTTTGAAATTTTCGATATACGAAATTTTTACTTCCGAAGCTACGGCTGATTTAATATTTTCTCGATGTTTCATAACCCGTGAAGTATGAAAAAATAGGTCCCCCTTTTTATTTTACTAGATAGATATCTTCGAAATTATTGGACTCAAATTTTAGGTGTATTTTACGAATGTCGTGTAGATGGTAAAACAATAACCAATCTTTGTCTAATCATGCTCATCAACAATTTGATTTGAACTCAATCCTCCTTAAAGTTATTAAAATAGCATTACTTCTGTACCTGTGGTTTATGAATCCAGTTTAATTTTTTTACCTTAGAGGTCCAGATTGTTGAAGAAACACTTTTAGAATTTAACTTAGAAATTGCAAAACTAAATGCTCTTGCAAACGTTTTAAGGTTTATGGAAAGTATGTTAAATTACTAATCAAAATGTATGACCATTCCCTCCAAAAACATCTCAAAATTTTGTTGGATGATCCTTTTCTTATTTTGTCAGGAACAGATTGCTCAAGTTTTTTGCATTTATTAAAAACCACCCTTGCTTATGAACCTTCGACCAATTTTTTTAAATAAATAACATTACACATGACACCTAGATTCTACAGAAATAGAAATAATTCTCAGTTTGTTCATACTTTTGGCGATCACACAAATATTTAAAAATTTACTGTTACATCATTTTTAAATATATTAGAAAATAAAACAGTACCAAGAGACAATTTAATAACTCGAATCGCATTTTCTCAAATGTGACTTCTGCAGGTCAAATTTCTTTCCATCAAATTTAATATAATGGGCGACTTGAAATGATGCACCGCATCGTGAATTAAGAAATTTATATTTTATTTATATTCATTGTTTTTATTTTAATTTCACGGCACGTGATTAACTTGGTATTTCTAAAGTTGCATGAAGCACGACTAACCACTAAATTTATATTTTATCTATGAAAAAGTCATTCTATAATGACTTCATGACATGCTGTTAACAACCAAAAGGTTAATGTAGACAGCTGAACAACATTATTATTATAAAGAGACAAAACCGATGTGAAATCCATCGAGTACGCACTAATTCGCAAGGGATGAATGTTGATTGTCTGCACATTAATTTTTGTTGTTGTCGTAGTTGTTACATTAAATTTGATAAATGTGCGTAGTCGAAAATTGGAGGGAAAGTGAATAGTGCATTACTTATCTCAGTGCTTTTAATTTTTATGGAGAATAAAATTTATTTTTGAGAGCTGACCCCAAAGGTTGACTTGGATTGCATATTTGGCATGTACTTAGTAGTGTTTGTTTTTGGTGTTGCTGCTTTTCTTGTGTTATGTAGTTGAGTGTTCGAGACGTGCGAACGTTTGCCAACGAAACTTTCAAAAAATTCCCTTTTCAGGTGTTCAATTGCATGCTTCGTAACTTATTTGAAGAATACAAATTCTTCCCCCAGTACCCCGAGAAAGAGCTCTTCATAACCGCCCAACTGTTTGGAGGTATAATCGAAAGAAGCATAGTGACGTCATATGTTGCTTTGGGGTTGGCTCTCCGTTTTGTCCTAGAAGCTCTTAAAAAACCAGAAGGTTCAAAAATGTACTATTTCGGCATAACAGCCCTGGATAGGTTCAAGGGTCGTCTTAAAGAATACCACAAATATTGCGAACATGTCAGAGCTATACCGCATTTCTCAGAGTTCCCTCAACATTTACAGGAATATGTAGAGTATGGTCTGCAAAGTCTTGAACCACCAAATAAACCTCAAGGTACAGTTTTACCAGCCAGCATGGCTTCAATGTTGGCACCGCCGAACACGCCAGTCTCGCAAGTGTATAAGCCCAACTCTACCATAAGTTCGAGCGCACCGAGCAAAGCTAACACGACCACGACTAGTACTTTGGGAAGTCGACCTTCCATAGCTAACGCTACCAACATCGATACTTTATTGGTGGCCACAGAGAAAGATGAGAAAGTGATTGCTCCACCTGAAGCCTTACAAGATAAGATAGCTTTTATTTTCAATAATTTGAGTCAGCTTAACCTTAAGACGAAGTGTGACGAATTGAGAGACTTGGTGTCGGAGGAGTACTTTCCATGGTTGGCTCAGTACCTGGTGATGAAGAGAGCCTCAATAGAGTTGAATTTTCATGGCTTGTATTCGAATTTTCTCGATACTTTGAATATCAACGAGATTTATAGAATGGTGACTAAGGAAACTTACAGGAACATCAAAGTGTTGTTGAGGTCGGATAAAGGTATTGAAAACTTTTCCGATAGATCGTTATTGAAAAATTTAGGCCACTGGTTGGGTATTTTGACGTTGTCACGAAATAAACCCATTCTGCAGATAGACCTAGATTTGAAGTCGCTGCTAGTCGAGGCGTACCACAAAGGTCCGCAAGAACTGTTGTACGTAGTTCCTTTTGTTGCTAAAGTCATAGAATCGTGTGCCAAGAGTAAAGTTTTCAAACCGCAGAACCCATGGACGATGGCTATAATGAACGTTTTAGCAGAGCTACATCAAGAACCTGAGTTAAAATTAACTCTTAAATTCGAAATTGAAGTCCTTTGTAAAAACCTAGACATAGATGTAGCTCAGCTCAAACCGAGCATGTACTTGAAAGATCCTGAACGTCTAAACAAAATCGAATACCAACTGTCACAACCGACAAAGAAAGAAAACGCGATGATATCTTCATCTCAAGGGAACAACCAACCGGCTACCATCAACGAGCCAGAATTAGTCAATATGATGCCAGGCCAAGCGGCAAACTCCCCCGTAACACACAACAACAGTACTACACCTACTTCTGCTTTGTCAGCACCACCGGAGCCCCGTTTCAGCTATGGAGACATACAGATCGCTGGAATGACGTCGTTCCAAACCCATACGGTTGTCAGCCCGTCGATTCTACTTTTCCAAAACCAGCCTCAGTTGAAGCCTTTAGTCAGATCATCCATCGAACACGCTGTACAAGAGTGGATCGCTCCCGTGGTGGATCGTTCCATCAAGATCGCGCTACAAACCTGCGAGCAGATAATCAGGAAAGATTTTGCCTTAGATCCGGACGAAGGTAGGATGAGGCTTGCGGCTCACTTCATGGTGAGGAATTTGACGGCCGGTATGGCGATGATCACCTGTCGCGATCAGCTCCTGACTGCCATCAATACGCATCTGAAGCAAGCCCTTCTGGCCAACATTGGCTCACCTACGTTACAACAAAAAGAGATGATCGAACAGGCGGCCAGTATTATTGCTAATGATAATATGGAGTTGGCTTGCGCTTTCGTTCAGAAAACCGCCGTCGAAAAGGCTATTCCCGAAATAGATAAACGATTGATGAGCGAGTACGATTTGAGGAAGATGGCGAGGCAGGAGGGAAGGTAAGCAGTTTTTTCTTTTCTTTTTTCCTAGTGTTTAACAATTTGATTTTTTTTATTCTGGTGTACTAAATTAAGCTTCAAGCTAAAAACAATGACGTTTACAGAATTTCAATCGTATCCGTTCTCAAAATATGAGACCGCGGAGTTTTATCTGAGACACCTGTACATCGGGTGTCCCTGTTCCACTTTAAGATAACAGTTATTTGAAAAGATAGAAGGTTTTATAACACATTTAATTAATACAAAGAAATCTACAAATACCGGGTGATTTTTTTTCACTTGTGATCTAGTTACGCAAAAATTTGTGATAGAAAAAATTCGGCTGAAAAGTCGGTCGTAATTAGACGCAGTTTTTAATTATGTAGCGGCACAATAATAGGTTGGTAAGCGAAGAAAGATAAGCCGCTCTGTAGTCTAGTGGTCAGGTCAGGTCACCCGCCCGGCAAGCGGGAAACGTGTGGTTCAATTCCCACCGGGGCAGCAACATTTTTCTTCGCTTACCTATAATTAAATATATATATATATATAACCATAACCCCTCGGACATTTTCAACAGCCTTGGGAGTTAGTTTTATTGTTAATGTGCGACTTCCTGATTTCCTCCTAATACTACCGGTCTCACGAAAAAATTTTATCGCATAACTGAGTGTCCGTGAAAAATTAGTTTCTGAGAGCTGAGAACAAGGCCAGGGGGTCGATTCTCGAACTCGTTCGAATAAGTTCCGCATACGCAAGTGGCCAACTTTCGAACGGTTTTGAAGATTCGGTATTCTCGAAGCGCGCGCACACGTTGGTATACGCAAATGTTCGAGCGCATACGAACGTCAAGTTACGAGTGGGTAGATGCGATCGCATTTTGGTTTGCGAGTGGTGAAAGCTAACCTAAAACTCTGTTTGGTTTTGGTCGTTCTGTTGTAACGTCAATATAATATCTTTAATATGCTGTATCTGTTAATATACATTAATAGAAAGGGTTACCATTCCAAAAATACACAAATTGTAATGTATCAATTTGATTGTGGGAATTTTATAATTTCATTTACAATTTTGACATTTGTGATGCAAATTTAAAAATTTTAAATTGAAACAGCTGATTTCTGTGTAGTACACATAATAGCTACATATGTATGAAGAAACAACGGACTATTGCGATATTTTGGGTAATTTCTAATTAACACGTTCTTATTATGGTTGTATCAATAATTTTTAGGTGACTCTGGCTAGGCACTGCGAACATTTCAAATATACGTGCAGTTGTTTCAAAAACAAAAACTAAAATGAATTCTGAAAGATCATTTACTGTACAAAACGGTTGTAATGGTATGCATAAATATACCTGAATAAATATCGGGTAACCAAACGCTAAGAATTTTCTATAAACTAGGAGAGTACACGCAGCAATAAAGGTATTAATATGCAAATACCTGCTGGCTGCGGTGGTCCCACTCAAAAATAAACATTATTAAGTTTGTATCTGCATCATTGTAAAAAAATCACAAGAATTTGTATTAAATACGTAGGGTTGCATAAAATCATAAAATCAACATTTTTTTTTAATCACGATTTTTTTATGTTTTTTTAGTCTGTCAATTATTTGGGATTAAAATCCTGATTAAAATAGTAAGTATCCGACTTAATGTCATCCTTGAGTCGTACTTCTTAGTTTTGAACAATAAAGAGAATTTATTGTAATTTACATTGCAAAAAAGGAATTGATAGTGTTATTTATAATATTTACTCCTATAATCTTTAAAATACAATTTAAAAGAATTATCGTTCCATTTTGTTGGAAATATTGTATTCTAGTTAAAGTTCAACTGATATTGATATAAATTTGCATTAAAAGGGCCGTAATATGCATTGCATATTCCAAACTGTAAAGAAAACTTAAAAAAAAACAATAATACTTTAAAGCAATAATTTAAATCGAGCCAATCCTGCTAATACGTGTTTTGCTGCTTAATAAATTTGAAGGTAACAAATTAAAATAGTCCTTCTTGGATTCAAACTCACTCCGCGTGAGTTCTGCCAACCATCGCATTTAAATATCCTCTGTATTTTGCCGCTGTTGCCATATCCTCACTCGAACAGAGGCCTTCGTATGCGCATCGAGTTGCTATTCGCATTGAATCTCGTTCAAGAAGACGGATTTTCGTTTCGAATAGCATCTTGGCATGCGCATCGATTCGTACTCGCATCTTTGCGAACGAGTTCGAGAATCGACCCCCAGGATTCATATACCCATTCAATATGCATTTGTTGGACGTTACGGACTCAAACATGAGTTTCTTATGATCTTTTTATGTCGAGATGAAAATTCTGTTTCGGTGTCTAAATACCGGGATAGTTTTGGTTCACTTTTAAATAAAGATGTAGCCTTAAAAAAGACTGAAATACAGTCAAACCAATCTTTCTTCGGTGAAAAGTTTCAAAACATAGTAGGCAAAATATATTTACTTATCCCCTCCAAAAAGTTGATGACGTCAGCTTAAAATTTTGCCGAATAAGTCCTATCCAAAATGTACAAAATATGAGTCTGTACTTGTGTTTTGCACATTTTAGATAGAATGTATCGCAGAAAATTTGGCGATGGCCTTTTCAATTTGGGGGTAGGGAGGAAATCAATTGTAAAATGTTACACAGTTTTGGATTTTTCTTACAAACACCTAGATATCAAGGGTAAAAAGCGGGACATAAACGATTAGATATTGATTTGCAAAATTCCAAAATAAATTTATAAAATGGTGCTATACAATTTTGACTTTTTTCCAAAAATCTGGATATCTAGGGTAAACAATTTACACGTATTCATAAACCACAAGTGCAGGGGTATGTTAATTTATAAAATTTAAGTTTCATTTATTTGACAACAATCGGTCCAATGGTTTCGGAGATTATTATCTGTCTAATAAACATCTGGACAGATGACAGACAGACAGACGGAAAAAGGAAATGTAATTTTTCGTACTTTAGGGACCAGAAGGCGTCGAGAAAATATGAAATTAATAAGTCGCCTGACTCTATTATAGTTCAGGAAATAGCGTTGTACCCTATAAAATTATATTGACAATAACGAGACGGACAGTAGTACAATAGCAAGAGATATTTACAACTTAAAGTTGTCGCGTGACGATAATCCGCAGATCTTAAATTTCTAAAACAGCGGAAGTCCGATCCTGTGCGTACAATTACCTGCTAAATGTTCTCCGACAAATTTGGATGGACTGGTGTGTGCCATAAATATTTCTTACCATTGTACTACTGTCCGCTTCGTTATTGTTAATAAAATTTTATAGGGTACAACGATATTTCCTAAACTATACAGCGCTTGGGAAGTAAAAATCACACGGTATTATAAGCATTATATTGTCGCCTTCGGTTTTTCCAAATGTGACATCAATTATTTGTCTTCACACAGAATATGTGTGTTTTAAGCAAGTTAAATATAATATTTTTTTTTATCTTTTCATACATGACATACTTGTTTTAATGCTTTAAAAAAATTGTGAAACAGCAGCCGTGTTTTATTAGTTTTACTCTAATATCTCGTTTATTTGAAAAGCTAACATTTTGAAAATTGCAAGTGTAAGTACATTAACACACATAAAAAAACGTTTAAAACGCGTATATTTTTAGCGGTAGATCACTTTTAGTTTTTCTGGAAAGGACTTCCAACTTTTTCCTTTTCCAGACAATATTATGTAAGTGTGTTAAATTGAATATTATTTACTGTGCACTGAAGTAGAGATACGATTTCAACATGGTGAGTCATCAGAATCTGACAACGGACTGTCAATCAGTAGCGTAACATGAACACTTCAGAAGGGTGATTTTTTAAATTTATTTTCAACACACTAGCTCGAATGAGAATGTATCTATCCGGTACTAATCTAAATAGGTACTCTTACGCCCATCCCTTAAATTTGAAAGTGGACTTGGCCCGACCCATTTTGTGCTTCTATGTAGATTTACGGCTGTGATGTACAGTGAATAATGTCTAATACGTGGTGCGAATAAGTCTAAGTGTAATTTTTTTTAAACTATCTATTTCAAATTTCTGTGTTTTCAAATAACTGTGAGGAGGCTTTCACGGTCGGAATCAATACATGATCGTTTTCCGGGTTGAAACCATTTAAATTGAGTTTTTGGGCTCACCTACCCCAAAAACTCAATTCACACGGTTCCAACCCGGAAAACGATCATGAACTGTGGAACAGGTAAACTGGGACACCCGGTAAATGTGCGTATTAATTAAATTATAGCGATTATACACTCAACCGTTTTAATTCAATTTCACATTGTTATGTTTTGATTTAATTTGAAGTATCTACACATGATTTTAAGTTCCATGCTGATTTTATGTGTAGCTTATCGGTTACTTTACAGACAGCTGTGTAATTGTTATATACTGAGAGTCCAACACATTTTTGAGTAGATCGGAAATTAAGATGAGTTAAAACAACAGGTTCTTAAAGAATACTAATAGATCTAGTTGTATTGAATTATTTATAGATGTTTCGAATCTCTCAGGAAAAACAAAATGGAAAATGAGACAGGTTAAGGCAAAGACAATTGGTGTTTAGGGGATATTAACAATAACAGTAAATTTTTGATTGTGATTAACACCAAAAAGAAGGTGTGACATTTGATTGATCTGTTTTGTTATTAAAAATTTTATGTTGGAATCAGTGATTACGAATCGTCAAAATTCAATGAATTTTTTGATAAAGAATGTTTTCCCATTTTAAATAGTCTTTTTTTTATTATGTCGCGTCCAGTGTGTAACTTTAATCACAAGAATCTGAGAGCAAATTTTAAAACTTTTTTGTCGAATTTCAGACGCTATTGCGACGCCATCGCCTTGACTTACCAAGCCGAACGAATGCCCGAACAAATTCGATTAAAAGTGGGTGGTATTTCCAATAGTCAGATGGCCGTTTACGAAGAATTTGCGCGAAACATACCAGGATTTTTGCCAAACGAACGAGACTCGAGTATTCTTATACAGAAACAAAATCTGACACCCATTGAAACCCAATTGCATGCATCTACACCATTTCCTTTACCGCAAGCCGCGGTCCTCAACGACGATTTATCTTTACTTTTTGAAAAACTGGGTTTGGAAATCGAGCAATTTGTGCAGGCCACTTCCGGACAACCACAGTTTGCACATATGAATTCTAACTTGTTACTAATCAGAGATTGCCTTATGCACACTTTGAGAAATAGGGATCCCACACCACCACAAGCCATTGTACAAAAGGTAAGATTTTAGCGTTTTTCGAGGTATATTTTTATTTAATTTATGTTTAATCTTCTCTAGTGTGTGGAAAGTTTGCAAGATTCCCTTGTTTCAACCCTAAACGACGCCGATCCCGTTGTTATGCGTTTCAAAGAGATCATCATCAGGATTTTGAAGTCCTTCCAAGACCCACGTGTCTTCGGCCAGCAGTGGACGAACAAGTTGGTCACGAGATTCTTAACAGAATGTCGCGAAGACTACCGTTACAACCTCGATGCAGTCGACACTTTGATTAAGTCTGGCCTTGTTCATGTTCCACAATATGACTTAGCGTTAGCCCAATGCATGGAAAATGGTGTAAATTACTTGGGCGTGAATTTCGCCATGCAATTGGTGCAGCTGTACTTGATAGATGACCGTTCCAATCAGTTCGTTACCGATAACGATCTCTGCAATACGATCGAGATGTTGGCTAAAATACAGAATCACGCCAGGCAACCACCGGAAGGGTTGGGTAACATTATCGACATCTTGCGACAGAACCCGGAAACCCCGTTCTTTGGAGACAGAGCGCCCGTTGGTCCCACAGTTCACATCCACAACGGAATATTACAGGTAATGGTTTTATGCTAGTGGGTTAATTTGTTAGTTTCATCTTAAATGTTGGGAATACTTAAGGAGTTGGGACTGGCTGACTGTTTATTTATTGTATCAGATGTAATACTTCTTAAATTTGTTTTTGCATTCGGTTATTACGTGTATCATCTACGATCTTCCTCCCTGTCCCACTCTCTGTACTGTTCCAAAGGTATTTCGTCTCCTTTTTTTTTTACCAATTGTCATTTCTAAAATATTTTCTGGTATATACCTGTAATTTTCACAGTTTCTTCTATTTCCTGCTTTGTGTGTTAGAATCATAGTAGAATTTGTCCATTCTTGCGGTATTTTCATGTTTAATATTTTCAGTAATTCTTTCCTTTTAATTGCACTCTCTTCTATCATTAATACTCAGTTTTTACCTTTTAGCCCATTTTAGTGTTCTCTATTTTGTCTCCCTTACGTTTTCCTTTACTGTGGTTCTCTGTTTCTAATACTATAAATCTTTGCGGTTTTGATGTCTACAAGATGTCTGTAGATATTATTTCTGTGCTATTTTTTTCTCAATTTTGTTTTTTATTTGTTCGCTGCACTATGACGTCTGCTTTTCCTTTTCGGTTGCTTTATTAACTCCAATTTCTTTTGCCGAACTGCTGAGAACCTCTAAAAAAAACGTTTTTCTTTCAAATTATTTCTTTTTGTTTGATTTTTTTCTTTCCCCATTTCTATATACTTTCGTTTTATTTCTGTTTGTTAGAACAAACCACCGGTACCGACAAAGTTTTATGTATTGGATTTTTTTTATCTATGATGTTTAATCAATCAATTCGACCAACACATCTTGCATGTTCACCCCCATGCGCATGATAAATGGACCCTCTTTCCCAGTATTGATACAGTGAAAACATCTTAAAAATACATGTCATTACGAGTTTCTTCAAATAAATACTTACTTGGTACAGGTGAACAAAGAAATATTTTATCCACGTGTGGTAAAATCTCTTACGTTTGCCACACTTTTTTTCTGTTAATTACTTTTAAAGTTACATTAAAATTAGTAAATCTTTATTATTTGCAACAAATTATTAGAAATTTGGCTAGCCATATATTTGTATTCTTTGTAAGTAATAGATTGCTTTATACGAAACCAAGTATTATAAATATAACTCACTTAAAAAAGAAGGGTGGAAAAACTCAAATTCAGAAATCATAATGAAATCCAAAAAGGTTCTAACTGTGAAGCTTGATAAACGCGTTTATTGTTATTAACTTATAAATAGAGTGAAAATTCTATGAGAACATGTTGGGTCATATAACCTATCACTGGTAATGAAAATGAAATATGTATGTAAATTAGTATAAGGTACGACACTGGACAAATAAAATTATTTTTAAATTAAGATATAAATAAATGTTTAATTAAATGTACAGTCGCAAATTATTCGAGTTCTGTAGTTTAGAATTGGTAAAAATTGAAAATTTGCCAACACAGCATAAATTTTTAATCGGACTTGGTCTTTACTGGATTTCCTCTTAAAAAAAATGATAGGTTGACGTTTTTACGAATTTGTATGTACATTAATAATCGTTTACATTTATTTAATTTTGATTTTGAATTTAAAATTTTAGAATAGGCACAAAATCAGTAAATTAGATATTAAAGCGATATCATTCGGGTTAGTTCGGGACAATTTTCTTTCCACTTGAGTGTCAACTAAAAACGAGGGAAATTGACTTTAGGTGATAGTTTTTTTTATCCTTAAGAATGAATGGGTGGAGATTATTCGGGCTATCTCAGGCCAACTCCAAGATTCTTCAAATTACGCGTTTTATAATTCTCTGTTTTATTTATTTATTTATTTATTTTTTGTAATTCATTTTTTATTTATTTATTGTTTTTATAAATCCGTATCCAATAAATAATTTCACCAACGAAACCATGAAATGATTCTTTTAAAATGATTGTCTTAACCTGAATGGAAGCATTTACTACTTACGTGCAGAAACGTTAAAAATATTAATGAAACAGCAGTAATTTATCACTTCATATCTATTATGTATAAGTACTTATACATTTAAAATAAACGTGACACAATATAAATGCAATTTAAAAATTTATCGCAACAAAAACGGTTATAAAAAAAGTGAAAATGGTCGATAACAAAAATAGCTAAAGGTCTGTTTTTGTCTGTGATATTTCTGAAAGAACCCTCCACCGGGCATGGGTCAGTTGCGTGCAGCGGTCAGAAAAATGGTCATATAATTCGAAGGGATAATAGCATGAACAGTTGTTGCTTGTTGCAGTCGTCTTTTATGATGTAGATTACCAGAAAAATGCAATTTTATAAAAGTAAAATTGGCAACACTCCACGCACCTACTGCGTGAGTACATACCTTCGGCTTATTTCCTGATTTCTTAGTAACGATGGTGACTGAAATCCACCTATTTTTTTTAGACCGATTTTGGCAAATGGCATACCCTCTAAGAAAAGAGAGGGTGGGTGGGCGGGGCTCTTACCTGCTAAGATAAAACTGATTTTTGCAAATGAGATACCGTCTACGAAAAGAGAGGGCGGGTGGACGGGGCTCGATAATAACGGTTTACATTTTGAATAGTTTCTTTACGAAGTTTTATTATTTCTATGAACCATTAGCAATAATTGTAGCAACGAGTTTTAACAATCAGGTTGCTATGCATATAATTTGTACCTGTAGGTTGGTGGTAAGGTAATTTTGTGCATATCAATGGCGCCGAGTGGGGTCAGGATTTTAGACTTTTTACCTCTGCATTAAAATTAAAAAAAAAAAACATGAAAACTTCTACACATTTTCATGAAGGCGTGGGTGTTTTTTCCACCTCTATTTCAAAGTCACTTTGTATCTAGATATATACTTTGGCATTTTATACAGAATTATAAGTTTGAAAAAAATGCAAAAACGTGTCAAGCCTTTCATTTTACTTTCCATCTTTTGAAATAAGTCAAAAAAAATTACTTCAAATTTGTAAAAGTCATGACATCATTAATGATTTTTTTTAAATGAGACGCTATAATTTTGATCGGATTATTTGATAAGCGTGTAAAAAAAATGGAGAAGTTTAAAAAAAAAAGAAATTCGATGAAAGGTGGATTGGAAGGCGTAGACCAATAGAATCGCCACCTAGGTCTCCGGATCTGACACCCCTTGATTTTTTTTTTATTAAAATAAAGTTTATTTTGTTGTTATTAATTTTCTCAATTTTTTTGTTACGCAACCCCTACATCAAGCTACATTTTCATATGCAATCAAAATTATACCTTCCTATTTAAAAAAATCATTGATGACGTTATAACTTTAACATATTTAACGTAAAATTATTTTTATTATACATGTATCATAATTCTTGATTAAAACACGCAGATGCGTGTGCAATGTGGCCTTTAAAGCACTAGTGTTTTAAAGTCGTCTAGGCAACAATAAATATTATCAGTAAGCGAGTAGGTACTAATTTTTATTCAAATAAATATAAAAATTACAACTACATATTATTGTTTGAAACTTGAAACCCCTCCGTTTTAAGTTGATTACTATTTGTTAATTGGAAACTAGTAGTAACTTCTTCATTTTCACTGTTTGGTTGAAAGTCCAGCAATGCGTTTGGAAACTATTGTGTTTGAAGTGGATTCTTCAATATTTGCCACTGGCCACGCTCGAAGATTTCCACCCTACTTGCCGTTTCAGCTCATCCACGCTCACTCCACTATTTGCCATGATCAAAGCCGAACTTCGTCTAAAAGCATGACGGGTGTATTTCTCAGCGTAGTTAGATTTTCTGGACGGAGTGACAGATTTGTTGAATAACTTGACATACAATATGTCAGAATCATCAATAACTGCAAATTTTCGGCCTTTTTCCGTTTTAGATGGACAAATAGTGTTTAATAAAACAAAACCCTCGCTCTTAATGTCAGACATGCGCCAATCACAGAGTTCATATCTTCTACATGATCCAAATATACCACAAATAGTTACAACCTGAAAACCAATAGCATCGATTCACAAATGTAAATGTATTTTAAGTTGGTACTTACTTTCAAAAACAGGAACGTATCATCTGGGGCTTGGGTAAAAAATGTACGTAACTTTTCTTCCGGAAATACTAACGATTTTTTGGGGTCATGGCCTTTGTTAATTCCTTTTTTAATTCTCAACATTGTCTGTAATTTTGAGTGAATACACCAAAGTGATGACGATTTATATTGACTTGACTATAAAGAATTAGAAAATTAGTGTTCATGTCCACAATGTCGGAATTTTTTCTTGGCATCCATTTCACTAATCTGTCGTATTATTTATAGTACGCAACTTTGGATTTCTCAGAAATTAATCTTAATTCTGCTTGTTCTGCCAATTTTTTAATATCTTCGTTCGTTTTGTACCAATTCAGGAAGGTTTTTGTTTGATTTTTTTGCTCAAACATAACGTAAACAAACAATTGCTATAACCCGTGCTATAACTAACTCTACGGAAACGATTGGATTTCAGAATCACATATAACCTTTGATCATTACAAATTTTATTATTCTCATTCCAATTTTCACATTGTAGTGCAGGTATAATAAAAAATCGCGTATAATAGTTGTATATAAGCGCCTTTAAAACACTAACGTCGTGCGTGTTTTAAAGGCTTGCTTATACACGCGTATTATAATGTACATACTATTAAGCATGACATGTTTTTGCATTTTTTTTTTCGGTTTTTTTCGGTTTGCCCCACTTCACCTTATTTCAAATTTTCAGCGTGATGTTGCTTCGTAAGCATTTGAATATTCAAGACGCTTTCGTCAGCCGGATTGTTGACTGCCAGGTTTGATTGGAATCTGATAAGGAAAGGTTGCACTCTGTTTTCTCCACAAAAAATGTAAAAAGTCGAATAAAGTACCTAAGATCATAATAAGTTGCCACGGGGTTTACTTCTCTGGAAATCGTGTATTTATTCCACTTCAAAGAGCAGAACCGACGCTAATGTTATGTTGTTTTTTGAAATATCATTTAAATAAAAAGGCACTGTGTTAAGTTTATAGCACCACACTATCTGTGTAAACTAAAAAATGAGATAAATGGGGAAATACTTTGACGCATTTCCCCATTTATCTCAGAAACACCAACAAGAGTGGCAACTCATTATGATTTTAGATAGTTTTTCACTAATTACAGTCGGCGTTTCATACCTTTAGAAAAAAAAAAGTCAGAGTTACAACTTATTGTCATTCCTTGTAAAATCAGAAGCTAGTTGAGCCTAATATAATATTGTTACATCTTAAAATGAATAATAAATAAAGGCGATGATTTGAGTATACATGGTTGGTTTAAGTATAGTAAGAAGTGTGTCAAAAAATTGAAAGTGCTTTCTTAATGTTAAAATAAGCGTTGAACACAAACACAACAGCCTGCAATGTTTACAATGACACTAATTTATATGTACACTCTTGCTTATTCATTTGAGCGCACGTTTTTTGCAAATCTAACTGAAATCTCCATAATATAATAAAAAATCAGCTTAAAACAGCTAATAAAATGTATTCTGGAGTTAATAATAGGTTAGAAAACTCCATATATAAGTGATTTAGATGCAGTTGCAGCAAAGAAATTACTCTTGGCCGAAAAATATTAGAGTGGGCAAAATTGCATGGAATGTATACCACCGAAGAATTACTATGTAAATGCTGTTTATCACTGTTCTGCTTTTAACGTTTCAAAAAATTATATACCCTCTCATTTCTAGGTGCGTGCACCAAACTATGAAGATCCTCCCGGCTTAGTCGAGAAAACCGACTTCCTCCTCAGAGAATGGATTAGCATTTACAACCAGCCCCAAGGGCGCGATTCCACGAAAGCTTTCAGTGTGTTCGTCCACCAAATGAACATGCACGGGATTTTAAAAACCGACGATTTAATCACAAGATTCTTCAGATTGTCGACGCAACTATGCGTAGAGGCGGTATACAGAATCTTTTCTGATAAAGCCAACGCCGCTCAGTTGCCAACCGTCAGAGCCAAATGCTACAACACCCTCGACGCTTTCGTTAGGTTGGTAGCGCTGTTGGTGAAACACTCTGGCGACGCCAACAACACCACCACGAAAATCCACCTGTTGAACAAGGTTTTGGGAATCGTAGCGGGGTGTCTGCTGCAAGACCACGACACAAGAACCATCGAATTCAACCAGTTGCCGTATCAAAGGATTTTCACGATGTTGTTCCTGGAGTTGAACTCGCCTGAGCCTGTATTGGAAGCCATTAATTTCCACGTTTTGAACGCATACTGCCATACACTCCATATTTTGCGTCCGACCAAAGCGGCTGGTTTTTGTTACGCTTGGTTGGAGTTGGTGTCTCATAGAATTTTCATGGGGAGGATGCTGGCGAGTACTCCACAGCAGAAATGTTGGCCTTTGTACGCCCAACTCTTGATCGACCTCTTCAAGTACTTGTCGCCGTTTTTACGGAACGCAGAACTGGCTAAACCGGTTACTATGCTGTACAAGGGTACTTTGAGGGTTCTTCTGGTCCTTCTCCATGACTTCCCGGAGTTCCTATGTGATTACCATTACAACTTCTGTGATGTGATCCCACCAAACTGTATTCAAATGAGAAATTTGATCCTGTCCGCTTTCCCGAGGAACATGCGACTGCCCGATCCCTTCACTCCCAACTTGAAGGTCGACATGCTGCCGGAGATCTCCTTCGGTCCCAGAATCCTCGCCAACATCCCGATGATAATCACCCCGGCGCAGTTCCGAAAAGACCTGGATTCGTACCTTAAAGCCCGAGCCCCGGTCACGTTCTTGTCGGAGCTGAGGAGCAACCTCCAGATCTCGAACGAACCAGGGGTTAGGTACAACATCCCGTTGATGAACGCGCTGGTCCTGCACGTGGGGATGCAGGCCATAGCGTACATCCGGGGTAAAGGTCACCCACCCAACATGACCACGATCGCCCATAGTGCCCATATGGATATCTTCCAAAACCTGGCTGTGGATCTCGACACCGAGGGCAGGTATTTGTTCTTGAACGCCATCGCCAACCAACTCCGGTACCCCAATAGCCATACGCACTATTTCTCGTGCACTCTGCTGTATCTGTTCGCCGAAGCAAATACGGAGGCCATTCAGGAACAAATCACTAGGGTCCTTCTGGAGCGGCTGATCGTGAACAGGCCACACCCGTGGGGTTTGCTCATCACGTTCATCGAGCTGATCAAGAACCCGACTTACAAGTTCTGGAGCCACGAGTTCGTGCACTGCGCTCCGGAGATCGAGAAGTATGTAAGCGGCTTAGTCGCGAGAATGAGATTGTAAGGTTTTGTTCTAGGTTGTTCGAGTCGGTGGCTAGATCTTGCATGGTCCAGAAGACGACGGTGCAGGCCCAAGAAAATGAAATACAAGAGTGATAACATGTCTTTGTGATTTGTATATATTGAAAAATGGTTACACTGTGAACTCGAATTTATTTTATTTTGCTTTGTATTCAGTTTTAATTGTTTCTGGTATTAAGCGATTGATTAAGTTTTCATAGGTATAAGGATAGCGTGTAGATATAGCTCTGTAAAAAATTAGTTATTTTTAAGAAATTTTCAAGTATTTGTAATTACTATAAATATGTGGATGTATTAAATGGTTTTCAATGTTTTGAAGAAAGCAAAACGAGGTTTTTCATTTATCTTCGTCGGCGATCAGTGAGGGTTGGGTTACGGTGCACTTAAAAAATGCCAGAAATGAAATTAAAATTTAACAATAATGTTTTATTTAATTTACACAGAGCCACTCCCTACATTAGTTACATCCACGCCTTCAAATTGAAGTAAAAAGTTGTTTTACAGTACGTACATAATTAATATACCCAGTCTGTGTGTCATGACCAGATGCACTCAAAACTTGATCCAATCAAGTTGCGCTATACTTAGTGGAACCGCTTCATTTAATGATATTACATCTGTTTACTTATAAATAACATAAATTTGAAATAAAGACATTAATTAACAGGAAACAAAATATACATAATAGGAAATATATGTGATAGATTAGCCGAACATATACAACAAAACGGTGTATATCTAAAATTGTCACAACCAGAAATCTATATATAAAAAATAAATTGATGCGTCATAAAACAGTACAATATAAAATTGAATAAAGTGTAAAACATGTAAAGGCCACAATATTCCATTCATAATTTCCATAATATACAAAATCATATAAAATAAACATACACATCAACTTCTGTATATAATAGTGCTGGATAAAAATATATCCTATATTGGCATCTATCTACTAGTTAAATGGAAAGTCTACTAGACAAGTTTTGTAACCCACTGCTATGTTTAAAATGTAATGTAGGTTAATGTTGCTCTGATAATGGTCCCTCATTTTCCCAAGCCGAACTCTTTAGCGTCATCCTCAGTGATGTCACCATATTCCCACATGTTGGAATGGTTCCTTTTCGCCACTTCTTGCGCCTCTCTGTACGAAGCAAGCTGAAACACAATACAATAAGCAATAACCAAAATATATTTGATTATCCCCCCCCCCCCAATAATTAATGACGTCATCTCAAAATTTTCCCGAATAAATCCATCTAAAATATACAAAATATGATACATCTGGAATTGCTTATACAGATGAACCACAAAAAATAATGAATGAGTCATCTTTTTTATTAATTATTAGATGAAATCATTTCAAAATTTTACCAAATGAATGCATAATGGCTTGTGAATTGCCATTGCATTCATATTTTTTTTACAATTGCTTATACAGGCTGACTAAAAAAAAATGAATGAGTCAATTTATCTTAATGATTAATCAGGAACAGCTCACTCCATTTTCTTGAAAATTTGGGAATACAATACCGTTATTATTAGCATTACACTCCACCAAATTGATATACCCATCCTTGCAATAATGTTGATGACTTCATCACAAAATTTTGTAAAGGAAAAACTTCAAACATATGCGTAGCACGCTTCTTTACATTTACTTTAACATGACAGACATATATTTACTATAACTTATAGAGGTATAAAATTAGCAAAATTAAATATTAGAATTTTTCGAAAAAGCTGGGTATGTTTTATTACTTTTTTCTCTTGTTAATTTGTGTAGTTTTTAAAGAATGATGCTCTTTCGTCGGTAGGTAAATATACTTTTTATAAATATATTTTTATATTTTTTATTGGCAGAAATTCTTTAATTTTTCTTCTCTGTATCAACGCAACTTATTCGATCATTCACTAATAAACTATTTGCTAAAGAAAGATTTATGAAGTAATTGTCGAAAGTTACTATCGCACGCAAAAATATTATCGAAACCCAGCAGCGAGGGATTCTAGACTGTTCCGCCTCCTCACTGAGGGTTCCACAATCCCTAAAATTAAACACTTCTAGGTAGAATAATATGAACAAGGATCAAACTTTCCTGGTTTGATTACAGAAAATATTGAACTCGAAACGAGAACTTTTTGAGATATTTTAAATATGTATTTTAAACATTTTAATCCAAACAGTGTTCTTGTTAACAATAATTAATATTTCTTTAAAAAATTTATTACGGGCAGATTTAGATGGGAAGTATAGTAATCGAGTCCGTCGACCGACTCCCTACTTTTACCTTTTCTCGACCTTTCATGACCCCTACAGTACGAAGAAATTGCCGTCTGTCTGGATTTTTATTACACAGATAATCTCTGAAACTACTGGACCGATTGTTGTCAAATTTTATGTGTATTATGAATATCATGTAGATGGTCCAACGCCAACCAAACTTTGTCTAATCATTCCCACCAATAATGTGATGACGTCACTTCAAAATTGTACATAGTAAATGGATTTTAAAATGTATAAAATAACATAGTCCTACACATGTAGTTTATGACTCCGTATAGTTTTTATCCAAAACGTCCAGATTTTTGAAAAAAAAAAAAATTAAAATTATAACAACATTTTGCATTTTAATTTCGAATCTGCAAACCGAATGATTTGATAAATTTTTAATCAAAATATATTTGCTTATCCCCTACAAAAAATCGATGACGTCAGCTCAAAATTTTGACGAATAAATCTTATATAAAATTTGCAAAATATGATCATCACTACATTAATATTTTTTAGATTTGCTTATACCGGGTTTCTCAAAAAAATTAATGACCGAGTCACGATATATTTGTTTATTCCCTCCAAAAAATTGATGAGATTATCTCAAAATTTTGCTGAATAAATTGTACCCAAAAGTTCTGTCGAAACAACTTTAGACTTATTTTTGTTAAAAACTCTGCTAAGGACTGTATAACTAATTTTCCACTAATAATCTTGTTAAGATCATTTAACCATTTTAAATTGATTTACGGTACATTTTGATTTTAATAAATACATACATCTTTATTTAAATTGTATTATTTATAATATTTAATATGTCAAGGGCCTTTAAAATACGTTACTTTGTCAGTGTGAGGATTTTCAAGCGATTCTGTAATGTTTAACACACAAAAAAAAATAGGAAACAATACAGGACAATGGCACTTTTTTTCATATTTCTCTGTCACATTTTGATTTTAATAAATACATACATCTTTATTTAAATTGTATTATTTATAATATTTAATATGTCAAGGGCCTTTAAAATACGTTACTTTGTCAGTGTGAGGATTTTCAAGCGATTCTGTAATGTTTAACACACAAAAAAAAAATAGGAAACAATACAGGACAATGGCACTTTTTTTCATATTTCTCTGTCACATTTTTTTGGTTTAAAACATTAAAAACTTCACAGTTTGATGTACAATACATCTAACAACAAGTGTCAAAATCAGTCATATCTTATAAAATGCTAGCCCCGCCCACCCGCCCTCTATAATATATAATTATGTTCTCCTATGAAGAGAAAGTGAAAACGTAATCGAATCTAGGGTGCGAAAAAAGTAAAAAAAGCGTTAATCGTAAATTGTTATACTATTTGCTACTGGCACTGTCAAAATTGCTACATTTCAATCGGCGATTTTGGAAGAACGATAGAAATTTTCGAAGAAACAAAGCCGAAAATGATTTATGGATGTCGAAATCCACAAGAAAATGTCTAGCCAATTTTCTAAAATGGTTGAAAATGTAAAGTGTCAAAATCAGTCATTTCTTATAAAAAAACTAGCCCCGCCCACCCACCCTCTATTTTCTTGGAAGATATGTCATTTGCTAAAAACAGTCTTATCTTATCAAGTACTAATAATAATAATTTTATATAAAAAAAAAATCGTTATACCTCCCCTTATTGTTATTTCTCCTATGTGGTAGGCAGTTGAAAACAAAAAACAAAAGTCATCAAATTATTGGTGGGTATGATCACATAACTTTTGGTCAGCGTTTTACCATATACACAAAAGTCATAAAACACACCTAAAATTCCACAATAATCAATCCAGTAGTTTCGGCAATTATATGCCTTTAAAAACGTCAATAGTCGACAGATGGACAAAAAGAAGACCTACCTTTTCAAATTCTAGGATTCAAAAATCGACATCACCCAAAAATTATTATTAATTTTTTATTTGATGTCCAACGATAAATGCGGTTTTGGTTGTATTTCTACCCGACACACCGCACCCCCAAATCTAAACCCCACTTACCAGTTTGTTCTGTCTTCGTTCTTTTCGATTTTCCACCAGAAGCAGTCCTTCAGTGATCAGATTCATGACGATATCCCCTTCTGAAGTGCTGTCGACGTGCAGAGATGCGGCGGGCGGAGTTCCTTGTACTCGGTATTCCACGTTCAGGAGCAACTTGCTCACGGCCGTGTCCTCGCGGAGATACTTGATGGCCATCGCCGAGAACTCGTCGTCTTTAGGCAGGCTGACGTAAGGCAGGACGTATTCAGTGGCGTACGGCTTCTCTCCGACGTACGCCGCTGGCAGAGTGGCGAGGCGGGTGGTTGGAAGAGTTTCGCGGTTGCCGTAGTCGAAGTAGTGCACGGTCGCCTTGCCACCTTGCACTTTCTCGACCTTCACCCTGTACCACTCGTCGTCGACGGTGTACTTGGCGGCGCACACGTCGCCGCGTTTCGGCGTGTAGGCGCCGGGAAGAGGCGGGTTGGCTTGGAATTCTTGGCGGAGTTTCGCGTTCAACGCCTCCGCCTTCGGACCTTCGGCGATTGTTTGGACGAAGAAAGAGCCCTCGGGAGTTACCTCGGTTACCACCACTTCTTCGTAGCTGACTTTCCGTTCAACGGTCTGCAAAAGGGTGTGTGTAACACTCGGTATAACATACAAATTACAGCACATAAGTCAATACTCCTAATATGTAACAAGACATTATTATTATCATCACTGGTCTATAATGGCGTGAATTTGAGGCACGTTGTTGAGCAAATAATACCCTAGGGCATTAAGAATAAAAACGCAATTGGCTGGAAATCAACTATTATTTAGTGTACTGTGTATTGCGCGGTCGCCGTATCTACACAACACGGTGATAGCACTAATTTATATTATTGAAATCACGATCTCTGGTAACAGGCAAAGTAAAAAAATCCAAATAATCTAAAAAATTGGAAAAATCGGAACAATTCAAGAAACGCAAGAAACTGAAGAACCTCAAGAAATGCAATAATCCGAAAATAGAAAATACCCAAAGAAATCAAAGGATTTAAGAAAGCCAAAAAATCTAAAAATGCAAACAATCCAAAAAATGAGAAAGATGCGATAAATCTGAAGGAAATAACTCAAAAAATTAAGAAATTCAAGAAACCCAAAAAATCCAATAATCCAATTAAAAAAAAAGGATTTAAGATATCAAAAAAATCTAAAAAATAAAAATAATATCACAAAAATTCCAAGAAATGAAGAACCCCAAGAATTTTTTTAAGAAATCCACAAAATCAAAAAAATCCACGAAACGCAAGAAACTTAAGAAATCCAATAATTCCGAAAATCCAAAAAATGAAAAGTATCCTAAAAATCCAAAAAAAAAAAAACAAAGAATCCAACAAATGAAAGGAAAAAAACCTCAAGAAATTAAAAAGATCGAAAAATAAAAGGATCTAAGAAATCCAAAAAATCTAAAAAAAAATCCAAGGATGCCAATACACTCAAAAAACTGACGAAATCCAACAATTCCAAAAACCCCCCCAAAAAAATCGAAAATTTCCTTTTGGGATTTTTGATCCCAAAAATCAGGAAGATAATAATAAAGCATCTAAAAAAATTAAAAAAATGCAAACAATCCAAAACAAATTTTAGAAATAGGAAAGGTTCGAAAAATAAAAAAAAATCAAGAAATGCAAGAAACCGAAGAACCACAAGAAATTCAATAATCCCAAAATTCGAAAATGTCCAAAGATTAAAAAAAAAAGATTTCAGAAACTCAAGAACCTCAAGAAATTCAATAATCCAAAAAAGAACGTAAATATCCATAAAAATAAAAAAAATCAAAGAATTTGATAAATCCAAAAGATCTAAAAAATCCAAGAAACTCAAAAAACTCAAGAAATGCAATAATTTAAAATATAAAAGATGCCAACAATCTAATGTTCAAGAAAATACAAGAACCTCAAGAAATCCAATAAATCAAAAATTCGAAAATATCGAAAAAAAAAAACAAAGAATTTATGAAATCAAAAAATCCGAAAAATCAAAAAATTCCAAGAAATGAAGAAATCCAATAACCTCGAGAAAACCGATAATCAAAAAATTAAAAAAAAACATGAATTTAGGAAATCCAAAAATCTAAAAAATACACGAAACTCAAAAAACTCGAGATATCCAATAATTCCACAGTCCCAAAAATCAAAAATATCCCAATAACCCAAGAAATAAAAGATACTAGAGAACTTCAAGAAATCCAAAAACAATCCAAGAATCCCAAGCAAATCGAAGAACTCCAAAAATCCAATAAATAATTCTATAAATCCATAAAATCAGATATAAAAAGAAAAAAAAAATAACATTATCCAAAACCTGAAAAAATTGAAAAAAAAAAAATCGAAGATATCAAAAAAATAAAAAAAAACAAAGGATTTAAGAAATTCAAAAAACCAAAAAATCCCAAAAATTCTAAACATTCCAAGAAATGAAGAAACCCAAGAACCTCAAGAAATCCAATAATATCCAAAAAATAAAAAAAAAATCAGAGAAATTAAGAAATCCACAAGATCTAAAAAAAATACTTCAAGAAATCCAACAATTCCAAAAACCCCAAAAAATCGAAAATTTCCCAAAAATTTCAAGAAATAAACAAACCCAAAACCTCAAGAAATCCAATAATAAAAAAAACATCAAAAAAAAATCTAAAAAAATCCAAGAAACAAAAAACTTAAGAAATCCAATAATTCCAAAAATCCAAAAAATCTGGAAATAATATGATAAATGCAAACAATCTGGAAATGAAATATGATAAATGCAAACAATCCAATAAAAATTTAACTAATAGAAAAATCCAAGAAATTCAAAAACCTCAAGAAATCCAGTAAACCAAAAATTCGCAAATATCCAAAAAATAGCAATAAATACGAAATCAAAGGATTTATGAAATCTAAAAAAATCTAAAACATCCGAGAATTCCAAGAAATGAAGAAACCCAAAAACCTCAAGAAAACAGATAATCCAAAAATTCGGAAATATCCAAACAATTAAAAAAACAAACAAAAAATAATTTCAAAAAATCAAATATAAAATTAACATTGTCCAAAAAAACGAAAACATTAAATAATTAAAAAAACAAAAAAGGCGACAAATCCAAAAAAAAATCCAAGAAATGCAAGAAACCCAAAAACCACGTGAAAACCAGTAACCCAAAAAATAAAAAAAAAATCGAAGTATTTATGAAATCCAACCAAAAAATCTAAAAAAATCCAAGAATCCTACGAAAGCTAAAACTCATGAAATGCAATAATTAAAAAAAAAAATAATAAAAGAAAAACAAAAAATGAAAGGATTTAAGAAACCCAAAAAATATAAAAAAATCCAAGAAACTAAAAAAACTCAAGAAATCCAATAAATCTCACAAATCCAAAAATTAAAAAATCGAAAATATCCACCAAATTATAAAAAGAAACAAAAAAAAAAATCAAAGAATTTAAGAAACCCAAGAAATTAAAAAAAAACAAAACATGAAAGTTAATAATTCCAAAAAATCGAAAATATCCCATAAATCCAAAGTCAGAAAATAAAATAAAAATAAAATTATCCAAAAAATCGAAAAAATTGAATAAATCCCCCAAAATAAAAAATCAGAAAAATCCAAACAATTCAGTAATCCAAAAACCTAAGAAAGTAAAAAAATCCAATAATTAAAAAAAATCGAATATACAAAAAATAACAAAAAAATCCAAGAAACCCAATTCAAAGTGCCTAAAATACTGTCGATCGGTATTTGTGACATATCAATACATTAATTCGTTTTTTATGGTCAATTCGCTATTTAATTCCGAGGAAATAAATTAGTTTTTCTCCAGAAAATGCAAGTAAGTAATAAAAGAATGTACAAAGGCGACTCTTTTTGGTAAACATCAAAAACTAAACGGCAAACAGAATTTTCTAAATAACGATTAGAGCACGAACCCCGAAACTATACGAGACGTTAGGCGAGTTTTCCGAGAAATGAGTGCACCAAAATGCCGTATGAATCGCGTATTTTATAATACATTGTTACAACTCATCACGCTACTTACGGTCTTCTCTTCCTCTGGTTGTTGTTCTTCCTTTTCCTCTTCGTAGTTCTCCCACATTCGCAATCTTTGCTGTTTGGCACTGTCTTCGGCTTCTTTGAGGAAGGTAGCATACTGTGATTTTTCTCCGGTGCGGTGTACTGAAGCGAATCCTTCCTTGACGAGAGCGACGGATAAGTTGACGTTATCTACCCAAAGCCATCCGATGAAGTTGCCTGCTTTGTCATGGGTGTCTACCTGAATCGAAACTTCTCTCTGAAGGCAACGTTCCTTTGTAAATTGCAAAGCCTCGTCGCCGAAAGGCTCCCCTTCTACGGCTGCTAGTGCATTGGTTGCTTGACGGGAAGCACGGGGACAGTTTATGCCTCCTGAAGAAGCGAAAAATAAAGTAGCCAAAAAAATATTTTCCAACTTTGTGGTTAAATTAATTTTACAATATATTTAAACCCCTTAGCTTAGGAAGTAAAAATATAATAAAATAAAATATTTTTTCATGCAAATTACTTATATTTTCTAAAAAGTAAATTATTCAATTTGACAGAATAACCATTAGTTTTGTTATATAAACAGAAAATTTTATTTTATTCCAAATATGTACTAATGACAAATTAGAACTTTATTTTGCAGACACCATAAAAGTCAATGTCTGATATGTATAATTAGGTCAATATCTAGAAATGTTGCAATTGATCGGCAACGATGACAAACAAACTCTAAAGCATTTCAACATCGATCAGCAACTTGTTGTAAACACTTTATAAGTAACATTGATGTAATCGTTTTTGTGTAAATGGATATGAATATGAAAACTGACACAAATCGTCTTATTTTCCGAAAAGAAGCAATTTACGCAACCCAAAAGTAAACCAGGCAACCTAAAATGCTCAATACTAGCGGCAATATAGCTCAAATCTAGCAAAATTCACAATAAGAGTAAGCGTTGAAGTTTGAACTACAGAGAAATCGACATTAATTTGAAACAAACCATAATAATTCACAAAAATTGTATACGTGAAATATTTAAATTTTAAACTGTTTGTGACGTGAAATAGTGGCAAACTCGTTAAAAAGCATTACCACGTTGGAGTCCACAAATAATCTGGCATCTACTATTGTCACACACATACAAAATGTGCGTGGGGTTTTCTGAGATGCCCAAGAAACAAACAAACAAGAAAAAAGTATAACAACTCACCCAATAAGAAGGTACACAAACTGTTTGACTTCGGTATAAACAGTCTCAACCTGGTGCCACTTGCAACGAATTCCACAACGGCATCGATTTTCTGCGCACGTTGGAAGGAAGACAGTTCGAGTTTGGCTCGAGCGGCGTCTATTTCGGTCACCCTATGTGCGGGAACCTCTTTTTTATTGTGGATTCCCACTTGCGATTTTATGGCCTTGCTTTCAGCGGTTAATAGTTCGTCGTAACGAGAACTGCGCTGATCATCATCTGGTCTGTATTTTACGACGCTGGCTAGACCTTTTGATACGAGAGCTTCGGCAACGTTCCTGTCGACAAAAAATTTAAAATGGTTGCTTTGAATTGTCGTTTATATCGTACTTTCCGCCGATTGAAACAGTCGCACAAACTTTCTCGGGGTACCCGTCTCTGGCTTCTTGGATGTAGTCGATGACGACGTGCACTTTTTTACCGATCAGTTTTTTGCGTAAGTACTCTCTGGCTTCGAACATCCACGGAATATCGTACAATGGACGGAATCCTTTAGGTCTTGGAGCGGTCTTACCATCTTCATCGGCAACACTAAATGGAAGATGAGAGATTAAAAAGTTTTAATATACAGGATGTCTGACTGAAAAAAAAAATCTATAAACATTATAATTGATGAAAACCATTGCATTGCATTGGTGCCAGTTTGCTATATTTTTCAGTTATAAAATATTTACATGTAAAACTTTCACTGAAATAAAACGTAGTATCTTTATAGCGCAGTCCGCGTTTTAGAAGATATCTCAACCAAAAGAAATTAACAAATTTCAAATTAAATCATTCTCCTAAGTATTAAATTTCTGAAATTGAATCATTGAAAATCAAAAACAGAATCTTCCAACGAAATAATGAAAGGAAAAATATTACCAACCGAAAAATTACCCATATTTTTTCCAATCAATTCATTGTTGGCACACCCTCATACCTCTTGTTATTTAAATTTGTATCTATAACATATTGTTTTTAATTATTTCTTTTAAAAGGTAACATTAATTCTCACAATTAATTTTTAATAAAATTTTGATCAACCATTGTGCTTTTTTGACTTGGTAGAAGACGGTGTGGGCAGTTTTTCCTATTACTTTATTATTAATTATTATTAATATGGTGCATTGTCCATTATCACAACTTATGTGGTAGTAGTAGGAATTAATTGATTAATCACCCACATTCAAAACCTTTTTGTATTCACTGTTTTGTAGTAGGTACTGTTATAAGTTGTCGCACCCAGTAAAAAAAATCACATCCCATAAAAGGTGGAAAATCTTTTATCTTCACTTCTAAATTTTGAAAGATTAATCTTTTTCGCGAATCCATCCAGGATGCTACCATTTTGGTACATCCACGTTTTATAAAGATATACAAAACTTACGTTTTCGTCGAACTTTTGATACTGAAGAAATTTTATGGGGGAAAAAACAAACAAACGATAACCCACGAAGTTTAAAATTTTGTACAAATCGTAATCGCTCTCCCCCAAATTCCAATTTTTCTCTTACATCTGTGTATCTCGAGTAAAATACAGATTTTGTCAATTATATTGCCAAATATGAGATTGAAGATGTTTTCGAAACACATGTTTAGAAATTTATCAATTTTAGCTCTTTTAGTGCAAAAGGAATATAAGGCAATAAAAAACATTAATTTATTTACCTCCATCATTACTGAATATCAATAAGGAAATTACCCTAAAAATATGTAACAGCCTTTCGATAATTTTTTCATTGGTAAAATCTGGTCTATCTTTTTTTTTTTGTTTTTTTTTTCACAACATTTTTTGATACACGCTTTCTTATCGGTCCAAATTACTTTCGGAATTAACCGAAAATTGAAAGATAAAATGACAGGAGTAAATTAGCATCATTAATGACAAAACTGGTAACAAGGCCAATATTTAAAAATAGAACGCTAGATGATAGAACCTAGCAAAAAATATCTTGGCCTGCTACGTGTGATACTAATACTTAATAACAGTATTGTTATCCCAAAATTTTCTGAGAAAATGAAGTGAGCCCTGATTTAATCAATAAAATAAATTGACTCATTCATTATTTTTTTGATCCACCTGTTTGAGCAAATCTAAAAAGTATGAATGCAAAAACTCATCATTATTTGCTCATTTTGAGTAGAATTTATTGGGCAAAATTTTGAGATGACGTCCTCAATTTTTCGGGGACAATAAACACATAGATTTTGAGTAACAATTGACCATGCTTACAATAACTTTAAAACGTCTGCAAGATTTCAAAGTATTTAGTTTGGCAATTCTTGATTTATTCAATAAAATAAATTGAGTGATTCAGTAACATTTTGAGTGATCCTGTATAAGAAAAGCTTAAAAATGAGGTTCTTAATTTGATCAATACAAAATTGGTCGAAGGCTCTAAGCATAATTCGACAAATCCAGCTCTTTAAAAAAATTAGGAGTATAATATATACATTGTTTTTACGATTTTCGTTTTGTGATAACCGCTGTAAAGTAAAAACCAGAGGCATAAATTATCATTCAACACTAGGTAATAGCAATCTGAAGCTCAAGTGTTTATTTATGTTTATACACCGAAAGAATGTCACGTAGAAATTAGTTTCATTTGAATGAGTTTGTCTTCTCAAAACAGGACTAAAATTACTAATTCTAATACAGAGTATTTATTTTTTTATACTTTTTTTTAGAAAATTAATTGCTTCTTGTATTAACTTTTTTGATACATCCTGTATAAATACGTGTACAGCACATAAGGTGGACAACAGCGGTGGATTAATAAATCGCAGACACAGAAGCATAATATAACACTTTAAATGGGGTTTACTTAGCAGAGTTTTATCATTTCCATTGATTTAATTGATTTAAAAAAATATATACAGTTCTATCACTAAACAAAATTATTAATGGATTAACTGAGCGTATAAAACCCATTACAACGAATTATGTACTAACGAATTTGCAGCGGTATTGTCAGTTACCAAAAACCTATCGATTTCTGAAGAAGTTTGTACTTGAAACGTGTAGAATTTACTACAAAATTTGTCTCATAACTTCAGAAATGCGTTTTTTAGTTTTTATCACGGTATATTTCAAAAACTGTTCAAAATCTAGCCTTCGTTTGTCAACAGTAATCTAATCAAACACTACTGATTCTAACAAGATATTTTTATTGCACTAGTTGTTTTAAATTTTAAAAAAATCTTTGTTGCGTGCACAAAAGGTGCATTTAAATTTTCAACAAGCGGGTTTTTTAATTGAAAATTTTATAGTCGATCAGCGCCAAAGTTGTCGATTATGGTCTAAAATAATTTGTTTAAATTCCAATACACCGAATTAGAAAAAATGTTTCGTTATTGATCATCTTAATTTTTTAAAAATAATTTAAGAGTATTAACTACAACTTTGTCGCAAATCAATTCAAAATTTTCAGTAATAAGAAAAACTCGTCTGCTGAATTTTTAGCAGCACGGAAGGGTAACAAAAGAGTTTTTTAAAGAAGTTTAAAGACATGAATAAAATCACAGTTGCATTGTCAGAATCAGTATTGTTCATGTACTGTTAAAAACCTAAGGCAAAACTTGATGCAGATGTTAGAATATGGTGTGACAGCAGAAAAATTAATTTTAAAAATATCAAAATTCAAGAAAAAAAATCGACTTACACGAAACTTTTAATAAATTAAAATCGCATTTTTAATAGAAAAGGAAAGGGAATTACACTAGCCTTTCAAAAAATTCTGCAAACTCATACAACTGACTTATTTAGGTGTGTCGGTATAAAACATTAACTAAAAAAGAACTAAATAATATGCATATTAAATAAATGTAATAATATCCTGCTATTTTTTAGAATTGCTTACACATATTGTTTACAAAAAAATAAAATATTAAGAATTGAAGAAATATTTTTGACGAATTATCTGAGATAATGCATTACTTCACTTCCTTGAAATTTTCGAACCACGTTATAATCAAAATTCCATTGCACATCCTACTATTGTATTTGTTCTCACCAAAATTTCGTACTTTCAACGCAAAAAATGGTTATATAAATCTTTAAATATTATCAATAACACGCTCTGAGAAGCACGCGGTATTTGTCGAACTTCAGAGACAAAGAAAATTCCAAGTAAATAATTGTACAAAATTGTGAAACTATAGGATGCCAATTAGAACAGTTCCCAATTTTTTCTATTATTAAAACGGCCTATTTGAAATAAATGTTGATATAATTGATAACAAACTGTGCTAAAAAGTACAAACGTAATAGACATCATAAAAACATAAAAATCATACTTCAAATAATAAATCAAATTTATTATTTTATCAATAAATAATTATCAGATATGTTTATTCAACTTTTATATACGTGTATTAACCACGATTTGACAAGTTTTCGCGGAGCAAAAACACCTACAGACGTCACACAGAGTCTAAACTAACCAAACGTTTTTATCGCCATTTACGGAATAATTCAGCGTAAAATAAGTAACTATAAAATGAGATTTTATTGTCGAAATTACTCGCGAAACATTTTGTCAATTTTGGACTTGTTTTGAAATGATTTAACAAGTTCAAAAATACCGACATCTTAAATATTCCGTTTTATGATTTTATTAAATTTCTTTTGTCTAATTTGGATATATATACATTGAACCAGGAATGTGGATTAAACAAAACAAAACAAATGTTAATTTTTTTTCTTGATTAAACTTACCGGCCAGGCTCCTTTGGCGGCCTAATGCTCGAGAGGAAGATCTTCTTAGATTGCCCGTTGTTAAGCTTAACAGAGAGTGCGTCTCCATTAATAACTTCGGCAACTGTAGCTGTAAAATCTTTTTCTTTCCCGGTGACCTGAGGAGCATTCGATTGCCAATCCTTCCAAATTCGCAAACGCGCCCCTTTTGCCTTCTTTTCGGCAGCTCTTAATCCCTCAACCCCTGATTTCATGAAGGCAATAGACCAATCAACGCAGTGAGCAAAGCCCTCTTTCAATAAGGCCTCAGCAATATTTCCCTTTGGATGAATGATAGTACCCACAAAATTGTTGTTATTAACAGACTCCAAAACGATGTCAACTTCTCTCTGCAAGAGACGAATTTCCACAAAATAGCGAGCCTCTTCAGCATAGGGCACTTTGATGCTCATGTCAGGTTTTCCATTGGCGTCCAGTTTAAAACCAGGACACTGCAATTTCAAATTAAGACAAGAAACCAAATTATCTACCGGTTACCCTAATTCCTGAAATCATGAGCGTGATGTGATAAAAATCTGGAAGAAGGAACGCCCTCACAGTGGATCCATCACGCACGTGTTCGATGATAGCCTTGACTGGCTTGTAGCCAAGTTTATCAACAAAAGAGCGCATATTTTCAACAGACCATTTGATGTCGCGGACGTGTTCAGAAGACGGACTGCTACCCCATTTACCTTTACCAGCCGCCTTCGCTGCATCTTCGAGTTCGGCCAGTCGTGTACCTTCGGGAGTCTGACGAACCCCCTCGCGACGCACTGTTACAAGACCCTCGGTAACTAAAGATTCGGTGATATTCTCGGCAGTGTTGAAATCTTTGCCCAAGTAGACAGTGCCGTACTCCCGATTCGTGTTCGGTGGCTTCTCGGAGGTGAAAAACACCTCTTCTCCAATGAGTTTCTTACGCAGAAACTCGCGCGCTTCCCAGGCCCACGCCTCATCTTTCGTTGGTTCGGATCTAGAATTGGTGTTTTAGATAATGCATTTTTGGGGAGTGCGTAACCTACTGATCCCCAGCTCTTCGGGCCAACTTAGGGGCGATGATTCCGGAAAAATTGATTTGTTTTTCGGGAGGAGGCGCCCCGGTGGGTCCTCTAATTATGACTGAGTCTCCGGAAAGGATCTGGAAGTGCAGAAATGGTTGTTTACCACACTGAACCCAAAATGTGCCAACTCATACAGCTGATTTAGGTTAATTGAATCAAAGTTCTTGGGAGACTCGCCCTGGGAAATTATGGGGTAGCGTTCGACTTCTCACTTAAATCGAACCGTAAATACGCCCGAAACCATTACAGTAATACATAAATATCGAATGCCATATGTAATAATCATGCCAACCAAGCACCTGGACATTAGGTGGCCATAACTTCCAAAATTTAACCATGAAGTGAATACGGCTTTACGCAAAACGAAGCTGAACAATTGGTTTGAACATTCTTCAAAGAAAAACGACTTACTTGTTTCACAATTCCACGTTTTGGCTGAATTTGTTGGGTAGTCATCGTGAACGGGCCATGCAACTTGTACTGAAAGGTGGATGAACGTCACTGGATCACGTGACTCGGTGAAAGCGTCGTTGGGGGTGGGTTTACGGATTAAACCCTTTTTACCTGACCAGTTGCGTGAAAGTGGCACCAGAATTTTGCTCGTCAACGAAAGGAAGCTCTTAACGGTACGTACCGGTCATTTAGCATTTAATTAAGCACTTAAACCATGATAAAAATTTAAACGTGGCAATTTTTTCAGTTGATTCCAACGCCACCTATAACGCGGACTGTCAATTGTCAAAAAATTACATAACCTCACAAACTCCACAAAAACGCGTGTTCGAAAACAAAAACAATTTATTTAGCTTAAAATCTACACGAATTATCAATCATCTCCATCCTCTGCCTTCATTTGCTCAATTAAACGCCGCCTTTCCTCCGCTTGCCGCATTTTGGTTAAAACGATACTTTCGTAATCTGACGGCTTCACCAGGGTACTCTGGGTTCTATGGTGCTTTCCTGGGGGCACATTTATCCACTGCAGTTTGATTCGATTGGATGGCAAGCCACATTCCATTTCAATGGCCATTTCCTAAAATACATAAAATTACGAACACTCACTATGCGAACATCACCTACTTACTGCTGCTTTTCTTGTTTCGAATTCGACAAGCGCACTTCCCATCTTTTTTGCCGACACCACCAGAGCATTAATATTTCCATACTGCAAGTTTTTCAGTTATTATCTACATTAAACAAAATCGTTTTTACTTACTTTAGATAAAAATCGGTGCAACATTTCATGGGTGTAACCCCCATTTGTGCCATCACCTTTGGCAACATACCATTTGATTTTGATTCTATGGTTAGCGCTCATCAGATCAATCAGATCATTTTCTGATCTATGTTTCTTCTGTGCTCTGATTTCCTCCTGAATTCTCTCTAACTCTTCCTCGACTTGTTTGGACCCTTCTCTGCGAAGCCTTTCAATCTCCGCTCTAAGTTTTTCATCTGCTGTTTTCTCTCTCTTGGAATCACAGGCGCGTTTTTCACGAGCTTCTAAGTCCTCTTTTAATTTACGCCTTTTACTGTCGAGTTCTTTGTGCCTTAAAGCCGCTTCCTTACGTCCTTTTAAAACTCCATCATATGCTTTTCGTGCAGTTTCATCAATTAATATTTCAAGAATTTTCGATAACTGGTGAAACTCTTTTGCAGCATTTGGATTGTCTGGATTTTTGTCAGGGTGACATTGAAGCGCTTTTTTCCTGTATGCCTTTTTAATCTAAAAGAAACAATAATTATAAATCCAGTTGTAGATATAAACAATAGCTCTTACCTCTGGAACACTGCTGTTGGGGTTTACTTCCAGAATCTCATACAAATCTAGGTCTTCAATCTTTACGTTGTCCATTATAATATTTGTAAATTAAGCTAAAATTACACTTTTACCCGTTTGTTCTCGTTATACGTGCACTTGTTACAACGTTTGTGTTGTTGTGTTGACGTTTTTAAGTTTAAATAACCTAAAAATTTGAGAAATTGTCTGTTCTGAAGATGGCGCCACATCCATTTACGAAAAACGCGCGTTATTTAAAAATCACTGTTGCAGAGATTTATTATAAACTACTGATGGATGAACTTCAAGAGTCCGCCCTCGGGACTCAAGAATATTGGGATAATCGCTACAAAGAAGAAATAGCCAATTTTGAAGATCACGGAGATCCTGGTGAGATCTGGTTCGGCGAAGACACCGTCGAACGCACTATTGAATGGATCAAGAAACAAGAATCCATTTCGAAAAATTCCAAAATTCTGGATATAGGGTGTGGCAATGGCATGTTTTTAGTCGAATTATTCACACAAGGATATGTTAATTCATTTGGCATGGACTACTCCGAAGACGCCATCGAGCTGGCGAAATCAATAGCCCAAAAACGAAACTTCAAAATAGAATATTCCGTGTGTAATATTTTAGAAGGGTTGGAGGGTCAGTTTGATGTTATTCATGATAAGGGGACTTACGACGCTATTAGCTTGAATGCTAACATTAAAGAGCATAGGGTAACATATTTAAAAAATATTTTCAAAGGTTTGACTGATACAGGGCTTTTTATCATAACGTCATGTAATTGGACGAAGAACGAATTGGTTGAACAGTTTACGGATTATTTTGAGTTAGTTAATGAGATACCGTCTCCACAGTTTAAATTTGGGGGTCAAGTTGGCAATACAGTTACCTCAGTTATTTATAGGAAACGATAGTTAAAACTTAAAAAATAAAAACTAAGTAAAGGCATTTTCACTTTGAATGCGGTTTATTTCTTCAAATTTAGTTATACAGTTTTGTGTAAAACATGAAATAATATTAAATATGTTTTACGTTTTATGGGACACGTGTTATTCAAGGCGCTAAAGTGGGCAACTGAAGAAATAACAGTTTCTTATTATAAAAACCCAGTGTAGAAATTCTAAGAATGTATGTATAAAGAATGTGTAGTGAGATTTTTTCTTAAGATATACTTACTATTATCTATGCTATTATAGGCAGATAAATATTGATTATAATTGATATGAAATTAGATCCTAAAAACCCCAGAAACCAAGATCACCAGATAAATATAAATTTCTAGCAGTAGGTGTCATTTTCTATGCCCTTAAAGTTCTTGAGTAGTGTCATCATCTTTTATGATTTAAAACAGTGTAACAATAATGTCATTGTATTAAATGAGAATAACCGTATTTTTTATTTAATTTTATTTTGGTTAACAAAGATGTCAAATGTTCTTTGCTTCTTTACTTATTATTAGATCCAATAATCCATTATCGTTAATTATATTTATGGAATTAGTACCGATTAAATTCAGTGATTATCAATCACCCGCTACTGAGTCCCGGCAATCCAGCGCGTCCCCACCTATAATCGTGACGTAGCCCGACAGAAATCCGCTGTCTAGTAATATGAGAGGCAACTGAAAATCGTTTATGTATAAACATTCTTAATTTAAGATGACAAGCGTAACAGCATACGTGAGAGTCAAACAGAGAAACTGTAAACAAAACGACCATCGGTTTTATTGCTTCGACTTCCGCTTATTATATAAAACATTGGGTTTTATTTTAATTTTTGACGGTGGAATTCACAATTGGTTGATTATAAACATGTCTATTCCACATTCGCGGAACCTAGACAGCGCACAAAACAAATGCACGTCTGTAATGTTAAAGTCGATGTAAATAAGCGTGCTACCCTTATGTTTCAACCGAGTTTTTACTTTAAAAAATTTTGTGTCTACCAAATTGGGTTGGTCCAATGTAATACTAATAATAAGTGTTGCCTTTAATTTAATCAATAAAATAAATTGACTTCATTAATTTTTTTGAGCCACCTCTTAAGAAAATCTAAAAAATTGGTCTAAAGAGTTTAGACAGTACTTCCCTCGCTGTCGGAAACTTGACGACTGCATGCCTATTATGTTTTTTTTTCTCATTACATTTTTGTAGTGGGAATTTAAAAAAAAAATTGTGATGACGTCATCAACATTTTTGCAAGGACACGTATATCAGTTGGTATAGATGTAGTGTAATACTAAGAATAAAATTATTGTGTTCCCAAATTTTCGGGAAAATGAATTGGGTCGTTTTGAATATTGATTTCTTATAATCAATAAAATAACGAAACAATTTACTCACGTATACGGCGCCGGTGTGTAATATCTAGACAGCGGATTTCTGTCGGGCTAGGCAAGGCCAAACTCGGTACGGCTCGCACGGGATGCGAATTCATTGCCGTTGCGGACTGCACTTCGTTTATTTGAGATTAGAATAACGTTGTTTCGTTGCACTCTGCTGTTAATTCCCGTTCTCATTTACTTAGCCGTTTGATTAATAAATCGTTAATTATATTTATGGAATCCAGCACGTCCCCCCCTATAATCGTGACGTAGCCCGACAGAAATCCGCTGTCTAAAGTCGCGATCTTTTCTATAGAACCACTCCCTAGTGTAAATTTTCAAAATTTGTTTGGTGTAAGTGACCTTGACGGGTTTCTGGGGGAAAACATATGTGTCAAAAATTTGACAGGTTAGATGGCCCCATTGTCAATGTAGATATTTTATTTTAATAAATAGATGAACAGAACATACAGTCTGCACGGGATACAGTGCGGCATAGCGGAGGGCAACCGAAACATTCGTGTTGTAGTAGTTTCGATTGCCGTATCAACTACCGCTACCAACCGCGTTCGGCGTAAAGTACTAGATGACAGGGCTACCAACTTGACTTTTTATCGAGTGGTTCCGTAGAAATGACCGCTACTCTAGTAATATGAGGGGCAACTGAAAATCGTTTATGTATAAACATCAGTGGCGGCTGGTGGGTCAAAATTTCGGGTCGGCCAAATATTTTGAGTCTACACCTTGGTGTTATATATTTTTGTAATGTATGGCTACTACTCATTAACCACTGACATTTTACGTGCCAGGATGTACAAAACATCTCAAATGTTTCGACCTGTTAAAATAATTTTTTATAGGAAATTGACAATGTCAGTTTGATTCCAAATACTATTAATCCTTAATTCTACTTGTTCTGCTTTATCATTAATTGAGAACCACCGAAACATTATTTTTACTGAGTTCCCCGTCGACCGGCGGCTATACGGCTTGCCGACCCCGGACATCCACAATTAAATAATAATAATTAAATAATGACATGCAGTTAAAAAATATAAAAAAATTGGTCTAAAGAGTTTAGACAGTACTTCCCTCGCTGTCGGAAACTTGACGACTGCATGGCTATTGTGTTTTTTTCTCATTACATTTTTGTAGTGGGAATTTAAAATTGCGATGACTTCATCAACATTTTTGCAAGGACACGGATATCAGTTGGGATAGATGTAGTGTAATACTAAGAATAAAATTATTGTATTCCCAAATTTTCGGGAAAATGAATTGGGTCGTTTTGAATATTGATTTTTTATAATCAATAAAATAACGAAACAATTTACTCACGTATACGGCAACTGAAAATCGTTTATGTATAAACATTCTTAATTTAAGATGACAAGCGTAACAGCATACGTGAGAGCCAAACAGAGAAACTGTAAACAAAACGACCATCGGTTTTATTGCTTCGACTTCCGCTTATTATATAAAACATTGGGTTTTATTTTAATTCTTGACGGTGAAATTCAGAATTGGTTGATTATAAACATGTCTATTTCACATTCGCGAAACCAAGTGAACAAATGCAGGTCTGTAATGTTAAAGTCGATGTAAATAAGCGTGCTACCCTTATGTTTCAACCGAGTTTTTCCTTTAACAAATTTTGTGTCTACCAAATTGGGTTGGTTGGGGTGTAATACTAATAATAAGTGTTGCCTTTAATTTAATCAATAAAATAAATTGACTTCATTAATTTTTTTGAACCACCTCTTAAGAAAATCTAAAAAATATGAATGGAATGATAAATCACAAGTACAAACTCATCATATTTTTTGCATTTTAGATACGATTTATTCGGCAAACTTTCGAGCTGACGCCATCAAGTTTTTGGAGGGGATAAGCAAATATATTTTGACTAAACATTTATTATGCTCTTTATGACCTTAAAACATCTGCAAGATTTCAGAGCATTCGGTTTTGTAGTTCCTGATTAAATCAATAAAATATATTTCCGCATTCATTAATTTTTTTGAGTCACCCTGTATATGCAAATCCAAAAAATATGAATGGAGTGATAGATCACAAGTACAGACTCATCATATTTTGTACATTTTAGATATGATTTATTCCACAAAATTTTGAGCTGACGTCATCAAGTTTTTGGAGGGGATAAGCAAATATTTTTTGACTAAAGATTTATGATGCTCTTTATAGCCTTAAAACATCTGCAACATTTCAAAGCATTCTGGTTAGCAGATTAAAAATTAAATTTCAAAATATTGTTTTATAATTTTGATTTTTTTTCCAAAAATCTGGACGTTTCGGGTGAAAAGTCGATTCAGAGTTGTAAACTACATGTGTAGGACTATGTTATTTTATGCAATTGAAAACCCATTTACTATGTACAATTTTGAAGTGACGTCATCGCATTAGTGGTGGGGATGATTAGACAAATTTTGGTTAGCGTTTTACCATCTACATGATATTCTTAATATAAGTACAAAATTTCACAACAATGGGTCGAGTACTTTCGGAGATTATCTGTCTAATAAAAATCCGGGACGGCAGACGGACAGACGGACAGACGGACGGACAGACGGACAGACGGACAGACAGACGGAAATGGGAGACCTATTTCTTAGTCTTCTAGGGGTCATGAAAGATCGAGAAAACGTAAAAGTAGAGAGTCGGCCGACGGACTTAATGTGACTCGATCTTGAAATGTGTGGCAATTAGTAACTTTTATGAAATAGAAATATATCTGTGTCCTTGTTATGCTCCGTCTTTTCGACAGCAGGTATTTTTTGCTTCCAGGATGGCGATCCTGTTACTGTCATTTGGTCATCAATTGCCTTGGTGGTAACACGTCTTCCACGACTGTTTGCTGGTTACCGGTGACACTTTCTCGTTGAATAGGGCTGGAGTTATTTTGGGACTGGAATAGTGTTCTTTCCGGTCCGTTAACTCGATAATTCTAGTACAGTCTGTCGTAACCTCAAATCGTAAACACATCAAACTTTCGTTGACAGTTCCTACATTTGATAGCGAAAATTACTAGCCTCGCGCTATCTTTGTTTAACACATAGGTTAAGTTCCTCTCTGTCGAATTCCGACCACAGGCAGTTTGCCGTACTTTCTAAAACTAATAGTAGATCTAGTGACTTTAGACGGACTCGATTACAATACTTCCTTTGCTTACGCTCGGGAAGTAAAAATATGAATGGAATGATAAATCACAAGTACAAACTCATCATATTTTTTGCATTTTAGATAGGATTTATTCAGCAAAATTTAAGCGTGACGTCATCAATTTTTTTAGGAGGGATGAACAAATACATTTTGAACAAAAGTTTACCATGCTTATAATAACTTTAAAATATCTCCAAGATTTCAAAGCATTCGGTTTTGAAATTCCTGATTAAATCGATAAAATAAATTCACGCATTCATTAATTTTTTTTTAGTCACCCTGCATATGCAAATCCAAAAATATGAATGGAATGATACATCACAAGTACAGACTCATCATATTTTGTACATTTTAGATAGGATTTATTCAGCAAAATTTTGGGGTGACGTCATCAATTTTTTAGGGGGGATGAGCAAATACATTTTGATAAAAAATTTACCATGCTTATAATAACTTTAAAACATCTCCAAGATTTCAAAGAATTCGGTTCTGTAAATCCTGATTAAACCAATAAAATAAATTCATGCATTCATTAATTTTTTTGAGTCACCCTGTATATGCAAATCTAAAAAATATGATTGGAATGATAAATCACAAGTACAGACTCAACATATTTTAGATAGGATTTATTCAGCAAATTTTAGGGTGACTTCATCAATTTTTTTAGGGGGGATGAGCAAATAAATTTTGATAAAAAATTTACCAGGCTTATGATAACTTTAAAATATCTCCAAGATTTCACAGCATTCGGTTCTGTAATTCCTGATTAAATCAATAAAATAAATTGACGCATTCATTAATTTTTTGAGTCACCCTGTATATGCAATTCCAAAAGATATGATTGGAATGATAAATCACAAGTACAGACTCATCATATTTTGTACATTTTAGATAGGATTTATTCAGCAAAATTTTAGAGTGACGTCACCAATTTTTTAGGGGGGAAGAGCAAATACATTTTGATAAAAATTTACCATGCTTATGGTAACTTTAAAACATGTCCAAGATTTCAAAGCATTCGATGCTGTAATTCCTGATTAAATCAATAAAATAAATTGACGCATTCATTAATTTTTTTCAGTCACCCTGTACATGCAAATCGAAAAAATTTGAATGGAATGATAAATCACAAGAAGAGACTCACCATATTTTGTACATTTTAGATAGGATTTATTCAGCAAAATTTTGTGGTGACGTCATAATTTTTTTAGGAGGGACGACCAAATACATTTTGATCAAAAATTTACCATGCTTATGATAATTTTAAAACATCTTCAAGATTTCAAAGCATTCGGTTTTGTAGTTCCTGAGTAAATCAGTAAAATAAATTTTGCGCATTCATTAATTTTTTTGAGTCACCCTGTATATGCAAATCCAAAAAATATGAATGGAGTGATATATCACAAGTATAGACGCATCATATTTTGTACATTTTAGATAGGATTTATTCGGCAAACTTTTGAGCTGACGTCATCAAGTTTTTGGAGGGGATAACCAAATATATTTTGACTAAAGATTTATGATGCTCTTTAGAGCCTTAAAACATCTGCAACATTTCAAAACATTTGGGTTAGCAGATTCAAAATTAAATTGCAAAATGTTGTTTTATAATTTTGATTTTTTTTCCAAAAATCTGGAGGTTTCGGGTAAAAACTCAATTCGGAGTCGTAAACTACATGTGTAGGACTATGTTATTTTATACAATTTAAGACCCATTTACTATGTACAATTTTGAAGTGACGTCATCGCATTAGTGGTGGAGATGAGTAGACAAATTTTGGTTAGCGTTTTACCATCTACATGGTATTCCTAATATAAGTACAAAATTTCACAACAATCGGTCCAGTACTTTCGGAGATTATCTGTCTAATAAAAATCCGGGACGGCAGACAGACGGACGGACGGACGGACAGACGGACAGACAGACGGAAATGGGAGACCTATTTCTTCGTCGTCTAGGGGTCATGAAAGATCGAGAAAACGTAAAAGTAGAGAGTCGGCCGACGGACTCGATTACAATACTTCATTTGCTTACGCTCGGGAAGTAAAAAGGTTTAAGTTATCGAAGAAATGAAGCCAGAAGTGACTTCTAAGGCCCAAAATCTACAAGAAATTGTATTCAGTTAAATTTCGAAAATCGTCGAGAATGGGTCGAAATTTGCATAATGGAGGTGATATATAATGGAAAATTTCATTTTTGAAAAATTCATCTAAAAATTCTGAAAAAATCCACCCCCCCTCCCCCCCCCCCCCCCCCCAACGAAATCCTGTATCCGCGCCTGTTCTTGTGGAAATAAGACCACCACCCTAGCGGCTGTATGACAAGCTCCTGTAGGAGTAACCCCCTCGACGCGCAATCGGCTGGATTTTCAGGGCCGCTCCCATGATTCCATGCCGATGGTTCCAATATACCTTGTATAGGCGCGATTTGATTTGCGACAAAAGTGGCCCAACGACAGGGCCGCGACTTAATTCCCATTAGCGTTACTCTTGAGTCGGGCCACGCATACACCCTGTGTGTGTTCAACACACCCTTGAGGGTTTCCCGGGCAAATGACAATAGGTCGGCCGCAAAGAGGCGCGACTCCAGGACGAGAAAACGGCGCACTGCTGACTCGGAGGACCGACCTAATAAGGACGGCGTCGTATCGGCGAAAGGTAATTGAATGTAGTATCTACCCTGGATGTCACGTGAGATCGCCGACGTCACTTTTTCCTCACACCAAACGTCTTGCCAAAAGCGTTTTAACGCCGCGTCTAAAGAATTGTCTATGGACGTACAAAAGGACCTGACCGCGGTTTGCTGTTTGTTACGCTTAACACCCCCAATCAGTACCCACCCGAAAACAGTATTTAACGCGGACGGTTTCTCGAGCCCACCTTTCTTGAACCCGGATGTCACGATTTGTCCGTAAACATCAGCACCCAACAAGACGTCCACTTGTTGTGGCTTACCGAATTCCGGGTTAGCCAATTCCAAATTACGTAGGTGACGAAATTGTCGCAAACGATCTTGTGACACTACCCTTGTGGGTACGTCACCGCAAATTTGAGACACAACGACCATTTCAGCTTTCAACGAAAAGCTACGCACTAAATGCGACCTCACTTCGCATTTTAATACACCCGACGTACTACTTGTCGACATTTGATTCAAGCCTTAAATAGGTACCACCGCGTTAGTTTGAGGAAGCCCTAAAACCTTTGCACACCGCTCTGTGACAAAGGTGGTCTCGCTCGCAGTATCCAAAAGCGCCCTAAATGCGCGATATTTACTTCGCGAATCCACTACAATTATTTGACACCGTGGTCGACAGATGGGTTCTCAAAAGTCCCTGACGCCTCTCCCGGCCCTGCGCTAGGTTTGGGGACAAAATGTAACAACGTGTGATGTCTACAATCACAAACCCGGCAGTTTAATTTAGATGGGCATTTGCTAACCGAATGTACCCTCGACAAACAATTGTAACATAATTTTTTTCTACGCACGAAAGTATGTCTATCCCGTGGTTCCATTTCTAAGAAAGCATCGGATCTCGTTAATGCGTGCTCATCCGAACAATTGAGACATTGTTCCTTGCTGGTCGGTGATCGCGTGACAAAGGATGACATCACGGGACGCTTAGCAGGTATGGAAGATGCAGCTGTGAGTTTATGATGGGCCGACGCGGAACTAAAACCCATTGTCATAGTTTCCAACGCGGTACAAAAATTCTTGGAGGTCATTGTAAGCAGGTACGGAATTTCCTACAATACTCAACTCAAATTTCTGTTTCCACGTGGTGTCCAGTTTTTGCAACGTTAAATTTAATAACGTGAAGTCCCACAAATCGACTTCATCGTACTGCTTCAACGCGGCCAAATTTTCAGAGAATACGTTTAACAAATTTCGCAACAAACTCGGTGAATCTCTATTCACTTTGGGTGCACTATAGATCGCTTGCCAATAATTTGTCATTAATACGCGCTTATTGTTATAACGCGCCACCAGCGCATCGAATGCGATAGCATAAATTGCCGCCGAAATCGGCAAATTCTTGATGACGGTAGACGCCTCACGTGACAATAACGTCGACAAATACTGAAATTTTTCAATTGTGCTAAGATTTGGGTTGTTGTGATCAGTTTTTGATCTGACCGTCAAACGTCGGAATTTGAATTTTGGGCAATTTGACGTTGTTTGATGTTAAATTGCCCCTAGGTGCAACCGATTTAATCGAATACTGCATATCGTCGAATTTTGATTGCACCTCGTATTGTTCGTCTAGCTGCTCAGGGGTGGTGGATAATTCGACAATCTGCAACTGTCGCTGCTTAAACTGGACAACAATATGGTTTAAGTTGACGGCTCGAATAAAAAACTCCCCTCGTACAGTTTCGTGGACTCGGGCTTGTTACGATAGATTCACTAAAGCCTCCAAGCGTTTGATCAAACTAGCTCGTACATTACTTAGCGCGGCGACGGTAGCTATGATGTAAGCCGGAATTTAAGTATTTCGATAATTTGTATCAAAATTAAAATGCGTGCTAATCACGCGTAGCAAAACTACAACAAATTTGTGCTGGAATCTACAAAATCTCTCGTAATTAACCCTAGATCCGGCTCGAAGGACCATATGTTGGACGTAAAGGCTTGAAAACACCTTTTTTCGCGGCGATTTACAATTTCAAAAAAATTAGATTTTGGATCGAAGCTGACAAACGCACTAAAAGGTCACCTACCTTGTTTTGTTCAGCTTCCCGGGTTAGAAAAGTTCTGTAGACTGCCTGCACAAGGGAACCACGTGTCTAATTTCGCGCCAATACTTCGCAATGTTACCTCTAGGAGGGTTTCTTGATAAAACAACTGTGCTCGATAACAGCGCCAACCGCAAGTACTAGGCCTTTTTGCTTGGTACTATGGCGCCTCTAATGGAAAGTGACCAAAATACATTTGTCAGCATTCCGCGGGAAAACAAACAAAATCAAAACAAAATATTAAACAAACTTCGAACCGGAACACAGAGTATTAAGAATTTTGCAATTAAACTCCGCCCCCCGGCTCATAAGGAATAACATCATTACAACTGAGATGGCGGTAGCTAGGCGGAGCATAAATTTTGCCTTTTTTCTAGATACGTATATATGTATATAATGATCTTTTCACGTCAAGATATTTAAAACGTTGTTACGATTTTTTTTTTCGGAGTCGAGGGTGAAAGAGGCTTAGACGAAGTCTCGCTCGATGGTTTTGATCAGTCGTAGCCACGGTTGTAGCGAACGCCTGTCACCGATCTCGACCTTTTTTTTTTATTGCGGATTGTCGCCGGCAGCTTCGCCAAATTTTGAGGTTTTTTTTGTCTCTACGAAGTAGTACTGGCGGGAACGGAGACGGGCAAGCGAGAGGAGGGGGTGCAAAGTGACACAAGAGACAAGAGAGAGAGTTGGTGCCGCGAGGAGGTGTATTTGAGTTTGGTGAGGTTTGATCCGATGGTTTCCTTTTTTTTTGAGAGGACTCGATTCCATAGGTTGATAGTGAGGCGTATCCCTTGTATAAGGTAAATTTCGTGCCTTTTTTCCGCATGTAGGCTTATTGCTCCACCTGTAGGGTCCACGCCAGGGGCGAAGTTTCGGAGCCGTACAGAGGCGACGTAGAGGGCAGCGAGAACGAGGGAAATTTGCTGGGCGCTGTGATCATCACGTAGCGCCGGTTAGGAGACCCGGAGTTTTGGATGATCGCGACGTCGAAGACACGGACCTGGTGAGTTGCACATCGGGGGATCCAGGCTGCGGCAGGACTTGGTCAGCGCGTCGCCGTCGTCCTGTGGGAAGACTCCTGTTTTTTTGTGAACTCCGAGTAAAAGAACACGCCTTATCGCGATTGGAAGTTTTCTTATCGTTTGTCGCCCAGACCAAACCGTTTTTTTAACTGCGTCTCTCTCTCTCCCTCTCTCTTTCACTCTCTACATGAAGATTGAAGACTTATTAGATTTGTATGAGATTCTGGAAGTAAACCCCAACAGCAGTGTTCCAGAGGTAAGAGCTATTGTTTATATCTACAACTGGATTTATAATTATTGTTTCTTTTAGATTAAAAAGGCATACAGGAAAAAAGCGCTTCAATGTCACCCTGACAAAAATCCAGACAATCCAAATGCTGCGAAAGAGTTTCACCAGTTATCAAAAATTCTTGAAATATTAATTGATGAAACTGCGCGAAAAGCATATGATGGAGTTTTAACAGGACGTAAGGAAGCGGCTTTAAGGCACAAAGAACTCGACAGTAAACGGCGTAAACTAAAAGAGGACTTGGAAGCTCGTGAAAAGCGCGCCTGTGATTCCAAGAGAGAGAAAACAGCGGATGAAAAACTTAGAGCGGAGATTGAAAGGCTTCGCAGAGAAGGGTCGAAACAAGTCGAGGAAGAGTTAGAGAGAATTCAGGAGGAAATCAGAGCACAGAAGAAACATAGATCAGAAAATGATTGGGACAGCGCTGATCATAGAATAAAAATAAAGTGGGATGTTGCCAAAGGTAATACAACAAACGGGGGATACACACATGAAATGTTGCACAGATTTTTATCTAAAGTAGGCAAAAACGATTTTGTTTAATGTAGATAATAACTGAAAAACTTGCAGTATGGAAATATTAATGCTCTGGTGGTGTCGGCAAAAAAGATGGGAAGTGCGCTTGTCGAATTCGAAACAAGAAAAGCAGCAGTAAGTAGGTGATGTTCGCATAGTGAGTGTTCGTAATTTTATGAATTTTAGGAAATGGCTGTCGAAATGGGATGTGGCTTGCCATCAAATCGAATCAAGCTGCAGTGGATAAATGTGCCCCCAGGAAAGAATCATAGAACCCAGAGTACCCTTGTGAAGCCGTCAGACTACGAAAGCATTGTTTTAACCAAAATGCGGCAAGCGGAGGAAAGGCGGCGTTTAATTGACCAAATGAAGGCAGATGATGGAGATGACTGACAATTCGTGTAGATTTTAAGCTAAATAAAATGTTTTTGTTTTCGAACACGCGTTTTTGTGGAGTTTGTGAGGTTATGTATCGAGCTGGCGAAATCAATAGGCCAAAAACGAAACTTCAAAACAGAATATTCCGTGTGTAATATTTTAGAAGGGTTGGAAGGTCAATTTGATATTATTCATGATAAGGGGACTTATGACGCTATTAGCTTGAATGCCGACATTAAAGAGCATAGCATAAAAGCTTGACAAATATAGGATTTGTATCATAACGTCATGTAGCTGGATAAAAACAAGGTAGTTAACAATTTTGAGTCAATTAAAAAAAAAAAAACAGAATAACACGCACTTTTATTTTTAGTATGGTTTATTTCTTGCGAATACTTACAGTTTTGTGTAAAAACATGAACGAACGGTGATATTAAATATGAAAAAGTGCGTTTTTCCCTTTGTGGAACACGTGTTGCTTTTCAAGGCGCCAAAGTAACTGAACAAATAAGTTCCTTACTGTAAGAACACGTCGTAACAATGTACAAAGAATATGTATTGAGTTTTTATAAGATGGAGTTGATCAAATCACCTATAGTATTTTTAAGAATAAAATAAAAATGGCGAAAGTCTGATGAGATCTGAGTGGTCTAATACTGAATCACTGTGGACTAAATATAAAGTTCAGCCAGTACACCCAAAGCAGTGTTAAAAAGCTATTTTCTTGTAAAAGTTTAGTAATTGTTCATTAAAAAACAAAGGCATAAGAGCTCTCTATATCTAGAATTTTAAAAATTTTAATCTCAATTCTAGTGCAAAGGCTAAAATTTTTGTTCCAAGAACTTTATACTATATATACTTCTATAGAAATTCAACAACCCTGCTGTATGTGTTTCAAAAGCATACACTATGAGTCACAATTTCTTAAATGCAACTCATTTAGTTAACATAATATATGCATAGACACCATGTATTCATAAGATTAGTCTCATTACTATAGACTACCATAATTGTTTAAAGAGCTAATAAAATTTGACGGGCGTTTCTTACGTGTTACAATGGAATTTTAAAAAAATACTATTCAACACCAAGAATAATGCGTAATGCATAAATCACTTTATAACATGCACTTAAAGGCAACTATTTCGTTAAATCTAAAACCTTACATCAAAAATTGCACGATAATGAAAAATAGTAATCCTACTATTAGTAAGAAATCTATTTCAAATTGGTACTTTGGTCAGTAAATCACTCCTTTAGCTTTTATTAATTTGACCAACTAGGTGATTTAATTTTTCATTAAGACTTTGTGCGTTGGGATTGCTAGACAACTTTTCTAGTGCTTCCCCTACACTGTTAGATTTCAAATGCTGAACAACAGGAGGTGAATTAACTAACTGTTCTAATAAAGTTAATAGATTCTCAATTGTGTGCTTATCCATTTTGTCACCGTACTTATTGACAACAAAGTTAAGATTTTTACCAATTTCAGCGCTTATGAATTGTTCAAACAAAACTCCATCATCATTGCCATGTTCGCCATTTAATCCGTTTGAACTATCATTTTCATTTGAAACCCCACAACCGATAATTAGCAAATTTAAAGCATAAAATGACTCGTTTTGCATCACCCCGTGATTCGAGGACGACATTTCAACCAAACATTTCACGCTATCCTTAGTCTGGATTAACGTTTTGAAAGGTTTGAATGAATGACAGTGTTTTATTAACCATGACAAGAGGCGAGGGACTTCACCGCGTACACCCAAATGGTCTGAGTTGTAACACCAATACATCAATTTTTCTAAAAAGTCTTTGCGCGATATGAGATCCAAAGCGGCTTTTTCTGTAAAAATTGACTTTAGATGGTTCCAATTATATTTTGATTTCTCACCTTGACCATCAATGACCATTCGAAAAGTTCCTAGTAGTTTGAATATGACCAAATATTGCTCTAAGTTTATCATGGGATAAATAGCATCAATTAAACCTTGTTCTAAAACAATTGGTTTGTTTTGTTGCGGGATCACAAGGTTTTTCAAGGTACTCAATAAGGCATGTTGCACTTTTATATCACTGTCACTGGTGTTGTGCTTCGATATTAAAGCTAAAATAATAATGTCAAATATTTCATGATTTGTCTTAATATTCTTACCTATAAGCTTTTCAGATATACCATGTTGTACCATTTGTATACAATGGGTATCTTTGCGGGCAAAATTTCCTATTGCTAAAACACCCGTACTTAATAAGTCTGGATCATCTGAATCCAGCCAAGTCACCATGTTTTCATATACTTTTCCATTTCCGTTATTATAAAGTAAATACATACAGTCATCTTTAAATTAAAATAATAAATAAACCAATAAATGTAGTATTAGTGACATACCTCCTGTTAATATTATAACAATCATATCACAAGCCATTTTCAAAACTGATCTACTCTCTTCATCATTTACTTGATTTCTGTATTTTTCTATCAACTCAAATACCAATTCACAAACACCCTTCTTTGCCAATAATGTTTTTATATCATCTAAAAATAAAATTAGTTTTTGAGTTTGTAGGTTTAATGAAAACTATACCTTTATCAGACTGTCCATGTAAAATTTCTAAGCACAAAACCGAAATTTCTGGAGTTGAGGACATTTTAAAAATGTCTACAATGGTGCAACACAAACTCTCAGTAAACGGTACATTCTGATCTTCAATAAAATCTATAACGTGATTTAACACCGTCAGCAAAAATGCAAATAACATCTGATTTTCATTAAATGTTTTAATGTACTTGTTCAAAATCTTTTCAATTACATCCATAATATTTAAATTTAACGCAGCCTTTTGCAATTCATCATTACTCATTAATAAATTCACAAGGAACCCAGTCACTTTCAAAGTTAGCAAATTATTCTTTCTTTTATCATCTTCTTCAAGTAATGATATAACTTTGGACAACCCTCCTTTATTAATAATTTTCCGTGCTTCATCATTTTCGTAACATATATTACCCAGCGCTCGAATGGTACCCACCACTAAAGACTCTTCCGACTTGTCTAACAGACTCAACAAGTATTCAATAATATCTTTATCAGTAAAAACCATCCTGTTATGCTCATGCTTGGACCATTCCGCTGCCACTTCAACAAATGCTTGGGTTATTTTGTCATTTTTTAGTGTGATGATCTGTTTCAGTATTTTATTATTTTCTAATTCGATGTCTGTACCCTGAGCAATAACACATGTTAAAGATTCCAAAATGCTCTCTTCATTATTCGCTTCCACTGCTTTTGTTAAATCGTTTAAAAGAGCACTCATTTCTGCCCGGCTAGTTTTAAAAACTATCAAAACACCACATATAACAAGTTGACAATTGGCGTCAACATAACCTTGTTTTATTTATGAATTCAAACGCCGTAATGCGCATGTGTGGTATTGGATACGATTTGCTCACGTGATGACGGGCAGCCAATTAGGTGTACACGCTTTTACCAGTGGCGTTACATTTTTTTTCCATAAGGAACAATATTTTACCGATTATAACCTGAAAAAACATTTATAAACAAAATACAAGATTGGATCTTATATACAGTACTTTATTTGTAAAACGGAATCTTAAAAAGTAGATTGCTGACATGAAACAGGCACGTGACAAATATTAGGACTGTAACTACTGCTATACCGAGAATCCAGCTTATTTACAATTGCTACTAATTAATTTAAGCACAAAGTAGAAATCTTAATAGGCTTCTCCTTCTTCATATTCGTCATCATACTGACGACTGCCATTTGTATTATCTGGTTCATACTTCTGTTCATCTTCATCTTCATATTTAACACGCGATTGATCATACGTTTCCGCAGGATACTGCGGATATTCTGGGTAATCTGTAAAACAAAATGTACTTGGTGTATTGTTTTTTACAAAATAAAACAAAAAACAAGCATGTGATGAACTATGACGTAGCCATGTATGAGGTTTATACTGCCATACAGCCTAGACTTGAAGACTGTTAGTCCTGTGAACCTCTTGTTTTTTAGCAAATAGTTTGATCAAAACTAATAGGGGAATTATAGTAATGACAATGAGTGATGAAAATGATGATCAGTTTTGATGTGAAATGAGATCAAACTAAGTTGCACGTACACAAAAATAAGAAATTTGTTGACACATTACCGTCAATTGGTTCCTCCTTAATACGGACTTCACCACCATCGTCTGTTTTGATATATTCAAGTCTTTCACCACGTTCTCGTTCTCGTCTTTCTCTTCTTTCGCGTTTGCGTTCACGATCTTTGTCTCTTGATTTCGAACGTCTCCTTTTACGCTCCCTTTCTCGCTCGCGATCCCTACAAAATAGATTCTGATGTAGCTAATTTCGTGGATTATCAATTTCAGTTAAAAAATGGAAAATATATAAGGCACATTTTTTTAAATTTTTTGTTAAATGAATAAAATGTAAAAGTTTGGGTGGTACGACTGCACTCATTTTGATATAAATCAGATCATGTTGGCAGTAAATCAGTGGCAAGTATCTTAACACGTGAACTGATGTACTAGAATTGCCAACACAAAAATTTGCTTCAATTATTACATCACCCGGTATATTAAAAACGAGTTTCATAAGATATTTAGATCATGAATCCCAAAATTGGAAAAGGAGCGCTAACATGTCTTATGAAAGTGAATTTTATACTAGTCGCACGTTTCATTTCATTTTTAAATGAAAATTAGAAATTTTTAAATTTTGGGGAATTTTGTCGTGGTTGGTATTACAAATGTCAGATTGTAACATTTGACGTTGAAATTTTCAGAATAATAATACAACATTATAAACAATATGTAGCGACAATATATAAAAGTACCTGTCCCTCTCCTTTTCTCTCGATCGTCTGTCAAAGTTGTCATCAAACTCCTCCCTGACGCGTTCTTTGCTACGTCTTCTCTTTTCTCTCCTTGGTGAACGCGACCGACTCCTTCTTCTCCTTTCCCTAGACCTGGACCGCCTTCTGTCAAAACCAACCCCACGATCCCTATCCCTGTCTCGCTCCCTATCGCGATCTCTCCCACCTCTTTCCTCCCTTTCTCGTTCTAACCTGTACCTTTCCCTCTCCCTTTCGTTGTCCTCGCGCCCTGAATGTTTTATATTTACCTCTGGACCTCCTCTACGGGTACCACCAAGACCGCCACCTTATAACAACAATGTAGAGACGTTTCCCCTGAAATTTATTATATATCTTACCGAGACGTCTAGGTAACCAACCCTTAACTGTGCGGGCCCTTTCGACATCAACTAAAACCCGTCTCCCGTCAATTTTCTTTCCATCAGCATGTTTGTATGCAGCTGAAAAGATCGAATTCAGTAACACAAAATTTTAAAAACCCGTGACGAAACCCCACATGCGTTTTTATTTTTTTGTTTTGGTTTATGTACATGTGGGATTTTTTTTGGTGGATTTTCAGAAAGAAAAAATCCACGTTTAATTGCTGAAACACCGATCTTCGCGCAAACGCGTAAAATAAAATTACAAACGGACCGAACTGATTGATTTTCAAAACGGAAATTACAAAAATAGGTATAAATGAAATATACCTACCCAGCTACTTACGTAATAAAACATCATAATGAAAAAGTTGTATTTGATTATATTTAGCAATCCGAACAGCTGAGAGGACTCCTTTTTATCATTACCTGGTGCGCAATTACTTACTGAGCGCATACCCATTTATAAATCAAATAATTCTATATGAACAACATTAATTTGGAATAATTATAAAATTCAACATTGACAGAACTGAAAATTTTTTACTTTTTTTTACTTATCTGATTAAGAACTCAAAACCCCGACAAACAACTCAAAGATATTATTTGTATGCAGGGTTCTTACCACACATACAAACCTATATAGCCAGCAAAAAGCGGAAGTATGGGGCAAACGGCACTAGTTGCCTGCAGCTCGGACTGTGTAAAAAATAGAAAAATATTAATTTCAGTCAATTCTAGCAATATCTTGTCAAATGGTTGCTGGCTACATAACCTAACAGGAATTTCAATTCACCACTTAAATTTTTTGATCAACATTTACTAAATAAACAGTTTTGTTTGCAAGTGGTGGAATTGAAAGTATGATTGATGAATAGAACTTCTCCTACTCACAGTGCATGTCCCTCTCATGTTCATACTCTATGAATGCATACCCCCTAGGTTTTCCATTAACGCTGTTATGGATCAGGACAATCTAAAAAAATTACTAAGATCATTGAAAAACCAAACACACAAATCTACCTTTTTGATTGGTCCATAAACTTCAAATTCTCTTCGAAGCTTAGACTCAGAAGTATCATAATTCTGAAAAAAAAATCACAGTTGTCAGAATGTAGAGAATTAATTTAAAAATAATATCTAGAATATTTCCATATGTTTCACATTCAAGTATTGAAATTAAACCGTTTCAATGAACACACAGTCATTTTCTTGGCTTTTTTATTTCTTCATAAATATGCCACAAAACGTCTGAAACCACTGGAAACCAGAACACAAATTTGAATATAAAAATTAACAGAATATGTTTATAGCCTAGATTGTGCCAAGTTAATTATGTATTACAGGACTTCATATTCAAAAATTCTTTTGTCTTGCAAATACTATTCCAGGGTTTTAAATTAAAAATATATCATATTACATATGTAATTAATTTCAGGCAATCATTTCACAGTACAAAGCTGAGGAAATAGCTTCTGCCACTGTCATTAATAAATATAGTGCTGTCAAATAACGTTTGAAACATCCGTAAAGAATGGTTGTTCCCTGTTTTTATTGTTACAACTTAAAATACAAATCACAACAATTTTAACAGGGTAAATTTAATTTTCCTGAGTTTACGTACATACAAGCCTACTAATTAAGCACGTATGTGAACAACACAGGCTTTCTCAAAATTAACAATAAAAAAACTTACGATTCGAGCAACAAAGAGTGTTTTAAAAGGATCTGCAGTGATATTTGGGGCTGAATTTGGATCCCAAACCGCGATTTCTTGTTCTAATTTGTAAGCAACTTGTTCAGCTCGTTCCCGTCGACGCCTTTCCAACCGCTCTTCTCGTGTTTCAACCCTTGTAGGAGGCGGAGTATCTTTCGGGTCCTACACAGCACGCAACATTCATAATAAAACAAAAGCGTTTAAATGCGACAATCTCACCTCAAACTCTGTCAAAAACGCACCCACACCTAAATAACCTCTCGTTTTTTTCTCATGGGGTAGCTTTGCCACTGGTGGAAGATACGGGACTGGGTCGCGAGGAGCGAACAACGCTAGCAAATTAGGTGGTAAAAACTGCGTCATTTTGCTACTTTACTAAAATTGTTTTTGCTGCACCGATTTCAAATCATTCTTTAAATAAACAAAATAGTAATCACAAATATACACAACCACCCTCAATACACCACAATGCAAAATGGCTGCCGCAGTGTTTCGCATTCAAGCGTCATGTCATGCGTCCATGGATGCGTCAAATTAAGCGTGGTATACCAAGGGAACGGACGCCACACGAGCGCGAATAAGGCGCGGCTGTTGTGATCACGTGGTGAAGTGGTTACGTATTATTGGTCGCGGTATTTGTGTCTTCAGTGCTACGGATTAACGCTACACTTCGCCAACACACTTGTACCAACGTAACTGACAATCATGTACAAAGACACTGAAAATGTGACGTAGTTGTTGACAACTTGACCAGCTGCGTGTGGGAGGGAGTGATGTCATCATCAACACTTGAAATATCAACAAGGGCTGGTAAGGGCTAGGGCGAGTAGTGTCTTGGAAAATGGGTCTTCAACAGATTTTGAAAAACACCGGAAGGGTGGCTGTTGGCGCTCTTAGTTTTGTTTCAACGTTTTATACGGTAATTGAGTTGATGTATTTTTTTTCTGACCCAAATTACTCAAAAAGAGTGGTGACATCTAAAGGTAAACATTAATATATTCATGATATAATTTTTAAATGCCGTATTCTATTTTCAGACGAGTACTTATCGGTGTCTTGGAGTTTGTTAATGAATATGTGTTTGCTCACATTATTTATTCTACAACATTCACTGCTGGCTTTGCCTTCCATAAAAGGTGTTTTTAAGAAATTTGGAATTCAAGATTTGTATAGGAGTCTTTATGTTATTGCAACTGCAGTAGCACTGCAAGTGAGGAATTTGATAAAACTGTGTGTTGTGAGTTAAAAAATGATTTGCAGATCTTCATGAGAAACTGGTATGAAATTCCTCAGATAACACTGTGGAAGTTTAATTTGAATTTTAAGCCATTTTGGTGGATTTATGCTGGTATCCATATCATCTCTTGGCTTGTTATTTATGTTGGTAATATTTGTATGGATGTGAATGAGCTGATTGGTATAAAACAAGTAAATGTGATACTAAATTTAAGTCATATTTTACAGTATTTTTTTTTTAGATATACTACAGCATAATAAATCTTCCAGACCCTAATTATCGAAAGTCAGTTCAATTACAACGCTTAAATTCCCATATGAGACATCCAAGTTTTGTGGCGTTTCTTGTAATATTCTGGTCAGTGCCAATTCTGAGGTATGTATTTTTGTTTCAGTTTTTAAACATATGTCTGACGTCTTTTTTTTAGTTTGGATCGCATTTTACTTGGTACAATTTTGTCACTGTACATGTTTATTGGTTGGAACACTGATGAAAGTGATTATGCTTATCAGTATTCACAATATATAAGAAAGTTTCATGAATTGGAAAACTTACATAGTTGAGATTGAAGAATTTTATTGTGTGCAGCTGGTTTTTGCTGGAGCTAAATATTTATATATTTCATTATAGAAATAATTTTGACTTTACAGATAACTAATTTATTGTGGATTTAATACTTAATATACCTTTTTATTAACTTTTTTCATTTTTACGTGACCTATATTTACTAAAATGTATATAAGTTACATGAAAATTTTCTTCACAAGCAAGTACATATGTAGATCAAGTTCAAAGCTATGCAAGTTATTTGCGTCACCTTGTAGTCTCATTAACAAGCCTCCAAAGGATATATATGCCGCCAACCTGCTGGAGTGTTCCGTGGCGGCGTCGCCTTCAATGCGGTAAACTTTACCTGACATCACATATTCAAAACTATCAGCGCGCGAACTCTCACTTTCTAAACCTTGGGGATTCCAGTCCCCATCAGGATATCCATCTTCGCGGAGAGTCGTCGCTAAGACTAGACGGAACTTGTCGCCCAGTTCCATGGGATAAAGCCAGGAGTTTATGTCCAGGATGAGTTCCATCTTGAAGGATTCACTCTCACAGTGTAAACGACTCACCCTTTCGAATTTTTTTCCTTCAGGATCTATGTCTTTAACGTTGAATATATCTTCAAATAACACTCCCGCCATTGAATAAACTGAAAAACGATTGAATTAAAATTCCAAAACTGTGTCTAGAATATTTGGGAGCACCTCTTCTAATGTGTAGATATTCACTGAGTAGTATGCATCAGAACTCTCTTGAAGTGTGGAATATATAAAAAAAAGTTAACAAACATCTGCGGCTTCACGGACGGTTAGAAAAAGAGGGGCATGAAGAGTTGTTCTAAATGGCTTATTCAAAAATATTCACTATAGAGTAAATAAGAATTTAAAAACTGGTTTTAATTGAATGAATACAGTTGTGTTTTTTTAAATAAGACATACTCTTCTGTAAAATAGAATATAATTATTTCTTTTATACATGAATGAGACAGTTTAACTATCAGCTTCAGTGATTTTTTTTTAACTAATAGTAAACAAGTTTTTGGTAAATTTAGACGTTGACAATAAATTGAATTTTTTTTAAGTTTTACTTTATAATAAGCATTCACGTTCGGTAGAAGTAACTGACAGAAACTTTTCTGTGGTTAAGTTGCAATCTTAAGATCACTAGAAATTTAAGATTGGCATCAACTGTCTAATTTTCTAATTCAAATGTCAAATCTGAATTGTGTGGAAAAAAACCGAAGTTTTTCTAATTTCAACACGCTTCGTTTCAAGAAAATCCTTAAATACAGCATGGAAACAATTTCCATAAAAGTAATCACGAGAAAGCTCATTTTAAAGGAAAAGAAACAAGAAATATTTCGTGGTTTTCAAAAAATTGGGTAAAACGGAAACAGTTAAACTGGTGGCAGAAATATTCTCCGTAAAGTTCGCTAGTGTTGTCGAGTGTTTTTCGAATTTTAAAATAATACAGATACAGCGGCGCTTGTGCCGTTAATATTATAATCAGAATCAGAAAGACGCCTGCGCAGATTTATATACCTACATGCTTTGTTGGTTCCGTTCTACAATTGGTTTTTAAGTTTTATATAATCGTTATTGTTTTGTAAGAGGTAAAACACTCGGCTTTGAAAATAATTGTACGTAATACACGTATAAATTTAGGTTTCCGAAGGCGAAGTTTTTCACATTTTAAACACGTTATAGCTGCCAGAATCAAATTTCTAAGGCGGTACCTATCTCCAATTGCGTGATTGTGGTGAAGATTTACTTTTCATTTTCTTGGATGAGACATGGATATACCAGAACGGATCCATGGTGAAATTGTGGATCCATGATGATGACATCAAAGCTTGTCCTCCTAAAAAAACTAGTGAAGGGAAAAGATTCAAAATTTTACATGCGGGTTGCTCTTTGGGCTTTTAGAGGGATGCGATTTTCTCCTTGGTTCGAAAATAGATTCACCAGATTACCACAAAACCATCACATTTTCGATATTTGACCTTTACTTACTTACATGTCACATTTTTGATACCTACTTTCTGACATTCCAGTAATACATTATACACTAGAACAATTATGTCCGCAATTACACAGCTTAAAAAAAAAAGTTACCAAATCTAGTTACATCTACCGAACGTGAATTCCTTATATGTACTATTGGTAATACTTAGGTTGGTACTTACTGGTGCATAATTTGACATTTGATTGACAATTGTCAAATAAAACTGTTCCGGTTTGTCAAACTAGTAGCACGTGTGTGCATGTATAGAATAGTACACCAATACCTTGTTTATTAAAATCATTGAAAAACAAGAGAGTTAAAATAGAAAAACATGTCTGACCACGAAATGGAAACTGTGGACGATGAGTCGGAAAATGAAGAAGTTATGGAAGAAGAGAGCGAAGACAACAAACCTCAAACTACAGAGGTATACCTTCCCAATAAACCTCTCGAAGAAGGCGAGGAGCTGGTTTGTGATCAGTCTGCCTACGTAATGTTACATCAAGCACAAACTGGAGCCCCGTGCTTAAGTTTTGATATAATCAGAGACAGACTGGGTGATAATCGGGAAAATTATCCCTTAACAGCTTACATTGTATCTGGAACCCAAGCCTCACAAGCACATGTTAACAATGTAATTGTAATGAAATTATCCAATCTCCATAAAACAAGTAAGGAAGAAGAAGAGGATGACGACGACGACGATGAAGATTCAGATGATGAAGTTTCAAAAAATCCGAAAATGACTGGCGCGCTTATTAAACACCAGGGATGTGTTAACAGGATAAGAGTAGGTTAATTCCAACTTGATTAACATAATCTAAATTCAGTTCTTTATAGAGTACAATCATCAATGATAAAGTAGTAGCAGCTTCTTGGAGTGAACTTGGACGCGTCAACTTATGGGACTTAACTCACCAACTGGAAGCTGTTGACAATGACCAGATCCTCCAGAGATACAATAAAGAAAACAAAGCAAATTCTGTGAAGCCGCTGTTCACTTTTACAGGTCATCAGAAGGAAGGTTTTGCCATAGATTGGTGTCCCACTGTGAGTGGGGTTTTAGCAACAGGAGATTGCCGTCGCGACATTCATATTTGGAAACCTGCAAGTGGAGCATCTTGGCAGGTTGATCAAAGACCTTTGATTGGTCATACTGATTCAGTGGAGGATTTGCAATGGTCACCGAATGAAAGAAACGTCATTGCGTCATGTTCTGTCGATAAGAGCATTCGTATTTGGGACACAAGAGCCCAGCCTAGTAAAGCTTGTATGTTAACTGCCGAAAATTCGCATGAAAGCGACGTCAACGTAATTAGTTGGAATAAAAATGAGCCTTTTATAGTTAGTGGTACGTTATATTGTTGTATTTATTGACAAAAAGTTCACGATTTTATTTAAGGTGGTGATGATGGTTTTTTGCATGTGTGGGATCTGAGGAGGTTTCATGAAAAAACACCAGTAGCTACTTTTAAACATCACACTGAACCTGTAACCACAGTGGAGTGGCACCCAACAGATTCTGCTGTTTTTGCATCAGGAGGAAGTGATAATCAATTAGCTCAATGGGATTTGTCTGTAGAAAAAGATAATGAGACAGACAGTGAAGAAATTGAGGTAAGAATACTAGACCGTACATAATTTTGTTCTGTAACTATGATTCTTTTAAGGGCGTACCACCACAACTATTATTTATTCATCAAGGACAGAACAATATTAAAGAATTACACTGGCATCCTCAACTACCTGGTGTTATTATTAGTACAGCAGAGAGTGGTTTTAACATTTTTAGGACAATTAGTGTTTAAAATATTTTATTAAAATTATACAAAACCCTAAAAAATTAAGTTTCATTTGTATCTATAAGGTCTAAATTGATTAGATGACGCATGGTTGGCCGCCCATGCGGACAGTTCTATTGTTAAAAACTCAAGTCAATTTATAATACTAAGTTGTAGTAATCACTTACCCATGGTTGTACAATTTCACCCATATGGTCAATTAATTTTCTCATGTCGCTGTTTGACAAAGATTTTCCAATCATCACAGATTTGCGACAAGCTCTAGACGCAAACATTGCTCTAATTCTGGATGGTCTACACATTGTATGATTGGAATCCTGAAACAAGAAATAATTTAATGTGATGAAATTAATATAAAAATACTAACTACCTGTAGCATAAATAACATTTCATCAATATCATCTTTGCCAAAAACTATACTCTTACTCAGTGGTACAGACGTTAACAGAACTTTCTTTGTACATGGAGCTAAAAATTTCTTACAGTTGATAAAATTTTTGTTAATTTATATGAACAACCTGATTCATCTATCTTAAATGTAAAACCATTCTTTTTGAAAATGTCTTCATTTTCAATCAACAAACTTTCATTTGCGGCTGTCAGTTGCAAAGGTCTGGGACTAAAAAAAAAAGTCAGAAAAGTGCTGGAAAATATTTTTAACTTAACTTGACAAGAACTTGGTTTTCCATCACAGTATTCGCTTGTAGATCTTCAAAGTTGTATTTTTCGTCAGTGGCGTGTTGGTCAATAATAAATAAATCGTTATATAATCTAGCTATAATAAAACCTAAATTGAACTGCCCTATTATTTCCATTTTTGCAAAGTCCTCTTTAGAAATTTGTTTACGTAATTCTTCTTCAGCGGTTTTGTTGGACTCGGGGTTTATTTTAGAACGGAAGCGCACTTTAATATCATCATTTTCTTTACATATATTCCTCTTTTTTAGTGCCTCTTTTATATCTTTCAGTGTTGTGTGTAAGGTTACGGACTTAGAAAACGAACGATCTCTAAACGTAGAATCCAGTACAAAATCAACATCTTTATCAGAGGTGTTGTCTTTACAGTCTTTTATCTCTTTTTTCGATTTGTCAACAATAGTTGAATCATCTTGTGAATCATTTGTGCCGTTTTCTTTAGAATCCATTTCTTCGATTTTCTCACCAGTCTTTGTTGACTCTTTTTTTTCGATTTTCTTATCAATCTCGTGCGTCTTAAGAGCCACTACGTTTTCAACAGCTTTTTTTCCTTCATCACAAACAATCTTAAATTCTATTTCTTCAATTTTGTCATCTTTTGACTCTGTTTGTGATTCTCCACTAATTTTTGCTACACTTGAATTAGCTTCACTTCCCACTGGAGTACTTAGTTCAGATTTACATATTTTTTTTGCATTTGTCTCTTCTGTACTTGGTGAAACAGGGGTATTTGGTTCATTTTTACATGCTTCATGAGCTAGTTTAATAAAAGTGTCCAACATGACAGTGTCATTATTTTTCTCACTTTCCTCGGCGATTTCTTTTAAACAAAAACTCGTCTGAGGGCTTAACTCATCTTTATCGTTTTCGGTTTTAGATCGTTTTTTAAATTTTTGTAAAATACTGCCTTTTTTTAGTTCACCGTCAGTGCTACTCCTTTTCAAGCCTCTTGCATTTGTTTTAGTTTCTAAGAAATCTTTAACTGAGGTGTTTTGTGTGAGGTCTAGATTCTGCATTTTATAAGAGGAAGGAAAATTCTTAAACGCTTCAATTAAAGACGCTTTTATGGTAGCAAGCAATAATTTTTCTTTTTCTAAAAATACCTGCCGTTTATCCGGGGTTACGTTAACGTCGACTAAACAAGACTTAGTTAAAATATTTAAATAAATAAACGGATACTGACTGTGGTTATACTGTTTATAAACTTCATTTATTAATTTTGTCAACTTTGTTGGTTCACATGGTCGTGAATTTATATTAAAAAATTGGCGATCACTTGTACTTCGACCACTGCCATGAATAACACTTGAAATGAAAAAATCAAAGTCAAATGGTAAAGAATTCTCTTCAAGTGACTTTATTCCATATTCATTTAGAAATGATTCATCAGGTTCTATAATTTCCACTTCAATTAAAGAAGAGATTTGTTTAGCGCCAAATACGTTAATAATATTATCTCTGACTGTATTTAATCCATCAGTAGAAGCAACCGTGTTTTTTGAACCCTTACTTGTCGTATTAGTGCATGAAAATTTAACTCCTTTTGATACTAAACAATAAGCGTAAAGCAGCTGACACATTTTGTTAAATTCACGTTTTAAATTTTTCACAAATTCTTTTCGCCTTACTGGTAACGTAGAAAATAAATTTTCTAAGGTAACTGTAGTACCCTGCTCACGTGCTCCCAACACTTCACTTATGATTTTCCCGTTTCGATCATACGTGATTTTCGTCGCATTTGTTGCTGATGTATGTTTAGTCAGGATCCTTAAATCAGAGAGAGCACACAAGGAACTAAGAGCTTCACCCCTAAATCCAAGAGTGGAGAGGTTTGCTAAATCATTGAATTGTCTTATTTTTGATGTATAATGTTTCAGTGCTACAAAAAATTTGTGTTATGTATATTAATCATACTTTGTGTATACTAACTCAGGGCTTGGAAGTTTTCTTTCTCAACACCACTGCCGTTGTCACAAACCTCGATTAGTTCAGACCCATATTCTTTTAACTGGATGTCAATTATTGTAGCTCCTGCATCAATAGCATTTTCGACTAATTCTTTCACTGCTATTGCTAGACTTAGAACCACCTTAAAATTTTAAATCAGAGATTTATTAAACAAGTTTGTGTTACTAACCTGACCAGAACAAATACGGTGCACCGTGTCGCGATTTATTGGCTGAATTATATCTGATTTAGGTTGTGAAGACGCTACAATATTTTCTTCGTTATCGCAGTCCATTATATTCTTAAAGTTTGCAAAGTTATAGTATAAATAAAACTTAAAATAAAACGAATGAGTTATCTTCCCGCTAGACTTTTCAACTGGTGAGAGAAGTGCGCGTGGTGCGAAAGGTGTCTTGAGGTTGGTAATATTATTACAACTTTATTCTTATTTTACTTATTTTAAATTTGTCAAAAATCCTTTACATTATTAATATTACGTTCATTAATTCGATAAATGTGTATATGTTATTGTACAACTTCCTAAATTAGTGAAAAACTGATTAAAAATACAACTTCATTTTTTTTAATAGTAGGTTGCCGTCTTGTGAGTCTGACATCTGTCACTGTCAGAACAGTTAATAATTATTAAAAATGTAGTAAGTCATAACCACAAAACCAAAACCATTAATCGCGATATCACCAAATCTCTTAGTATTTATGATAATCCTAAAAGAGCATAATTGTTGGAAGAACAGGAAGTTGTACGTTCATTTTAAATTATAAGTATCAGATGAAACCACTTAAAATTTTTTTATGTATGATTGTATGGTAAGTGTTTAAATTCATTATTTAAAAATTATTCCAATATTACATTTTAGGTCCGAAGTTCATTTCAATGCACGAAACTGAGAAGGGTAGAAAACCGTGGTCGAAGAAACTGAAAAAAGAGCGTTATGAAGCCAGAGACCCTTCTATTATCGGTACCGGCCACGTCTTCACATTTCTCCTGTTAATTTCAACATTTGTAATTTATGATGTGATTGTGATAACTAACCTACAGGACGAAACAAGTACTGATTTCCAGGCACTTAAGTCTGAGTTGGAGATGAGTGTTCATTGTCAACCTGAACCAGTAGCTGTTATTCTTGAGAACTTAAATAAAATCCAGAAGAATGAACAAACTATTGGCATTGTTAACTTTATCGGAAGTACAGGTGTTGGAAAAACATTTATTGCAAATATTATCAAAAGACACTTTTCACTGTTTTATGAATCCACTGGCTCTCTTAAAACGAAACTTCAGCATGACATTTGGAGTACAATTAGAGGGAGTCTTGCTAGGTACAATTTAGTAGTTTTTGATGATTTGACAGTGGATGATGTTGATGATTTACTGGTTTTAATTAAAGGAATGCCTCAAGACGTTGCCACACTTGTTATTTGTATTTTTAATATTCAAGAGACTGATAGTTTTTTAAATTATAACGTTAATTATGATAATATTGATCTAATTGAAAGTAAATTTAATTCAGCTGAAATTAAGCATGATGTGGCTAAATTCCATGAGTTCAGTGCAGGTGAAGTTCATGATTGGATTGTTAATCAGTTGATAACAAAAGGAGTCGATGCACAGTACCACACAAGAATTATAGAATCTGTATTTGGGGGCCACAATGTGAAATACCATGGTTTGAAAGGTTTAAATTCAAAAATAAATTTGGAACTGTGATAAATAACGAATTTAAATAAATTAATGAAGTTGTACCTCTTTGTTTTATTTCCTATTTAATTAATTGCAATAAAACTACTCCTATTATTAATTAAAATTTATTTTATTTTGTATCAAAAATATACGTTTCTATAATTACCGTGTTTTCAGTCCTAAATGTAATACTTTAAACATCAACTTAATTAAACAAATTAATCAACTTCCAGTTTTCTGAAATTTCCTGTTATTCCGCACAAAGAATCCCCTTCAGATCCACAGTTGATGCCGCCTCTTTTTAGAGCAGAAACTGCGCCTTCTTTCGCTTTTGCACTGAATAAATTTTCTTCAACTTCCATGCGGTCGTGGGACATCAAAATAGGATGAGATATTTTTAGCTCCTTTTTCCACGATTCTAAAAAAAAAAAAATGTTTATAAATCAACAACGGATTTCGTATTATTACCTATCATTTCGGCCATTGGTACTTCCCCTCCATACTCTTTAGGTAGAACATCTTTTTCCAAGTATCCGCAGACGATGGCTTCTTCAAGATTTGTGTATATTCTAACACGTTTTTTAATTTTGTCGGAAATTAACGACATTCCAAAGTCAAGGGCAAATTTCATAGAAGGGTGGACGTTAATAGCATGAACTTCTTTGTGTCTCATGGGTAATGTTTTCTAAAAATTAAATATTGTTGAACTTCCGTTTATACTAATGGCTGCAGCAAGTCTGATAAGCAGTCGTGGCCGAGCGGTTAAGGCGTCTGACTAGAAATCAGATTCCCTCTGGGAGCGTAGGTTCGAATCCTACCGACTGCGCAATTGACGAACACTTTTTTTTATTTTGTTTTATCATATTATAAAATGATTGGAGTAATTGTTACATGTAATAAACATTATATTTAATTATTCTTTAATTCATAATTTCTACATCTACGTAATTACCATATGACTGAAAAAAACGTCGTCTAGTCAGCCATGGAATTATTTTTTTTTTAATTTGAGGGCACGATCTGCGATCTCACAGTTGTTCGTTAAAAAAAATATATGTTCGGATTCAAGCATGTTTTTTTTAATTACATTGACAATACAATTAACGTCAAACTGATAATATGTAATTAAAAATTAATTTCATGGCTGACTAGGCGACGTTTTTTTTTTGATCATGTGTATTATTTATTTAAAAACTCACCTCTCCATTTTTCACAATACGTACTGCTTCTTTAATGGTAAATAGAGTAAGGTACGAGAATCCGACACCTTGACCATCGGCAAAATGCACAAAACCTCGAATCTGATTTTCTTCATCTTCCATTAATGTTTCGTAGACTATTCCGTGGATTCTACACATATCACCTTGTGTAAATTGTTCGAGATCAAACACTCCTTTAAAAACAGATATGAATTTTTGTTTAAATCAAAGATATTGTTATGTTAGTACAAGTCTGGAGGTACATACAGTTTTTATAACTATTATTTTATTCTACCGACTGACTATTTGTGTTAGTGATTTTTTTTGTCAAGTCGGCAAGATATTTAAAATTTTAAGGTGGTATACCAGTCCAGACTTTTGTATTCCTCGGACAAGAAACTGTATCTGACCTGGACGAGCAATTATAACTCTCCTCCCTTTACTGTCTCTCTTAGGGCAAGCAAACAGATATCCTCTGTTGGTGAGATCTTCCATCATTGGTATAGTAATATCTAGGCAATTAAAAGCCACTCCAAAAGTTTGACGCAGAAGTACGTATCTTTCCAAAGCTTCACAGGCAAGAGTAACGCTAAACTTTTTGAATCGTAAAAATCGTAGCAAAAAACGTGCATCTGCAATGGTTTTTCTAAGACAAAAATTTTCAGTTTGTTGTTTTGTTACCCATTCTGCAATTTTTAATACGAGGATTTTGTCTGATCCATTCACGCATGGAGGCCAGCGCGGTTTCTCGACTATGCTTCTCCTCGCGCAGCTCCTCCTTAGCCATGATTTGGAGTTCTTCAGAGAGTGTGCACACGTACTCATCTGGTTCTGTTACCCATTTGCGGCCTGACATGGTGGTGGATGGGGATTTTTCTTGTAAAAAATAAAATTAGTTAAAGTTGACCAAAGAACATTAAACATTGTATTTAAGAATTGTTACTTACAAAGTAATGTCATTATGTAGATAGATAGATGTAGATATCAATATGCGTAAAAGTAAAGTTTGAACTTGAAGTTCGAACATAATTTTTTAAATCACATAATAATCAGATAATAGTTTTTATTGATAGGTTGTTCTGAGTTATGTTAGTTAAGTTGCTTATGGTAAATTTTTTGCCACTTTTTGTGTAGTATATTATATCAAAAATTGTGCAATTGTGTTAATTTCGTTTCAAGTTAAATTTGCTTTGGAAAATTTTTAGATGACGTCATAAAGTTTGTGGAAGGTATGAACAGACAAATTCTGATTAGTAATTTACCATGTTTACGATAACCTTACTTCAGAGCAATCAATGTTGTATTTTAAGATAAATTGTACTCCTATTTTTTTTTTCTAAAAACCTATATACCCAAGGTTAGAAATAAGATTGGATTAATAATCAATCAATTAATCATATGTGCACACTATTATACACATTATACACATTTTAAATGTGATTACTTAGCAAAATTTTGAGATGAAGTCGTCACATTTTTGGTGTTTTTTTATGAGCGTTTTACCATCGATACGATGTTCTTCAAACACATCTAAATTTTACTACAATATGTTCAGCAGTTTCGGAGACTGCCTGTCTAATAAAATCGGCAGTAGGCGACAGACGATAGACAGGCGGAAACGTGATACTTAATTTTTCATATTGTAGAACCAATGAAACGTAGAGAGGAAGCAAGAGAGTATAGAACAAGAAACTACAACTTTATACATATTTTTACTTCTCAACGGTTCATGACCCCTAGAATACGAAAACATAGGTTTCTCGTTTCCGTCTGTCTGTCTGCCATCTGCTGTCTGTCTTCTGTCTTCTTCTGTTTCGATTTTAATTAGACAGATAATCCGTCTTGGGTTTGTACCCTAGATTTTTGTACTAAAAATCAAAATTGTATTACATTTTACAATTTAACTTTGAAATTGCAAAACTGAAACCTGGCAAACGTTTTAAGGTTATCGAAAACATGGTAAATCGTTAATCAAAATGTATCCGTTTACGATCTCCCTAAAAACTGATGTCATCTCCAAATTTTGCTAAATAGATCCTACCTAAAATGTGCAAATTATGATGAGTCTCTACTTATGGTTTATCAATCCACTAAAAATTTTTAAAATTGCTTATACAGGTGACTCAAAAAATTAATGAATGAGGCAATTTATTTTATTGAATAAATCGAAAACGGCTTCCTTCATTGTTCACTGTTATTATTGTGCAAAAATATTCATAACGATTCTTTACATTTACTTTTACATTACATACATATTTTTATTTTTACTTACAGACATTCTCATAAAAAAAAGTACATAACAAAATTTGCAAAATCCTTAGATCATATAATAATAATTTATTATATGATCTAAGGCAAAATCAAATTTTGTAATTTTTCGAAAACGCTGGTTATTAAAGTTTCTGCCTTTCAGATTTATCATAAAAATATTCAAATCGGTTATTTTGATAGTTTATTGTAAATATCTTCAATATTTTTTAATAATGGATTTTATATGTGTACTCAGTATATATAACATACAGGGTGATGAAAAAATGATGTGTAAGCTCGATGGTATGCTAGGAAGAACTTGATGACTAAATTTTCGAAAATATTAAACTTCAATTCTGATATGTTTCAATGTGAATTTAATTGAAAAGCTAAAATTCCGATAAAAATAAAAAAATAACACCTATCAACAGTAAAAAATTACGTTGTGGATCGTATTCTAGGTATTTATTAAGAAATTATTAACAACTAATTGTTTAACTGTCTCAAACAAGAGAGTTCAGTAAAATAAATCAGAATTACAGTTAATTCTTGAATTTTAACGTTTAATATTTTCAAAAGTTTGGTGCAGAGATTTTTTAACCACTTTTTTCGAGTTCTACAAATCTTTAATAACGTACCATCGAGCATATACCTACGTCATTTTTTCATCATCCTGTATATGTAGTAATCGTTAATTAATCAGATCACTTTCTCAAGTTTTATGGAAGCAGAAATAATGTTTTTATTTGTCTTAGTTAAACAGTAACTACAAGATATATTAAAAAATGACTAATTCAAAGTTCTCATTTAATCGAAATATAGACACTACAAAAATGGACTACTCAATAATTAAGAAATTACATTCAATCTATTTTTAAAATTGACTTTTACAAAAACTGGAATAAAAAAAGTTGTTTATGTCTATGTTTATATTCGAAAATTTTAGAATTTAGAAAAAATAATCTTGAAAGATATGTATGTACCAAATTTGGATTTGGATTTGCAGTGACTTATGTTTAAAATAAAAAATATTAATAAAAAAAAACTGCAAAGGTCCTTCCAAAAATCAAAAAAATCTGAAACTAACTGCACCATACTAAAACAGATTTGGACTTAAAATGATAACAATTCTTGAAAATTGTAAAAACCGAAATTACAATAAGCCTGGTGATAATGGAGATGTTACATTCTCAAAATCAATTGAGATCCTATAACAGAAAAACGTACGGATTGGCCTTAAAGCGGATTTAAAATTTCACAGTAGTCGGTACGATATTTTAAGATTCATTATTAAAAAAAAAAATCCCATAGCAAGACAGACGGAAGCGGAAACATGTGATACAGAAAGCGTGAAATTAGACATTTATTACAATAACTTTATTGAAATACTTTTTTTCGTAGCTATCGGTTAGTATGCAAAACAATTTTCACTTCAAGTTTATTTAAAAATTTGCTGTCATTTTTCTTTACAAATTTTGATTGAAAAATGGCTCAGTTAAAAACACAAATGTTGCTTTAATTTTAGACTAAACCGAAATTACAATAAACCATTTAGGTATTCGTAACGCAGATTGGAGCAAATCTTCACTTACTTTGTAGATAGATAAGCAATATCTAAAATCTTACTCACCCCAAATAAAATCTTTACACTATTTATCTTAAGTAGCAGGGCGCTGGAAGCACACTGATCTTAACTTACCTTTGAATGTTAATTTAAGGTGTATTGTAATTTTTCATCCCCACTGCTAAGATTTGCCCGAGCATTATCTTCCTATTTCTCCGGACACTTGCGGCACAGCATCCACTTTCTTTCTTTGAAATCAGTTTAGAAGAAAATTTGGGTGGGAACAGAGTCGAACACGACGCATGAACTGGTCAATCTTATTTTTAATTGAAGTATTAGAGGCGTTTAATCTGTAGAAAATGAAGCAAGTGGTTTATTGCGTTAATGTAAACATCCTTACTTAACTATCGCATTTGTGTATGGATGTACGAAGACTAATCTTATGTAAACTCACCTACAGTGATGAGGAAGCGATTGTTCAATATGGTTACGTGTCATACAGAGCTCATAACAACTTTGGAGCAATTATGGATCATATTCGTATGATGAGTTGCGATTTTTTATTAATTACTTAATTTTCGTACTAGTTTAGAATATTATAGGTGTCGTTCACATTTGTAGAAGAAACATAATATATTCAAAAGCATTTTTTGTGATTATTTAATAAAAGCGCTGCTCAGAAAAGACATGTAAAAGAATAATCAACTCGTAAGACAAAAAACATTAAATAAACTAAAAATGGGTCATACGTTAGTTTCCTATAGGAAATCAATTAGATTTCAAAGTTGATTGTTTACCGTTCTGAGAAAGTTTTACGCGCTCTCAAGTAACAACAGACTGAACCATTTGTTGATTTATATTCCATATTCAGTTTCGTAATAAATTCATGTTCGTTAAAATCACTACGCACAATTTTTTATTGTTATTCGAAGTAAAAACTGCCTCTCTGGTTTTTATATAGTTTTTAAAGAACATCAGTAAAATCAAAATATATTTTGCAACGCATCACCGGTTTTAGTTTGGTAAATACACATGGTAACTTGTTCTACAATATGAAATGACCCCCTTTGTTGTACTTCCTGAGGCTGCAAAGCCTGTACCACTAACCCAGCAATATTATACAAGATATTACATCACCTTTCTTTGACATTACTCATTCAATGTGCTAGTGAAAGTTCTTCTTGCATAATGACGATATCCTCCGTATACAAACCGTGTAACACTTTACGTTTTCTTTCCGAAGAAAAGCAGACTGGTATTTACGAATGAGTCTGCTACAGCAGCATTTGTTTGGTTTAATTTTTATAGAAACTGACTCTTACCAAAATGAGCTAATGAATAAATTTTAACTACTCATGAGAAGAATCTTGGGAAGTTATATTTTGTATATATTTTTTGATTTATTTTTAGAGTTATTTTAACAGGAGGTTTAACTCGGTTTTCTATAATATATAATGAATTAGCAAATGATAGAGTAAGTGTGGGAATGGGATGATTTTTTCTTATATTAGCTGTAATCTTCTTTTACTGATTGTTATTCCGGTAACTTTCTATTCCTCATATTCTCGCAGTTTGCAGTGCTTTCATTAAGATAGATATTTCATGCTTTGATTTATATAACCAAAGGATGTATTTTACAGTTAAGTAATACCTAATCACAACATTAGAATGATTAGGACAGAAGAGCCTTCGACTTATTTTATAAATTGGCATGACATAATATAACATTTTTGTAGTCACCATTAATTTGCAGACATGCTTTAAATTCTGACTTTATACAGAAAAAATGAATTAAAATTTTCTTGAAAAATGGAAGAAACAACTTTGACATGTTGTTAGTTATGTCTATATTTATTTATTTACTTGGAATGTTTAATTTTTTGTTACACAAATAGTTTACACTGAAATAATAATCAAAACATTAATGAGTAAAGAAATTGAGATTTATTTACAGTAAAAAGTAATTTTAACTTAAACTGGAAGCTGCTGGTTCTAAAAACTAAAACGCCATCTTTGATTAAATGTTTAATTACACATTAAGAATTATTAGATGTGACTTTATCCTCAGTGGTCTTCGTAAATAAGTAAGTTAATCGAGGTATGGTATTTTTGTTCGCTTGAAAATTATCCAGTTTTTGTTCTACGAGCGAAAGCTGGGAAAGGATTTTAATAGGGTCATTTTGACGTATGTGAGTATAATTTTGTGTTTTATTGACATTTCACAAAACATAAAATAGGAAAGTGAAGATGTCACAATTACGTATGTTTTACTTTTGCTGAAAATTTATTAATGAATCATCTATTATTTTCAATTTGGTGCGCACGATAAAATCATGGTGAAGATAAAGATAAAGATAAAATAATATTGCGCTCATTTTTCCAGAAAACTAAAAATATTTTTTAATAAATATCATCGATATAATTTGTAGTAGAGTCATCCTTGGAATTGAATCCGTATGTCTTTTGTAATTTTATTTGAAGAGAAAAAGTCTTCATAGATTGTATACAGATCAATAAACATTGGTTTAATATATTTTTTAAAGATAGTAACATTTTGTAGAAGGAAGGTAAATCGATAAATTTGATATTCCAAATTAAACGTATTCCTTTAGGGAGACACATGCACCGGGCGGGCTACATAATTTGTAATCGAGTCATCTTTGGAAAGGATTTAGCGTGTCGGTTAGTAAACCACACTCTTATACAGATTATTCAAAAATGTATTAAAAAAACTTTATTTTATATACATATGTTTACAGATTTTAATTGTGATTAAATATTTTGTTGTTATTTTCTATTTCTTTAACTATTTATGTTAAAAAAAGCATCAACATCGTAATTTTTATTTTTCAGTCAATTTCAATGCAGTTTTTGACACACAATAAAATTGTTTCAGCAAACAAATGAGACTGATTAAAATACTCCTATCAATTCTTTCTCAAAAAAATATATAAAACATATATCACTTTTGTCGCATTTATAATACTGTTACGATGATCGGTAATTGAAAATCGGAGTTGGTAAAACTCAACAATTTATTTCTTAGTAACTCAAATTTACACAGCCATTATGTACAAAATAATTCCGGCACAACTTGACTGGACTGTCTCAACATTCACTGGACTCGACTCGTTCACTGAATAATCCGTTTCCGAAGGTGGCCTCTATTTAAACCCCATACGTTCCTCTGGATGGTTCGAGGTTTTTCTACACCCCGCAATCTTTATGCAAGCGCAAAAATTTAATATCAATACGACCAATTTTTTATTGTAGTTATTTTAGCCAAACTATAGTGTAATTAATCTCTCAAGAATATTATGCTATACACATCAAAATTAACGTTTTTTATATCTTAAATAAATTGTGTTAACCCAAACATCCCGCCATATTTGAAACATATGAACAAGCTTTTAAAACCCTCGAAAAATTCAAAATTTGGCCTTGAACTTACTGGTATAACTTAACTCAGTTCACATATACCTAGTAAAACTTTACAGCTCCATTATGGCAACACTGGACAATAATAATCCTTGCGGATAAAGCTTACAATAGCCAGTTTGACTTATGGGTGGTTTGGTTTAAGCCGCGTAAGTCATAAAAGTTTTACAAGGTGTATATCAAGTGAGTTTTGTATACAAATTACTAACTTAAAGGGTGACATCCACAAATTATCTAACCGGCCAACCCTAGCTGAAGATCTCTACACATGGTGGTCCAAGTTTGAACGATTTTCTCCCCCCTTTTTTTTTCAGCGCGAAATTTTAATTCAAACCGGGACATTACAACATGTATATTGAAATATATGCTAATTTTAGATACATACAATAAATAATATAGCTTTTTTCTGTAGAATAAACAGTGAAAGATTTGATTTCAGTTCCTGTCACAAAAGCGTAAACATGTAGTTCAAGACAAAGAAAATAAACATCGTTGGCTTTTTATTAAGCTTTAAATTATATAAGGCATTTCAAAACGCATTTCACTGTACCTACTTTTGCATTCCTTTGTTTTATTGTGTTAATCTACAAGACTACGTTTATTTTGACAGAAAACAATATTCTTGCTATGTATAACTAATAATAGTATAAATAAAATTGGTCTAAAATTATTGAAACAGAACTGCGCTCGTTCTAGCAGCACATTACACAAGTCCAGTTAGATAAATACGATCAAATTTGATTCTGTGAATTTTATTTTTTGTTCTGACATCTGCTATAAGTTAATATAAAAAAGAGAATAAGAGGCCCAAACATTTTTTTAAATTCCTTTACAAACACAAAACATAAGGACCCCAAAAATTCTTTACGTACTTCAAAAATGACACTTGACTCTTTCACATACGGATTAAAAAAAAACTAGGAAGTCCTAAGATTCTTTTAAACTCTTTCTATATAAATTGCTCTATTCATAGTACTTTTTGAGACATATTATAGGCAAAATATGCATGCATTGACAAACCACAAATCTAGATTCTTATAATTTTGTAGATTATAAATAAGATTTAGCGAGCAAAATTTTAAGATGACGTCATTAAGTTTCTGGAGGGGATAAACAAAATTATTTTGATTAATTTGTTTATATCCTTAAACGTTTGCAAAATTTCAAAGCAGTCGTTGTGTTACAATTTTGGTTTTTCTTTCTCAAAAATCTAGACATCTAAAGTAAAAATAAAGGTAAATTTACAAACCGCAGCAACTTTTAGAATTTTCTACAACTTCTCGCTTTACAATTTTCAAAGAAAAAAATAAAATTTACGTGTAAATAAATCGTCGGCTGAGAATTATTTTGAACCAAGTCCCTAAAAACTTTGTCATGGAAATTACCCATCAAAGTTTTAATCGTGTGCTATAGATTTTGTAATGCAAAATAATACTTACCATTACTACTAAATATTTTAATTATTGTCGTATTTATTGCCGTACTACTTGGCATATTCATAACAACAATAATTTTAGAATAATGCAAAAAGTGAAAATGGACTTGGTTCAAAAGTGTGCAAAAAATATTACTAGAATTTTGTTTATTGAACCATGTCCGTTGTAATAACAAGAATGAATACATACATATCAAAACAAATTTTTAATTTAAGATAACACAAAATATTTAATATTTAGGTAAATAACTGGAAACATTATTAACTTCATTTAATGGAAAATTTGTGAAAAATCTACTAAATACATATGTACCTATTATAAGAAATTTAATATAAATATTTCTCGTAGAATGTACGATCAGTTTGTGCCATATATTTAAGCATAGCTTTAATGTCATTTGCCTTCTTTTTTTCCATTACTGGATTAAAATTAATAATTAAAAAGCACGAAATTTATACAAAATGGTGTAATTTTTCGGAATGAAATACTTCATCATGTTTTAAGCAAATTTCTCGTTGAAAAATAAGGATTTTACAATTAAGCTCCACTCCTCTGCTTATGACGAATAAAAAAATCATCAGAATTGAGATAGGGCGGGTGGGCGGTACTTATATTTTGCCTTTTTTTTTAATATACATAGCCATCTTTTCACAACAAGAAACTTAGAACATAGTTAAAATGGAAATATGGATTTTGCAACAAATATTTTTACTATTAAAATTACTCTTATTTAATAACACAAATACAACCAGCGGGCCTACCGGACCCGGGTTGCTCAGGTTTACAGATAAAATGCATTGCCTCGGATAAGGTAAAACGCAGTGAATAGTGAATTGTGGTTTATGGTTTTTAAAATACCATCTTACCATGGCTTAGATTTATTACCCCTCAGGATTATATTTAAAGATGTATAAGTAGTGAAGGCTACAATGTAGGAAATGATGGTATTTAAAATATGAAAATTTCCGTGACAGAACACTATTAGTGGACCTCTTATCTCTATTTTTGTTTATGTGACCAAAATCACCAACATGAAGTATCAAAAATTACTACTAGTATAACTCAACTAATAACTACTGAAAAAAAAGTGAAATGAAAAAATGTATCTGTATCTGCGCCATTAATTTTGTATCTAAATGCAGATATTTTGTGCTTAAATTCGATTGTATCTAGATACAGATACTAGATACCTAAAAATGTATCTAGATACTTTTTTTAGATACAAGTATCTAGATACTGCCCAACACTAATGGCTAGTAGATACTGCTGGATTTTCATATGAAATAGAACATGGTACAATATAATTCTACAAAATCGAACGAAATAGGACTTGGTTCAAATAAATACTTCAACTAATTGCTTTTACTGTAAATGTATAAAATTATACCCTTTCAAAAGACTATATTTTCATAACAGGAGACTGTATGATACAAAATCTATTATTTAAGAAAAAATGGACTTGGTTCAAAATAATTCTCAGCCGACGAAATGTCAAAAACGCGTTTTTTTTGAGATTTCGAAAAAAATCTAGTCATCTAATATTAATATTGAAGTTATTTTTGAAAGGAGTTTTTTTATTGACCATATTGTCATAAAACTTTATTTTTTCAAAATGAATATTATAAATAATGCATTGTCGGCGAAAAATGTGCGACAACATGGCATGTCGACGCCCAAGTGGACAATAAAGGATAAGATAACCCAATACAAGGGTCTAGTCACTTTGTACAGTAAGTGACTTCATCTATAAAAATTGTGTAACCTTACAAACCCTTTGAAATTTTAGAACGAGATCGCCAGATTACTGAAGTAGATACTGCCGTTGCTACAAAAAGACAATCTAAAGGCCTCCAGAGTTTGCGTAAAGCCATCGATGTAGATAGGAATGAATTAAATAATGCTGTGGTTGGAGATAGGCAACATTTGCGTAATATACTGGCTGACTGTAAAGAACTGCAACTAGCATATCAGAATTTAGAACCTAAAGTTGACTATTAAATCTATGTTGTAGCTGTAATAGCGTGAGTTTGTTTTTAGATAGCCGTTGAGAACATTCATCAAATTAATTTTACTAAACGAAAGGCTTTAGATAAGCTGCATTATCAAATGAAACTAAAATCTAAACAATTGATTGATTTGAAGGTACTCTTTGTTTTTACATTTGCATTCTGATACTTTTGTTAATTCAGTTAGAGGAATCTGCGTTACAAGATAGGCTTAAATATGAGGGATTTGACAAAATAAAGGAAGAAAAAAATGCCCAAATTATAACCGGGAAGGTACAAGATGCTCTTTTAAAAAAAGAAGCAGCTTTGCAAATACGTCAGACCTACACGCAGATAAGTGATCTCATGAAAAAAGTATGCATCTTGATAATTTTGTTGGTTGTTTAGTTTGATGATGTTGTAGGACGCTCTATATTTTGATGGAATTTTATTGACTATTCAAAATGATTACTGGTTTCAATGTAGATGTGTTTTGAATGCCACCAAACAAGGACAACTAGCTACTGAATATAAACACGATAGAGAACAAGAATTTGTAGCTATAGAGAAAGCCATTGTTCAAGATATGAAATTACAAAAGTTTGACCTAGATCGTATGCGCGAACAAGCTGAAAATTTGCAACTTGATTTAAAAATGTTGTTAAGAAGAGACGTAAGATTTATTTAAAAAATATATAAATAATATACACTGCTTTTTTAATATAGAGTGATCTAACTACATGCATACCAAAAGTTGAAGAATCGAAAGACCTTGCAATAATCCGTAGAGATTTACAAAAGATTGAAACAATATTAAAACTTTTAACAGACACAACACTAGTTACATCGTTTGAAAAAATATATCCCAGGTAAACAAACAAGAAAAAGAATCAAATGTAAATCAATAATGGTCGTAGTTTAGAGATGCAGCGATCACAAAAGAAAAAACTGAATGCGTTGGCTAAAAAATGCGAACGTGATAGAGACATTATTCTAAACAAGTCCAATCACGCTGAAGTTATGAGAGACATGTTGAAAAACACGATGGTTGAAACCACTGGAGAGTAATGTATTAACAGTAGGTAGTGTAGCAACTACGGTAGCATACATTTATTGTAGATATAAAAAAAGCAAATTAGAGTTAATCGGTTCAATAAATAAACAGTATGAAAGAACGGATACGTGTAACCGAAAACAACTCAGAATGTGTAATTTGACTGCAAAAATAAGAATTTCCTTGAAACAGTTACAACATTTGTGTATGCCAATCAAAATACCAACCCCCCAAAAGGAGATGAAACAAAATCTTTTTGGTTCGTTAATTTCTTTTGTTGAGGAAATTCCTGAACCAGAAGAAGAAGAAAATGATGGTAGGTATTTAATATCACGGTTATTTGATCTCGAATAATTCAAAATTTAGAATTTTAAAAATGAATATGAAACAAGTTTTTTAGAAACTATATTTATTTATTTTTGTAGGGGTTAAAATAATTGAAGAAATTATACCAAAATTGCAATTTTTAATGTCTAACGTTAAAGAAAGGTTAGATTCTTCTAACAACGCTGCAGCGTACAAAGTCTACGAATTCTTAATGAAACAACGCCGTCCTGAACCAGAACTTGAAGTGATAAATGATGAATGTAAGTGTCAAAATATTAAAATTTTTTTTTATTAAATTCGATAAATGTGCAGCATTTTTGGAAGGATTTAATATAGAAGTATCACATATTTTAACAAGGGAGGATATTAAAAAGCAGAGTAATGAAATTGTAGCCGCTAATACCCAAGAAGACGATTTAGTTTTCATACCGATCAAGAAAAAGAAAAGGAAATTTAAGTAGTGTACCCTATTATTTAGATTTATGAAAAATATACATTATTTTTAGTAAAAAGTGTAAAAAAGCGCTGTTTTTTTTTGTAAAATCTAAGCCGCGGTACAGTTTTAAATTTAAATCCAGTGTCTGGTTGTAGCGTCATGTCCTTTTCAACTACGACGCATTTTTTTAAATAGAACACTACTACATTTTTTATATTATTTGTAGATAGTAACTTTATCGACTTTTTCAAGGAACTCACACTTATTTTCAAAAATTCTTCAGGTTATTACATTTTTACGCTCCAATCAAATCTTCAAAAAAAGTTAAATCATGTATAAAATTGCTGATTGTTTTTTTGATAAAACCAAAATTCGACTAATTTTCGATATACAGGGTGACTCAAAAAAATTAATGAATTCGTGATTTATTTTAGTGATTTAATCAGGAACAGGAACTACAAAACCGAATGCTTTGTAATCTTGTAGATGTTTTAACTTATCATAAGCATGGTAAAATTTTAATCAAAATGTATTTGCTCATCGACCCTAAAAAATTGATGACGTCACCTCAAAATTTTGCTGAATAAATCTATAAATGTGTAAAATATGATGAATTTTTATTTGTGATTTATCATGGCATTCATATTTTTTAGATTCGCTTAAACAGGTGGCTCAAAAAAATTAATGAATAAGTCAATTTATTTAATTCATTTAAAGGGTGGGTTTATATAACATGGCTTAATTTTTAATTAGGTTAATCATAAAATTAATTTAATTTCGTGATTAAACTAATTGCGGTTTACATATCAATTTTTGCTAAGATAGGACACTATTAAGAGTACTCACTGGAACGAAGAAGGGGTGGATAGGCGGGGCTACTGCTTGATTATTAAACTAGAAAAAAGCTAAATTTACCCCCGCCCACCTCCTTTACATTTCACTGACTTATTTCATTTTTGTGTAAAATGGAAATTGAAAAATAACAGTATTGTATTTCCAAAATTTTCTGGGAAAATGGAGCGAGCCGTTCCCCAGGCAACATGATGTCGTCTTTTTCACGTGAATAAATGGTCATCAATTACGTCATAGTGACCAAAGATTTCACGTGATATTGACGTACCAATGACGGTCAAATGTCTCGTCTAGATGACGTCATTTTCTCACGAACTATTGACGTGATGTACTGACGTCTTAGAGTCGTCATTTTGTAACGAATTATTGACGTGATTTACTGACGTCCTAGAGACGGCATTTATTGTCCATTTTAAGACGTTTTTTATATGTTGATTTTTAGAAAAAAATATGCAATAAATAAAACGCTGAAATAATTTTATATTTTTATATTGTTTACCTTAAATAAAATATTATAATTCGTTGTAATCACCAGGTAAATCCCAAAACAAAATATATATTAATTAAAGTTAAAACAAATTAGTGTAAAAAAATTAAATTTACTACAATTCTGTACAACCAACAATGAACTTCAATAAACAAATAAAAAATATATGTCAATTAAACAAATTAAAGATAAACCACTCCTAAGAACACAAACAAATCTACATACAGGTAATTAAGAGTATAATTAATATAAAAAAAAAGGATAATATACAATATATAATCAAAAATTAGCGTTGCAATAAAATATGCTATTTAAAGAAAAATCAGTTTTAAAACACAAAAAAATCTATTTAGTTACAAAGAATATTAAAAGAAAACTATAATAAACTATAAATCAGTCTTAAAAACACAAACAAATCTATTTACAAAAAATATAAAAAAAACTAGAATAAAGGGAAAAGACAATTGAATCGCATTGTTGAAGTTACTTGATTTGAAAATGCACTGTAAAACTTTCTAATTCACGACGACTTGACTGTCCCCAACACACAAAAAAGTACCGTTAAAAATTAATTCTGTTTTAACAATAATATTAATAACCTAAGTTTTTTAAGTTTGCCTCAATTTATTGCACTGAAAAGAAAAACCCGTTAGAGTGCATGGATTAATGGAAATACAATCATTTTTTCGTGTATGGGCAATAGCAAGCATTTGGCTATTATTAAATTTAAGGGATTACAGCTTAAAGCAGAAGACAAATTCTGCATTTTAAAAATGCTAAATTTACTTGAATCTAACGGATAATCGTAAAATGGTTGCATTGACAAAAACGTATAGCCTATCAGGAAAATCTCGTTGTCAATACTTTTTACAATGAAGCGAAAGGTGCCATGTATAACTAGTAAGTTAACAAAAAGTATCGTAGTATTGTATATAATATCCAAATTATGTTATATGTATACATGAATTGGAATTCATTGTATTTTTTTAACTTACAAAGAAATCTGCTTGTTCTAATAGGCAAAGATAATCTTGTAATTCGTCAAAATTTGTTTAGGTGTGGTCTTGGCGGCGTAACTTCTATTTTTGTTTTTTTTTTCAGTTGTCCGATTTGATGACTTTTCCATGTTGGAGATTTTTTCACTCGTTTCCTTTAGCATTTCTTTCGTTTCGCACATGTGTTTTGTATTTGTTTCAAATCTAGAATAAAATTATGTTCATTAGTATTAGTTCATAAAAAATTGCACTAACATACCTTTGCAATATTTTATGGCGCCTTATTTTCAAAAACAATCACCGTAAGTTCTTCATAATCAGTGGGAGTATCTTCAGTGATTAATGGTGGTCTTTCCAGCTTATCTGAAAAAACTGCTTTTGTTATCTACATACAGTTAACAAAAATAACAGAAACACGTAAAAATTAAAATGATTACTTTATTAGATATTAACTTACCTAGTATAAATAAGTATAACCCACACTGAATCGCAGAAATTTTTACAAAACTGCATTAAAAATGAAGTGAGTAACGGATACACGAGAAAGTTTCGGTGGTTGAGAACCAACTGGAAATATTGGAATGCTTCACTGTGAAGTGCAATAAACATAAATACCGAAAAAAGGGAAAGTCCGAATGCACGCCTCAAACACCTGATGTATTGTATAGTAAATACGGAAGTTGAGCATTATTTTTTCACTAGATGAAATCAATTTAATAAAACTAAATATTAAATCACTCTCTAATTTTTTTGGTAACCATTATCACTTTATAAACGTCTTTATAAAATCAAAATTCGACGAAGGAATTCTTCAAAATCTTGTCCCGTTTTAGGGACAATGGACAAAGAATTTTTATGACCTTGTTTGTGTGGTAGGGTCTTTTCACAATTATACGGTCAACCCCGGATGTTCTATTTATAATTTGCCAAGCAGGTACTTACAAAATAGCACTTCTAGAGTAAACCAGTTTTCAGAAATAATTATTTTGTTAGAAAATATTAGAATGGAAAAACTTGTCTTTGGTGCATTTCTAATAAAGCCGTTGTATTTTTTGCTCTAAATAGTTATAATTAAGCATTATGAAGGCCACTTTTTAAAGAATACGACGACCCACATCTAATTGATCATATAATCTATAAAAAATGACGAAGAAAAGACGGTCTTTTGACGTCATTAATTGACGTCAGAAATAAGTCATAAAAATCTCGTCATTATCACGTGATTTTTTGGGTGAATGACGTCGCCGACGAGTTATGACCAAAAATTGACGTGAATCAGACGACAGTCTGCTGCTTGGGTCTTGATTTAATCAATAAAATAAATTGTTTCATTCATTAAATTTTTTGAGCCACCTGTTTAAGCAAATCTAAAAAATGAATGCAGTGATAAATCACAAGTAAAAAATCATCATATTTTGCACATTTTGGCAAAATTTTGAGATGACGTCATAAATTTTTTGGGGTAATAAACAGATAGATTTTGACCAACAATTTACCATGCTTACAATAACTTTAAAACGTCTGCAAGATTTCAATAATTAATAATTAACTGATTCATCATTTTATATTTATACATCGAAAGAATGTCACGTAGACGTAGAAGTTAACTTGATTTGAAAAACAGGACTAAAATTATTAATTAAGCCACAATCGAACAAAATGCTCAGAATTTTACAATTCGTATTTTATCAGACGTGCCTATTCTTTGCAATTTCGAGAAAATGAGGTGACTGGTTCTTAATTTACCCAATAAAAAATTTGTGATGACGTCATCGACATGGATAATTCTAGTCACAGCATAAAAGAAAAGTAGTCACAGGTTATAGCAATGCAAGAAAAAAAAAGGAAAGGGACAAGTTTGGCATCGAACCACAATCGTATTACGGCATGTTTAGTGTACGTTTTTGTATTGATATATGAATAAGTTGTATGTTGTGTTTGATTGTTAAATAAGAGCAGCGGAATGCGAGATAAATATTTGGTGTTTATTATCGGAAGGATACAGATCAACTCTCCGTTTCAAGGCCGGTGGTGGCCCGACCAAGCCCGTGAAGGCGGAGGGGGTAAAAACAGGCACCCCCTGGTCATTGGCTCTCACATAACCCCCCACCTTGAAACAATAGAAGTGTTTCGAAATACAGAATATATGCATATAATATTTTACACAGATCATACAGATAAACAAAAGTGCAAAGAAAGCAAGCAAATTATAGACACAAGTAGAAATGAATAGGAATGTCCAGATTTCTGGAATATAGATCATGGATTGATTAATATTAATCAATTGGCAACGCACACACTTTCGTAATTGCACGTTTAACTACACCACCTTTATGCCGCACTGACACTACACGCACCAGGCCGTCGTTTCCAGGATGTAATTGAGTAATACGCCCCAGCGGCCACTGTAACGGCGGTAGATTGTCGTCCTTTAGTACCACCAATGTACCAACTTCCGGAACTTTGGCGGATGTGTGATGCCACTTGGCCCTGCTCTGCATCGTAGTCAAATACTCCTTTGACCAACGTCTCCAGAAATGCTGGCGGCAGGCCTCAATCAGCTGCCAGCGAGACAGCCTATTGGACGAAATGGCGGTGTGATCCTTTTCTACGGGGGCGGTTAGCGGATGCCCGATTAAAAAATGGCCAGGCGTAAGGGCCGAGAGATCATTCGGATCGTTCGATAATGGCGTCAAGGGGCGTGAGTTTAGTACCGCTTCAATTCTGACCAACAGCGTGTACATCTCCTCATACGTAAGGTGATTTTCGCCGATTACGCGCTTAATGTGATTTTTCACTGATTTAATACCAGCCTCCCAGATACCACCAAAGTTTGGGGCTCGAGGAGGAATAAATTTCCACATGATATTTTCGTTTGCCAGTTTATTTTTAAAATTCTCGTTTTTAAATAATTGTTGAAGCTCTTTTCTCGCGCCTACAAAGTTAGTGGCATTGTCACTAAGAACGAAAGAGATATTTCCGCGGCGCGAAATTAATCGTTTCAGGGCACTAAGAAATGAGTCGGATGTCAGGTCGCCTACCAGTTCGAGATGTACTGCCTTTGTACTTAAACAAATAAAAAGGCAAATATAGGACTTAGTGGTTCTTTTCCCTTTTCCGCGGCCTTCTTTAATTAATAAAGGACCACCGAAATCAACCCCCACCTTGGAAAAGGGACGTGAGGGCATTATCCGCTCTTCGGGAAGATTTCCCATAATTTGACTGTAAGGTTTTGGATTGGTCCTATAACATTTTAAGCATTTACCAATTACCTTGCGAACTTGACGCCTGCCAGAAATCGGCCAATATTTTAAGCGCATTTGCGCAAGAGTACCTAATTGCCCCGCATGTAGTAGGCTTTGGTGTATATCTTGTATTATTAATTCGGTTATGTAATGTTTGGGCAACAAGATGGGAAATTTTTTATCAATTGGTAAAGTTTTGACATTGCTTAGTCTACCCCCCACCCTGAGCAAATCATTAGCATCTAGAAACGGATTAAGTTGTAAAATACTACTGTTACCAAGTTTTTTACTGTGAGACAACTGATGAATTTCGGAGGAGAATGCCTCCTTTTGAACTAATCGGATTATCGTAATTTCCGAATGTTTCAATTCATTCGTTGTTAAACTGCCCCTGATTTCCGGTTGTTTTTTGACCCTATTCCGTAGGTTTTTCATAACGCGCAGCCAACACGCAATTGCAACTTTTAATTTGCCAAAGGTTGAGTATAGGTCAAAGATAACATTTTTAAAAGAATTGGTTTGTAGATGCACTGCAGTTGAAACAAAGCGTTTTTCTAACAGTAAACCTTCGCCAGAGGAGTCGCACTTGTCTACATTAGAGGCATTAACAATCGGAATTTCCATTTTATGCAGCCAAGCTGGACCATTAAACCACAGTGTATTTGTCGATAATTCCCTAGGAGAGGCACCACGAGTTATTATGTCGGCCGGGTTCTCGCTGCTTTTCACATGGTTCCAGTGACAATTATTAGTTAACTGCTGTATTTCAGAAACGCGATTAGCGACAAAGGTTTTCCAATTACCTGGATCAGCTGCTAACCACGATAAAACGATCTGAGAATCCGTCCAACAGAAACACTGCTCAGGTAAAATGTTAATCGTTTTAGTGACCTTTACAAGCAATTGAGCTAACAAAAGCGCACCACATAATTCAAGTCTGGGCAAAGAGATGGTTTTTAATGGCGCCACGCGAGATTTGGCGCATAACAAATTGACGTGTATATTTAATTGGGAATCAATGGACCTAACAAAGATTGCTGCACCGTAAGCCTGTTCAGAACTATCGCAGAATCCATGGATTTCTATTTTGATAGCGTCACGACAAATTACTGTTCTAGGAAACTGAAGTTTATTTAGATAAGGCAAGCCGCGTAAGAAGGAAGTCCATGCTTTTTTAAGATTATCAGGAATTTCGTCATCCCAGTTAATTTTCAACGACCACAACCGTTGCATTATTATTTTTGCCATTGTTACCACAGGATTAACTAAACCGAGGGGGTCGAATAATTGAGCAATGGCGCTAAGTATAGTACGTTTGGTGGGCTTGACGTTAACAAAGTTAAAATGTGTGTATGAAAGATTATCAGATTCGTTGTCCCAGCGAATACCCAGAGTTTTCTTTTCAAGCTGTTTGTCCGTTATTATGCACTCATTGGAAGTAAGCTCATCTCTTAACACATCAGCACAATTAGATGACCACTTACTTAGAGAAAATTCCCCCTTCCCGAGAACTGTCTTTAATTCGTCCTTAATCCGCGCTAATTCGGGTATGGTATTTGCGCCAAACAATGTGTCGTCCACATAAAAACACTTCATGATGACGTCGTGTGCTAATGGATAATTATCCTTTAGATCTGCGCCCAATTGTTGGACACATTTAATGGCTTGGTAAGAAGAGGAAGTCAGGCCGTAAGTGATGGTTTTAAGTTGGTATGTATTTACGGGTAAATCGGGAGATTCTCGCCATAAGATTTGTTGAAATACACGGTCATCAGGATGCACCCAAATGCACCTGTACATCTTGGATATGTCCGCAGTTATTACGAATTGAGGCAGTCTAAATTGAATAATGATCGTAAGAAGATCAGGCTGCAAAACGGGTCCTGCTAATAAATTGTCGTTTAAACTAAGATTGTTTGAGCTTTTTGCCGATCCGTCAAAAACAACGCGTAGTCTGGTTGAAGAACTATTTTCATTTATGACCCCACTATGGGGCAGGTAATAAGAATGTTTCGAAACGTCGGCAGGTACTGGCTCCATGTGACCTAATTCCAAGTACTCGCGCATAAAGGCCAAATAACCCGCTCTTAATTTATGGTCGCGGGAGAGTTTCCGTTCAAGAGACAACAACCGTTTCATGGCTACATCACGGGAATTTCCCAATTTTGGAATTTGTCCGACAAACGGAAGTCGTACAACAAAGCGACCGTCTTTAGATCGGCTGGTAGTGTCATAAAAGTGGGCTTCGCAAAGGTCTTTGGAAGAATGTTTATTGATAGAAGGGACAATTACCTGGGGTTCAACGTTCTCTATTTCCCAAAACCTGGTAACAGCTGATTCCAAACTTATTTTGTAGCAGTGCAAGGGTTTATTATTAAAATTCGGAATTTTACCTGAGATAATCCATCCCAAGACACTATTTTGTAGAACAGGCTGATTTTTACCGAGTTTTATATTTCCGGAAGTAAGCAGGTTTAAAAATAATTCGGCCCCAATTAATATATCCACGGGAGATGAAACATTAAAAGTCGGATCCGCTAAGTCTAAATTATTGGGTAAATGGATAGTATTTATATCGAACGTATAAGAAGGCAAGTTTTCGGTAATTTTGGGAATAACCAAACATTTAATATTGTACATAAAATCAGTTGATCTACTTCTGATCTCAACTTCAGCAGACTTAGTCAATCTTGATTGACTATTTATTCCTAGGATCGACACATTTGAATTTTGAATTTTCAAATTCAACTGTTTACATAAATTTTCCGTTATGAAGTGAGATTGACTCCCAATGTCTAATAATGCGCGACATTCTTTTATTTTACCTGTGGGACCCTTAACCAATATTACTGCTGTTGATAAAAGTATGTTGTTTGAGACCGCTAAATTACAATGAGATGTCCCCTCTCCAGGATCCGTGATATCATTAACTAATTGATCAGTAATCGCATTGGAACTAGCCTTTACATCAATATGTAAAAGAGTGTGATGTTTTTTGTTGCACTGTTTGCAGCCAAATATAGTGCAATCTTTCGTAAAATGGTTTTGTCTAAAACAATTACTGCAACGATTCAATGATTTTATGTGTTGCAGTCTTTCCTGGGGGGTTAACTTTAAAAAATCAGCACAATTAAAAATATTATGATTTTTTTCGCATATAAAACATGAAGCTAACTTTTTGTTACTTTGAGCCTTATAATATGAAGTATGGAACACACGTTTTCTAAGCGGCGTATTAATGTTACATTTTTGAGGAGGGAGAGATTTTGTTTCTTTATTATTTTTATGGATGCTTATCGATTCTAAGGTTTTGCATCGCCTTTCTAAAAATGAAATTAAATCTGTATGGGACGGAATGTTATTGGGTTCAAGTGACTCTTCCCATGTGGAACTAGAAAAATGGTCCAATTTTGAAACTACAATGTAAATGATAAGATCGCTCCATTGATCGACAGGGCGATCCAACGCTTTCAGGGTATTTAAATTAATACTTAGTGTATCTAAAAAGTCCCGCAAGGATTTACAGTCCGATTTATTAACAAAAGGCAAACTGAAGATATTTTTTAAATGATTGTTAATGATGAAGCGCTTGTTTTCGTATCTGTCTTTCAATAATTTAACCGCAATTGCATAATTTGTGTTGTCCGCTTTTAGCGACTCCAGAGTTTTCTTGGGTTCATCTTCCAAGCATGATTTTAAATAATGTAATTTTTGAGAGTTGGATAATGACTCATTACTGCCAACTAAACTAGAAAAAGTATCAAAAAATGATGCCCATTCGGTATAATCCCCATTGAACTTAGGTAATTCAATAGTTGGCAATTTTACGTTAAGATTTTGATTTGAATGAGATGTGGTTGATGAACTACTAGATAACTGAGATGAGGCCTTTGTCACCAAATCATCATATACGCCAAGCACCTCAAATATTCGATTCAGTACATCCCTAAACTTATATTCGACCCGTTCATCAGACTCGTTTTCATCTTCTGAAGTTATTATTATAGAATTGGCACCATAGTGCAAACTGATATTTTCCATTTCCGATTTTAATTGTTCAACGTCCTGTAGGCGACGCTTTAATTGTCCAACCTTTGAATGATTAGTTTCGTCATCAACGAAAATCTCATGTGTGTTTAATTTATCAAGAAGAATTATGAATTTATTGATTGTTTCGTCCTGGCTTTTCGTCATCTTACGTACAAGAAATGCACAACGATATTATAAGAATTGGAGCTTACCTTGATGTCCCCAGAATTGTAGACGACGAATCACAGAAAAATCTGTGTATGACGGTTGACCAATATTTCCGATTTGAATAACTTTTTTGTCGAAATAGGCGCACTGCACTATTTATTATATAACACTCGCGGCCGCTGATCCGGCTCGAAGGACCATGTACGTTTTTGTATTGATATATGAATAAGTTGTATGTTGTGTTTGATTGTTAAATAAGAGCAGCGGAATGCGAGATAAATATTTGGTGTTTATTATCGGAAGGATACAGATCAACTCTCCGTTTCAAGGCCGGTGGTGGCCCGACCAAGCCCGTGAAGGCGGAGGGGGTAAAAACAGGCACCCCCTGGTCATTGGCTCTCACATTTAGCGTAGTTGTTTAGAGTATATTTTTGTATAACATTCTTATAATTATGTTAGAATACCATTCATTGAAATGACATCATAAAATTGTTGGTGGGGATGATTAGCCAACTTTTGGTTGACATTTAACCATCTACATGATATTTCTAATATACATACAAAATTTGACAACAATCGGTCTAGCAGTTTTGGAAATTACGTGTCTAATAAAAATGGATGCAGACAGACAGACAGACAGACGAAAACGGGAGACTACTTTTTTCGTACTGTAGGGATCATGAAACGTCCAGAAAGTGGCCATTCGTCCGATGGACTCGATTACAATACTTCCGAAGCTTACGCTCGAGATGTAAAAAATAAAATTATATAGCATTTCATGAAAAAATGAGCTCAAAAGTGGATGACGTATTTCCACACTGCCACATAATTGTAATCGAGTCATCTCTGGAACTGAAACTACGTCACAGAAACGTTTTTAACAAAATTAATTTTAGATAATTGCCGATAATTTTGTAAATCTAATATTTGAAACGAACACCTAAAATGGTAAAAACTTTGACACTTTGGTGAATTCATCAACACATGTTATTTTTAAGTTTTATCGTCTTTAAATTCACAGATTATGTTAAGATTTTTAACTTAAATTGATGATTTTAATACATTTTAATTACAATTGTGAGAATGTTCCCATAAAATATGTGGCAGGAGGTACAGAGTTATTCAAGCTAAACTTATTTTTTTGTAACGATATGTCTAAATTTCTGGATGTTTTTACTTAAGTTAGTATTCACACTCTGTAGCTTCTCACTTAACATTTGTAATCATTCATTAACAGCATTTACACTAGTCTTAAACATTGATCCATTTCGAAGAAAGAACCTTGAAAATTATCATCAATTTAATTAATATCTTTGTGGACTCGGAACGGAAGGGTTTACAAGTATAATAATTTCTTGCAGCTTGAATTTGAACATTTATAGTCTTGTACATAATACGGGGAGCGTTTTTCCAAGTCACTTTATTTTGACTTTACTTGCATTTAAAGTTTGCTTGTAGTGTGGTCTGATAGAATTCGTTTAGGGCTACAGTGAACAATTATTTTCAAATATATCTACATATTTATATGTACATATTTTTTAAACAATATCTTGTAGGGTTTCTCAAACATCATAATATCAGGAATAGAATGTAGCAACAAAAACTGAGCAATCTGCTGTCAAATAATGATATTTATTTGAAAGAAGTTTTTGTAACAACTTTTAAGTTTTTTTTATTTTTGTTATATTTTTTTACCCAAAATGAATATAATAAATAACCCGCTGTCCGCAAAAAATGTGAGAATTCACGGCATGTCTTCCGACAAATGGACTACAAAAGACAAGGTAACACAGTACAAAGGCTTAGTCACCTTATACAGTAAGTATATTTTTATAAAAATTAACAACTTCTTACAACTTTATTGCAAATTTTAGAACGAGATCGTCAAATTACCGAAGTAGACAGAGCTGTAGCCAGTAAAAGGCAACTAAAAGGACTGCAAAGTCTACGAAAGGACATTGAAAGCAGCAGACTCAAGTTACATAACGCTGTTGGAGGCGATAGGCAAAAATTGCGAAATATATTGAGTGACAATCATGAACTACAACTAGCATATCAAAATTCGGAACTTGAAGTTTTACTAAACGTTTAACGTAAATTTCCGTCAGCAGTAACCAAATTTCTTTTTAGAAAGTTACTGAAGACATAATGCAGCGTAATTTTAATAAGCGAAAAGCTCTGGATAAAATAAACTACCAAATGAGCTTAAAATCTCAACAACTGATTAATTTGAAGGTATTTCTTTTTTTGTTTTATTTTTACATTTCTGTTGGTTTAGTTAGAAGAAGCCTTGTTACAAGATCGAACGAAGTATGAAAGTCTTCATAACATCAAGGAAGAACACATTGCCAAACTTATAACCGGTAAAGTTCAAGATGCTATTTTGAAAAAGCAAGCAGCTTTGGAAATACGACAAACGTACACACAAATAATCGACCTCATGAAGAAAGTAAGCTCGTGTAGTTTTTTAATACATCTAATTGCAAAAACATTAAAAGGACGGCCTCTATTTTGATGGAATTTTGTCAGCTATTCAAGAAGACTTCTGGTATCAGTGTAGATGTATTTTAAATGCTACCAAACAAGGACAGTTAGCCACTGAGTATAAAAATGACAGAGAACAAGAATACCAAGATTTAGAAAAAGCAATTCTTCTCGATATGAAAACCCGAAAGAGGGATTTGGAAATCATACACCAACAAACCAAAATGTTGCAGTCTAATTTAAAGCATTTGTTAAGACGAGATGTAAGTCGTCATGGTTGTTAAAAAAGATTACATACTGTCGTATTTTAGAGTGATCTTACTACGTGTATAGTGAAGGTTGAGGAAAGCAGCGATTTTCATACACTGCGAAAAGATCTGCAACAAATTGAATCTACTTTACACTTTTTGCAGAATACAACTCTAGTCAGTTCATTTGAACAAATCTATCCAACGTAAATAGAACAAAAATTGAAACAAATCCATCACCTATTTTGTTGCAGTCTAGAAGAACAAAGAAAGCAGAAGAGAAGGTTGACTGCGTCCGTCGCACGATGTCAACGTAATACTGAGATAATAATGACGAAATTGGCTCACGCTGAACTGATGTATAGTACTTTGAGGAACAGTATGGTTGACACCACTCGAGAGTAATTCTATCCCTGGTCAAAATTTTTCAATTCTCAACTTATTTTTAGATACAAAAAACGAAAGGCAGAGTTAAAGGAGGCAATAAATGAAGAAGTGAAAAAACAGGAATGGTATGGGCTTTCACGCAGAAGAAAGTGCGAACTGTTAGCAAACGTAAGACTTTACTTGAAACAAATCGATCAATTGTGTAAACCAATACACCTACCCAAAGATATTGAGAAGAAACAAGAGGTTGTTATAGCTGAAAGTGAAGTGTCTGTACCAGAAGCTGAGGAAACAGATGGTAATGTTTTCAAATGCACATTTATGACTTTTGTAATTTTGAATGTGGTGTTCCTAACTACCACAAGCATTTTCAAGCTTCAACAGAATGTTGATAAAGTTCCGCACAAAATTAATAATTACGTTAGTTAACGTTTTTTAGAGTCGGACAAGCCAATTTTGTTTTATAACCTCCTATTTTTGATCCACAATGCACTTCAGAAAATTTTGTCTAGTGAATTGTGGTTGTATCTAGCGATGTTTTTGTTAAATCTTTTGTTTTACATTATTTTCAGAGTGTATGTTAGAGAAGTATTGTAATTAGGTTTATTTGACAAATTTAATGTTTTCTCAACGTTTCATGGCTCTCAAAATGCGAAAGTGCACGTCATCTGTTTCCGATTTTATTTATTTCTGAAACTATTGGACTAATTGTGAAATTGTAGATCTATTTTAAGACTATCTTGTACATGATAGAACGCTAATCAAAATTTTGATCACGTCGTCTCAAAATTTTGATATTTTGCTAAGTAAACTCTACTTGAAATGTGCAAAATAGTATGTCTCTGCACCTGTGATGTATTAATCCACTCCTATTTTTCAATTTAGATATGTAAGCTTCTGTTACAATTTAATTTAGAAACTACAGAACCGAATGCTTTGAAATTTTGCACATGTTTTAAGGTGAACATGGCAAATCGCCAGTCAAAATTGAACATTTTGTCTAATCCAAAAACTTGATGATATGAATTCAAATTTTATTAAGTAAACTTATAGTGTGGTTCCTTTATTTGGGGTTTAATAGTGTGTGTACGTTTTTAATAAATTGTTAACGAGTTGTACTAAAGGTAAAAGTAAATTTTGCAGTTTGTTTTAGATTCCATGAAACGAATTTTTCTGAAATTTTGGCGACAAGCTAAAAATGATTTAATTATTGCAGAATAACGGTGAAAATTTATTTATTCATCTCCTCTAAAAAATTAATGACGTCATCGTGAAAATATATATGTTTATTAGATGTGTTCAGAAATATTCAACATGTTTGCTGTTTAGTAATATAATATCTTTATTTTAGAAGTCTTTAAAGAATGTTTAAAACAATTTATGATTCAGTCAGTTCTTATAATTTCTTTAATTAAACACAATTTAGTTTCATTTTTTTTCAAAAGTATCAAGATTGTACTACTTTTTATTTTAGTACATTCAGGGTTGCTATAAATTATGGATACCTACAGCTAAATATTTCCAGAATATTTTATTAGAACTCATTGAAATTTGGTACACGAATAATAAAAGTATTTCAACTACATATTATATCATCTGAAACATTATTCAAATTTCCATCAACATTTGTTTTGAAAATACAGGATCAGCTTAATTTTTGTAATCGAGTCCGTCGGTCGACTCTCTAGTTTTACGTTTTCTCGACCTATCGTACCCCTCCAGTACGAAGAAATATGTCTCCCGTTTCCGTCTGTCTGTCTGTCTGCCGTTCCGATTTTTATTAGACAGATAATTTCCAAAAATACAGGGCCGATTCTTGTCAAATTTTGTAATTATATTAGGAATATCATGTAGATGGTAAAACGTTATCCTCACCAATAATGTGATGACGTCACTTCAAAATTGTAGATAGCAAATGGGTTTTAAATTGTATAAAATAACATGGTCCTACACATGTAGTTTATGACTCCGTGTTGAGTTTTTACCCGAAACGTCCAAATTTTTGGAAAAAAAATCAAAATTATAAAACAACATTTTGCAATTTAACTTTGAATCTGCAAAATCGAATGTTTTGAAATCTTGCAGATGTTTTAAAGTTATGATAAGCATCATAAATGTTTAATCAAAATATATTTACTTATCCCCTCCAAAATATTGATGACGTCAGCTCAAAATTTTGCCGAATAAACCCTATCTAAATTGTATAAAATATAATGAGTCTGTACTTGCAATTTACCATTCCATTCATATTTTTTGGATTTGAATATACAGGGTGACTCAAAAAATTTAATGAATGCGTGAATTTATTTGATTGATTTAATCAGGAACTACAAAATCGAATGCTTCGAAATCTTGGAGATGTTTTAAAGTTATCATAATTTTTGCTCTCAAAAGTATTTGCTCATCCCCCTAAAAAATTGATGACGTCACCTCAAAATTTTGCTGAATAAATCTTAAATGTGCAAAATATGATCAATCTGTACTTGTAATTTATCACTGTATTCATATTTTTTAGATTTTCTTATATCGGGTGACTAAAAAAAATAATGAATCAGTCAATTTATCTTATTGAAAAATCAAAAACTGTAAAACTGAATACTTTGAAATCTTGCAGACGTTTTAAAGTTATTGTAAGCATGGTAAATTGTTAATCAAACTATCTCTGTTTATTCCCCTCAAAAAATTGATGACGTCTTCTCAAAATTTTGCCGAAAAGGTGCAAAATATGATGAGTTTTTACTTGTGATTTATCACTGCACTAATATTTTTTAGATTTGTTTAAACAGGTGGGTCAAAAAAATTAGTGGATGAGTCAGTTTATTCTATTGAACCGCTCACTCCATTTTCCCAGAAAATTTCGAGAATACAATACTGTTATTTTTCAATTTCCATTTTACACTAAATAAAATAAGTCAGTGAAATGGAGAAAGGAGGTGAGCGGGTCTAAATTTAGCTTTTTTCTAGTTTTATGAGCAAGTAGTAGCTATGATAAGACTATTCTTAATATTGTTCAGTCATATCTTAGCAAGTTTTAGTGCCGCCCACCCACCCTTTTTTCTTAGAGGATATGTCATTTACCAAAATCAGTCTTATCTTAACAAGTGGTAGTGCTGCCCACCCGCCCTCTATGTTTTTAGAGGGTAAATATGTCGTTTGCCACAATCAGTCTTATCTTGTTAAGTACTATAGCCTCTGTCACACACCGTTTATTTTCTTTGAGGGTATGTCATTTACCAAAATCATTATTATTCGTACGATTTTATCGCTCTTCAATTGAGATCCACCTTTCATTCGGACTAGACAAAATGAATAACTGAAATGGAGGCGGGGTTGGTGGGCGGGGTGAATTATATGTTCGTTTGTAAAGTGAGAACGGGAACTAATAGATCGTAGGCTGTTAAAAAAAAGCGTTAATCGTAATTTTTTTCTTATACTACTAATTTGCTATAACATTTATTTCACATTTCTGAAGAAAAAAAAAATGAGAGAACGGGGGGTGGGCGGGACTAAGTTCAACTTTTTCGTACAGAATCTTTTATAAGCAAGCAATAGCCCCGCCCACCCAATCAATCTTATTTTTTGCACTCATGGCCTTTTTTGATGGCTTTCGCGCATTCACCAGGGTGCGGGAGTTCGAACTTCCCGCACACGTGCATTTTAACTTTCCGTTGTCATGGTAACCTTAAAATACTCGGGTAGTGTCAACATGACGTGTTGACGGCGCTGTCAATGCCGTTGTTTATAAATAACTCACAGTTAATCTCTTAAGTTTAAAGATGTATTCGTTGCAAAAAATATTGTACACAACACGTTCATGAGCTAGTTGCGTAAATTACTATTAACAAATACTAGCTATGCCCACCTGCCCTCTATTTTCTTTTAGAGGATATGTAATTTTCCACAATCAGTTTAATCTTAGCAAGTACTACACCATACTACACTACACCAATCCAAGTTGATATGTGTCCTTGCAAACATATTGATGACGTCATCAAAAAATTGTGTAAAGTAAAAATTCAACTCGAAAATGCTGGATGTTTCATTGCACTTTAGGTGCGAGGGAAGTTCTGTCGAAACAACTTTCGACCAATTTTTTTAAATGGCACGAGGAGTCAATATGTGTGTGACCTATTTTTTCCTGCTCTCTAAGGGTCATGAAACGTTGTTATAAAGTTAGTTTTCAAACTTTTATGTGAAATTAAACGAGCTGTGTATTAAAAAAAATACGCATCTTTTTTGAATCCCAAGCAAAACCTCAACCCAAGGCGTACATAATATTTTTTTATAAGTTTTTGATAAGCTTTTTAAACTAAATGTTTCGGAAGTTTTGGAAATTAGCCGTTAACGAAATAACTGAGTGAAAATAAACCGCACTCAAAATGATTTCATTAGACTAATTCTTCAGGCGTCGGTCACAGGTAAAATACGTAAGACACCTTACAACTTGAGCGGACTTCCTTTTATAAAACAATTTTTAAATAATCAATTTTAGGACACAAAATATTTGTCGAACTCGTAAAAAAATTAATGTTTTTAATGAATACGGCTGATGAGTTCATGGATGATCTTAAAACACATGCTGCCTTTAAATCTTATGAGGCTTTGATGAGCTGTCGCGCTATTGAACCAGAGGTTGACGCATTGGCTGACACAGGTAAGGGTTGTTATATTCTGCATATTGTGTATGAATTTTTGACATAAGGTGAAGCTCTGAAAACAAAATGCGTGAAAAATGGTGTATTAGTTTGGTTTAACCTCAATTTGTCTTAATGACAGATTGATAGTGACATTAAAAAAAAAAAAAAATAAACTACGACCTGTCGTTCTGTCTTTCACATGTTTTGTTTCCAGAGCCAATGTCAAACTTGGTATCATAACAGTAAAAATAATAACGTTGCAGCACGTCGAAGTATCGTTTCAGAAGGACCAACTCATACGTTATTGTCACGTGACGACATTAAAACGAAGAGCGTCGAAGTCGTTGCTATGCATTCTAGAAATGAAGACTTGATACCTATGTTTGCAGGAAGGAAAAAGAAGAAGTGGAAGTAAACTCCTTGTTATGTATTTTTATGTAGTTCATACGCCTTAATAAATATGTGCTGTTAATACATTTTTTTACATATAGAATTATCCCCTTAACGAATTAGTGGTTACCATCTACTTGCACTCCTCATGATAGGGTTCCAGCGTTCGTAAATCCCTCCATGTTGGTGGAAGATTTCCAAGTAAATGGTTTCCACACCTTTTACAAGGTGCACTAAATAAAGTGTTGTAGCTGTGAAACCAGTGCTACACATAAAATAAAAATGAAATTATTAAAATCACGTACGATCATATGAACCTTACCATAAATGAACGCACAGCAAGCTCGGGCATCATAGGAGAGTGAAAGTGGCACATAGCCGCATGACAATTTTCTGTAACTTTTCGAAAAACTTTATAGCGAGATTCTGACCATAGATCATTTGACTCAGAAAGTGCCTTCACCACCACCCACTCAATCATTAGTCCTTTAAATGCAATTATGGCTTTTAGAACTCTTCCCAAACAAGCCTAAAAATACAGCGAATAATTTATGAAAATTTTTATAAAAAAAAAAAACGAACCTGAATAACGGGGTTTGGTAAAAATGGTCTACTTGCTGTGATAGTTACATCAGGAAACAGACGATCTATACTAGTTATTAAATTTTCAATTACTCTAAAAACACACAAGGTATATTTTATGATTTTCTTGTCAGATCACTTACTCTGGTGAAACATTATGGTTACTGGTTTGCGTCTTTCTTCTTTTGGTTGTACTAAATGTTTTATATGTTTTGTTGAAAGAATTTGTTGCAAGTATGTTCCCAGCTAATGCACTGTACTCTCGAATCTACAACAATAAGACTATATTTTCACTATTTCAAGGATATAAAACCTTACTTTGTCTGTCCATTTGTAACTATTTACTAACTGTCCATACAGAGCTTGGCGTTCTTGTGTCGTTTCTTGTCCTAAATAAGTAGTGTTGCCAAGACTAAACGCCCCGGGTGGTGGAGTTAAATTACTTACTGCACTTTCTACATCTCTACAAGTTTTCATTTTATTAAATAGGATAAAAGGGTATTGTAATTTACCTTAAATTATTATTCACGGTGGTGAGTAAATCTTGCAATTCAATAATAAATTTGTTTTCTTTCCCTTCTTCACCATGGTCGGCTCGAAGACCATTACTTACCGATTCGAAAACTTGTCGAACGTTGGATCTTAGAGTTTTAATAGAGTTTAATGCTGAATTTAATTGTTCAATATCTCTCTCCATTCTGTTCAGTAATTTTCTAAGATTGAGTTAATTAAGTTACGATGTTTACAACTTTTTGATATATGAAAGTAAGGTTATGTTATCGTTTATTATTGACAGTTGACGTCAAAGTTCCTATATTAGTGTGCTACCAAAGTCTGACCAGCGTTACCAGCGGCAAACCTCTTACGTATGTTTGAAATCTCATTCATTATATTATACGTATTATACTATTACTATGAGTTATGACATTGTTTACGACACGGTTATATTAGTTAGTCTTTGTTCAAAGGTTAAGTGTAATGGTTAATTTTCTTTATGTAAGTATACGTAGACTATAAACCATGTTTAGGCGATGCTGCCGTGGTGTACCAGACGTGCTAGGCACCAAGCTCCAGGGTGCCGAGATCAGTCGTCACAGCCAATCGCCAAAGAGGGACTCGAAAAGTCGCCAAAATTAGAGACCCTAAATTGCAAAACGGAATGCTTTGGAATCTTACAAACGTTTTAAGGCAGTCAGAAACATAGTAAATTGTTCATAAAAATTTTAATAATACAGTTGAGGTCAGTTCTACCTGGTTCTACGGTGGTTCTACAGAACCACCCGATAAAAAGTCAAGTTGGTAGCACTGTCATCTAGTTCTTTACGCCGAACGCAGTTGGTGGCACGTTGACGTGAAAGAAAGAAAAGCCACGAGGACATTGTTATCCCAAAAAATAAGGACTGCGGCAATAAAATGTTACCGAAAATATAAAAAAAAAGCAAATAGAAAGCCCCACCCACCCGCTCTTATCTCAGTTCTGATGAATTTTTCACCAAAACATGCTTTAAATAGTATCATATTGTTCAAAAGAGATCATTTTTAGAAAAAAGAAACACCGTAACCCTCTCCCCTACTAAAGTAGCGATCTTTTCTATGGAACCACTCCCTAGTGTAAATTTTCAAAATTTGTTTAGTGTAAGTGACCTTGACGGGTTTCTGGGGGAAAACATGTGTCAAAAATTTGACAGGTTAGATGGCCCCATTGTCAATGTAGATATTTTATTTTAATAAATAGATGAACAGAACATACAGTCTGCACGGGATACAGTGCGGCATAAATGAGGGCAACCGAAACATTCGTGTTGTGCTAGTTTCGATTGCCATATCAACTACCGCTACCAACCGCGTTCGACGTAAAGTACTAGATGACAGGGCTACCAACTTGACTTTTTATCGAGTGGTTCCGTAGAAATGACCGCTACTGTATGTCAACAATAACAAAAAATGTTTCACATAAAATAAATAACAAAAAAATCATCACAGTTAAGATAGGGTGGGCGGATGGGGCTTATATTTTGCCTTTTTCCTTAATATACATAGTCTTCCCTTCGCCACAAAAAACTAAAAACATGTTTAAAATGATAAATTTTATACTTCTCTACAAATTTACCCTTTTAAACATGTTTTTAATTCTTTGTCGTGAAAAGAAAACTATGTACACATATTAAAGAAAATTGGTCTAGAGAGTTTAGACAGTACTTCCCGAGTACTTCCCTCGCTGTGGGAATCGTGACGACTGCTTGCCTATTATGTCTTTTTTCGTATTACATTTTTGTAGCGGGGCATTTTAAAATAAATTGAGTATTAATTTTTTCAATTTTGTCATTATTTGGCATTGACATCTTTGTCATTTTTTTGTGATTGCTATGACGGCTTATTAAAAAAAAATTGGACGAAGTCGTCTCTGGGGCGTATAATATGTTTCCTATGCAAAAATTGTCAGGCGTGAACAGATAAAAGGAACACCTGTATAGTACTTGTAATTTAAGACAAATAGTCATAACACTTATCAATCTGTAGACGTTCAAAGCGTTCGGTTTTGTGGTTCCTGATTAAATCAATAAAATAAATTCACGCATTCGTGTTTTTTTTTTTAGTCACCTGTATATGCAAAACCAAAAAATATGAATGGAATGATAAATCACAGCTACAGACTCAGCATATTTTTGTGGATGTTTTGATAAGATTTATTCATTATGTACAAATATTTACACCGGATAATATTGCAACATCGTAGTCGCGTTGGAACTCAGCGGCGGCGAGGAACGCGGTGTTCTTCGTGTTCTTGCTACTTCGGTGGACGATGGCGGAGAGAGCGAGTAGTGCTTCCATGGAGCCTTTTCTCAGCTTTTCTATTCACGCTTCTCGTTTTCGCTTCTGCATGGTACGTCAGCCAATTAGCGGTGGTCTCTACAGGCGTATGGTTGGTTGCCTATAGCGCGGGCAACTTGGTCGCCACATTTTGCACAAGCCCTGTATCAGTCAAACCTTTGAAAATATTTTTTAAATATGTTACCCTATGCTCTTTAATGTTAGCATTCAAGCTAATAGCGTCGTAAGTCCCCTTATCATGAATAACATCGAACTGACCCTCCAACCCTTCTAAAATATTACACACGGAATATTCTATTTTGAAGTTTCGTTTTTGGGCTATTGATTTCGCCAGCTCGATGGCGTCTTCTGAGTAGTCAATGCCAAATAAATTAACATATCCTTGTGTGAATAATTCGACTAAAAACATGCCATTGCCACACCCTATATCCAGAATTTTGGAATTTTTCGAAATGGATTCTTGTTTCTTGATCCATTCAATCGTACGTTCGACGGTGTCTTCGCCGAACCAGATCTCACCGGGATCTCCGTGGTCTTCAAAATTGGCTATTTCTTCTTTGTAGCGATTATCCCAATATTCTTGAGTCCCGAGGGCGGACTCTTGAAGTTCATCCATCAGTAGTTTATAATAAATTTCTGCAACAGTGATTTTTAAATAACGCGCGTTTTTCGTCAACGGATGTGGCGCCATCTTCAGAACAGAACATTTCTCAAAATTTTAGGTTATTTAAACTTAAAAACGTCAACACAACGACACAAACGTTGTAACTTGTAACAAGTGCACGTATAACGAGAACAAACGGGTAAAAGTGTAATTTTAGCTTAATTTACAAATATTATAATGGACCACGTAAAGATTGAAGACTTAGATTTGTATGAGATTCTGGAAGTAAACCCCAACAGCAGTGTTCCAGAGGTAAGAGCTATTGTTTATATCTACAACTGGATTTATAATTATTGTTTCTTTTAGATTAAAAAGGCATACAGGAAAAAGCGCTTCAATGTCACCCTGACAAAAATCCAGACAATCCAAATGCTGCAAAAGAGTTTCACCAGTTATCGAAAATTCTTGAAATATTAATTGATGAAACTGCGCGAAAAGCATATGATGGAGTTTTAAAAGGACGTAAGGAAGCGGCTTTAAGGCACAAAGAACTCGACAGTAAACGGCGTAAACTAAAAGAGGACTTGGAAGCTCGTGAAAAGCGCGCCTGTGATTCCAAGAGAGAGAAAACAGCGGATGAAAAACTTAGAGCGGAGATTGAAAGGCTTCGCAGAGAAGGGTCGCAACAAGTCGAGGAAGAGTTAGAGAGAATTCAGGAGGAAATCAGAGCACAGAAGAAACATAGATCAGAAAATGATCTGATTGATCTGATGAGCACTAACCATAGAATGAAAATCAAATGGTATGTTGCCAAAGGGGATGGCACAAATGGGGGATACACCCATGAAATGTTGCACCGATTTTTATCTAAAGTAAGTAAAAACGATTTTGTTTAATGTAGATAATAACTGAAAAACTTGCAGTATGGAAATATTAATGCTCTGGTGGTGTCGGCAAAAAAGATGGGAAGTGCGCTTGTCGAATTCGAAACAAGAAAAGCAGCAGTAAGTAGGTGATGTTCGCATAGTGAGTGTTCGTAATTTTATGAATTTTAGGAAATGGCTATCGAAATGGAATGTGGCTTGCCATCAAATCGAATCAAGCTGCAGTGGATAAATGTGCCCCCAGGTAGGGTTGCCACCTTTCGGATGACGCATTCCGGGACATTTTGCTCTTAACCACTACAGTCCCTTCCTTATACATTGTAACATTGTATAGATATAGTATGTGACCACAACACAAATACAACAAACATTTAAATGGTTGTTATATGTTTTTATTACAAAAAAAAACATGTAGGTAATAAAAAAAAAACAAATAAATTATAAATTCTCTAAACTTAATACATAAATACATATTGAAGTAAATAACTAAATAAAATTCTGACAGAAAAAAACAAACTGCAATTATTGTTTATTTTTAAAAGAATACTTTTTATCGCTACTAACAAGACGAAGTATGTCCGGAAACTCTTGTATGTAATCGTAAAATTCACTGCAATTCATATCAAAATTTAATCGAATTTTTAACTCTGCACCTATAAGTTCTGTAGCGATTTTATTTCTTTCATCACGATTAATAATGCCCATTAAACTAAAAACACGTTCACAATAAGCATTTGATACTGGGATGGACAGCACGAAAGACACGATTTTAGAGATTGCGGGTAAGTGGGCTCCTTTGAAAACTGTTACCCATTTCTGATCCACTTCGCTTGACAGTTTTTGATGACCAAATTTGTTTAATACTTCTTTCAAGATACAGTACTCTTCATAAATAGAATCCTTTTCTATATTTAAATCCAAAACGTCTACGATAGTTTCAAAACTCTGCCATTCGATTTCTGATGTTAAGTCCAAAAACTGAAAATGTTGAAAAATGGATTCTTCAAAGTTGTACCAATTGCACAGGTAGTTCACACAGCGGTTTAGGAAATCTTGAGCTTGTGTTTCAAAAGATTTTTTCTTGTTAACATCTAGTGTTTTCAAAATCTGATTTGCATTGTTTCCATAAAATCTATCTTTACCTCGCTGCTCCAGCTGCATTTTCAATTTTTTCATAATTGCATGTAGTTCAACAGCTGTTGTTTTATTATTTTCTAGTAAAAGAATAGAGTTATGAATAATTAGAGAAATGTTATGGGCAAACCAAAGAGTGCACAATGGCAAAGAATTTTCGTCATCGTCCTGAAAAGTTTCCAAGATTATTGCAGCATTGTTAGCTCCACCTTCGGACTGAAAGTAAGATTTAACCGCTGGCCAGTTTTTTAATAAACGATCTATAGCAGGGTGCAAAGATAACCAACGAGTAGGAACATGGCGCAGCAAATCTTGATATTCCAAATCCACAAATTCAAAAAATGATTTCAAATTTTCGGTTCTCTTTGCAGACGAAGAGAATTCGTTATAAATTTTTATTACCACTGATTCTACATCGACTTTAAATGCTTTACTTGCGTTTTTAACCATATTATTTATAACATGGCAGAGACAGTTAGCTTTTATTAATGTTGGTTTAACACTTTGCAATTTCGTAAACACAGAGTTAAATTTCCCAAAGTTTACAGAGGCATTGTCAGCACAAAAGCTGGATACCATGTTAAATGTTAAATTACATTTTTGAAAATTTTTTGGATATGTTCAAATATCTTTTGACTAGTTTCATGTGGAAATTCTGCAAAATCTAAAACTCTATGACATATGCCTTTTTGCATAGAGAAAAATTGAACAGTCAATGGATAGTATTTACGATTTTTTTTATTTGATGCGTCAGTACTAATTGAAATATATGTGTTGCTCAACTCTCCAAGCAACATTTCATGGGCCTTCGGTGCTAAAATATCTTTGGCGATGTACGTTTGTTTTGTCCTGCCACAAGTTACTTTTTTTGCAATATTAGAGTCCTTGTAAATTTTTTTTTGAAGTTTTGTAGAGCAGTCTTGGCTTAAATAACTCAAATGGTGATAAACGGTATGATAAGTTAGTGATATTTCTGCTAATGCAACTGATATTATTTCTGGAGTATCTTTTTGAATTAAAAAATTCTTCATCATGTGATTTTTGCTTTTAGCTTTCACTAATTCCAAATGATGCTTTGATTTCGCATGTGCTTCGATAGCTCCCCTGCCTTCATATTTTATTTTAAATTGAGTATTGCATATGTCGCATCTAGCTTCCTGGCTTCCTCTTTACCTATTCTACTTGGTCGCAGCGACTGTGTCCATTCAAGATTTTTCATCCATTCGTCATTAAACACACAATACCACTTAATACGTCTTTTTTTAGGTGGTGTAATAGAAGGACCCGCTTCATTATCCGTGTCCGTCATGATATTATTGAGAACTTGTTTAAGTTTTAACACTTTATTGATATTGTCACTTGTACGTTATGCATGAAACATAACACATAACCTAACTTAGACTCTTGAATCGCACAGTATAGTTAGTGGCGGTCTGGGGGTGGAACTTTGAGAAGGTGCGGTGCAAGGGGAACGATGAAACGTGATAATCTGCGCAATGGTCAGCGATCATGTCAAACGCACGGAAGTCTGCCGATGCTTGGTTACAAAAAATTAAAAAGTTCGACATGAGAGCATGAACACTCATTCCGGGACAATCCCGAATTCTGATGGGAATTAGTTTTCGCCGGGGCATGTATAGTAAAACCGGGATGATCCCGGTCATTCCGGGGCGGGTGGCAACCCTACCCCCAGGAAAGAATCATAGAACCCAGAGTAGCCTTGTGAAGCCGTCAGATTACGAAAGGATTGTTTTAACCAAAATGCGGCAAGCGGAGGAAAGGCGGCGTTTAATTGACCAAATGAAGGCAGAGGATGGAGATGACTGATAATTCGTGTAGATTTTAAGCTAAATAAAATGTTTTTGTTTTCGAACACGCGTTTTTGTGGAGTTTGTGAGGTTATGTAATTTTTTGACAATTGACAATCCGCGTTATAGGTGGCATTGGAATCAAGTGAAAAATAAAGTGAAAAATAGAGACCCTAAATAAGAGAGTCTGGCCAAAGCGTCGCTTGGTTTTAATTGGTGCGGCCACATCTTATATCACATTCTGTTTGAAAACGGTATGCCTGGTTGCAGATACGATTAAAACTGTCAGCTGTGACGACGGTGACATTTATCGTGTTTTTTATATTGCTTCATAAGATGTACGAATTTTTAAGCCATCTAGTAGTTTATACAGGGTGTTATTGAAAGGTACGTACAACAAAATTGACAGTTCTTCGCGAAGTCTAAGAAGTCTGAAAAACTTATTTTGTGTTATCAAAATTATAAGGGGAAAATTCACCCTTATCCAACATTTTTAGACGATACTGAAGGAAAAATAGGTAAGATTAATTTATTTTAGTAAATCCCAGCAACTGTAACAATAAAACTTTTGTCAAGACTAAATGTTGCTATAGAAACGAAAGATGATCTTTTTATCAGAGGCGTACAACGAATTTGGACATAAATTTTAATCATTTTTGTCTCTCAAAGGAGAACACTTTTACCTGAACTTTTTTTAACTTTTAGCAGCCATACTTCGAGGCCAATTGCCGATTTTATTTTGTACGTACCTTTCAATAACACGCTGTATATTATTGTATTTATATATTTCGTTCGTTGATGACCACCTTTGTTTTTGATGATTAAATAAATTTTTGGTAATTCAATAATCTTTTCCTTTAATTTATTTAATGTTTTGTTACCGAATTTCTACTACTTTTTTGGTTATTAAAGTCGCGATCTTTTCTATAGAACCACTCCCTAGTGTAAATTTTCAAAATTTGTTTGGTGTAAGTGACCTTGACGGGTTTCTGGTGGAAAACATATGTGTCAAAAATTTGACAGGTTGGATGGCCCCATTGTCAATGTAGATATTTTATTTTAATAAATAGATGAACAGAACATACAGTCTGTACGGGATATAGTGCGGCATAACTGAGGGCAACCGAAACATTCGTGTTGTGCTAGTTTCGATTGCCATGTCAACTACCGCTACCAACCTCGTTCGGCGTAAAGTACTAGATGACAGGGCTACCAACCTGACTTTTTATCGAGTGGTTCCGTAGAAATGACCGCCACTGTACACACATGACGCCAAATTTTAAAAAAGGCGCGCTTGATTGTGATATAAAATGGCGACTTTGGCCAGACTCTCTTATTTAGGGTCTCTAGCCAAAATCGCCAACCCAAAACCAAAGTACCTATATTAAATATAGGGACTTTGCCAACAAAATATTTTGTTGAAATCTAAATGAAAGCACTTTTCCTTTTTTTTAAATATTTATTTTAATTAAAAAATGCATTGACGTTTTCAGTGTGATGAACTGATGAGTGATGACTAATGACTGACGAGCGACTGTGAGGAGATGAGAGTGCGAGTGGTAGTTGATTGTTGACTTTTTCGACTTTTTTCACTACTTAACTGTACACAAAAATGGAAAAATAATAAAATCCCCAAAATTCGCCAAAATCGCCAACTGGCGCCGACATATAAAAAACAGGGCCAATCTTGGGCGCCAAGTCGCCAAAATGGTGATAAATCGCCAAATCTGGTCACCCTGCCAGGCTCACTTTTGACGTATCGTATCTAAAGTACAGACACGACCAAAAAGATTGGGATAAAAGTCTTGGAAGTTATTTTCAAGGAATTTTAGTTGTGTAAACTATTCTTGTAAGAATATTAAAAACTTCAAAAAATGGGCAAAGGAACATTTATAATTTAATGTTTAAAAGTGTCTTGAATTAATAATGTAACTTAAATGAGAATTATTACAAAAATGGGAGAGGGATGGCCGGTGCATCAAACCGCTCGACACTGGAAAATAAAAATTCAGTATAGAAAATTGTGAGAAGAAAGAGACAACAAGATAGAGTAGAGAGAAATCCAGGTTCAGCCAGACGTAGAATATCTACTCAAAATGAAGATGAAAATATAATTTGTTATGTAATTTATCCATTTCTTTCTGTCGTTCAAGCTGTTAAAGACACAGACTTTCCGGGCTCAAGTAGAACTGCAGAAGATGCGTTCAAGAATCTGACCTTCAGTTTATTATAATTCAATAAAAATTTTCGTTTGCTACTAGAACTATACTTTTTATTTGGAATACGGCTGCGCAAACTTTATTTATTAAAACCATGGAGGTAATATGACAGGAGGGAGCGTCTTTCATTTAACCAATGTTAAGGAGCCATTTCTGAATTCGTACCATGGTACATGTTTTCTTATATCGTGATCCGTACTACATCGGAAGCGGTCGGTTGTAACAGAGGATCAGAGGCGGTGCACTTTGTTTATGAAAAGGCTCACAGGTAGCAAATAGTAAAAGAATTTGACCTTATCTTCCCTGTTCTTATTCTACCTCCATGATTAAAACATATTATTGAAGTATTCGCAGCCAACAACATATCTCCAAATTTTGGGTCATTAGTTGCTACCACTATTAATTAGATTGTTGATCCTGTAGTAGTTTTATTCTAAATAATAATAGCTTTATTCTAAATTACACTACAAAATTGTAATAAGGTCCATTGGACGAATCGGTGATTTTAGGTTTTCTCGATATTTTATGACGCCTAGAGCACAGTATGAAAAAGTAAGTCCTCGTTTCCTTCTGTCAATCGGCTCTCTCTCTTTCTCTCTCTCGCTCTCTCTCACTCGTGTGTCAATTTTTATTAGATAAATAATTTCCGAAATTACTGGTTCGATTGTTGTTAAATTTGATAGGTATATTAAAATATCGTAGAAATGGCAAAATGCTAACCAAAAAAGTGTCTAATTATCCCCACTAACAACAGAATGACGTCATCTCCAAAATGTACAATAGCAAATATTAGTTAAATTTTATAAAATAAGATATGCTTGTACTTGTGGTTTATGAATTTGTGTTAAGTTTTTACTATAGACATACGGATTTTTGGGAAAAAATCACAATTGGATAACAACGTTTACGATTTAATTTTGAAATTACAAAACCGAATTTAGCCGTTTACCCTCTTCCAAAAAAATTGATGACTTTATCTCAAAATTTTGCTGAATCAATCCTACCTACAATATGCAAAATATTATGCCATTTTTACTTGTGGTTTATCAATGGATTCATAGTTTTTAATATTATTTATACAGGGTGACACAAGACAATTAATGAATTAGGAATTTTTCTTTCATCAAATCAAAAGTGGTTTAGCCTATTTCCCCAAAAATATGAGTACACAAGTACTGTAAGTACAAATACAAAATTTTGTTATGGAAAAACTCACTTCAAAGATACGCATAGCATGCTCCTTTACCTGTACTTTAGCAGTCCACACGTATCTTTATTTTAAATAATAGAGTTTATCATTAAAAAATAAAATTTGCAAAATTAAATACTTACCTATTATAATTTTTCGAAGACGCCGTATTTATTCCTTCTCTACTTTATAGAGGAGGGAACTTCTGTTGAAATAACCTTCGACCAAAATTTGTCGTTGTACATTTTTTTTATTTGAAAATCGTTAAGTTGAATTTTAAAATATAAAAATAATGACTGACGTTTGACCAATCATGTCGTGTTGTTCATATACATATTTTTTTTTAAGAAATAATACATGTTTTAAATATCGAAAGCACTGTTTTTTAAATGGTGAATTTGTAGCACCACTTTATACAACGTGTGTTTAAATTATTGTATATGTCAAGTTGGTTTTTAAATTTTGTGCCACCTCGTGATGATTGATCATTTTTCGTCGTTGGTCAATACCCGACTTTTTATGTATTTTTACTTGATAGATAGGCAACCAATAATTCAGTTCGGATGGTAGGTTGGTACAATTTGAATGAAACCGCAAATTTTGTATTAAAAATACGTTGACAGATTTCCAAAATAAACTTGATGTGGGACGTTTTATAATTACCTTGTAACATATTTTCATTGTAAATTTTCTGTTAGTACGAATATATACCGAGTGAATATTAATGTTTGTGATTTTTTTGAATTTTGATGACATATCTAATGGTCAAATTGACATTATGACACCAGATCAGTAGCTGCCATCGTATCAACCAATTGACACGTTTGACAGGTGTGCTCATGTCAAAACTGACGACTATGAACATATTAGCATGGCTGCCAATAACGCAGAACTGCCAACATAAAAATTTGCTTTAATCAGTAATAGTCACCCTGTATGTGAAATATACAATGAATATTACTAATTATCTGTGAAATATCATTACTTACCTATGAAATATCAAGAGAGATCAGACATGTGAGACGTTATCTGCCTGTATATACTCTGTTGTTAAAAATAAGGAAAACTATCCAACTATCCAGATGTCATTTTACTTTACTTTATAACCTGTTCTTAAAATGTGGAATAACTTGGAAAAACAGTTCAATTTAATAAAAATATCTTAACATAACTACAACTGTTATTTTATACGATCTATGCATTAAGAATATGTTGACAAATTGTTAGTTAATGTTGTCAAAACATGACACAAACAATATATTTTTAAACAGCGAACCTGTTTTTTACGATTTACTGCTTTAAAGTACTGTAAAAAATTATGTGCGATTGTAGGATGGACAGGACTACACAAAAATGTGTTTTGAAAATTCCTCGAAAATGGTCGGGACTATATGTATACAGGGTTAGTATAACTTTGTTATGTGAAAAGTTTTCTCTGCAATTTGCTTTGGATATATGTATAGTTAAACATGGCGACTTGATCACAAAATTTTTCTTTTTTTTATCGCTCTTGGTTTGACAGACAGGGCCGCCTACTTTTTTTTTTAATGGAACACCCAGATTTTTTTGACATTTTCTGAAGTAAAATAAAGAAACAATTTTCAGAAATTATTAACATGTTTATTTTTACTGATACAGAAAATAGAAAAAAAAAATCACAAAAAACACCTAATACTGTAAAATCATACATAAGTAATTCGATTGATAAATCACTGCCAAATTGTAAACGCAGAACACTCTGAACATTTATTTGTAGTCCCATTCATAGTTTATTATTTATTAGTATTTTCAAAAATGACGTGATTTTACAATATTAGGTGTTTTTTTTTAATTTTTTTTCTATTTTTGCTATCAGTAGATATAAACATGTTGCTAATTTCTGAAATTAGTCTTTTATCAGAAAATGTCAAAAAAAAACCTGGGTGTTCCATAAAAAAAAGTAGCCGGCCTTGTGTTTCAAACCGAACGCAATAAAAAAAGGAAAAATATTGTAATCAAGCCGCCATGTTTAATTACATATTCACCCCAAATTTCCAAAAAAAGCTTTTCAAATAACAAAGTTATTTAATCGTTCTGCGAATTTACACTAACCCTGTATATGTACCCACAATATAGTTGTTAGAAAAATGTACATAATTTTTCCAGTTTTAAAATCGATTTGCTGATATTGTTAAGTAGCTAATTCATCGTAAAAATATTTCCATTCGAAGTACTTGTATTTTCTAGTTTTTATAATTTTGGATTAATCCCGGCGCCTCCACCATAATGCAAAAAAAATCTTTAATTTTCTATTTAGCATTTTATCGCTAGGCGTTCCTCGATCATGTTTGCTTTCCAACATCTTTTTCTAAATGTTTAAGTCAGTAAGTAGTGTTAAAGTTACAATAATGAACAATTTTCAGGAAAAATTAAGTTACATTTTTCTGATTTTCACATGAGTAAAAATAAATTACTGTTTTACTTTACCCCCGATCTTTCGGTACAACTTCTCTGCTACAGAATGTCAAGTTTAGGTTATACTAGGTTACCATATCTTATTTTGATGAGTACCAGTGAGTTTTAAATTTTTAATGTTAACCGTCATAGATCCTAGGGCCAACTTTATCTGCATAGGCTTGGTGGTTAGCCATAGAGTGAAAATTATCAGATCGATGCTCCATTATTGTTTTGTGATCATGGTCTTTCACAAGTTCTGGTGGACGGGGTGAGGAGGGGTGTAAAAAAATATGTGTTCGTATAGAGATAGAATTTTATTGCGTTCAGGAAACTTTACATGTTTCGTAATTTCCATAATTCATGTAACATAATACTAGTCTAGTCGACTTTCGATCATCATCATTCATTCGAACAGAGTCACTCATCGTGAATACGAGTTCCATGTTTACCAAAAAATCTGACAAACATAAAACGATTTCGATTTACACAAATACCAAAACGTTTTAGAGAGGAACGTAATCCGTACTCTCGGTAAAATTTTGAATAATAATTTTTAAAAATATCTACAATTTTACTTAAAAATGTATCATCTAAATCTATCAGACATGCACACACTTCCTCGATAACGTTAAATAAAAATTACCGTTAGTAATAATTGTAAACACTGCATTCAATTTTTAAATATTATATGATTATTATTTTATTTATATGTAACAATATTTACATTTAGAATAATCATTTTGCTCCATAGTTTTGAAACAATGTTCTGTTAGCACTTGTGTTTATCGTTTTAGGCCAACAATATATTAAATGCACGAAAATAGTTTCGCAAAAATATAGCGCCAAATACGTTCGCCATCTAATTGACTAAAAGTTTGGACATACTGGGCAAATAGCGAGTTCAATGGTGCTTTTCAGTGATGGTATTAATTGTTTAAAACTATACGTTGAAGGTGCTCTTCTCTAATTTAGAGTAACGATCGGATCTAAAAGTGTGTGTCTTACTTAAACTCAGTACTAACAGGAACATTTCAAGTGGCGCTAATTTATATACTCCTGCAATTGTTCGATATACTGATTATTTTCATAATTATGTTAATCGTATGAGTCAACGTATATATCTATCTACGCAGATCTATGTTGAATCGCTAAAACTAGATGGTTTTTAAATATCCATTATAGCAATAACTTAAATAAGTCATAATAATTATATTACAAATCGTGGCTAGACAAATTATTATTAAACTATATAGAAAAAGGAAAACAAAACGAAATAAGGCGTGCCGACCTAGGTGTCGGGTCCTCCCACAATGAAAAACAATTCGAAAAATATGATCTCCATCTCTCGATAATCGTCAACAAATAACCTGATACGAAGACCTCCAACAATATATATATAATATTTATATACAACTCATCACATCAAAATAATTGCTATTGGGGGAGATGGGTGTCGTACCTGCGATCGTTCACGCCCTACCTTTTCCAATAGATCGGAGTGAATCGTCAATAATAAATTTGTATGTATAATATTAAACTTCTTCAAAAAGAACTTTAAAACATTAAGCAACAGACGTGTTATTTACATGTAATATTACAAAATATGTGTTAGAATTAATTGTATAGAGACATCACCCAAAACACTTTGAGCTAATATTAACATTACTATAAAAACAAATTGTACCCATACACTTTAGAATAAATTATTGAGGAATTTGAAGATTTTGCAAAGTTATCGCTTAATATCACAATAATAATCGAAACTTATCCAACGTAACAGATTGCCCTTTTTGCCACACACAATTTTTATTACTTATACGGGTACTCCCGAAGTACCCGTACAGGTGTTACGGTGTCAAAAAACAAATTATAGCCGAGACGTTCATCACGCATTCACATGGACTGATATGAAAAAAATTATGAATTCAAGCACCCTTGTGATATGTGACCACAGAAAAGTTCGTTTAGGAAAATACTCTTGTTCAAGGAAAATTTTAGATGAAATCAGAAAATCGTGTCCCTCTTACGATCTAAGTGTTTGTGTGTGGCTGTTGCTTACCGCTTAAATTATACAGTTTACGAACAAGGCAAGTTATTAGCTTTTGAACACTTAAACTGTACGAAAAAATTTCAGCGCGACTTTGCTGTTCTCTTGATTTACGCCTTGCCATGATATTCCCCATCATATGTTTAATGAGTGTGTTGGCAGTGAGACATTAATTTTATTATACGATTAGGTTTAATAATAATTATTTAATACGAATTCTTTGTCACATAACTTTGCAAATCTTTGTTTCGTCTCATATTATTCAAAATATGAAAGCAAAATACAGAGGTATATATTTAAAATTCTTCACTACAACACTCTTCGTTATTGAAAAGTTCTTTGATTATTAAAAATTTTACACTATTTACGAGTCCACTATGCTGTCTCGCGGAGGGAACTTCCATTTACCTCTGACGTCACATCCGTCAGGACTTGTTTTACTGTCAAAATTACTTTAATATAAAACTACATGAATTTTCGACTAATCGGAAGAACCCGAAATTTTCTCAAGCAACACTAAACTCTCGACTAGAAAAATCTCCCTCTCTACGAGAAAATCTCGCGTGCTGCCCGATCTTCACGAGCTTCAATCACACTGTACAAATTATAAGAACATGGTGGCCGCACTATTAAAAATTGAGCACCTGATTTCACCAGTCAAAAAATTTCTAAATCAAAAAATTACACGGGTTCAAAACGGTCCGCTTAGCGGGACTTCCCCAGGGCTCAACGAGGTAAGTAGGCCGCTTTCAACTCGCGTCTAATACGATATTATCATATAAATATTTAAATACTAATTTACGGTTTAAGGCCGCGCCTGCACGTGCTGCGAATCGGAGTGGCAGTGAATTGTTAGAATATTATACCGGATCTAGGGCTGACGCGCAGGCACAGCTTCCATCCTTCAGTTCAGCTTTGAAATCACCCTTTTGGAAAATTTTTTCTATTCGCGAACCGGAAGGTCCTTCTTGGCACCATGAGACGAGTAGTGGGGTCTACAATTCGATCACACACAACACTCACCTTCAAGCGAATACTATATCATTACTAACAAGTAAAAATGCACTTTTTAAATTTAAGTTCACCGTTTACACTTGTTTTTAACTGTATTCGGAAATCTACTGTTGCGACAGTTATTCATATTAAATCATCGTAAAAGATATACCTGGTGTTCTGTGTCTAGGAATTTCGAGAAAGTATTCCTCATATCTGAATAACGATTTTAGTCGATTATGGTTGTGTGTCTATATAAAACAATATTTAATGAATAATTATTATCTCAGAAGAGACAAACATTTGACAAACTGTCTAACAACGTTATATGAACACTGACACGCGTGATAAAATTTAAACAATAGAATTTGATCTGCAGGAATTATTTTTTCAAAATTTTCTTACACAAAAATTACCTTATTTCATGTGGAGTTTTCAAATTTACACTTGCATTTCTCTTTAGAAAATAAATTAAAGAGAGAAAATGTGCAAAAAAGGCATATTCTAGGCCATAGACGCAAACGAACGTACAAATCAGTGTAACGAGTTTACTGTTGAAGTGAGTCCACAATTTATAAAAATTTTTATATAGAACGAATTCTTTGCAAATCCATTAACTGATAAAATTATTTCAGTTGTTAAAAACTAATCAACAAATCTGCTAATAATCACAGAATGGGTAATATCTGATTAAAGTTTAATAATTTTGCTACGAAAAGCAAAATTTTAAAGCTTCAGAACTAAGTAGGCAGCTTTAGTAACTTTTGTGTTATAATGTGTTCGATTTTGGTGGATATGTCCAGTTTTATATAAAATAACATAAAGTAAATTGTAAAATGCAGACTTCCTTTTAGTTTAGTCTGTTTTTTAGTACGTCTGCACGTAGATGGTAAAAAATAATAACTTCTCATTCGAGAGAATGCTGGAACTTTTAGTTTCAAAGAAATGATAGTGAAATATACAGGGTGATGTCTTCATGTTTTTCACCACTGTAGTCATAAAAACATATAAATAAAATTGGTTTAATTTAGAAAAAAAGTGACATCAAAGATTGTTAATTTTACTCACTATAATTTTTGATATATTGCAAACATTTTATGTTATAGCTATATTCTGTACACAACAATACTGGTAGCACACTTTTGAAATATTTTTTTGTTTGTTTTGCCGAACTAGAGTTATCCTGTCCATAAAACTGTGAAAATATAATGTATATGTGCTAACTATTACATTTTTGCTGTTGTTGAAAAATTTTGGTTTGTGGTACATAATTAAAAATTGTTTTCTTTTGTCATTCCAATTAGTAAGAATATACAAAGTATCCAAAAGAAAAAATCGATGTTAGTCTTAAGCTTAATAGAAATTTGAAAATAATATTTCTGGAATGTCACTATCGAGCTCTACAACGATTCAAAGTTCCACAATATATCGAAAAAAAAAACATTATATGTAATTTTTTAAATTTAGCTAAATTTTGTCTAGTAATGACCTGAACTGATCATAATTTATTTCTATATTCTTCACACGTCAATGTATTACCATAAGATGTCAAAATTACAATATAATCAAAGATTGAGCAATGAGCAATTTTGATAAAAATGGTTACAGGCCACAATATTATATCTTAGTACAGATTACACTAATATTCTTCTCTATTCATGTATGTTAAGAATAGATACACTTTTTTTCTTTGTATCAATTTTACAAGTGTGTTTTAAATGTATGTCTCATTTTACCTAAATATGGTGTATCACTAACTTTCAGTTAATTTCTTCCTGTTGGTAGCACTCATCTGTAATTATTTGTGGAGAAATAACTTTTGTTACACCATGTGGGTAAATGAAAGCGTATGTTTTAGACTGAAATATACAGTGAACTTCATTTTCACGATCAAACTTTTTTTGATCAGATTTTTTTTAATTAAATGTCATATACAAAAACTATATGTCAATTAATTATTTATAACGGAAGTATACTACCAACTTCATTTCTCAAAATACAAAAGTTACTAATAAGCTGCTAAGGTTAGGTTTTTTTCTGAAATTTAATGTGCAATTTGTTTACAATTTTATAATTTATTACATTGTTTAAGCAATTTGTAGTATATGTATTACTTCCAATAAATTCCATGTTTTGTAGTAAAGGTTAAATTTATTATTTTCATATAAGATCTTCAGTTCTTTGTGAAATACATAATACGTAACCAGGTTAACCTAAGTGAAATTGCAAAACACCTAGTACTGCTAATGGTACTATTTTTTATGTTGTTCCAACAGTTCTGTCCACATTTTTTTCCCTAAATGTTAGAAATAGAATGCGAAAACATATACTCCTACAACATTTATACTGATTACGAATGTTTTGCGGTATTTTCTAGAATTATTAATACCCAAAAAGCTGTTAAATCAGTAAATATCGGAGACCAAATTTTTGATTTACTTGGAACAAAATTGACAGAGCATAAAAATGAATATAAAACGATTATAATAAAACAATTAGGAGGTATTGTAGTTCCTAATTATAACTTTTGTAATCAAGAATAAAACTGTGATAAACAAGGATCATAAACTCGGGATTAATTGAAGTGGATTATGTTAATCATCTAACTGTAGCAGTGATGATTCATGTTTACAGAATGTTGTTAGCAATTATATTAACATAACTGAAGACGTTAGGGGATGAAGAGGTTATGTAACATTTCTGTAAAAATAAACTTTCTCAGTAGGTTCACTTGACTAGCAAAAAACATATACTTAAATAATATATCTAACTATTTAATCAAAATGAAGGCTTAGTTTATCACAAAAGCCTTTAATTATTGTTCTAGCAAGTGCAAACCTTTTATTTTCGTCATAATATTTAATTTTGAATTTTTAAGATCCATTGTTTTCTGTTAACATAGTATCCGTTTGAAGCAGTGAGGAGTGATGTTGTCGAAAAGGCCACAAAACCCGCATCAAAGTCTTAACGATATAATGATAATACGAGTATTCTTGAGGGCGGAGGTGAGTTTAAAGGCTGAAATGAGTTTTGTATATCATTAAATTTATTCGAAGGTGCATTGCGAGCGGGTGCTTGTTAATAAATCAACACACATTCGCACTCCCGGTGTATGAGATTCTAGTACAACATGCGTCGATGCACCTACAATACTGGATAATAGTACCGGTGGCTTCGATGGGGTAATGAACTGAAGGTGTCGTGTCGGAAGGTAATGAAAGTCAAAACTACGTAACACAGAACACATAACAATCTACAGTCTACGTAGCCAGACAGAAACTTGTAGGTGCATGCTAAGATGAAAATGAACGAGGAGTCATTCTGAGGCATACTCCCATCACCAACCAAATACATGTCATCGTGAACGCAGCAAGAAGAAGTGAGCATTTCGCAGTTAGGTGAAGGGGTCACGACCTAACTAGAGCAGTCGATCGCTCGGCATTAACAATATAAGGGTCTGTGAAAAGTCTCGTTAGGCGAACTTCGGGCCACCTTAACGCTAGTCCAAGTGGTTACGATAGCACTAGTCCATTCGGGGCGAACTGAGCAGGTTAAGGCCGTTGAAGGAGAGTTTTTCGCTCGCGCATTCACGGTCTTCAGTGGCGCTGAGGGCGCTTGAAGCTGTTGCGGAGGTACGACGCGCAAGCCTTGCTCCGTTCAGCTATCATCTCCACCAGGTGGTCCTCCAGCACCAGGAGCGGCGCGGGTAACGGCAGTAGACTGAACGTGGCGATGTTAAGACTTTCCCATTGTCAAACAGCGCTGTTCGGGAATCTCGGAGGAGGCAGTGGCGGCGGCGGACGAGACCCCACGTCGCCCGCACGGGACGAGTGCTCGGACCCAGCTAAACACAACAAGTACAACGCTTAGAACACCCACCGGTCCACCCGATTGCTGGACTACCTTTCGACATTTAGTATATCTTCTCTATACTAACATACGTGAAAATAACTTTGCTCAGTTGATTTTTTTTGTAGAGGGCTAAGATGGTTGATCGACAACTCAATACACAAGAGTCAAGCGTCATGTGTATTTTGGGTTATCGATCAGTCCTGTCAGGCCTATCTTGTAGTAGTTGAACAGCTATCGTAAAAGTACTTTTATATATAGTATAGTATATATTTTTACCTTTGCTAGTATGGTGTATGTATATTTATGAACAGTATTACTTCCTGATATGTTTATGGTTATTTACATATTCTATTTTGAGAAAAATTCAAAAAAAGGGTAAATTTTGATTTTTAGTGGAACACATTTTATTCTCAAATTTGACGTTGTCGTTTTACGCCTCTGAACCCCACAGTTTCAACTTAAAATTTTAATAGGAAAGGACTATCGAGTTTGAATTTACTCCTCCATTTATTTGAAAAATGGGCCAATTCTTTCATATAAAAGTAAAAAGATAATATTTATTTGTTTTACTAAAAATGAACGGGATATGTAACAT